CCTTCGCAGGCAAGATGGTCCACGCAAATCGTTTCGTCAGCTCTTGGAGTCGTCGTAATAATGGGAGGACTAGGTGCGCATGATGGAGCAGGGATATTGTCTACAAAACTGCCCGAGAAGGTATTGTAGCACCTAATAGTGGAAATTAGCACCAATCTTTCCTTGAACCTTTCTGAATGGACAGGATGGATGGTCACTGTGCTTTTCATCCACTAAAGGGACATTTTAGAAGGATAACTATTGTACACTCACTTACCCGCGATATACGTCACTGTTCCCATTTGCCGATGTGGTGCAATCAAGATTCGGCGAGCATTCTGCGCGGAAAGGAGGTGCAGATTCCACTAACAGAGCCGATGACGACAAAACAACGAGAAACATAAGATGCCACGACATTGGGATAGTGTTGAATCCCAGAGCATAGAGCAATTCGAATCGATATAACTCCGGGAAAAAATGCCGTGTTGCAACGTGAGAATTGATCTTCTTGTTTTAGACGCTGGGTCAGCGAGGAAAATATATGTTTCAATCAGTCGCGACGGCGTCACACGGTCCCGTACGTGCTAGATATTTCCTTGAGGAAGTAAGAACTGGTGAGCAATCCGTCAATTGGAAAGGTTTTCAAAGGAGGAATGCCCAATATTATCAGTCTGGATTAGACCTCCGTGCCAGTCTCAGCCCTATTTACCAGCGGCACAAAGCAGAACTAACGCCGTCCTCTTAAATTAGAAATCAAGCTCAACACGGACCGAAACAAGATCATCAGAATATGGCATTAACACTAATTGAAATCGTCGAGCAGACCCGAGGCGCTGGGAGCCACACGATATCGGGAACGGAAACGGTACGGTTGAAATTATTGATTTGACACTGTGAGACCACGATTTCGGATGGGAAGGCAAGGGACAAGATGAGAAGACATTAGTGGCCGCTCGATATGAACCCAATCAATGAGTTCATCAGCTGGTACATCCGTACTGTATGGCAATATCAATAGAGTTGGTAAATATAGCTTCAGCTAGGTGCCAGAGCTTAGCTACTTTGGTTCATGATGAGCAGGACATCAGTGGTAGCTCTGACGAGGGGTGTCTCCCCGGAAAAATTAAACATTACGTGAACAAGGTATTCGGCCTCGTTAGGTACATGCTATACGTACTGCTAGTACATACTGTAGCAGACGGACAAGACTGCTGTTATGAATGGTGTATCAGGTATTAATTAGGACGAAGAGGAAGCCCTGGGTTAGGAATCCTTCAGTTCTACTCTAATTGATTGGTGGATTGGTGGATTGGACCAATCGTTTTCAACGACCGATGATTCCGACACATACCCATTCACACTTGAGAGTATGTAAAAGCGAACCTCTCAGTGGGCAAGTTCGCCCTTCCAAGTACTTTATATCCAAGTACTGTGAATGGAGGTACTAAAAATACCACTTACTAAATACTAAGTACGTATCGTACACCAATAAGTTACCAGATTGTTCGGGTCCCCCATCCTTCCGCTCGAGCATCGCAATTCGTCATGAATCTCGAGCCTACAATGTCAAGAACTGAGAAGGTACCATCTCCGCTGGGGATCACTCATATGTTGCGGTAGAATTGGAGGCAGTGCGTTTTCCCGAATCGGGTCATTCATGCCTCTGTTGTTGTGTTGTTGCCTCTACTAATACTAATCTGATGATGATGGGTTAACTCACTCTACTAAGTTTCATAATCTAATTTGGCTCTTCCGTTTCATTCGACTACCGGCACTATCATTCCCCCAGATCCTCTAGCCTTTCTCCCCTCAATCGGATTTGTTCCGCTGGAAAATTACCTCCTTCAGAATTACCACAATCGAGTCGTCATCATGAGTCCAATGTCTTTCCGCATGATATCCCTCGCTCTCCTCTCTCTTGTCTCCTTTGCCCTCACAGCTCCTACTTCATGCGCACCTGGACAGCTATGCGACAACGGTATAACGGTCTTCAAACTGGTGACTATTCGAGAGTGAGCATGGTTTTTTGGACTATCGACTCACGCTTCTGCTCACGGCCTTCTAGTGACATGCCCGAACTCCACAACAAGGCCCTCACAGCTTTCAACTCCACTCTGGGCATCTTTCCCAGACAAACCAACACCGAGGCCATCCCCGGTGCATACGGCATCTATATCCCACCTCGTACCGCCGAGTTCCAGCCCGATTCCACCTATGGGCCCGCGCGGCTGTCCGCCTGGCCATTTGGCATTGTCGGTCACCAGCTTGCTTTGGTAGGCCGCAACGATTCGCCAGGACTGTACACAATGAAAGACACGTTGTCACTGGAAGAGCGAAATCCGCCAGGGGATGAGGTGCGGATGACGGATGGCTGGGTAGTCGGCGAGGACGGACTGCTTGGATATGCGATGCCGCCCTCCACAGGATCGACCGAACGGGCAGGATGGTTCGCATTCCCCGTGGATGTCAGGCCAGGTGCGCCCAAAAAGGGTGACTGGGCGATCAAGTGGTATGAACGTAAGTACACTCTGACTGCCCTGCCTCCTTTCGTGAAGCCGGTGTAATAGAAGGGAAATGCTTACAAATGGATCAGCGGATTTGGCCGTCGTTATCCAAATCGGACAGCGTGTTGAAATCCAGGTAGTGGCGGATGAGGACCAGAGGTGGGGGTGATATGGATGACTATTGTTGCGACCCTCGCAGAATGGCCATCGGCAATGGTCATCAGCACGGAAATGTTTACCAGTTCCAAGCGGGGCAGTTATGATCCGCAGATACAACTAAACGAAGACTTTCCAAAGTAAAGAAGAATATGATTTGGCACATTCATGTGACACGGAACTATCAAGTTGCTTTCCAGAAATTCATCGAGTGAAGTGGATTCGTGAGAAACACCTAATATCGTAGTATATTCATGTAACCTTGCGGCAATAACCAATCTTTTCCGGCCACAACTACTCCGTTTCAGGTTGCCAAAATATCTCGTAAATAAAAAAGAGTTGCCAAAGACAAGGTCGATGTGAAATCAGGCCGCACCACCAGCGCTCACTTTGCGCCCCTTTAAGGATGTTCTATCGAAGACCACCATTGAGAGTGCAACCACCGCACTACAGGCTGCCAAACCAATGCCCATGTAGAAGTCGTCCGTCAAGCCAGCCATGTAAGCGCGAATAACGCCTGCCAATGCCTCTCCATCCCATAGTATATCCAATTCGGTCGCACCGGTGGCGACCACCAAGGCGGGATCGACGCCGGGAGCATACTTCGGCACCGTGGCCAACAGCTTATTGGCGAATAAGCTCTGACTAACGGACAAGAAGATGGAACCCGAGAGCGCTTGGAAGAAAATGATCATCGCCGTGACTGATGAGACATCGGACGGCTCAACGACTGCTTGACTCACAATGATGGGCACTTGGATGTTGAGACCCAAACCTATGCCGGCAAGGACCTGGTAACCAATCCATTGGGGACTCGGTGAGTGGACTCCCAGAGTAGATATTGTTGCAAGACCTGCGGTGGCAAGGATGGAGCCGAGAACAATAATGGGGAGAAAATGTTGGGTTTTGGAGATGACGACTCCAGAGACGACGGTGAACAGCGAAACAGCCAGGATGAAAGGGATGTTGCGGACGCCAGAGTCAGAAGCCGAGACACCGCTGACAGTTTGGAAGTAGATGGGGAGGTAGTAAAGAATCGTCATGAAGACCCCGAAGGATAAAGCGGTAAAGAGAGCCATGAACGCAATGGTCTTTTTCCGGAGAAGACGGGGAACGAGAAGCGCCCGTTCATCGAGCCAAATTTCGAGAGCGATGAAAACCACAAGGAGGACGCCGAAACCGACGAGTGTACCGATAACATCGCGGTGTGACCACGCCTTGGTCACACCACCCCATTGAAGGGCAAGGATGAGACAGATGATTGTGCACAGGAGCAACGCGGTTCCTAAGGGATCCATCTGTAGAATCTTCTCCTTTAAGGGGGCTTTCTGTGGTTGGGCAGCCTTGGGAGTTTGAAAGGTGAAAAAGATTATGGCGACGGATATAGCTCCCACAGGGAGATTGATATAGAAACACCAGCGCCTAGTGTATTTGTTAGATGAAATTGGCAGGCAATGGAAGGCTAATCAAAATCGTACCATGAAACATGTTCGGTGAGAGCACCGCCCATGAGCGGGCCAACGACGGAAGCGATCCCATAGACAGCGCCCAAGACGCCGGTGAGAGCAGCAGCTTGCCGCGGAGGTGCCGAAAATCCGATGATGGTATATGATCCTGCACCGATGCCGGCACCCCCCAACCCTGCAATTGCGCGGCCCACGATGAGGGTTTTGCTGTCCTGAGCCACCGCACAGATCAGACTGCCGACTTCAAAGAGGAAGATGGCGGTCAAGTATGCCCATTTCAGGGGAAAGTATTTATACGTCTTTCCCCAGGTGGACTGAAACGCGGCCATGGTGATAAAGAAAGCCGAGCCGTACCAGCCGACGTCGTCTAAGCTCTTGAATTGATCCGTGATGCGGGGAATGGCCGTTGCGATGATCGTCATGTCGAGTGACATGAGGAAAATGGCGAGGGAGGTGGCAAGCAGGAGGGATGCGAGCTTCCATGCGTGAGGATATTCGTCATTCTCAACGGGCTCCAAATCCTTGGCGGGTTCGTCGGTAGAAATCTGTTCATGTTCGCTTTCTAGACTCCTCTTTTCATCCATGATGCTATAAGCCGGAGTAGATGCCTCGGTGGCATTCTTGTCTAGCCCGCCTGAAAGGGGCTTTTCCGGATCTGTTCTCGGCTCCTCGGCCATTGCGATGGACCTTCCTGTCAAAAAACCGACGATGTTAGACTTGGGATAGGAAATGGAGATATATTCGAACAAAGGCGGAAAAGGATAAGAATTGTTTGAAGGGAAGGGCGATTAGGGTCCAGGTATGGCTCACCGAGCCAGAAGTTAAAGACTATGATGGAAGAATAAGGGGAATATAAGAAGGGCTGTGCAAATCTAAGTGAGATAAAAGCTGATATCGTGTCGTCCTCTGGTCAATATATACTTCACCAGCACGAGTATCCCAGGGGGGCACATCCTCGAAGACATGCTCCATACCTGAATGATTTCATATTACTCATAATCCTAAGGCATGTCGGCGTCCGGACGAAAAGCTCATGCGGAAACGCTGAGAAACCCATGCTAAAAATGATACAATAATGAATCATTTCAGCATTAAGATTCAAGAGTGGGCATTAGCATTCGCGATGGAACGATGTGCAGGGGGGAGGGCTGTACGCTGGACATAGTAGGCAGAAATATAGAAAGTCGGACAGACGGTGTCCATGTATCCACAGTGGGCTTGGGCTTAACGTTAGGGCCTGTAGTACCATATCGCTATTTCCGACATTCACCGGTGATCTGTCATCCTACAGCTGACTCACATCTGATGGACGATGGAGATAACGGCCGAAAAGGAGCAGCAGACTGCAGCAGAAGCGACGTGGACCATAATACAGGGAGCTGAACCTTGAGGAGATATTAGGGAGATAGAGAAGAATGGTGGAGATAAAGGAAATATCGGTTGTTACTTGCTAGAGAGGAGAGAGTTGCTCGTCCGGCGGTGCGAGAAGGTACATACGTACTGTAGTCTCTAGGGCTGAGAACAGGGGGCAGCCGTTACAAAGTCCGGTCCGGACGAGTCGACGGAATGCAACCTGATTGGCCACCTGCCCTTCACTTCAACACTTGTCAAGCTCTCCTCTTTTCGTCCGGCTGTATACTCTGGAACGATAAATGAGGATTCATTCACGCTGTGAAGCCTCGAGTCTAGAATCTACGGATATAATTTTTCTCTGCTTGTGGCGCGGTGGAGCCACGGAGTCCGTTCAGCTGTCTCAGAATTCAGTCCACGGTTTGTTGTCGGGTTGAGTGCTCTTGGCGTGATATTAGGAAGTGGTACTCAATATTAATGTGCAGTGGGAATAAATGGAAGAAGCCAAGAAGGTCATAACGACACCGCCTGGGGGTAACATAACCATATCCATGGATTGTAGTGGCTGAACTTGAAAAGTAAAAAAGCCTCCTTCGATCTTAGATGACGTGATCCTGAGAGAAATATCGTTTTGTGACTGGCCGATCTCTCATCTTTCTCATAAAGACCTCGAGACCGCTCTGATTTTACTTGTCACATTTGACGTTAAAGTTTATTGACTACTAGATTCCGTACTTATGATCTGATCCTTTGTGTTCGAGGTTCGAGATAGGATGGGTTGACTGAGAGTCCAGCGCCGCTCACACAGGCGCAACACCTCAAAGAGTCTCCATCAGTGTCCAGTGATGATGCTGTTGATAACAGACAACGTTACCGTTTGGTTAAAAGTTCAACCGAATTCCAATTCGCACCAAAAATGCCTTCCGTTTCGGCCTTGAACTTTTGCAGCCTCCTATCCCGAGTTCCCGATAGCATCCCGGTCGGCCGGCTTCCACGCCGAACCCCTCCTGCTATCTACTCCTCCACCACATTGGATCGACGCGATAGGCGATAAGGTAACTGCTACGCGCCACAGCGTAAATGAAGCGGTTGAGTATCTTTTTGTGTGTTTCTCGTTTCTGGACCATTCGCCATACAAGTAGGCGACCATCTCAAATCTCAATAAGTCGGTAGCAATGGCCCCTCTATGGCGCGCGATAACGTCCTACTTGCTCACCTCTCAGGCCACATTGGGCTCACCTACTCCAGGCGGTCTATATGAGAAGCAACCTGGTGGCCGCAGTGAGCGGGACGTGACCCTTTCGGGACGCTCAAATCATGGCGCTGTGGCTTCGGAGTCGGATCTTTGCTCTAAGATTGGAATCGATATCCTCAACCGTCACGGCAATGCGGCGGACGCGTTGGTTGGGACGGTTTTCTGCGTCGGAGTAGTCGGGGTAGGTTCAAGCTTATTCGACCAAATGGCCGACAGGTTAGAGAATCCGCGGAACGGTGACTGACCTTGATCTTCCCAGATGCACCATTCAGGTATCGGAGGGGGCGGTTTTATGCTGGTTCGAGAACCATCTGGCAGACATACGGCGATCGACTTCCGGGAAACAGCTCCTGCCGCCGCGTTCGAGGAGATGTATAGTAAGAACATCAACCTCTCGATGACGGGCGGTCTCGCTTCAGGCGTTCCCGGGGATGTGGCAGGGCTTTGGGAGCTGCATTCACGACACGGGAAACTTCCGTGGAAGCAGGTCGTTCGCCCAGCCGCAAAGGTGGCTACAGAAGGGTGGCTCGTGAATGAGGATCTTGTCTCATACATGAACTCTGCGGCAGGAACCAACAGAACCGGCGGGTTCTTTGTCACGGATCCTCAATGGGCTGTCGACTTTGCGCCCAATGGAACCAGGCTCGGGTTGGGAGATACGATCACCCGCAAAAGATATGGGAAGACTTTGCATAAGATTGCAAAGTATGGACCGAAGGCATTCTATGAGGGAGAAGACGCAGAAGCAATGATCAGGGCTCTACAGGCGCAAAACGGAACCATGACTATGGACGATTTGAAAAGCTATACAGTTGCCGTAAGGAAACCCTTGGAGATCATCTATCGAGGATATACGATGAGAAGTTGCCCTGCGCCTGCAAGTGGGGCGGTTGCTTTATCAGTTCTGAAAATCATCGAGGGCTTTGAGGACGTTGGAAAGCCCGAAGCGGCGAATATCAGTACCCATCGATTAGATGAGGCTATGAGATGGGCATATGCCCAGGTATGGATTAACGATTTACAACTAAACCCGTCGAGCATAACAACTAAACCCCTTAGCGTTCGGAACTCGGTGATCCGGCGTATCAGTCCAACATCAGCGCATTCGAACACAGAATGATCGATGAACAAACGGCAGTTGAGATGCGGGCGAAGATCCTCGATTATTCCCAAAATGTCTCGTACTACAACCCTCAAGGTCTTGAGGTCCTTGAGACCCACGGGACATCGCATATAGTTGTGGCTGACAGGGACGGGATGGCCATCACCCTAACCACGACCGTCAATCTTCTGTTCGGTAGCCAGTTGGTGGTTCCGGAGACAGGAGTTGTCATGAACAACGAAATGTAGGACCCGCCCAGATCTCTGAGGAATGAATCGAGGCTAACAAAACCAGGAATGACTTCTCCGTCCCCGGAAAGTCGAACCAGTTTGGATATGTTCCTTCGCCCGCCAATTTTGTCCGCCCTGGGAAACGGCCGCTGTCGAGTATCAGTCCAACTATTGTGGAGAATCCCGACGGGTCACTGTACTTCGTGACGGGAGCTGCTGGAGGGTAAGTCACTGGTTTGGTTTGGGTTGCAGTATCTGACAGTGAACAAGATCTCGTATTATCACCGGAACCATTCTGTCCATTTGGAACGTCCTAGACAAAGGCATGACGGTGTTTGAAGCCCTCAAAGAGCCTCGTTTCCATGACCAACTCCAGCCCAACGTGGTACAATTCGAGTACGATTTTAACAATGAAACAACAGAGTTCATGTCGTCTAGGTACGTGAGAGCGATCTCTATCCCTTTTCACAACTAACCATGTCCATAGGGACCACAATGTCACTTTTATGGCGCCGGGCTCCTCCGCTGTTCAGGCCCTTCGTATCTTGCCCAATGGGACTTACGAAGCCGCCGGCGAAACGCGGCAGAAGAACTCAGGGGGTTTCGCTTTCTAAGCCACCCACGTGTATCGCCGCCAGTCGGCCAGGTCTATATATACGATCTAGTATAATCTATAATATAATAGATCTCATAAAATCAGAAGCATTGCGGTCCGCGTTTTGTAATTAGCACGACCGGTGTGCTCGATCCACGATGTTTTCATTCATTCGTATTAGTTCCGGAATCGTCCTCATCTTTGCCCGCAAACAGACTTCTGAGATCAAAAGTACCTTCCGAACCTTTCTCAACGACACCGACCTCCGTGACGATACCGTCGATTAGATCTGCAGGAGTGACATCAAATGCTGGGTTCCAGACATCCACCCCATCGGCAGCGATTTTGATCGTGACATTCTCCAACGCTTTCGGTTCTCCGTTCCCTTCGAGACCCTCACTCCCATCCGCACCAACAGCATCCCATCTAGGTCCTTTGACCATGGTCACCTCATTCTTCGCTCTCTCTTCTATGACGATCTGAGACCCATCCGCGGTGGCCAAATCGATGGTTGTCCTCGGTGCGGCGATGAGGAATTTCACTCTATGAAATCGAGCTAGAACCGCCAGAGCGTATGTTCCGATCTTATTTGCCGTGTCCCCATTCGCAGAAACACGATCGGCCCCAACCACGACTGCCGATATGCCTTTCAACCGCATGAGGGCGGCGGCCATGCTGTCGGTGACGAGGGTGGCCGGGATCTTCTCGTAAGCAAGTTCGTATGCCGTGAGACGTGCGCCTTGGTTGTATGGGCGGGTTTCGGTACAGTACGCATGGGATAATGAAGAACGCTCGTGCAGCGTGCGGATGACTCCTAGAGCCGTGCCATGACCTGCTGTCGCTAAGGATCTATACCAAGGTTAGTCCATGCGTCTAAATAACGGCGCGATCTGCTGCCTTACCCGGTATTGCAGTGTGTCAAAACCGTCACCTTGCCTTCGTGTCTCGTGGCATGGCTTTCGATCCACTCGGCCCCATGCCGCCCAATCGCCTTGTTGTCCGCTACATCGTGAACAAGCATTGCCTCCGCGGCGTTGATGTAGGCTTTCCGCACTGCATCTCCCCCGACGGCTCCCGAAAGCTGAGCAGCTTTGTCTTCCACAATTTTGCTCAGTTTTCCGGCAGCATCGGCCAGATTCACAGCCGTTGGTCGACTCTGTACCAAGTAATCCAGTTTCTCTTTCACAAACACCGCGACCTCTTCCGAACTCTCAGACACTTCGGTTGTCGCGAGCTCGACAGCTAGGGCGAGTGCGGCGACGATGGCTATGGCTGGAGCGCCCCGAACCTGCATCGAGCGAATAGCATGGAAGGCGGCCGTGGCATTTGGGATAGAGATGTAGGTGGTGGTATAAGGGAGTAGCAGTTGGTCGAGGATGCGGAGCGAAGGCGGGGAAGACTCGTAAACGATGGCTTTCAGCATCGTGGATCACACTTCAATTGGAATAGAAAAGCTAACAAAATGAGCTGTGCGGGCTGTGCGGGTTTAACAAGTCGAAAGAAGACCGGCTTTGGACGCAATAATATTAATTAGCTTGCAAACTGAAGCCCGAGAAACATTTTGCATCCAGAAACATCGCCATCACCAATGCCGACCACGATATGCCACCCAGTCGTTTGATTGCCCCACATGGCCGATCAGGGTCTCTCATTATTGAACAAGTGAAACATACAACTGCAAACATCCGCGACAACATAATCACTTTGTAATGTTCCTGTACATCAACGCTGCCATTCGTTTCCAACAATCTGTTCCATAAGGGCGGGAATTCTAGCGATGCCGAAGTCGAAAGAACGTCTCCACCGCCAGAAACCCAAAACGCGACAGGCCACCATCTTCGATGCTTGTGCTGGTCAGAGTTTTGTTCCCTATCGTATGGATCGCGTCTAACTGAAGCGTAGGCAGAGTGAGTGGTCGCGGAAAACTGGTACGAGATGTTCGGGAGGATCAGAACACCAGATCCGGGCGGAAAATACGATTAGCACCCGAAGAAGCTCTCCTCAAACGATATTGTGCCCCCGATGGGCTGGAGTCGAGTGCCCTCTACTTCTCTGGCACTTCGGACCTTCGACCAGATCTGATCCCGGACTCTGAGCTCCTTCGCGCAATTCATCATTATACAACCCACCTATTCAAGGGTCTCGGCGCTGGCGAATCCGACCCATGTTGGGGAGCATTCGATGGAACGGCCATGCTCGCACTTGGGGTGCTGGTGGAGGAGACGGTTCGCGAGCTTGTCGGGGACTCGGGAGATCTAGCGTTTGTCGGCGGGGTCGAGATCAAGAAGGGCGAGTCGCACGACCAAATGGAAGAGAAGCTGGATATCGAGACGGTAATCGGGCCGAAATCCACGGAGCGAAAGCAGGGAGGGAGATGGGAGGACGGGATATTCATCGTTCCCGAGTGAGAATGATCCATCGCGATGCGATTACATGGTGCAGGTGAAAGTACTACACTCTGGCATCATTCTAGTACTTCCTTGTACTGCACAGTAAGGTACATGCGCCTGCGTAGTCCCCTCAAGTCCACTAAGTCGACTTCTCCTGACAACACAGCGCAACATCCTGATGGATGAAGTCACCTAAAGTGTCTATCGAAAGTAGCGAAGGCATCAAAGCCGACAACATCACACACAGGCAGTGCCGATTGTTGCTGTGCAGTGCATCCCATCAGATGCGCTCACGTGCTTGGGTTGGATTAACATCAGGTCAAGTTGGGCGCCGCCAAATGAAGAAGGAGCGAGGGAGCACCTGCCTCGGGGCAATCCGCCTACAGCGAGGTACCTCACGCTGCTCAGCTACACCTGGACATGGACTTGGCAACAAATAGCAAGACTCAACATGAATCATGACCTGAAAAGGATCAAGAAGTCCGTTCTCCAGCTTTCATTTCACCGAGAGAACTGGTACATGCCACTGGCCTGAACATCGCCCTCCGCGCCTCAACACCATATTATATCTAACAGGTCGAGCCACTTGTCCTGTTCATTCCGCCAGACAATCAGCAATGGTACCATCTCTCCGCAACCGCTCGAGACTATGAGTATTAATATGATGCAGCCTCCAAAACCTACCAGTGCGGCGCAGAAGGCTGCGAAAATCCTGGCCTGGATACAGAGGTCAGGCACCGCTCACAGTATCAAAGATCTAGAGAAAATCCTGCCCGCAGTTGCCTCGATCCCCTCAATGCAGGTTAAAGACCATCTTGTCGCCCTTGTTGACGATGACAAAGTCCGAGTCGAGAAGATTGGCTCGGGAAACTGGTACTGGAGCTTTCCGTCGGATGAGAAGCAGCACCGGGAGGAAGAGTTGAAAAAGCTCAACGACGAGAAAGACCAGCTGAACAAGCAGCTGGAGAATCTGAGCGCCATGGTCAAGGACCGCGAATCCCAGCTTGACCATACCGGCGGACGAACGAGCAACAATGGCCAAGCAAAGAGCAGGAAGGAGTTGGTGGAAACGAATGATGCCCTTGGAGTCGCGGTGAAGGAACTGAAGATGTCATTGGGAGAATTCAGTGGTATCGATCCTGATGAAGTGGCGGCGAAGTGGAGGACCGTGGGGGAACTGAGGGACAAGACGGAAACCTGGACGGACCAGATTCAGTGCATGGAAGGCTATATTGGAGAGAGATGTGGGGACAAGGAGGAGGTGATGTTTACGCTCCACCAGCAATTCTATGGCGAGGAGGCTGATTGCGAGACGGGCCAGTTGAAGGAGTGGTCGGAAGACGGTACATGGTCCGCCTCGCTGTGAAACCACCATGTCTGGACTCTGGAGTCATGCTTTGACCGTGATTGCCTCGTGCTTCCGGTACAACATGGTGCAGTCATCCATAATTGTTGGCGATGGGGTAGATAAACCCATATAGTTAGATTGCCTGGATTCGTCGAAATACACCATTAGCAATCATACTGTGGCGGAGCGGGAGCATAAAATGACTCACTGCAAAATTCTATACTATTTTGATCTCCGTGTTACTCGAAGAGTTATATTCTAAGGTATACTACTGTTAAAAGATCTCCAAATCCTACACTCTGCGCTAGAGGGCCTAAGAATGTCTCATCGACTCATCGAGGCATCCCGATGACTGGAGTGTGTGGTGTGTAGTGGGGCAATCTAGTATTCAATAACCATCACCAGCGGCAACAATGAAGTGGGAGTAATTCGTCCTACGGTACTAACTACCTTCCTCAACTCAGCACCAACCCTATCGAATGCTTCCATACCGACAAAATTCCTAACCTCCCAACCTGAGAACCATCGGAATCCTCAAATCGATTACGACCTGCGGGTCCGCAGTCTATCACTATATTCGAAAACTTTGACCAACCTCCGATTCTCGAACCCAAGCGAGCTGTCGACAACACCCGCCGAAGTCATCATGAGTTCAACAGGCGACCGCCCACCGCTCTCCTCACAAGCCGGATCGCAGAATCCTCCTTCGACGACACAAGGCAGAGGCCGTGGAAGAGGTGGGAACGCTCCAAGAGGAGAACGTGGTACAAGGTCACCATATAGAGGCCGTGGGCGGGGCGGGAGACGAGGCGGTAGCAACCTCGACCGATCCGCACCCCAGACTAAACCCAACGTCGAACAATTATCAAATGCCGTATCGGGCTTATCTACTCAAGAGGGGGCCCGCGTGGAGAAGCCAGCGGATGCGACGGAAGACGAGGGCGATGCAGAGACCTGCTTCATCTGTACTTCCGTCGTCATTCATTACAGTGTTGCTCCCTGCAATCATCGGACCTGCCATATATGCTCCCTACGATTAAGAGCTCTGTATAAGACCAATGCTTGTGCTCATTGTCGAGTAAGGAATGACCCATGACTTCCGTTGGCAAAAGCTGATTATGTCCAAAGACTGCCGCCGAATACGTTATCTTTACTGACGACAGCGAGAAGAAATTCGAGGATTTCAAGGCAACGGACTTTTCCAATGTCGATGGAAACCTCGGCATCAAATTCGAGAAGCGCGAAATCTTCGAAGATACAGTGCTTCTCTTGAGATACAATTGTCCCGATCCGACATGTGATGTAGCATGTTCGGGCTGGCCTGAATTGCATCGCCACGTCCGCAACGTTCACCACAAAACCCTCTGTGACCTATGCACTCGTCATAAGAAGGTCTTCACACACGAGCATACCCTCTTCAACCGAGCTTCCTTGCAAAAACATGAACGGCACGGCGATGATAATCCTGGAGACCTGGAACAAAGCGGATTTCGAGGGCATCCGGAGTGCGGGTTCTGTCGAATGCGGTTTTATGACGATGATGAGTTATATACTCACTGCAGGGACAAACACGAGCGATGTCACATCTGCGACCGACGTAATCAGGGCACCAATACCCGTCAGCAGTACTACCAAAACTACACCGAGTTGGAGTTACACTTTCGGAAACAACATTTCCTCTGTCCTGATCGCGAGTGTCTGGAGAAGAAGTTTGTGGTGTTTGAGTCGGAACTTGACATCAAAGGGCATCAGCTCGAAGCCCATCCCGACGGTCTCTCGAAGGATGCTCGCCGGGACGCTCAGCGAGTAGATATCTCCAGTTTCGCCTACTCCGACTTCCAACCCCCACAACGGGGGCATCGGCAGGGTGGTGGTCGCGGTCGCGGCCGTGATCCGAATGCAGATGCGCTTCCTCCCAGCTCCGCTCAACCACTACGCCGTGACGAGATGGCATACCATCGCCAACTGGCCATTCAAGGGGCTCAAAATGAAGTATCGAGAACGTTTGGAGGTGCATTGACTGCGTCTCCTGGGCCAGCTTTTGCCGCTAGCGCAGGGAGTTCCGACGCTCCGACGACGGTTTCTGTTCGACCATCTGCCGGCAGAATCCAGCGACCACCCACAGAAGCCCCAGCGCCACCAGCCATCGACTCACGCAACCCCCCTTCGCCGCGGACTGCTGCTCGAAGCCTTCGCCATAATGCCCTCATTGGCCGAGTGGCTCGGTTACTCTCTGACCCCGAATCTGGCCTTACCACCTTCCAATCCCTGATCGCTTCATTCAAGAGTGGCGCCATCTCAGGCTCCGACCTCATTACCGGAATTTTCGACCTGACATCATCGGCCTCACGCTCGGAAGTGGGCAAAGTCATTAACGAATTGGTTGACATATTTGAAATAGAGCCCAAAAAGCAAGAGCTACGAAGTGCTTGGAATGATTGGAAAGCCATGCACGAAGACTATCCGTCGCTGCCGGTGATGTCCGAGCCCGGTTCTTCCAGGCCACTGCCGAGCTCAACATGGGCAGGGGCCGGCTCCGGAAGGGTTCTGAAATTGAAGAGCAGTACAGCTCGCAGTGCTCGTAGAGCTGGCGTGGCCGATACCTTCCCTACTCTGTCCGCAGCATCAAAAAAAACAAAAAATGCCCGTCCGACAAATACACCGTGGGTGTCGCTACCCACCCCTTCGCCTGCAGCACCCTCCACCAGCCGACCGACACGAGATGTTCCCGCAATTATACGATCACCCAAGCCAACTGGTGGAGACTCCTTTCCAGCGTTGCCGCCAGCTGCAAAACCGGTTTCTTCGGTGTTTAGCCCTGGTTACCGAGGAAACGCGGTTCTCCGGGCTCCTGGCAACGCAAACGGCGCCAGCTCCAATGCCTGGGGATCTCGTGGCAATGAAAATAACACACAGGCGGCTCAAGGAAGCCTCGATGGGATGGGAGCCGAGGGGGATGCTGGTGGCAAGGCGAGGAAGGGCAAGAAAGTGCTGATGAAGTTTGGATAGGCTCCTACAAAACATCGCAGACTTAGACTGCCCACAATCTGACCGGGATTTCGGATATCACTTCAAGACTTGGCCGCACGTCACTTGAGCATGCAGCCACATCGTCTCCTAATTGATCTCTAGTCTTGATTCGATGGCGATTGCAATGTGGAATAGCGCCGAGTCGGTCCGAAGCGCAATGTTCGACGTTTGCTCGTTTCCCTCAATGGCGGAATTAGTGCATTCGAGCAAAAACTGGTCGGCAAATGACATGTTCCCCACGCGAAAAAGTCTTTGAGCGGCACGATGTGTAGTGATTCATGTGAACTAGGATTTGCTGGCGCCAGTGAAGTCTGGAAATTCGACCCTAGATCTACACCATCGGGCCCTATTCCACCGGACACTTCTTGTTTCTGGTATGTAATATGAATACACGATAGAACGCAATATATGCCAATGGATTCTAGTTGTGTTAGTGATCTCATCCGCTAAACTCATCCACTGACGGGATGATCCCGCATGTCACGAAAGCGGTTCGCTTCGGTTGATGATAATCTACGCTACGCCTCTGTGGCAAGCTCAATGTAACACGGAAAAGGATTTCAGTACTGCGATACTGGGTCCGGTTTCCAAATGCCACTTTCGGCAACAGGGCAATTGGCCTCCGTTTGCCCGAACTGAAGTTGGTGGATATCGTGACAACAGATCTATTGCAGACTAGAATTGTGAGATACTTGCATCTACATTAGTTGCCGCCACCATGTTCAATAGTTTGACTCAAATCCCAAATTTTCCGATGGATCTAGATCTTGTCCCGCGGGAAATCGCCGCTAATCTCATACCATAATCGACGATCGCACAGCTGGATAACCTTGCCCTTTTGATCTCGACATCCTTGATGGCGGCAATCGGCATGCATGTTGAAGCCACCATTACACGCATGCAATCCAGCCTCATCGCTAACACATCCCTCTTGACAACTAGCTTCTTGTCTGACCATGTCACTTTCCTTTATCCTGATCCCATGATGCTGTATCTGTGTGGGAAAGGTGGGTTGAGGCGCAAGCAATCCTAGAGACATCATCATATGGCAAGCTCTCATTCGGCATGGAGCTCGCAAGTCGGTGAGGTTTCTCAGCGTGAATCTGTAACTGTAGACTGCAAGCCGCTTCGCGCTAACCAAGCCCTTTACAAAGCCAGGTCTATAACTTCCACCTATCCGTGAAGACCGAGATGGCCACAGAGCCATTGATGCCCTTAGGAAAGGCTTGAAGGCGACGGTTTTGACAGCATTGACAACATTGTAGAGCTTGACCACGATTCGCTCCGATCAGCTACCATCTGCGGTGTGATGGCACTCCGTGTCGAAAGTCTTGTCCTAAAACCTGATACACAAAAAGGTATGCTCCTTAGGGCTTTTCTTCATCTTAAATCCTCTCTTCTGACAAGTCTGCTGTAACCGGATCGGATCCTGCCGAAATGGTTGACCAGCTGAGCCGCTAGTTTGAGATCCCAAGATCCGCCTTTCCCTAATCCAGCAGAGGTGCTTCCGGCAATCTTGCACCGAATTCCCTGCTGCATCTAGCACTTATGGTCTATATATATTTCGTTTAAGTTAGCAACATTTGGTTCTTGCACCAGCGTGGCCGATTCCCTTTTCTACCTTCAAGTCTTTCCGTTTCTTCCTGTGGACGACTTTTGCTTCCTACTCCAGTGTCCTCGTCATCTCGACAACTAGACCGCCACGATAGATATACAGACTATTAGGTTTGATCTGCCGCTGCAGCTAAGTCACACTTTGGCTGAGCCTCTGATTTAAGAAAGGTTTACGCAGTCAGCAGCTTGGGGAGCATTCATTGTGTTGCTCAAGCAATCCACATCATTTTCACAACTACATTTCCATCAAATCCTATTCATAACAAGTTCAGGTCAACTTACCATGAAGTACATCCGTTTTCTAAAGGCTACCAAATTGGAGTCTGGTCGCGTTTCGTCTCTTATTACCATCACATCCGACCTCGGAGAGTCTTTCTACCAGGACAATGTCAACATTCATCTGAGCGCCTGTGCGCCGTTTCCCGATGAGACTGTATTCGCTCGGAAAACGGTACGATGGGTAGCAGGAATGCGCGCACTGCCTATCATGCTAGACCTAGATAGAAGGTGGCACGACCAACCGTTCCAAGTCCGCGCCTCTGTATTCCCTAATGGTCTGGCCGACAGACTGGGGATAGAGCAAGGCACGCTTCAGCTACCCGCCGTTTTATCCGCATGGAGTGACGTTCTCAGGGCCACAGATCTGAGGAACGGTAGGAAGGGGGAGCGTTGGACGGCGGAGAGGAGGATCGAAGTGTCCAGTCACCGAATAGTACGATGTTGGGAAGATATCGGCGAAACGATTGTTGGACATATCTGGTGAGTCTAGTCGTCCTTTTTGGAGATTGCAGCAACAAGGTCGCATCATCCCAATAGAGACATAACTCATACTATCACAGGGATGCCGGGGTTGCCATGTCCGCATTTATAGCAAGTCTGGCATCGACTTCGGGCCCGCCACAAGGAGTAGGATTGTTGGAGGATCTGTTAGAGCTCCTGAAAACCCCTCCTGCTTCCCGACCCCTCCGAATAATCGAACTGGGCACTGGAACGGGGATTCTAGGATTGACATTTGCGCAATGTATCCCGAACGCTTCGTTAGTGTTGACAGACGAAGAGTCCGGAAAGACATTGGCGCAACGAAGCATTACTGCTACCCTAGGTGGATCTTCCGCGTTAGAGCGACAAACATATGTTGATAGTGGTCAAGGAGCCAGTGCACGCTTTGAACCCCTTGTTTGGGGTGTGCAGGTTCCTAAAGATCTGTCGACAGATACAGGTGATCCGTGGGACATCATCTGCGCTTCGGATTGCACATACAACTCCGATAGTTCCCCGGCATTGGTCTCAACCATGGCCGAACTGGCCGGGCAACGACGCGATGGACGCGATCCATTGATCGTTGTTGGCATGAAGCGTCGACATGATAGTGAAGAAGTGTTCTTTGACCTCATGGAAAAGTCCGGGTTTGAGGTCCGGGACAAAGCTACCATACCACTCGCCCCTGCTGGAGCCGATGTCGAAGAAGAGGTGGAAGTGTGGCTGTTTGGATTACATAGCTGAAGGGGCGAGAGTAGTGAGCGGTCTCGGTGGTTCACGTGATTGCTGCAGGCGATCGAGAATCGAGAGATGTGGTTGCATATCGCGATTGCTGATTGGTCGAGGTCAAATTGAAATGTGTTGCGAGGGCTGCATGCAGATCATGATTCATATTTGCATATGAAGGATTACTTGCCGAGTACGGAGGACATTATGATACACATTACCCAATACGAAGAACAACACATCAGCGACTGATGCGTGAGCAACACCACTTGACTACTATTCCGTACCAATATTGACTCCCAGAGGATAGTTGAAGGCTTAGAATACCTCCATGCATCAACTGCTTGCTTGAATAGCAAAAGCGAATTCCTTTGATGACGAACATTAATCTATCAAGGACAGACTACCGTAAAGATTCGGAGCGGCAGCGGGGGAGAACCGTAAAATCCCGCATTATTATTGCAGCTAATTCCGAAGTACATCATCGGTAGACTAATTTATGAATTAGCGCAGCTTCTCCTTGTTCTCCCCACATAATATGACCACGCACCTATCACCACCTTGGTTTCGTTCTGAATTGAAGCTCTGTTGAGTGGGCGGTTGAGTGGGCGGTCCGCGGTTGAGTGGATGGTTGAAGGTTGCTGCACGTGACCCTCCCACTTCCTTGTGATGACTTCCCAGTTCCCACACACGGCACCAACACTAAATTTCTTCTCGTGAACCCTTCCCCTCCATCTCCTCCTCTGTCATCATCACTTTTATCCCGCAGTCTTTGTTCTGCCACCATCCATCTCCCTCTCCAAGACTGAGGTTCAAGGACGAGACAGTTTTGCCGCCCCCTGACTGGCAAGGTCTTCGATATTCCGCAAATTCCCTCACGTCTTCTTCAGAAAATCCCCATCCACACGAAGACTGCCTTTGGTCTTTCTCAAAGGCAACCGATTCCAGCACGGCCTTCTCGGTCGCAGTCCACCTAGGCCTTCACAGTGTCCTGGTTCGCCCGCAGCGAGACATCATCAACGACCGCCCCCCTCCGCCTGGTCCAGCTGTTTAACCTCAACGCTCTCCTCGGTGCGATTCTGCCTCAACCCGACCTCCTAACTCTCGAAACCCCTGAGCTGCCGCATAGGACGCCCGCCGACTCTCTTCCTCTTCCGGGGGGAGAGATTTGCTCGAAGCAGCGCCGTCGAAATATCCGCTTGAGAGAGTTGAGTTGGGTGGTTCAAACGTTCCGGCCGCCTTAACGGGCCCCTTTCCATTTCTGAACAACTGTCCACACCACAATTTCCATCCTCGAATTCCCCTGGATGGTTATGGCACCTTCTGCCTGGCACGATATCGCAGAAGATCAGACTACCATAGCTTATCCCGACGGTATAATCCTTAGAGACAATCTATCTGTTAAAGATAGGGTCCCTTACCACCGCTATGGCGGGGATTTAGCCATTTGCCAATCTGGCTCTTATGTTGCCGCCCATGAAGATGTCTTGTCATCGGGCAGAGAGCGTTCCCGAGGATTAATCGCGGATGCTCTCAAATCACGAATCGATGCTGTCGATCATGACGAATGTATTCCTGGCGAGGAAGACGCGTTCTTCGTCGCGGACCTTGGGGAGGTCTATCGTCAACACCTTCGGTGGGCTCGTCACCTTCCCAATATTCATCCTCATTATGGTAAGCTTTCGACGAACTGGCTGCTCCTTTGGGCGAGGCTAACATTGTGCAGCGGTCAAATGCAACCCTGCTCCACAGCTCGTGCGATTCCTTGCCTCCCTAGGCACCGGGTTTGACTGCGCGTCCAAGTCCGAGATCGATCTGGTCCTTTCCCTCGGGGTGTCCCCCGACCGGATTGTTTATGCCCAACCTGTCAAGACCAACTCCTACCTCACATACGCCAAGTCTCGAGGGGTGAAGCAGATGACCTTCGACAATACGGACGAATTGCGCAAGGTTGCCGCCAAGTGTCCCGGCGCCGAGTTGCTGCTTCGAATCACCACCGACGACAGTGCAGCTTTATGCCAGCTGAGCATGAAGTTTGGTGCCGCCTTGAAGGACTGCCCGAAGCTGCTTAAGCTCGCGAAGACATTGGGTCTCAACGTAGTCGGCGTCGCCTTTCACGTCGGTTCCGGTGCGAGCGATCCTCTCGCTTTCAAGAAAGCCGTCAGCGATTCCAAGACTGTGTTCAATTGGGGCCATGACTATGGACACGAGATGAAAATTCTGGATGTTGGAGGCGGATTCAGCGATGATTCCTTCGATGATATGGCCGGTGTGCTACGTGCCGAGCTGGACGAGCATTTCCCTTCCTCTTCCGGCGTTCGAATCATTGCTGAACCAGGTCGCTATTATGCTGCTACAGCATTCACTCTGGCTTGTCATGTGATCGCGAGGCGCGTTGTCGAATCAGGCGATGTCGAATTTGAGGGACCCGAAGGCAGCGTTCGATCCGTTGATGATAAGGCGGGGGAGATCGTGTCGCCTGCGGCCTCTAATATGCATAATTCGGGCGACCACGGCGCCTTCGACCTAGCTGAAGAGCGTGAAGGATCGGGATCGGAAAGCTATATGCTTTACCTCAACGACGGGGTCTATGGGAACTTTTCCTCGATCATGTTTGATCACCAACAGCCGATTCCCAGGGTGTTGAAGGCCGACGGCCGATTCTTCTATCAAGTCCCGACCGTGTTCAGCGACCTGGGTTCCCAACTTCGCTCCATCGGGGATGATTTCGACAGGGGGAGCGGCGAGGATCCAGACAGCCCTCCAAGCTCGGCATCGATGACACCTCTGTCGGCCTCGGCGCTCAATTTGAGCTCCTGCAGTTCGTCGTCGGACGACCTGTCCATCCGAACTCCCTCCGACAGCCAGATTCTGACGGGTCGACGCATTACCTACAGTATCTGGGGCCCTACTTGCGACGGCATCGATTGTATTTCGTCTCGTGTCGAGCTGTCCGAGAAAGTCGAGGTCGGGGATTGGATGTACTTTGAGGACATGGGAGCCTACACCATGTGTAGTGCAACCCGATTCAATGGTTTCCCGGATGGCCACGATGTTGTTTGGGTTGGTGCGGATGCGCTGCCTGGGTTCGGGTTGTAATAGACAGGCTCCCTAGACTGTTCCTCCTAATGTCCTGGGGCGAATCGTTGCTTTCCACGGTCGACGTGACCGTATCTGGTGGTTGTGAGGCTGCCTGCTTTCTATGTCATACATTTCATTATCCCGATTGAAGCCAGCACCTTGGGTTCGACGGGTTTTTCTTGGATGTGCATTGGAGGGATTATGCTGCTTTCGTTGCTTATATATCTGAATAGATGGAACCGCGAATGGATAGACTTTGCGTTCTATGATCCATAGTGCGTCCTTTTCGTGTCCTGTGAATCCAGCGAATAGGGAAAGCTTCTTTTCTCGCTCCCTTTTGAAACCCATCACTGTTCTGCCTGTAGTTGGTGTAGCCCGGCGCTCAGAATCTCCATCATCCTGACCCCGAGAAATCGGGCGCTCTCATCCCCAGGTACAGGAGAAGTCAACAGCGACCCTTCGCCCCAGCCCACCGGCAGGGTGATTCGTTTCCGCAAGCTTGAGTCCAGAAGTACCACGGCATCCAGGAGCGTCTGCCCTCCGCCAAGAGGGTGGAGCAATCCGAGGGGAACAACCGTGCGCGGTTGTACTATGAGAGTAGGCATCGGAAACGGAGAGCAAGTTAATGAGCTAGCGATGCTCTCGAGAAGCGGGTGTGAATCCCGCAAGACAACATAAAAGCAGAGGTCTGGATGCAAGGAAGCCAACGCATCGAGATGACGGTGCAGTAGATCCACATGAATACGTGTACTTTCCACAACAGCGAGCACAATCGGCGACGTATCCGATCGAGGTACAGTATCGCTCGCTATTCCTTTGGTTAAAGGGGCTTGCTGAAGAAGGCGAGATGCGAGAAGGGGTTGGATAGGGAGCCGGGGGCAATCCGATAGTTGCATGAGAGGAGGCCCATCGTGCTCCGGCACGGCTCGGCTCCGCTTGATCGTATCGTAGATAGACGGTTTTTGTGTGTCTGATTCCTTTTCCGGTAGTGATTCAGGCAGTGGAGGTGACGAAGAACGTCCTCTCTTTCGTGAATACATTGTGCTCTCGAGCACACGAGGCAAGACACCCTGTCAGGGTCTGTCAACGGCAGGGAATGGATGGAATCATCACGCTGTCATCTCAACAGCGGAGCTGCTGGGTCGCGGTTGGTACGTTAATATGCGTATACCGTACAGAATACAGGATGAAATCCGTTAAGAGTCGACTTGGAACTGGATGGGAATGAGGAATGCAAGAAAGGCTTCCTGTGGACCGAGCTTCCGGCATATTTAAACTTTGAAGTGACACTGGGAAGCGGGAGCGTCCGTGGGGTGACCAACGACCTGGGCTATTCTGTGATTTCCGTCAATGTACACGCCGTCATATTTATACTCGATCGTACTTGTAACGAAGTTGTCTTTCGTATGGACTACAAGACCAGTAGCATGTGAGGACGACTTGTATATTCTCATAAGGCAGCGATGTCCACCCATTTCCCTCCTGCAATATCGAGAACATCTAAATAACCACCGTCAATAACCGGTATGCTTCACGATATGCGATGCATCCGATCTCATCTTCCCCATCTCGATTCTCCACCATGACATTTGAGAGTACTCTGGCAAACCTCCAAAGGAAGGTTTGGTCAGGCTCCATACCGTTTGAGATTAGATTATCGAATGTCGAATGCAGAGTATATGACCGCTCCGACCCGTATCTCGTACGTTTCTCCTACACCGACACTTTTCGCTGTTTCGAGACCATCTATCATATTAACTAGGGATACAGGTGAACTGCCCACGTCTATCCTATCTCCCACTACTTCTGCCACAGCTTCATGCTTTCTTCCAATCGGCCCTCATAGATCCCACGAGTGAGCCCCGAATAGGCTGGTTCTCTTTCCAAGATGTGCCACTGCACTGGCATTATCCGACCGGGCTGCTGTACGACCTGTACTCCGGAGCAAAGCCGCATTTTTCGACGGTTCGACGGCACATACGAGGCTCCCGTCCAAGTGAAGAGAGGGATCGCGAGAGGGACAGGCCGGCAAGCCAACAGAGTGGTGCCGGCCTCGGGATGGACGACAACCTTTCGGGAAGGATAAAGGAGATAAGCCTTCGGGATCTAGATGATGTCGTAATGGACGGAGGCTATCAAAACAGTGACGATGTCGGAAAACTGCCATGGAAGCTGGTGGTTCACTTTAGCGACTACCCCATGGACGCCCTCATTCAGCTCGACAAGGACGGCAAAGCACTCGAGGACGTATTTATCAATAGTGTCAAAGAGGCTAGTTTCGCCAGGCACGGTAGTGGAAAGGTTGTCATGTCGTTGGGGGAGAATGATTCGAAGCAGCTGTGGAAGTCGGTGGAGCAAAACGACCTTCTCATGTTCAATGCTATTAACAACAAACTCCTCAATGCGCCGGGGGCAACGATGAGGAGCATCCCATTCAGAGTTTTCTTGCCGACCACATCACACGCAAAAGCAACGCTATCACCTACCCGAGGATCCGCTCTGTCTGCTCCCCCAGGTCCAGCAGGCTCACCGGTTGTATCATCACCAAATCCAGGGCAAGAAGCGACTGCATCTCAAAACACTGCAAGCATTTTGCGGATGATCCAACGTCTCTTACCGCCAACACTAGCCCCTTCCTCTCGTCAAGGGCAGACATTAGGAACCGCACTTCATTCCGTACTTCCGACCCTGTTCCCCTCTCGAAGACAGCCCGTGCTTGCATGGCCCGTGATACACGGCGCAGTGGTTCCAATGGCAGCTCCGCTGGAAGAATTAGGGAAATGGGCAAGCTATGCGGACGGTTGGGTGACCGTGGGTGTGGTGATGATGGAATGATCCAAACCAGGCATCTAGCCTCTCAGTGGTTGTAATGCTTCGACTATCAACAGTCTAAATCCTTGCATGGAGGTCATAATATTGCCGCCAGCTGCGGATCTATGGGATCGGTGGAGGTAGGGGTTATGATTTAAGGGTCTCCTGTTTTACTCCATCTCCCTTCCCTCGCAATTCAGCCGTTCTGGACTCATTCCACGATATCGGTAGAATGCTTGGGCTCAATCATTCGTGGACAAGGGCGACCGGCATACGATCAGGTGGAGAGTCCTGTAGGGCCAACTTTAGGGCGTACCTCATATTTGAAGGGTCGTTGGACGATCCTGACCTACATGAGCCTCAAACAACGTTATTCTTAGACCCGATTGCGAACGTGAGTAAAGAATCTACCTCGCCACGAAAGTCGAATCAACACGGACTATTCACGGAGCACGACATACAGATATCGGGTGTTTCCAGCCATCCTCATGGACATAATTAAGCCGGACATGGTTGGACACCACCTCCACATCCGTACCCACGAGTCGAGCTTAGAATTCCCGACTTAATTTGTACTGCGAGCTGGCATTAGAGTTCATAACTGTTGACGCGTATCCGTACCTATCACTCATCTCATAAGTCATATCAGAGTATGAGACTTTTGCTTTTCCTTGTCTCAACGGAGAACGGGAGTGGCGGGAAGATACGGCGCCATCCACAGCACCGTCCACCTTGACGTGCAGTTCTCGAATGAATCTAACCGCTTTTCGCTGTCTACATCTCCACGTCTAGGCCTACCGACTCCCATGAAACCAGGAATTCAATCCTTTGACATGGAAGTTGAGATATCTAATATCTTACTACGTACATCTCCCTTCCTACCTGCATGTCGCTATACGGGTCCAGCTTTCTCCGTCTCCTGACTCCTCTTGGCTTGCATTATTGCATACTAGCAGCCACTGTGCCACGCGATGCAGAGTTTCATCTCCGACGGGTGGGCGATATTGAAAAACTAAATGGTGTCAATTGATGAAGTTTCAGCTTCAAACAGATGCAGATCTTGAGGCTCATTCGGTTCCCGTGCTTCCGCCTCCCGCTTGTCTCAAGTGCTCGCCGATCTTGGTCGACAACTAACAACTGTGGCAAGGGATCCCGAATGCTTGTCCCGGTAGTCTGGCCTAAGCAGGTCTACACTCTACAATCCATACGTGTAATAAGAAACAATCGCCGAATCTATTTCCTGAATCGATACGACTTTCCGGCCATAATACGGCAATGGCTAAACGCCAAACGGCACGTTCTGCTGCTTCCAGTCGTCATCCCCAGTTCTCCTGCATCTGGATGCAAAGCAGTACTTACTGGAGCCAATTGTATGGTCTCTTCAATTCCCTTCATGCGCGCCACTTTGCTCATTTTCGCATCTCGAGCTTCGGCATCTGCATGTCTCCATCATCGTCAACAAGGTTTGCTAAGAATCCTTTTGCCCTTGTCGATCGCTCATCGCCGTCATTCTGGACGATGGCAACCCCGGCCTCGATAATTAGTTCGTTCCTGAGTCCTGAGTGAGCATGTCTCCATGGAGAGCGCCTTTATTTCCCGGTTCTTATTCCCTGTCCGTCCAGTTCGTCTATCTCTTCCGAACATTTTTTGCGCTTTCGATTCGTTTCCATTCTTCAGTTTGTTGAGATTTTTATGCGATCACAGTCGCCCCTCTGACTCGCGATGTCACTTCCTAAGGTCTTTCTTAGCTCTCTACTATTGCTTCCTGTTATTATATTCGCCGGCAAGTGCCCGGATCTTGCTGGAGACTTGAAGCAGAAGTTGTCGTCTGGGGTGACAATTGAGAGCAACGATCCTACGGTAACACGATGGAGCGAATATGGAGCTCCAAAACCCGCATTTGTCGTCAATGTTGCGGCCGAGAAAGACGTTGCAGCCACAGTAAGAGCCATCCTCTGTTTCACGTCTCTACTCCTTATAAAGATGAATGGGGACTTCGTATTTCTGTCAGCGGATCAACCCCTTGCCGGGCTGCATAGGGAACTTCTTTCTCGCGATCAAGAGCTTCCGAAGTATACCTATATCCAGTCGCATTATCGAGGCCGTGCAACTGTCGAGTTTAAGACTTGCTTCGCTGAAGAACTGCTCGATAAAATCAGGAGAGGAAGCGACAGTTGACCCGGCAGGCATCGTGGAAGACTGTTACTCGTGACCAGACCTTATTCTGACATGGATGACCAGGTTAAATATGCCGTTTCTAAGAATATCCAATTCTTAGCGCAAGATGGAGGCGCAGGATGGGCGAAGACTTCCACGATTGATAATTGCGATGTTGTGATCAACATGCGGAAACTGAACCAGGTGACTGTGAGCGGCGACAAAACCACACTTACACACGGAGGCGGTGCGATCACATCCGAAGTTATCGACGCTGCCTATGCAGCAGGCGTTCAAGTCATCAGTCCCAATTGCAACTGCGTTGGCAATATGGGTGCGTACCTTGGTGGTGGATATTCTCGGTTAGCCGGCAAGTACGGGTTAGGCGTGGACAACCTGCTCTCCGTCAACATGGTCAACGCAGACGGTGATCTTCGCACGGTCACAGAAAAGAGCGATCCGGCCCTGTGGTGGGCTATCCGTGGCGCAGGACCAAACTTTGGCGTCGTCACCAGTGCTACGATTAAGGCGTACGAAGTCCCACAGGAGAAGAACACCGCGTGGCTAGGGGGCCTCATCTTCACCCAAGATAAGATTGAAGCCTTGGTGACGGCGATTAACAACCTGAAACTTCAATCGCAGATGGCAATTTTCCTGTATTACGCGACCTCGGAGGGGGAGCCCAATGTCATTACGTTCCCTTTCTGTGCGGGTTGCACTGCGGAGGAAGGAAAAAAACTATTTGCATCGATATACGCACTCGAACCTGTGGCCGATACAACTGCCGTCACTCCTTTCAACGAAGTCAACGCTGGCGGCGATACGTTTTGCGAGTTTGGAGGCCGTAAACCTGCCTATGGCTCGGGGATGGCAAAATTGGACCCCGCAACTTGGAGAGGGATTTGGGATGACTACGTTGCCTGGCTGAAGAATCCTGGAACCGAAGCTAGTACCATATTGATGGAAGCGTACAGCATGGATAAAGCAAGAAGCATATCGACGAACTCTGCGTCGTTTCCGCACCGAAATACGATCAACTTCCATGGAGTCGCCCTGCCGTGGTACACTGATGCCGCGCTTGACGGCGAAGCGGAGTCGTTTGCCAACAAAGTGAGGACCCGATTGAGGGCTACGGATGGTCTAGGAAAGGACAGCTCGTGAGTTTTCGCATGGCATATACACGCACTGGGGAGGTGAATAACCTGTGAACAGTTACATTAACTTTGCTCATGGGGATGAATCTCTTGAAATAATCTATGGCGACAGCCTCAGCAAACTCAAGGCCACGAAGGCTGCCAATGACCCAAAGAACGTTTTCAATCAGTGGTTTCCACTTTCGAAGGGCCGCTCCAACCAGGCTCCTGCTACTGATGAGGCATGAACGGTTCGGATGAATGTGGATATCCTTATTTTGTACAGTTTTGGCGCTTAGGACTGGCTAGGATAGCCTGGGTATGTCATGCTTTCACTTTTTTGCAGGCCAGGCTTTTGAATAGCATGCCCACCATTACTTACCAAGTACGAGACGAGCGCATTCCTCGGCAAGGTAGAATTTCCCGCTTTGCAGTCTAATATAACGTCAAGACACCACCATGCAAACGCTTAACCTTTGTGAGATACGTGTGATAATAGACGGAATGGTCGATCGGTGGCCATCTATGCTTATACCAAACGGTCTCTCTGACTGGGGCGAGGACCAAAAGTATAGCTGCATATCCCAATTAAGATACAGGATCGGTCTGCTGAAGTTGAAATATAGACGGTGCTACTTCAAAAAATCCTCCCAAGCGCAATAGCAACGATGTACGCATGGTTTTTCAGAGACAGGAACCCAAGCTCGCATAATGGAGTATTCAGCAGTGGTACTATGAAAATAAGGCTTCATATGTTCCATGGCATCTTAGTGAGGCCTCCCAATAGACATTCTACTCCGTTCATATATCGAGAGGAAACTTGGAAAAATTGTACCCTGTAAAGAAAGAAAACCCGCTTGATAGCTAACCATAAACACGTAATCGGTCATGGAGGGGGGACTATATATGTTCCCGCTCCCAGCGCATATCCCTGTGGACATGAATCGAATGAAGCGAGGGTGCGGTACCTCGACTCATCCGGCTGTATTCACCCTGCTCTTCTTGAACTCTTTCATCCTCCCCTTTTACCCCTCTGAGCACTGACCAGTGACGGCGATCTGCGCTGCTAGCAACTTCATCCTCAGGAGAGAAGTCTAGCTTCGGACTGGGGATTGTCGTGGAGTTCAAAGAGTTATGCAATGTCGCAGACGAACTAGTGTTGTTTGTTTCGGTCACGGTCGCGTGATACAGGGCGCCGAGTTCCAGATCCGAACCTTTATCGTCATCCATTGAACTGTTCCTGGCCTTGTCAGATGAAGGAGTGGGAGAGTTGCGCGAGGTTCCATCTATCCTATAACTAGGCTTCTGTGCATCGGCTGTAAGGTTTCCAAACGAACTGCCTTTTGATGTGCTTCTTCGTGAACCGCCAGTAATGGAGAGAGGAAGCCATTTCAGTAGGACAGGTCTCAGTGTTGGGAGACAAGCTGAAATACAAGATAGGGAGCCCTCGATCGTGGACCAGTAAAATACTGGAGTGGTGTAATCTGGAAACGTATGTTAGGAGAGCTATTGCGAAAATCGATACTCTGCATCTTACAAGTTACATCGTCGAAGTGGACCATCAGATCCCTGCCAACTTGAATGAAGACGATGAGTCGAGCGAGTGACGCAGCAACAACACTGTTAATACCATTAGCTGCCACGCTCCAAAAGTTCTTCCTGAGATACTAACCAGCCACCAAGGAGAAACATGCCACCAACAGCAACCTTCTGTTGCAGAGGCAGCCTGAGATTCCAGACCATCGGCAGCGGCAGCGCCAAGATGATAAAATCTGTTACAGCATCGGTGACACTGATCGCCCAGTAAAACGAAACGACGTCCACGCAATAGTTTGCGTATTCATATTCGAACTTCGTCCATATTACTGATATCGGGATGCATTGGCATAGATCGGCAACGAGGAAGCCCAGGGCCCAGACCAAAACCACGCCAATCATCACGTCGACAACAGTCTGGAATGGTTTTGTGACGAAAATACGCCGATACAGAAAAAGGACAGAGAGTTTGCATATTCCCAAGATCGAGAGATTTAGGAGGTGGATAACAATCTTCATCTGTAGTTGACGCCAGTTCAATCAGCTTTGTCCTGCATGGGCACAACTTATGATGAGTTGGCCAGAAACCTTGACGGATGACAAAAGAGCGCAGCGACAGCCGGAATGCGAAGACACCGTGGCTATCACGAATATAAACCGAGAGACAGATCAAAGCAGCTCAAAGGCAGCTGAACCCATTCCAAACTTAAAATATCCCTTGATGGCCGCAGGAAATAGCTTACCTTTTCGTAATTGACCAACTCCCGATGCATAATCAGTTGTCCATCAGGGCCAAACACTTTGCTTTGATGCGATCCCAATTCTCCATGTATGGCATCTGCTCTGAACGTTAGCAATTACTCAACTGAGTCGAGAGAGTAAAACCCACCAGCGATCAGAACTGTTCCTATCGCAAGGTTGAATATCTGAGCCAAAATAGTGCTGTCAGCATCATCTCATCCATGGACTCGTCCATCTAATAGCGAGCCGCGTCTCTTGGATGTTATGAACATATAGACGTACCACTGCGGGAATGATAAGCCAGTCGTCAACCTTGAATGGCGCTCGAGTAAGACGCCTGGCGTAGAAGCGAAGGAGAACAAAAGGTATTGGCAAAGCCCCAAAAATGGCACCCAGCGCAATTACCTGACCCTTCGAGTACCCAGCAGTCATCGTTTTGTGTTGAAGTAAAACGAGATCGTAATGCTAGATTTTAATCGGAATGACGATGGTATGAAAAATTCGGGAAACATTCAGAATAAAATTGATAGACGGAAAATGGACAATGATATTGACAATTGGCCATTGGCGATTGAACATAATCCTCGTGAAACCTATTCTTGGGACTCAAGGATACGATACCGATATCACAGCTTGTACAAGGAACTGTAGACTTGTTCCTACCAATGAATGACAGACGAGGAGCAATAAGAGCCTAACAAGGCATCGTTCCTCATATCGGACAGCGACCACATTGTAGCGATATACAAGACTAAGCCATTCAGAGATGGTTACCTACTTAGGAGGGTCTCTGGGGCTGAGCTGCGGTGGTCGCATTCCGAGCGGAAACGCCGCGACATCGCACAATTGTACAGCTGTGCCATAATTGCCATAATTGCACCTAAGAATGCTTCCCTGGTGCTCTAGAGTGAGTCCGCCGATGCAAGAGTGTGTCAGTTGATGATTGACGTGGGGCGGACGTTGTCGACGTTGGGCTGTGGACCAGAGAAAATATTGGAATTGTCCGTGCCGGTTTCTAATCCGTGTGAGACGTCGAGTTACGAGCGGCGACTGGCAGTTCGGTTGGTACAGCAAACGGAAGATGATCGCCGATCTCCCTCCAAATCGGAGGTAGATCAAGGCGTTGCAGATGCATACTCAAAAGAAACAACTCCGAGTCTTGTTGGTTATCGTTGTGGTCGGCCGCTACTCTAACTGCAACGGCAGGGATTGGCAATCGTCACTCGAGTATTCCAAGTTCCAACACCTCGAACAAAACGTAATAGACATGGAATCGTTCCGGGATGTGTTTATCACCGATTAGGAATAAGGCAAGACTCTTCCGAATACAGGCCGCGAATAGAACTACGAAAGGAGATGGCGAACTATTCGCACGCCTCTTTGGGGCGGCTAGAATGGCGACTACCTCTCGGGATGCTCTGTCTCGGTTCTTCTCGGCATATTCCCAAAGGAGTAGGTCAAAGGATGTAGAGCTTTTTGAATGGAAAGAAATGTGAATGGTTCTGGGGCGAACATTGTCCAAAAGTATTTCATTGCCATGGCATTATCAGATATGGAACGTCAAATTAGAGAGGTGACTGCAGTGTGGGACAGTTCCGTGGCGCAAGCCACGCTGCACCCCTTGCCCAATGTGACGGACCCTCAAGTGTCACTGGAGTGAGCTACATATCCACGGGTTTTGTTTCCTCTGGCTGCCAGACAGCTTCGATGAACCCAAGAGCAGAGCCTTCAGGCGTCCATGCATTCAACATTTTGAATCGCGGGTCCGTCATTGCGAACAACCCCTTCCACTCGCCGAGTTCTCGTTCCCTGGAATTTAAAATCTCGATCTGTGTTATGTCAACTACCCTACGCGGAGTCAGTCCATCCAAATGTTACAGCTTCTGTTCATACTGACCGTGCTCTCGTCTCGCTCCACCACGAAACAGTCCCAGGTTCCGGCAGAACATAGTCGTTGATTAAGATTCGTGCCCCAGGCTTCAAAGCGGGGATCAAGTGCTTCAAAAGTTGCGCGGCATTGCTATCTGCATACCCGTGCATGATCCATCGGAAGTAATAAATATCCGCGTCCTTGACTGGTTGCTCAGTAAAGAAGTCGTGCGACATAAACTTCACACGGCTGGCCCATTCTTCATCCGGAAGTGCGGGAACCGATTCAATGATCATAGGAAGATCCTGAATGATGAAGTTGATATCACCAAATTCTTTCGCCAATGCAATTGGGATGGAGCCATGCGAACCACCGATATCGACAATGGAGGCAGCTGGTGGGAGGGAGCGCCAAGGATACCCTTTCAGCACATGGTCTGCACTGTATGTTGGATTCGCGCTATATGCACCCATCGAGTTTGCGAACCGCATACCCCGGTTGGGCTCCGCGGCCAGGACGTGGTAGATAGAAGAAGTCGAGTTATTTGCCAACGTGAACCCCTGAGAGAAATGAGTAGGTTCCAAAAGACAAGGTTAGTGGGGTGTCGATACCGTCTCATGCGGGAGATCCGACTTTTGCCATTTCTGAAGTGCATCAACAGTCTATTCTGGAATTATCAGTTTTCTGCTGAAGCAGAAGGAGAACAGCCAAGGAGCACTCGACTTTGGTAGCGGCTGGCCAAAGATCTTCCACCGAGACGGCAAGGAAGTCACGCATCTGCTCGTCTTCGAGAAGAACCCTGGAGACAGCATTGTGAGCAACCATTCCAGGTTGGGGCTCTATAAAGAGTCTTCTCAGAATGGCATGGCGGAGAAGCCGTTGAGCAACATGCTCGTGTATGCCACACGAGGCAGCAAGCTCAGCATAGGAGATTTTCTTGTCAATGGGAATCCGGTTTGCGATCCCATATCGAATGATAGCTTGCGAACTGATCAAGTCGTTGTGCTAAAGGGCCAGTTACCATACTGATCAGAATATAAACCGTCGTCTTCGGCGATAAGCTTACATGCTCGCCCATGACTTGGATGAGTTCTCGTGGTCCGATCAGCAGATCGTGCAGCTCCTTTGTTGCTGATAGGACTGTTTCCCGAGATTTTCTCAAATCTCTTGAGTCTGCATTGGACAGCCAATCTTGCGCGTTCACATCCCATGAGGGAGGTGGGCAGCCCTTGGCTTCCAGACAACTCTCAATGACGTCGACATTGTCCAAAATGCTCTGGGCAAGAGATCGGAGGGATGACATGATTCAAGCAACGAATTGAAAACAGAGCAGGTATATCTGTTGATCGTTTTGTCGTGTCAATAAATCACGGAAGCAATAGGATACCTGTTCAGAGGCAGTGAGATACTTGTATATAGTCAGAAGCACACAGTTTACCTCAGGGGTATATATACCCAGGCTTATGTAATCTTATGTAATATACAGTATATACTGTCTACAAGATGCGATGACTAAGTAATAGCTTCGGATCTCCGACAATATCCTCCTACCCTTAGTTCCTGTGGTGTGTGAAATATACAGGACTTTATGGGTCGAATAGGGGAGAGCCGTGGGGAGCATCAAAGACGGAGAAGAGGAAGGTATACAGACGCTTGACCTATTAGCTTCTTTTGCACAAATATCCAGACTGGCATTGGCGTTAATCAAGTCGCAATCGGTAGAATAACAGCGGAACAAGAAGCATCCGCTACCTGCTTTTCCAAGCAGGTCCCTAGCTTGTAAGCCGTTGCGGAGCAGGAGAGGTTGGCAGCGGATATTGCATAGCTTGATGGAATCATTGCATCGTCTCCAGCACCTGTACTTCCGTACGGTGTCGTCTCTGGTGTTGGAGCGATGTGAACCACAGTCCACATGAAAGGTGATCGGAGACCGAAGAATTGAAGCAACCCTACACGAATCCTAGTAACGGAATGCAGGTCTCGGGCCTAGCCGAGAAGGGCTGCCTGTAGGTATCCTCACTATCCTGCGTCCTAAAGTTTCACTCTTTAGAATTTAGATGAGTAAGATTTGCTGTCAAACCAATCCGACCTCACACATCGTCAATCCCGCATCAAAACGGCCACGTGCATGTGACTACCCCTGGCCAGGCATTTTGGCAGCGACGCCATAGTCACGCGACAGCCACTCATCCCTGCTCCCTTGCCATTGCGACTGCCAGGCATCAACAACAATCGGAACACATTCGAGAATCTCTGTCCTCGCGCTTCGGGATTTCAATTCCCAGCCTATTATTGTTCATCCCGACCATGTTCCGAAATCAAATAGCATCTTGGGACCCACTACCAGGAATGGAGTTCGACTGCCAGCCTTGGAAGCTGAAAGTGACTTCTACGTCGTGCCATAATAACGCGCCGACAACAAGGCACATGTGGCACCTCTGGTGATAGCACCGAACAATCCACGGAAAGGCGACGCATCTAACTACAAGAGTTATCCAGCCTCATTATGGTTCCACGAATAATGAAATGTTTGTATGGGTTGTAAGTCCTCCAAGCGTAACTCAGCCGCTGGCGGTCTATTTGCTGTGGAGATGGATTGGCCCTACAGGTGGGGTGGTACATGTACAGCCCACGGGATGATCAGCAATTGATGATCTATATCCGGAGCCTTCTATGGCACTTCCGTCTGGGCGGATTCCGGTTTTACTCTAAACCCCTCCAGTGCCGGCCGTTATTTGGAATGAGCGAACGGTAAGTCAAGCCGAGATCGAGCAAGCCAATGCTTACTCGCTGTGGCATATTCTACCATAAGTTGGTTCTATATCCCGGCGAATCCTTGGAGAGAAAGGTTAGGATTCTACAAAATCGTTGTGACCAAGAACACTACCCCATAAACTTCATATATCATCAGTTTCTTAAGCATTTCGTTTTCTAAATGGTGTTCGCATTCTTGAACAACAAGACGCAGTCATATTCAAAGCTTGAAACAGGCGAAAATGGCGAAGAATCAGCTACTCACCAGTCACACCAAACTTTTGGACGTTGGAGAGCCGTCGTTGGAGTTCTTGTCCTCGTTTGTATTTCCGCTGCCACTGGGTTCCTCACTGCAAAGTGGTGTGACTCTGGTCCAAAACACTATGGCGAGTCTGTTCTCCTCCGTAAGTCTGAAAATGTCACTACCTATACAAACCCTCTAAGGCATATCAGCACCATCGGGTTCCATCACCACAGTAATGAAATACAACCGAACGTTTTCGGATCCACCATCTGAAGACACTTCCCAAGCTTGGAACGGGATCTATCCAAAAGGAGTCGGATTTGTTCAGCACCCAACCCTCGCGCCTGAGCCTTCAGGCCTCTCTGTTTTCCATCAACTCCATTGTCTGGACGCTCTGAGGATTGCTTATTATACCGCGCTGCAAGGCCATCCTTCTCATCCAACCTCACATGCCGATCATAACGAACATGATGACCCCCACCATGTGCGGCACTGTTTTGACTATATCCGCCAGAGCCTTATGTGTCATGCGGACACTAACTTGGAGCCTGTGGATCCAAAACTTGGAGGCACCACAGGTTGGGGAAGTCCTAAGACGTGTCGAGACTATCATTCCGTGAAACAATGGGCTAAACATTGGATGGCAAGAAAGGAGTGATTGGAATTTTCTTTGCGTTTAGGGTATTCAAGAATATAATTTGATGAATCCATCAATCCTATGCAAGTACAATAGCCGTAATGGAAATGAACATGTATCTTCAGAACCATGCGATTAATACTAATGCTGTGCTCGGTAAACCTCTATAATCGCAGCAAAGCAGTAGTACATAGACGGCCAAGGGTGTAATAATCTCATTGTTGAATGAAACATGATATTTTATTTTCTACCCTTGCTCATCTCGAGTTATGAAGTATAAATCCCGAGCTCGCGCTCCTGAAGTGAATTAATCAGGAGAACAGAATCGCACATTCGTTGGAAATAAACGTCCACGAAGCTATTCCTTCAAACGATAAATCTAAATCATACGCACTCTGCGTACAGTGATCCAATGCCAACGCCAGTCATACATGCAAGCCCAAGCAAGAATTTGGACTCTCAGTTCTCCCCAGGCTGCAGAAGTAGGTTTGGTTCCAGCAGGTCTAACGATCGCTCCTTCACCCACCCCATCAGGTTGTCCATATTGGCACATGAGTGATACCCTGTATCCTCCGCGGCAGTAACCCACCCCTTACTAACATCCATCCAAGCAAAGGTGTTTAAACTTGTGTCCGCCCGACACATGGTGCTGACACGGATGTTTTCGATGCAGTGGTCGACATGCACCTTATTCTCCACGTATGCTTCCGAGCCCACTGTCAGATTTGGGTAATAGAAGTCTTTGTATATCCAGTGTCGGATCTTCTTCAGGCAATGCAGTTCATGATGCATTCCTAGAAGCCCGATGTAGTCACCGCTGCCATCGGCTAGCTTCAGGCTGTCGACCTCCGCATACTGGAGATCTTTCGCAGACACGCGGATATTGACTCGATCAAACAGGCCATGCCATGCGTTGTCTAGCTCCGGGGACGGGTCTCCGACAAACGGGTTATGCGATAGCTTCACGGGAAGCTTTTTCTTCTCGAACTGGACGACTTTCGGGTCCTCTGCAAGTGAAGGGAAAAGATCAAGAGAGCGACAGTGAAGGCCCCTTTGAGACAATTGGATATAGAGAAAGAGGAGCAGCAGAAGAGTGCAAAGACAAGTGAAGGCGAGTGCCCATATCGTCCAGATAGCCCGACGATATGCCCGGCGAAGACGCGTATGGGATTCCGGTTCGGTAGGATGGAAGTTTGTGTCTGGAAAATCCTGATAGACTTGCGGATAACGTGGAAGTGTATCGAACGATGATGTCTCCAGGAGACCTTCCTTTACAGAATCATCGTCGTGGCTTAAGAATGGTGGCATCTTCGGGGCGGTAAGGTAGATTGGAGAATGATGTGCCGTTCAAATCGGTCGATGATACGAAGGCAGTGGCTGGGAAGGCACTCGCGGATTCCAAGAACAGCTCAAGAGATGAAGGATTCCAGTCCAGGGGAGATATGAGCACGTATTTCCCATCGCCCGAGGCATGGAGATCCGATAATCTATGGAGGTTCAACCAGCAAGCCATATCAACAAATACTAACGTCAGGATAGCAAGATTAACCGACACACAGCAACTTGGACGATAACCCAGTTATTCCTTAGAGCTTACAAGGATGGATGGAGACGGAGAGGCTGAAGTCTGAACGGATTATGATGATCCCGTGTTTGATGCTTCGAAGTTCGAGATGCATCGTGGAATTCGGACTCCGTTCATCGTGATGTGTCGTTGGTTTTCCCGTCGACCAGGATCATCCAGTCACTCCGATTTTGTGTCATGCACGACAGTCGACCTCACCCGAACATTCATCCCTCTACCACAGTGAACTCATTCCTCTTAAGACGAATGCCAATGAAGGCAAGTTTATCACAATTACCGCCTATCCAATTAGCATTCGATCAAGCCGTTTCAACGTTTCGTTCCGCTTGCCGTTGTGATCCCCACGGTCTTAGCGTAACTGTGAGAACCCGAAGAGGGCTGAGGGCATTCCGCAATGTGGAATTTCCCGAGAAGATGTTGAAACAGTGGAATAGGGAAGATACTCGTTCTAGATTCCCCGATATGTTAGCCGGAACTCAACGTGATACGCTCCAGCTTTGGCTGCTAAATGGATGTCCCCCAGCCCTGATCCTGTCGCCCCAAGTGGCACATCTGAATCCTCCATTCTCCGATGGACGACGCATGGTCAAACTGAGGCTGATCTTTTCCATCTCATTTTTATGAACCTAGCTGGCCTATGAATACTTCCGTTCTTATTCGCTCCCCTAGTCCATGCTTTTTAGCGTTGCAAATGCCGCATCCCCGCTTAATGGATCCATCTAGCCACCTGATACAATTCACAATGGCTAAGAAGGCAGTAACCACTAGAGGGTTGATGCCGATCGCATTTGAATCTAACAGGATGTGACAGAGTCGCCTTCTCCGTCTCCATCCTAACAATAACCCACGCCTATCTACGGAGTATTAAGGACCCCCCTGGAGGCGGCACTTGTACCTTGAAGAATGAGGGATTAAGACTAATACTTCCCTGTCCAATTTGTCCGTCAGAACCAAACCGGGATTGCTGAGGTGGCAAACCGGTGCATATATGAGATAGATGCTCGCTGTTGTCATCTTCATTAGCCACCTGCATCTTCCTCCATATCGTCCACGTCTGCTGGCTGGGCTCCGATCAACGTCAACGGCTTTCATTCCAAGCAACACCCAAAACCCACCATCCTCAAGAACAATACCAACCAATCAGTCACTATATACTTCTCCTTATCATGAAGACTCAAGGTGTCCTCCTCTTGACTGCCGCCCTCTGTGGCAGTGCGGCTATCGCTGCTCCTGTTGCTGCCCCTGCCTATGACCCCTGTGCTGGGAAGGTCACGTTTGGCGTCTCCATGGGCTCAGTGGGCCATTGTATTCGCTCTGCCATCCCTTCCAAGCAAACGTTAGAGAAACGAGGAGTTGATGGCGACGATGCCGTCGTATATGCATGGAAGGTTCCGGAAGAGAAGGAGAAGCGTGAGGACGGCGATGATGCTGTCGTCTACTCCTGGAAAGTCCCGGAAGAGAAGGAGAAGCGTGAGGATGGTGATGATGCTGTCGTCTACTCCTGGAAAGTCCCGGAGGATAAAGAGAAGCGTGAGGACGGCGATGATGCTGTCGTCTACTCGTGGAAAGTCCCAGAGAAGGAGAAGCGTGAGGATGGCGATGATGCTGTCGTCTATTCCTGGAAAATTCCGGAGGAGAAAAACTAGACTCCAACTTGTTGTGTTGACCATGGCGTTGGAGATGCGTATTGCTGGAGGGTTGGTTGTTCTGCGCGAATATCTGTGTTCGGGTCTTGGGAAGCGGAGCATATATTACAACATTGAAGGATGTCCCGAATCTGTTCAGGGCTTACTTATTTCACTGTTCCTTACTTGCGTTAGTGGAAAATAGAACCATTTTTCGAAATGTACAAATGAATCGATAAAAAGAATTTCCAGCTTTTACTTCCTCGTCGACTCAGTGGCTGCCCAATGCAGTCGAGTACAATGCAATATCACAATAACGAACTTATACTGGTTGGACGATGTAGTTGACATCTTGTAATAAGAGCACTCGGCCAAGGAGAAGGATATGAAATGGGACCATCAATAGAGAAGAGAATCGTCAAACTGGCCATTATACTTGTATGTAATATCAATCTTTTATAGCAGCTCTCACACCGAGAGCCGCACCTTCTGCTGCTTCGGTCACATCGAGTTCGCCCGTCAACGAGCCCCAGTGTTCCCAACCTTTTCTTATCGGTTTTCCTTCGGCTGTCCAAGCTTTGTTCCAAGCGAGGACTTGCGATACCAGACCTTCCAGCGTTGTCCAGCTGCCTTCATATTCCAATCCGCCATCATTTTTGCTTCGCCTGGCACTGGAGTCATCCCAAACTGCGTGTACTGAGGTGATGTAAAACAGACTCGGCACAAGATACAATTTTCCATCTCTGCCAAGAGGCGGAAGTTTAAGAGCAGCAGTGATTGTAGGATATCGAATTTGAAAGAGATAATACGCCTCAATCGGATACGATATCAAGAAGGGCAGGATTCCAGGAATGTAAGGGAAGCTCACTGGAGAAACCGAAAGGGTTTCCAAAACTTTATACATGTCCCCAAAGGTAATGGAGGGGTTGGGATCGGTGACAGCGAATGTTTCTCCTCCAATGTCGGGCATCTGAGAAGACGCGGGTGGCGAGAGGAGGTCTATGAGGCGTGCTTCATATAGCAAGTGTGCAAGGGACACGTGCTGGACATGTACAAAGTTCTGTAGGATGTTGTGCAACCAGCTGACAACGTTAGCATAAAATTATGGACACCAAAATGGTAGAGACCAACCTAGGGGATCCTCCATTTCGAAGCATTTGTCCTCCTTGAAGATCATCCTCGTCACCATATACAGCTACATGCTGTCAGCTCAGCCGCTTACAATCCGAACCGATGACACTATACCATTGACAGGCCAAATGCAACCGGTCCGGAACCCACCGTCAGGATCATCGGCTCGTTGAACCAGTTTCTCGGCCTGAAACTTGGAGTATGCGTAGCAACCGAAAAATTCCTCAAGTTTAGAAAGATACAAGCTGGGCTCATGGTCGCACAATGGTTGAACAAAACGTGCAGGATACTTTTGCCAAGGCCACATCCAGAGCCCAGGTCGAGCTATGAGAACAGATCCAGAAGATGTCATGAGAAAGACCGATGCACCAACAGCCTTAGAGGCTTCGAGTGTGTTCTGAGTCCCGTGGATATTGATCCGTTCATATGGTCCCATGGTATCATGTGTCCGGTCAGTTGTTCTGACGATCGCGACAGTGTGAAACACTGTCAGGGGAAGTTTGGAAGCGCCATCATCCCAAGCGGTTGCAAAAGCGTGTGCAAGTGACTCTGGATCGGTCACGTCTACACTGATAAACCTGATTGCCTCAAGTCCTCCTTTCACAGGGGGTCTGATATCGAAATTGACAATTGTCCGTGAATCTTCTCCACGTTGGAGTAAGTGTCGGAGAATCCAACCTCCCACAAAACCTTATTCACTTGATGAGCCTTGACCACCTGGGAACAAATGCTAGGTACTTACCTGAACCGCCAGTAACGACATACCTCCGACCGGTCCGAGGAGGTAAATGGTCTTTCAAGTCCAAAGTGCGGCCTTCTAGCCGCCTTGCGCACTCACGGATTTCCGTCGAGGTGAATCGGTGGGGACTAAGCTTCCGGGCTTCGTCTGGTAAGCTTGACAATGCTCGGTTCACCCTAAGCAGATAGATGAACAGAATAGTTAGAAGCAGCAAAAGAGGTCCGATTATCCACCCCATGGTGTCGAATGGTTGTGTTAACCTCACTGGTCCGATCACAATGGAAGGAGTAGGTGATAGTATGCACTTCGAATCTTTCTAGACTGGATGACGATAAAACCGAGCGGTTGAACTCAATATCTGACAATGTAAATACAACGCAATCAGAGCCCAAGGTCCACCGTACCGTAGGTTCTTTTCATTGAAACTGGATTATTCAGACAGTAGCCTACCTTGTCGGTTCAAACGAAGAGTCCTGCAAATTATAACCGTGTTGAATTGAGATAATTCCGGTCTCCCGATTCCTTTTCCCGTCATATCAACGTGAGGTACATTGTCCAGGATCATCGTTCTGGACAGGACCCGATTGGTTGACGCTCTCAGGTGAGTCCAATTGGCCGAGGCGGATGTACGATTGGGTATTGCGTGGTTAGACAGCCATCGATCGCATGAAATCGATCCCAGTGAGGAGAATTCATATGAAAGCGGCGGGATTTCCCAATTCATGGCTGGTCGGGTTCGGGGCTTCGTGCATCTTAAATTTTCAAAGGTTCGAATTTGATGAAAGGACTCCCTGTCAGCTTACTCAGCGGTACAGTGGTCGGGACCTTCACGCTCGACACTCGACAGAGATAGAATGAATCCTAGCACGTGTAAGCTAAGCCTAGAGAGGAAAACACTCTCAACCGGAAGAAGACAAAAGTCCCTCGCTCCTTTCGACTTTTCCGATATCCTATCGTGGCTTTAGGAACCAATCAGAGTACAGGTAGCGTACCAACAACGGGCTTTCTTGTTTGGACTGCAGTGTTCCTGTTATGCTTTCTTTGCATACAGGATTACCTGTCCGGCACATGTACAGGGTTGTACTATGGCGTTTTGTTATGGTTGAATGAACTATACTTGGATGTAGACGGGAAACTCACTGCGTCGATAGCATGATATGCTATAGAGTCGTCATCTGCTCGTTGTAAAAGAAGCGGACCTGGTATCAACTTCTCCCTGAACAATTGTTCTGTTCTATCGATTAGAAAGAATAGGCATACCCCAGTCCCCCCTTCCAAGATGTCTATCTTTATTTCAATGTACAAAGAAAAGAACATGGCACTTCCGCTTGTGCCGCCGAACGAGGGTGGAACTTACATTATCACAGGGGCAAACACAGGACTTGATTTCGAGTGTCCTCAAAACTTGGTTCGCCTGTCGGCGGGTAGGGTAAAACTCGCCGTCCGCTCCATAGATAAAGGTGAGAGCGCAAAGGTGAGGATCGAAGCAGAACCGGATGAAATGGAGTTGCGGAAGTAGAGCCTCTCGACCTCACCTCCTACGACTCAGTCAAGGGATTCGCCAAGAAGGTCCGGAGTTGGATCGAATCGACGCGGTCCTCGAGAATGCGAGTATTGCAGTGGATTCTTATACAATCTCAGAAGGGTTTGAGACGAGCATAGCTGTGAATGTTGTCAGCACCATACTGTTGGCTCTGTTGGTCTTGCCGAGACTGCAAATCAGCGGGAAAAGCATGGTCTCACACCACATTTGGTGGTCACAGGAAGCGGTGCAGCGTTATCCGCAAAGGGGCAGCTGGAGAAGGTGGAGGGCAACATACTGAAAGGACTGACCTACAACACTATGGGTGAAAGGTGATATTCTTTCCTCGAGTTGCCCGCCTAGAACAAATCTTCTTAACAGAACCCAAAGATATTTCGTCACCAAGCTTTTGCAACTATACGCGGTCCAAGAGCTCGCCGCCCTCAAACCGTGTTCGGAGACCGGAGTAGTCATAAGCTGTGTCAACCCCGGATTCTGCAATACCGGATTGAGTCGACACGCCCGCTTCACAAAACGGATCGAGATGAATTTGATGCAGTTCCTCGTGGCGACAACTGCGGATCAGGGCCGCAGGACCATATTGCACGCAGCCACTGCAGGGAAGCAGAGTCACGGCAAATATTTGTCCAATTGCGAAGCTGCAGAAGAGTAAGTTCTTCCACGCCATACCTGATTGCAATACTCATTTCACGGACCAGAGATCCGCTCCTATCATTTGTTACAAACGAGGCTGGTATGGTGATGCAGAAGCGGGTGTGTGACAGCATCTCAAGGAAATTGAATGAAATTCAACCCAGGTGTTTCCAAGAGGATCGTTAGAGTTTGGAATTGCGGTTTGCTGCTCGAACAGGCTTCGAAAGCTTTGCGACGTTGGCAAATTTCAGCCCGGTTCATTTGTATACGCAGATGTTCCGACGGTCGAACCGAGAGTCACGAGAGAGAAGATCGGTCTATTCGCTGCCGTGCGTCAACATAGAGCTTTCTTCGGCCCAGGCGGCCACTAATATTATCATGAATGGACAATAACTGCGGCTATCATTGTGTTTGGAGGTGTCTGACGGTATTGACCGTCTCCGTAGATTCTGGTGCCCGAATCGATATCTAGGTTCGATAAATGGAAAGTGTATCAGGCTGGGTGAAAGGCCTGGCTTGCCCATGTGGATTTCCGAAGTTGCAGGTCCACTGTGTTCATATTGTCAGTAGGAAACTACCATCACATCTCACAAACTTACAGGCTTCATCACGCGGCACATGTTGATGCCATTTCAGCATCCCAACCTCCGCCGGATGATAGAAGTCCGGGGTTATACCTCTCGATATATGATAATAGCAAAGACTTGGGGAGGATCAACATCATCCGCTAAGCTGCATCCGCACTTCAGCCTTGCATTAATGAATGCGAGCTCTCATGCGTGATCGCACTTCCCATGGAAACAATAGAGGCTATTCCTAACTGTTGGAGGAATAGCACAGCCATAGTCCACTTTCGAGTTACTTCTGCCTAGATTCTTTCCTTTCGTTACATGGCTGCGTATCAGGTGCCGAAGAGCCCCATTGATCTTGTCATTTTCTACAAACTGGAAGCTCGCTGTGGCTGTTGTCCCTTTCGGAAATTACTGTGGTCAGAGAGGGATACCTGAGCAACGATGATGCCAAACCTCCCATTCATGGTCTGCAGGTCTTCCCTGGCGAACCCCTTCGGGACTTCGCTGGTTGAAAAGTAGTCGAGGAGATGAAGCTGGGTGATCAAAACTTGTTGCTGACAGCTCCAGAAGCCTCGATGTCTAATTCGGTTTCTAGGCTTAACCAAATTCGGCCATTGCCTGCGCCCGCAACAAGGTTTGGGGGAAATAGGCGCCAGCCTTGCGCTATGGGAGCGTCAGCAAATAACAACACCATAACTATAACAAATGGATCTTATGGCTGACTGCGCGTCACCCTGAGATTCAAATTTTTGCCGTTTCGAGCAGTGCTTCGGGAGTAAGGCAGAGTAAGGAGAGGAAGAGAGAGGATTCTTATGACCATGATAGCAACGTGTGCTATAGGATAGTATATGGATATTTCGCCTTGACAGGAACAATATCGTGAGCCTGCTTCGCATTGTTGAAACTCCGTACTCCATGACCGCTTGAAATCTTTCATCGGCCAGATTCCACGAAGATTATTCTTCATGGCTCAAGACCTGGTATGTCCCCAGCTGTTCCTCATGGCGATGACTCCTATCGATTCTCAACGATTGAAAATCACTAACTCTCTACTGTATCGGTAGGCATCGCAAATTCCTCTCTCTAGCACCGACCCTCCATTCAACCGCGATGTTGATCTTACACTTGGCAAGTCATTAGGACAGCGCCCTTCAGGTTCACCATCTCAAGGCGGCGGGGGCGGAGTCGCATCCTCTGGTCCCCCAACTCAAGGCGATGGGGGTGGAGCCGCATTTTCTGGTTCCACGCCCTCCACCGACAATACTTCAGGGCAAGATGCGACGGTACCTGTGAACCACCGACCAAATGACCCTCAATCTCAATCGAATAGCGGTTCTGAAGCACCGCAACAGCAGCAAGCGATGTTACTAGACGTTGTCAGCGCGTCACTCCCAACAATATTTCAGAAACGCGACCAGAAAAGCCGCGAGAATCTAGTAACGGAAACGAAGGACGAGATCGCACAATTTGTGGTGCAAGACCTTGACGTGAAGCGATTGACCGACATTCAAGGACTGCTATGGATGGCCGGTCGGCCTCTGGCCGGCAGGCCTCTTCATCGACACAAAATGCTTGAACGGCGTATTTTGAGAACGGAGCAAGCCGACCTCCATATGCTAGTGCTTGAACAATCGGTGTTTCTCAAACCACTGCCATTATATTTGCTGTCCCATGCATTCTTCCAAGATTACATCTCCAAAGATCAAGACCTGGCCAAGTCGGCCAATGGATTCTTACTGTCATATACCTGGCTTATACGCAGCGAATTGGATTTCCAGTTGGCACAAATGGAGAGCCTGCTTCCAAATACCGAGCCGCAAATCACTTGGCTGGAGTGGAAGTCGTTCGTCCATTCATTCTTAAAATATGTCGACCCGAACACTTTGGAGCAAGTAAACGATCGCTATCATTTTGGCGAACTGCGGTTGGGCCGAATCAACACCATCTATCGCATCGCCCCCCGATTTTTTTTCCTGCATTTTGTGCGTGGGTACCTGTACGGGTACAACCGGTACGGTCCGTTCTTTCAACGTCGGTTCGCATTTACGCTGGTCCTGTTTGTCTGGCTCTCATTGATTTTATCCGCCATGCAAGTAGGGGTCGCCGTGGATCCCCTCATGAGCCACAGCGCATTTCAGCAAGCTACTTTTGGATTTGTCGTCTTCTCGATAGTCTTGGTCGCCTTCATCATCGCCATGCTCATGTTGCTTTTCGGTGTAATTTTTCTGATCAACATGGTGCTGGCTAGTTTCCAAGCCCGGCGAGAGCGACATGCACGAAGGCTAAGGGCTCAGAAAAGCAATGAGACCTTGTCAACAGAATGATGCAGCTTTACAGAGGACGAAGGAGAGAATGCTGTTAAATTCAATTTGACAGTGGATCAGTTTGGGACGCTGATGAGTCTCCCACGACTTCGGATGCTCGTGTCTAACACTACCCTCTAATGTAAAAAGGGGTTTTCGTCCTGGTCGCTCCTGCGATCATCAAAATGCGCTCAGTCATTGAACTTCAGCGCTCTTAGGGCCATGTGCCCATGAACCATTGCCGGGTACCTTAACCCATTCCATACCAGTCTTTTCTTTTCCAGCCTGTCCATACGCATATGCGCCGAGTTCGAATAACTCTATTTTGGATAAAACATGTCCTTCATCGTACAATCACATCAGCTGTCTGAAACTTTTGCCATGTTATGATGTTGGTCACCAATAGAGGGCTCCAGATTTGAGCGAATAACTATGATTTAAGCGAGTCTGGCATCGGTTGCCATTATTTTCTTTTTCGGCACTCTGCAGAGGGGACATTTACATTCAATGCTTCACATCACTTTCAGGGTCATTTACCCGAGGTCTCAGGGTGTGTCTAGATTGTACATATCTTTGTTAGTTACTACCACCTCGCAGGACGGAGCTGGCCGTTCATCTGCACAAGGTCATCAACCCTATCCCCATCTCCCATCTTTCCCAATGTCCTCATCGTTCGTCTGGTCCATTGGGGTAACTGCACCAATACACGCCGTTGATGAAACTGCTGGTCTTCCTCGGAAAGCATCTGATAGATAAGGCTTATAATCAGGGCCGCCCGTCCCAACGTTCGCATATGCTATTTGATTTGACAACCTCGGAGAGTTGGGGGTTGCCCGTTTAGAGACTGCCGCAAGAGCAGATGCCAACCGGAACAACTCAACGAGTGCATGCAAGCAACGTTCTCCTTGGAATATAAATGTGTCCCTAATGCAACTGACAGAAGAGGAATACCGAACGATGTTGAACAATGCAGCTCTCATCGCGCTACCAGACATTTGCATCTTCTGCCTCATCCAAAGAGCTACTTCAAAGAAGAGCGTCCTTAACAACATATTTAGTTCGACATATTCCTAGTGAAAAGCGCATCCGCAACGGCGGCACCCAACATTGCTAGATGTCTCGTCGAAGCTAGTGGAATTGCTATTCTTCGATTGACTGAGATATAGACCTATACCTCACCCGTAGCCTTCCTAGGCATATCCAGCGTGTTCATTGCGGTGTGAACCAGATATGGTGGCGCCAAAGGGTCTTGAGGTGAATATAGTCCAGTTCAGTCCAAGGCAACCCTCATAGAACTTAGATGACATAGGTGTCGAGCAGTCTCGTTGATGTCTGCGTAATTACCATTGTCAACTGCGGGCTTTAAAGAACAAGCTGCTAAGCTAGAGGATGGGTACATAAGCAAGCGCTTGGGTCTTCCTTGAGGAGAGGTTTAACCCGGGTTGGGGTACAATTCGCACCACTAGGTCTTCATCCTAACGAGGAAGGCTGAGTCCTTTCAAGGAGGAGGATATATGCACTTAGGGTGTAATTCCTTCAATGTGTCCAATTTCCTTTGCAAGATTTGTCTTTGAATTGGCTTGGTGTTCGGGAAGGTAAACAGAAACCGAGTGAGAAAGAGGAAGTCATCGAGTCTTTGGTCGGACTCCTGATGCGTCGGGGCAGGGACATGGATAATCACGTCCGCAATTGTATCGCAGATCTCGAATAGCTTGCGGAATATTCCCGTGCCGTGAATACCGATGGCCTTGGGATCCATGCTGGACACGAATATGCGCAGCTGTTGACTGAGCATCACTGGCATTTCTAGGCTCATATAGCTTCGGGAAGGCTCCGGGGAAAGACTGAGCAAACATTTGCTCATGGCTAACTGCCACAATAGGGTTCTAAGCCACTGTCGCGTAATTATGAGGTCGGCTTGCTGCATTGGACTGAGAACATGGCTATCGCGTTCGGAATCGCGCAAGTCGTCATCCAACTCCCGGTGCTTTTGGTCAAACCATACTCCATTGACGATGGAGCGCGAGTCTTGCCAGTATCGGAGGAAGTCGGAATCCAAGAGCCGGAATATCTTGATGATTTGAATGAAGCCTTCATTTACACCCTGAGGTAGAGAGCTATCATATTCTGGAAGATTCCGAAGCTCGGTGAGCACCGTGGGACGGTAGTCAACTGCCGCATGATCAGTAAATCTTCTCTTGTGAGCCATGTCGTTCTATTCTGTCGATACTCTTTTCCTGCCCACACCACTTTAAGCAGATTTTTGCTATAAAGGTGATCCCCGATGTAGAGTGTACCAATGCATGGTCTTCTTTCATTGCCCTGAACCTTAAAATACATCAATATCTCATTTATGGGCGGACTACTCAACAATGGGACACTAATGAGAGGACTCTCACCTATTGCTATGAATCGTTCGTGGATAAAGACCTCCCAATACAATCTTTGTTTCCTTGCTCTTTCTGACAAACTCATTTTCGCCACAATATCATCATTCTCAATGCGCATCATATGTAACAGCGTTGCGGCTTCTCGCTGGTAGAAGAATGCAAGGTCCATCTTCTGAACACTTAGGAGGCAGATCTCCAAGAAAATGCACGTGAGTACCTTGTGGACTGTTGCATGATGGTCCAGTTCCATTGGAGGTTTGATCCTGATAGCATGGTTAACCAGAGCAACAATCCTCTCTGACACGGCCGGAGACTCGTCCAAAGGAGATCTTTGAGCAAGATTGATTGTGACAGCAGCATACGCATGACAGAATGCAGCATATTCACGACTTGTGCTCATCTTCGCGATTGTATCCCGCACTTCAGGTTCCGACAATATTGGATGGACAGGATATACTGCGGTCAGGTAGTCGGGGACCAGACCGAAGAAGAAGGGGGTGTCCCATTGTGTACATGGTGCTAATGGAGCGACTGCGGTTTGTGAATGCGTCGAAGGAGAATGGGCTGAAGGGTCCGAGGATGAAGTTGATGGCACAGTCGATGGTGTGAATGCAGCCGATGCAGGACTAACCGGACTCGCCGACGCTGCTTTCAGAATGGTAGAGGTAGCCGGCTGTAATGAAGGGGACGTTTGTTGGATGCTGGTCTCTTGCTTGTATGCGCTGATCACACTGCCCCTTCGCAGAGTCTTTGATCGCGGCTTTGCTTTGATGTCGGAGTATATGCATTTGAGGTTCAGATGAGAGCATTGTTGGCATCTCTCTACGTCTCCATTGCATTTAACTTTACGAAGCTTGCAGGCGTTACATGCGCGCGCAACGCGATGCGGTTTCGCAGTTAATTCATCCATTGTGCGCAAGCCGTCCCCCTTCGATGGCCTGAGGCTTCATTCCGTAAATGCCCACCGAGAATGGGATCGAATTTATAAAACACCTATGACATGGTGGCATTAAAACGTCAAAACTTTGTGTAAACGATAGTATGATCGCCTCAGTAATTAACTCAGAGCAGTTAGGTTGTAATTTGTATCGTACAGAAGTCGAGGGGCTGGAGTCGAGTGGAGAAATGAGTTGGCGCAGAGTGCTCCGCCCTGTCCGATCACCATGCATGTTGTGATCAAAGCTCAGAGCTTCGTGTAACCACCATTCTCGGATCTCGAGAGTTTCCTACTCGGACATCGAACGTGCTATACAATTGAAGCATGGTGTCATTAACTCCCGCTTGATCGTGAACCGGATTTTAATGTCCATGGCATCGGACACCTACCTCCCTCTTGCGGGTCACATCCGAGATGCGACTCCTGCATACCCATTCGCTCGAGATTCACTTCTTCCCCGCATCCATTCCTGCATATGCGATCCTATCACATACCTGGGAGCAGGATGAAGTTACATTCCAGGAGGCGCTTTGTCCAGATGGCCCAGTGAAGAGCAAATTAGGCTACGAGAAGCTGCAGAAGGCAGCGGACCTTGCAGCGCAAGATGGCTTCGAATACATCTGGATCGACACTTGTTGCATCGACAAGACATCCAGCTCTGAGCTCTCCGAAGCCATCAACTCCATGTATCGATGGTATCAGAAATCGAGCGTTTGCTATGCGTTCCTCTCAGATGTTCAGTATTGCGCGAGCTCGAATACCCTGGTTCAACCAGACATCCGTAACAGCAAATGGTTTCTCCGCGGTTGGACTTTGCAAGAATTGATCGCACCTTCGACTCTTGTATTCTATTCTAGAGAATGGAAAGAGATTGGGACCAAATCTAGTCTGAGAGCTACCATTTCTCAAATAACTGGGATACCGGAACCTGTGCTGCTTGGGGAGAAAATAGGAAATTATAGCGTCGCGCAACGCATGTCCTGGGCATCCAGAAGACGGACCACCAGGGTCGAGGATATCGCATATTGCCTCATGGGTATCTTTGGCATTACTATGCCTATGCTCTATGGCGAGGGTACGCGGTCCTTTCGTCGGTTGCAGGAAGAGATAATGCGCCAAAGTGATGATCAGTCCATTTTCGCGTGGCGACGCGATGTCTTGACCGCACAATATTATTCCGGAAGTGGGGTTCTCGCACATGCACCCGTTCAATTCGAAGGGTCCGGTACGATTGCGCGAGGGAGTGCAATGTACCAAGATCTAAAAAAGCGGGTGACGTTCGAATCCACTAACAAAGGCCTAAAGCTTTGTCTACCTTGCTACAAACGTAGCGCACCGGGGATTCCTGATGATATACCTACATACTTGGCCGTCTTGGATTGTCACGACGAGAACAAGGACCATCGTCTAGCACTAGGAATCTGGATCATCTTGAATGAGCCCCCGGAGCAGTTTGTTCGTAGCCTGCCAAACGAGCTGGTCTCTGTACCGCTGCCGAATTGGTGGAAACGGATGCCGAAAATCAAGCATATATATGTCCAACAACACGATATTCCAAGTTCTCAGGAACATGTGGAAGACTTCAACCGCAGTAACCTGGAGTCGAATTCTTGCATTCTGCGGTGGGAGGGGCTTAGGAAAAGGGGATTTGTTGCGAGTACTCCATCTCGTGGACCGCTATCTCACTCTGAGAGCGAATCCTTCCTCCTTCAGGATCCAATGATTACTTTCCAGAACGGCCAGGAAGTTGCGTTTGTTCTCATATTAGAGAACCACCGAGGTTCGCTTCAGGGGTCCATTCAACTGGCCGATAAGCGCCACCCAACTCGAGGTCTTGAATCCGTTTCAGACATGGTAAAGAAGGGTGGCGACGGGATAAGTGACCGTTTGACGTTGGCCCTTCCTAAGCCGAATCTTGAAATTGTTGTGAAGATCAAGAAGGAAATTGTGTGGCCTAATTTCATGGCCGCTACCGTTGTATATGTTGCAGCACGGGAGACTGAGGGCACTACAGAAAAAATTTCTTGAATTCATCACTTCCGCGTCTGCGGAAAGCACATGCAAGATTTAACACGGAGAGACGCATGCAATTGATGGATAGCTGCATGATGACTGATTACGAGGACTTGCTGCTAAGTTGAAAAAAAGACCATGCTTTAGATGTTAAAATACATTCCAATAAAGGAGAGACATGAGCCGCAATAAGCCTTGAAAGATAGAGTGGTGCTCGAGATCGTGCAATCAAGTCCCCGACAATTGATCCGCTCGAACCTCGCCATACGACTACATGTGAAGTGGAGTAAGCAACGCATGAGCGGCTTGGAGAGCACTTTCTGTATCGTTGGATTTGCCCAATAAGGACGAATCTCGACAGACGCTTAAGAAGGCCGAGTAGCCGGTCTCATATTTGCCCTCACCCGCTCGATGAGTTCCTCGCGAGAGGCTTTGTCATTGGGCTTTAGGTTTCTCTGTTGCAGACGATTAAAATCCGAGTTCAATTATGCCAATTAAGACACATACGTTGTTTAACCATCTCTTAAGATCCGTTTCGGTCCAATCATTGGGGTCTGTGTTTCTCCACGTTAGAAAGCGATCTCGTCAATTGCGCGAGAGGATTGAGGCACTTGGGCTTGGGGAGACCGATTCATGAAGCCAGACACCCCCGAGAGTGCCAAGAAACGTGAATACTGCTATAGCAGGATATCCTTTCAGCCATTCAGGAATGGCAGGGAACCCACCGCCCGTTGGATCCGATTCGGGTGGGAAGATACTCGATCCACCCAAGATCGTGAAAGCTGCCACAGCTGTGATGATGCCCGAAAAAGCTATGAGAGTAAGTCGGTAACCCTTGTAAGTGGACTTGGAAGATCGCCACTCACTCAACAGAGCACCCTAGGACGCGATATGTAAGTTTAGGTCTTGCAGAGAGGTTGGAGTTTAGATGGATATAGGAAACATACTCGAGATTGCAATGCGCGGTCAAGAAGCGTCGGCATGATTAGTGTTGGACAGAAGAGCTCCTCCGTAATATTCAAATGTGTTGAAAGAATAGCCCAGCGAGATGTTTAAGATGCGTCGTTAACTCGTTATTTACTATCGGATGAGGACAGACTGTCCTTTTGATGGTTTAGTGCTCTGAATGGCGAAAGATGTATGAGAGGGAGAGAGTGCGTCGTCATGCTCCGGTACGTACCTGTACCAAACCAGTATGGGAACGAGAGAAGAGGAATTCGAAGATCTTATCAGATCATCATAATCCCTGTCATTTCGGATCGCTGTCCCACACTGCGCCACACTTCGGTTCCAATTCGCAATTCGTCAATCCATCCAAGCGATTTTCACCACACAAACCTCCACCTCACCACCTTCATAAGCGTCGCAATTGATCACATACCTTCTCACATCTCCAACCGTGGTCAAAATGCCGTCCGAAGTCTCAGATATCAAGCAGTTCCTGGAGATTTGCCAGCGCAAGGATGCCAAAGGTTGGTCGCCCTCCATCTCCACCTTTTTCATGCCGACGAGGACGATTAATAACATTATGGAATCACAGTTGCGCGGGTAAAGAAGAACACGAAGAGCAATCAAATCAAATTCAAGGTCCGATGCCAGCGATACCTCTACACCCTCTCCATGAAGGACGATGAGAAGGCCGAGAAGCTGAAGAAGAGCCTGCCCCCAAGTACGAACCACCCCCGAGTTCCATATCGAACCAACCCCTTGCACCGTCAACCCGTAGATACTAATAGGAATCCTCCACAGGTTTCGATGTCATCGATGTCCCCGCGGACAAGAAGAAGAGCAAGAAATAGGCGTGCTACATTTCCGATGAACGAATCATGGACGTCAAGGGCGTGCTGAGACGGAGGAATGCGGATCATGGAGTTATGGTTCCTATCATGGCTTGGCCTGGATGTTCAATACATAATGAGCATTCCCTTGTAGTTAAAGGTCAAAACGGAACGGATTATACCAACTAGCATTTGTCATGTCAAAAGCCGTCCAATCCTGGTCAATACGCAATACAATGTGTGTGATATCCCTGTGAAGCTTCGACCATGATTTGACCTCTTCCCCTCGTTCACTTCTTGTCTAAGTCAATATATATCATCTTGACTAGAAGAATCGTCGCTATCTCCTGGAAGCACAATGAGGTATATATGATCACTGATCCGCTTCAGGGCTTGACCGACTGGTCGTCCAACTCATCCCCTTCCCATATCATCTTGTCGACTTGTCCGCCGCCTCCTTAATCTTCTCTGCAGCAGCATGTATCGGTTGAGCTGCCTGATCTTTCATAGTCTGCTCCCGACCACCCATACTGAGTTCATGTGTTAGCCCAATCCCTTCCGCATTGTGGTTCGAGTGACTCACTGCCAATAGTTGTAGTATCGGAATCCTTGGAAGGCTTGTGAGGTGAAATTGATGACATGACAGCCGAACAGAAGGTAATTCTTCGGCTGCACTGCCATCGCATATCTCGCGAAAACGGCAGAGTATATTGTGAGGGCAACCGTCATTCTCCCAGAGATACTATAAATTCGGCCTGTTAGCGTCCTGCTGAGTACAACCAGTGTTGATCGGATTATCCGATTCCAATCTGCTATGGCAAATGGTGGAGGAGTGTTGCGATAGGTCGAACGTACATCTCGGGATCTTTCTTGAAGTCGACAATGGCTGCTAGAGGGATACCGAAGTTGGAAGCGGGGCCCCAGAAATCTATCACAGGCCTCAGTTAGCTTTCCGTGTCAATTGGTATACTCTCCGATCTTAGTGAATGCCTCAACGGCGACAGAGAGATGCCCAATGACTCGACACTTACGGGTTGAGCAGACATAGTCAAGATATGGATTGGATCGTATCCGCGAATTCAGCACTTTGACTGCTGCCATCGCCATGATTCCGAGCGGCCGAGAAGAAGGACGGTTTATGAAAGTCGTGCCGTTTCAACGGAGGAGTAATGGGGATTGAGGGCTGTTGGGGATCCGAATATCCAATTGATCAAGATGAATGCATACGGAGTCGGACTCTCTCTGGGTGCGGAACACCGGCAGGGATCGTAAGTCCGAGTCAGACAAGTCACGTGCAGTTGATCTACCTACACGAAGTATTCCGTACCACCTAGGAAATGTACAGTATACGAGTTACGAGTGTGCAAAGATACGGAGGGAGAATACCGAGTAACTCAGTGCCTGATTTTATTCGCTAAATCAATGGTTTCCTTGTATACTCCACCCTTATGACCGATCCCCCTTTGCCGAGCCACTCTCCCATTGCCAACTCAACCAGTAAAGGATGCACATCATCCAGCTGAGATGCAGTGTTCGATCAAGTGAAACTCCTGGATTTAGGCAGTGCACATACATTAGATAGTCGTAATGAAGGCCTGAAGAGCCGTTATGCACCCAAACAGGATAGTCTTCCATCGCATGGACATGGATCTTCGAGCCGGCGGGGCTCAGGTTTCTCTGAACTGCTATGAGATTGATTCCCAGCATTACCAACTATCGTCCCATCCCAGGAGGGAATCCTCGGCCTTGACCAGGAGGCTGGAATCCTGGAGGTGGGAAGCCGGCTTGGAAAGTTAGCGGGGAACGAAAGAAAGATTGAGCGACACTTACGAGGACCGCCAGGACCGCCAGGACCGCCAGGACCACCAAAACCGGGCGGTGCAAATGCTGAGAGGGAGTGTCAGTAGATATTCGTACGGCAAATCCAAGGGGTTAAAACGTACGAGGAGCTCCCGGAGGCCCACCACGACCGGCAAAGCCTGGTGGCGGCCCAGGGAACGGTGATGCACCCGGTGGGAACCCAACAGGCGGGCCACCCAGCGCGGCAGGGCCTGTTAAGCCGACTGGCAACCCCCTCCCAGCCGGTTTGCTGATTCCGGGTCCCGCTGCCAACGTCGCGCCAGCGCCGGTAGGAACTCCGCCTCCCAATCGTGCTGAAGGGTCGGCGGGTGGCGGGCCTTCGACGGTAAGTGATATGACATTCGTTCCCCGTACAATGGTGAGACCCAATGCACGTTTTTCTTCTTGCTCGACAAGATCGGTGCTCGAGCCAGGCGCGGATTTCTGAGGCTTCCTTTTCACTCGTCGGAATTCTTCGGTGTCGGCCAGAACAAGGTTCATATGCTACTCAGTGTTAGCTGAGAGCAGGACGCGGCGTATACCTGACCGAAAGTCATACCTTGTCAAATGCGAGCATTTGACCCGCCAGTTGTCGTCCGTCATTAAGTGTTGCGCGCATCCGGTAGTTGATCTAAAATTGTGAGCGTTGGTCTAGGTGATGACTGAAAGTTCGGGGTAATTTACGTAGTTTTGCTACACGATATGATGTTAGTCTATATGTACAAATTGAAGTGCTAGATGAAGGGCTGCCTTACCATCCGCCCTTGGCGATTCGCAGATGCCATATTGATTCGATATGCGCCCGAAGGCGGCTTGCGTAGTAGATTGTTTTAGAACACACGAGTGTGACGATTTGAGGAGAGAGATAAAGTGCAGACAAAGCAGCTCTGATGTAATGCGCGATCGAGAAGGTGGTTGCAATGAATCCGATAGGCGCGGTCTGGTCGCTCTTGCTGGAGTGGATGTGAAGATGTGGATGAAGCTCCGAATTTCTGGCGGAGGTCCCCTGCAGCGTGCTAAACCCGATTGGGACGACCAAGCGAACCCGCACCACCACACACTTTCGAACTTCTCACGTCTCTCACCTCAATCGAATCCTCCACCCACTCGACTTCCAATAATCCTCCCTCCACCATCACCACGCTGCCTAAAATCCCGGTCTTCGACGATCCGCAGTGATACGAAATGGTAAGTCGACTCAACCGGTGCTCATGACCAATTCCAGTTGCTCACTCCCTCCGAACAGGCCGAAGACAAGTCCAGCAACCCCATGCGGGAGTTGCGCATCCAGAAACTCGTCCTCAACATCTCCGTCGGCGAATCTGGTGACAGATTGACCAGAGCTGCCAAAGTGCTTGAGCAGCTGAGCGGTCAAACCCCCGTCTACAGTATGCACCACTCTGACCGCGACACTGAAACTTAGAGATGGATGCTGACTCGCTGGCGCAGGCAAGGCACGATACACCGTCCGTACCTTCGGCATCCGGAGAAACGAGAAGATTGCCGTGCACGTCACCGTCCGTGGACCCAAGGCTGAGGAGATCCTCGAGCGTGGCCTCAAAGTCAAGGAATATGAGTTGAGGAAGCGCAACTTCTCCGAGACCGGCAACTTCGGCTTCGGCATCAGCGAACACATCGATCTGGGCATCAAGTATGACCCGTCCATCGGTATCTACGGCATGGATTTCTTCTGCTGCATGTATGTCGATTCTCCATTTTCCCGGCATTCGTCTGCCATATTTTCGGCGTGTGGCTAATGACATTGCAGGACCCGACCTGGCGAACGTGTTGCCAAGCGACGCCGCTGCAAGTCCCGAATCGGATCCAACCACCGCGTTGCCCGCACCGACACCGTCAAGTGGTTCAAGAACCGATTCGAAGCCATTGTCCGATGAGCGAGCTCCTGAGCGCACGGGAAGGGAAGATGTTTTAAGGGCATCGCATGAATGGCGTAAGAGGATCGATATTCACGGATATTGTACGTTCGAATTATTGCGCGACCTTGCGGTCATGCCATGGCCTATCAAAAGGAGCATAACATAGCATACCAAAGATCAATGGAGGCTTCACGTTCGTGATTGACCGCTTAACCATTGACGTGTTGCTGTTATATCCCCGTCCACACTTTACTGGGTGCTCGCCCGGTGCCATCGTGATATCGTGTACCTGATATAGCCTACCTGTTGCATCTTGAAAGTGCGAGTTGCGGCAATTCCGGGTACGGCTAAACCTGGATGCAAACTTGAACGTGATGCTCGTACCTAGAGAGACGACTTTGATCTCTCTTCCATTTCTCTGGCTAATCCTAACGGTATGCACGTTGTGGGTATTCCTCAATATGATAGGTATGTTCATCAGCCGGATATACCTAAAGCCTGGATTAGACTCCGCTATTGCCACCGTCGTTCTCACTGGCATGATTTCCATAATTCCGCCTTTGAACCTGTGGAGCCCTGCCCTTCTACGGAGTGTACGCCGTACACCCCTTTCATGAAAATGTAGTCTAAATGTAGACACTTCGCGTTTAACATGAAAAACGAGTATGGGAATATACAGGTATTCGATTTGATCCATAGTGTAAGAGATCCTCGTAGACCTAGCCCGTCGTATCAAATCTTCGCTCAACCAAATCATCATAACGGCATATCCATATCCAGATTCGCTCATAGTGGACAGATGTAACATAGTAAATCAAAGTCGCCCATTTCCAATAAAATCGCTCACAGACCACTCCTACGCCAGGATCCAGTCGCACCGGACGATCCAAAGTTTTGCCAACCCACCCATTCTGTGCCTAGATACCCAAAGACGCCTGCAAAATGCTAAACGATACAACCAAGACTGCCAAGTATGAGGCTTGCGTCACGAATCTTGCACCCGATCGCCTCTACCGCCTCCTGGTGCACCTGTCTGGAGTTGTGGCACTCGACTCAGCGTCTCGTATTCACCTTCTTCGTCCACGCTCTGAAGTGTCGAAGGCTGGGGATGTGGTAACCCGACGGTCGATGGTAAAGGGTGTGGAGACGTGAGGTGCATTGGGGATAGAGATCGCTGTTCTTGGTTGTAGGCAGAATTCGGGGGAGAGGGTGAAGACGGCATCGCCGGAGTGCCGTTTAGGATATTCGGGGTATGTCTTGGGTTCGTATTCCCCGAGGATGGGAGCGGTTCGTGATGTAAAGAGTCCGTAGTTGGTAGAGGCGGCGTGGAAGGATGGATAGGAATAGCAGGGGTTTGAGAACCATGTTCGACTGCATCAGCTGGTGACGGGCCGTTTGGATTTCCGGATTCCGTGGTAGGGAGGGGTGGTTGAATAGTCTCCGGGCTCCATGCGCGACTCCCTTTTGGCTGTACCGGTATAATCATGACCGGAAGGAGCATATTATCTTGTCTTCGGTCTCTGCGGTCTCGTAGCTTCTCGCCCTGCTCGGCAGCAAACGCTCCAAGTCTCCCTTTTACGTCCCAGACGGAATAGTTGTGACTTGGGACTGCTAGCCGAGGAGCCGGAATCTCTTTGCTCAACTGAATGGGATCAATCACCTGTCCAGTTGCGATCTCAGCAGGTGGAAGGTTACGTTTCCGCCTGAACGCTTCTGTAACAATCTGCCACCCACTGCGGTTTTGCGGGCGGTGAGGGGACTGATCGACGCCCTCTTGCGGCTCAACGTGCGCCTTTTCAAGGTCGCCCTCTTCAGGGTCAGGGAAAGATTGGCTTGTGGAGGGGTGAACCGGTGGTCTTGAGGGGTTTAGTGGGCGGTGACGATCCAGGGGTGAGATAGTATGGTATCGAACTGCGTAGACTGTGCTTGCAGCGCTCGTCGCGTCTGAGCGACTGACAGGCGATGCAGATGTTTGAGGCGGCAGCGTCTCTGTTTGGTCAGTTCTAGGAACTCGAGTACGAGCCGGAACGGCGGGGTTGTATGATTCTTTAGGTGGGGTGATTTGGGTCGCATCTTCTGATGAACTGTTTGCGGGTGGTGAAATGTGCGGCCAGAAAGAAGGTCTCCTAAATCTGTGAGAAAGTTCATTCCACTGGCCAAATCGATTTCTAGAGGCCCCGGTGGAGGAAGCCATTCTCGAGCCACCGTTCCCTCCATTCTTCTTCTTCGATTCTGCTCGTTCGTATCGATTTTGCGGCCAGTTTATTTCTTCGGAAGCGGTGACGTCCAACATCTCGTCACCATCGAACACCTCTCGTCCCAGAATCCCGTCTTTTTTGTCTTCCCTTTCTAACGCTTCAATGCGTTCAACCCATTCCCAAACGATGACACTAGCGGCTGCTGCGCCAACCCAACGGAAATAATCGCCCCATCCGGCCACCGTGGCGTCCGAGATATCCGTGATGAAGAACACGACTGGAGTAAGGATCGCAACAATTGAGAGGAGGGCGACAACGGAGATATTCCACATCATGGAATGATAGAAGGCGTATCTCCGCTTCGTGATCGAATAGTAGATGACCCATGCTGCGTAGAGCATGCTAAGGGCCAGCTGGAAAAGATAAGTTAAGGCGGGAATGGCATCCACGAAGCGACGAGGCCGTCCAACAGGGTTGCCCATAAAGGTATTGAGACAAGAAAAGGTACCGTCCAAAAGAATGAGCGCAAACCCAATCCACTTGATCAAAACCTTCTCTTTATGGCGAGGAAAGAGTCGGATGAGCGTTTGGACCTGTGCAAGCCAGAGGAAGATATCCGACACAACTCGGGATACCTTAATTTCGGTGCTATCCACCACCTGGTCCCGCAGCGCCGCCGCGTCCATAAACCCCGTGTCGTATTGCCGGCTGGCAACTTTGAACGTATCCGCGGTGGCGATCGACAGCGACACGGCAACCGTTAGCGCCGCAACCTTTTGAAGCCAAGGTCTAGAGCCAACACCGATGACGGATGCGCCACCGGTTGCACCACTGATCATGCCACGCCGTCCCAACAACCCGGTAAATGGAGTTGCCCCATTGGCAAAAAAGGTCCGTGGAGTGATGAGAAGCATCACCACGAGCATCCAGGCAATGACCGTCGCGGCAGCAGTCGCGTATGTCTGGGGGATGACCGAAGCATGAAACGGCTCGCGAGCGTTCGATATCCCTGACACGGCAACGCTATTAGGATCTACGATGGGCGACGAGGTGCAATCTGGAGTAAATAGCACACCCGCAGGTATTGTGATTGTCGAGGTCGGATTCAAGACAATCAGACCGTCGACTAGAATTGGGATAGGGGTGCAGCTCTGCATAGAAAGGCGCCGATTAGCGGATGGCATGCCATAATGTCGCGACTAGGAGCGGCGAATTGGCTTCCTTGGTGCCGACACTGGGCAGGGGCGGTTTCACTCACTATATCGTTCGACCCGTCCGACATCGTGGCCGTCTCGGAGGAAAGCATTTGGCGTGGCTCGACATGGTTGCGCTCGATCCACGGGCGCATGGCGAAGTGGCCGGTCGAGGTTCGACAAGGCCGATGGTCAGCAGCGAAGTGGAATGAGTAGCATGGTGAAGCGGAGGGCAAGCGTAGAATATAGAATATCCTGGTGCTTGTCGTATATAGTAGAGGACTTGGACGGAAGTTCTTATTGTACGCAACACTCCAACATGAACAGTAGCGATAGTGGTGCAGAACTTAGTAGTGGCGAAGTGAACGGATGGGGACTGGAGTCTAGTATTGTGGAGTGGCGGGCGGAGAGGAGACAAGACGCCAAGATGTGAAGGTGCCAAGACGCGAGAGAAGCTTCAAACTCATCCAAGGCACCAAGGCTCTAAGGCTCCATCGTCCCCACCAGGCCTAGCATATCAATGTCCAGTTCGCAGCGCTGTTGTGCTCTATTGATCGTCCTTCTCCCTTTTCTCATATCATGATCAGTCATGTTGATATCGTATTACGAATATTTTGTAATCATTATGTTTCGTATACCATTACCCTTTCCGTTTTGATGCATATCGGTAGAGTATATTGTCGCAGCTCTAGTCCGTAGTAACTTCAGTTTCTCCTGGCTTCAAGTTCTGGTTCTATATTTGCATGTCACTCAAAGGGGGTCGATCCATCCGAAGTTAGAGACACGGTAGGATAGCTGGTCCAACTCAACGTGAAGCCTTGCAATGCCATCGGGAGCAACCCTTCTTTGCTTGACTCTTCCAAAGCAGAGAAAGAGCCTGGAATGGATTGGAATGGAGGCTCTGGGCAGGAATCATTGCAGAAATTTCAGGACAGCACAACCAACCTGATTTGCATCGCGTGAATACATTCTCCTGAATCCCTGACTTTGACAGGCCATCGCGTTTGGATGACTTGTCAAGGTGGAGGGTGGCGCAACAGGTATAATGATTGCAGGAGGTCTGCGTGTTTAAGTTAAGTCTTACCTTCTGATGCAGAGTAAGTTAGCTTCTCCTTCCATAAGAGGTCGCTAGGATATTACTGTGTGTCCCTTAAGATGCACTTAAATCTGCGGTTGATATCAGATTGCGTGTTTCATCACTACAATAGGTAGGTATGTATTGGTGTATATGGTCCGCCGGACAACGTCCTGACAATATTTACCTCTACCAGCCCCGAACGATTCACAAAGTCTATCCCACACCACGTCCATAGCATCATGTTGCTCGATATCCTAGTCATGACTCTTATATGATCTTCGGAAACCCGATGGCGCGAGCTATCATATCGATCGCGCGAAATAGAAACCGTTCCTGGTGCGCAAACTTCCCGGAAATGCTCTTGAGCCAGGTGTGAGATATTGATTGCCTACGAGGGGCAACCCAGACAACGCAATCTATCCACATTGCTCTTGGTCATTTCCACACAGCAGAAGTTACTGATGGGAAATTTCAAGCGAAGCATCCCGACACCCGGCCTAGGTAATTCGGAGAATGGCAATGGCGAGATGGGTCGCGGAAAACCCGACCTACGCCACCTCCACAGGACGGGTTGCATCCTCGGAGCAATGCTATTTCAACTCGTAGGTTCGGCAGTATGGTGATTGGCGGACGATCTTGGCTCGACGGCGTTAAGGACTGAGGACCTCTCACTCCCTGTTTCCTCCCCATTGATATTGGCTGGATGCTCATCAAAATTTCATATCTTTCAGTTTCTATTCCTGGAGTCAACTTCAATGACACAAACCTGGTTTCGATATCATACGGCACACGCCGCTGTTCGAATGATTCGACGGAATTGCGCCATTACTATCGCGTCTAATTCCCAAGACCGTTCGGCCTTCATGTCCGGTATTTAGGGAAAGGCACTATGGAAGCACACCTGGCGCACTCAATACTTTTACTAGTTCTTTTCTTATCAGATATCGCGAGTTCTCCCATCGTAAAGCCAAGGCTTCCCTATATCCTACAGATGTACCTGCTCTTTGGTTCTGGCTGATGTCGTCTGCTATGTTAGTCCAAGCGTAGGGTTCGGACCGCCAGTTCAAGATGCACCATTTCCCTACTGCACGCGTATCTCATCTGTTCCTGGTGCAAATCCAACCTTGTCATCTGAGCTGGAGCCTTGCATGCCACAGACCAGTGGAATGACAGCCAGGGATCTGACCAAGCCATCCATTCCCCCCCGGGGGAGTACCCAACCAGACCGAACTTACTTTATCCGCATATAAAGTCAATTAATATTTACATATTAGACAAGAGTATCCGAATAGTCCGTCACAACATTTCATTTGCTCCGGTCTATGAACTCCCCATAGTGCAATCTCTTATTCCGGTTTTCGCCCTCGGTATTCCTTGTCCAGCGTGTCATTTTCCTTCGCATCTCCAACCCTTTGACGTCGTGACAGCGTAATTACCGGGTTCAACAGTCGTGCTGACAGGTGATTCCAGGGCCAGAACATGCCGAACTGGCATCCAGATTGCAGGTGTGGTATTTACGGCAACAACATGAGGTCAGTGCATTCGGTCTATCAGAAGGCATCAACTGACCCGTCCTTCGCCACATGAGTTGGACAAGGGGTAGTCAGAATACTGTATATATGAATGGCGTGTCGCCGGTCTTTTTCTTATGGTAAGTCTTCACCTCACTTCGCCAAATTCAGACTTCCCTCTCATTGTCACTCCTTTTGGTCAACCAACCCTGACAAACTCAGCAGTCATGGGTATCCAATCTAACATCCTGCTTTCTGCAGGCCTCATCGCATCTCATGTCCTCGCGGCTCCCCTGCCTGGTGCTGACCCTCAAGATATCAGCACTAGCGTCCCGGGCGGCGGTGTCGCCTCGCTGGGCAACTTCGGCTCGTCGGTAGCATTTGAGCCGGGCACGGAGCCCGAGCCGCTCCCCTATTGCGAACCATGGTGGTGGTATTTCGTCTATCCCGACTACGATCCGGATGCGGAAGAGAACGGCTCGGTGTACGTCTCCGCCGGCAGCGGAACCACCAGCTCCGTCACAATCGATAGGCGTCAGACATCCTCCATTGGCAACGTCGGCAGCAGCGTGAGCTTCGAGCCAGGTGCTACGGCGGAAGAGCCAGAAGAGGCCCCGGAGTGCCAGCATCGCCCTCGCCCGAACCCGGATGGCAAGCACAAGCGTGGCGACGATCCCGGTGCGATATCCGCCATCGGTAATGTCGGTTCGACCGTCACATTTGAACCGGGTGTGGAAGCAGAGCCATCGTGGCCTGGGCGTCCGGGGAAGGGGAAGGGAAAAGGAAAGGGCAAGGGCAAGGGCGGTGATTGGGATGACGGGCATCATGGAGGTGACGGACACCATGGAGGCGACGGACACCATGGAGGCGACGGACACCATGGTGACTGGAACGACGGAGACTGGAATCATGACGATAAGCCTGAACCTGGCACCATTTCCGTCAGTGTGAGCGGCGACGATTGGATCCACTCATCCTAAGTCATGGAAGCATATATCTGTGTGTATGTTCGACAGCCGTATCTGATGCATTCGGTCCATTGATCATGCTGTACCATCTTTTACTGTACATATTGATTATATTGATTTATAATGTGGTTGGTGGCCCTTTGAGAACTCCGAAAGCTTGATGCAACGTATGAGAGCGAATGGTATGTAGAATGGCTTGAAGCATGAAACATAAAAAGTAAAAGGCTACAAGCTTTGGAAAGGTAATAGCACAGACCATTCTTGCTTGGAAGGTCTGTAGTTAGCATATTATTGCTTTAGATCAGATTCTGCACCAATACTTAAGGAACAATAAACATTTCCGACATCAATAGCTATTGAGCTGAAGATGGATGAGGGAATCAAACCTTAAGGACGTCGCCGAGGAAGCCATTATCCTCAGATCTTGCGGTACGGAATACCAACAATGCATTTCAGACAATCCTGGTACATACGCCCTACAAACGACGGAAAGCTACCCACCGGGAATGAATCCTTCGGTTCCGAGTGCCAGTGATTAATACTGAAGTACGGTACCCAGGGCGGGAATTCCATATAGTACTGCTATTTATACTTGCTTGACCCAGATCGGCCTTGACGATGCTTCCATCCTTGGTGGACCGTCGTCGAGATTTGGCTACACCATCTTCAATGGATGGACTCCTTGATCCTGTCCCGTGAGCTGGGAAGCATTGACCCGTCGTTGCTTCGCCGCTATTTCACAAACCGGCAGATCTATGCCTTGCAACGCTCCCTTACCACCTTTGACGACGGTCACGGAGTTCCTGTTCTTGCGGAGCTGCCAAAGCTTCCTTCTAGTGGAGTGAATGCTCTGGCCGTGGATGGAGGAGAAGGGCGGTTGTACGTTGCATGTCTCAACCTCCTTGTGCATGACGCTTACATGATTATCGACAAAGGCTCCTATCAGGCTCTGCAGATGGCAGCGTGAGGATATGGGATCTCGCGCAGACCTCACCTTCTGATCTCGCTCCCCGCCTCCATCCAACTGCGACTCTTCGAGGCACCCCTCAGGTCAAAGTTCACTCCCGAGTACCGAATCCGTCGAAAGCGATAGCTCATACGGCCGGTATCACATATATATCGTTCTATCCGTTTGACCCGAATGCACTGCTGTCCGCAGGTTACGACCATCGGCTGCTCCTCTGTTCAACCGATCCCTTGTCGCCGGTCGTATCGTTCTCTCTGTCGGCGCCTATTCACACTGCGGCTCTGTCGCCCATAGCCTCCCATCTTCTATGCGCTGCGGGAACGGCTGACCCATATGTGCGATTGGTGGATCTGAAGAGTGGCTCCAGCAGTCACAGCCTTTCCGGGCACCACGGCGCGGTACTTGCTGTGGCATGGAGCCCCATAAGAGAATGGGTCCTCGCATCTGGGGGCGTTGATGGAACCGTCCGACTCTGGGATATCCGGAGAAGCTCGTCTTGCGTCGGCCTGCTTGATGCGGGGGACACTCGGGGTATAATTGGCCGTGACACGACAGCGAAATTCGGCGGCGGTGCGCACGATGGAGCAGTCAACGGTCTAGCGTGGACGGAGGATGGGAAAATGCTTGTTTCAGCGGGTCATGATTCGGAACTGCGCGTGTGGGATGGGATGACGGGTGCTGACCAACTCATCACCTTTGGTCACGCAATTCAAAACTCGCACGTTGGAAACGTCACTCCTATCCATGTACCTCGTGCTGTCACAGCGCCCGGAAAGAGGATCGTCTTATGGCCGAATGAGAGGGAATTGCTCATGGTCGAGATAACCGACGGGACGGTTATAAAGCGTTTGGCGGTTCCAGGCCACTTGATCGCTGCTGCGAGTGGTCGCTCTCAGCGACGTGCGCCGGGACCGTTGAAAACTCGAATCACTGCCGCATCATATCGAGGAGGGGGGGCCGTAGAGGTCTATTCTGGTTATTCGGACGGCTCGATCGTGGCCTGGAAACCGAGAACGACCGAAGAATCCCTAGTGGAGGATTTGGGGGAAGTGGTTGGGGAGTTTACAGGGCGTGACAGGGACGGCAAAAGAAAGGCTGATATTCTCGATGATGTGCTGCAGGACATATCACTTAAACGTCCACCCAATCCTTTCTGATATTGAGTATATTAGGAGAATGGCACTTAGATATGAGATCTGGTACGGGTTTGAAGTATTCCTAGAGCCTGAATCAGGTCGGACTCTTTCAATGAGACATCGGATTCATTCTAGTATTCAGGACATGGTATGCTCCGTATTTTACTGTTCAGCCCTACATTTATCGAAAATTCAAGAATCAAGACGTATGCAGATTGCAGCATCGTGTACTCCATCTCTTCTCCGCAATTACCGGGAGCAGCCTTGTTCGACCCTGTGGTCGATCGCACTAACCCCGACCTCATAACCTTGGCTTTAAATCCTAAGTTAATACCCCATTCTTTCATGCATATACGTATGATCTACAATTCTATATGTAACCAGTACTCTACCTACATTCGTCTCACTGCTTGCCCTCCCGGCTCCCTGAAGTTGGCCACATCGTTATGCTCTCCCGACAATGAAGCGCCGACAGTGCTCTCGCAAACATGCGCCTCCTCGATCTATTGTGTCTTCTTCCTCTCCTTAGCATCCTAAACTATGTTTCAGCGCGTGCGGACGGCGGAATCGTAAAGCCTGGCGATCACCCAACCAACAGTCCGATATCCATTTCGCTCTTCTCCGAACTGGAGGAGCTGGCACGTCTAGTCGACATCGCATACTGCGTCGGATCGTTAGGTCTGGGCGTTCAAAAACCCTTCCGGTGCGTCAGTCGATGCCATGACTTTCCGCATATGTCACTCGTTGCGGTATGGGCCCCGGAGGCATTGTACTTTGTAGGATCAACGAACTAACGGGCCTCAGACATGGCATACTGGACCCTTTCTCTCCGACTCGTGCGGGTATATCGCAGTGGAGAAGAACCCGTCCGGTCCTCCCCGCGTTATTGTAGCCTTCCGCGGCACCTACTCCATCGCGAACACGATCGCGGACCTATCCACGATCCCTCAAGCATACGTCCCATATCCCTCTGACCCCACTTCGCCGACAAGTTCTATTGCTACAGCGGCCGTTCAGGCTCGCTCTACCCACCATATCGGATCAGACTTGCCTTTTAAGAACGGTGAGGATGTTTCAACATCCGTTCCGTGTCCCAATTGTACGGTCCACTCCGGGTTTTTAGGGACATGGCTCAACGCACGACGTTCCATCCTTCCAGAACTGCTTCCGGTCCTCCAGGCCAACTATAATGCGACGCTTCACATTGTCGGGCACTCGCTCGGCGGGGCGGTTGCCTGTCTGGCAAGCCTCGAACTGCTGGGAAGAGGATGGGACCCCGTTGTGACTACATTTGGCGAGCCGATGGTTGGGAATCGAGCGTTCGCACAATACGTCGAGGACCGCTTTGACGTGGGTTCTGATACTTCAGGCGACGAGAAGTTCGGGGTTCAACGGTATCGACGCGTCACGCATATCAATGACCCCGTTCCTTTTCTGCCCCTCGAGGAATGGGGATATGCACCGCATAGTGGTGAAATCTACATCACGGCACCTCAACTCCCTCCAGCGCTGGACGATATAATCTACTGTTATGGTCCTGCCGACGCGAACTGCAGCCGCAGCGCAGTAGATTCCGAAGCCGCGCTGTCCAGTGTCGACCTCCTGGCCGACGATATGGATGGCACCAATCTACTCGTGCAAACATCTGGTGACGGGACGAAATCGGAGCTGGAGGCCCAGTGGTGGCTTCGAAAAACACTTGGTCGATGGGCTGGTGGAATCAAGAATCCAATCCCGGGGAGATTGCAGCTTTGGCAGCTATTTTTTGCCCACCGTGATTATTTCTGGCGATTAGGGCTGTGCGTTCTAGGAGGCGATCCTTGGGACTGGGGTGGTTATCCTTATCCCGGGAAGGATGCGGGGGATAAAATTGTTAGGAATGAAAAGATCAACTTGGATCTGTAGCAACCTTCAAGCCAGGACTCGAGGCGGATGAACACGGTGGGAATTGGCGATGTGGTCGTTTGATCATTAAGATGAGTTGTGCTGCTGCAATTACATCGCCTAGATCGTAGAAATATGAATTATGTCATTTCCCTTTGGATGAACGAATATCAGTCTTAATTATGTCCACGCTTGATGGCCACGTCCCTAGCATTACCAAAGATTCAACATCTTCAAAATATCATATCGCGCAAAAAAGCTTCGGTTTTTCTTTCCGAAGATGTCTTCCGGGGATATTAGCAGAGTTCGAGGGCAAGAGGGGTTGTTGGAGAACCTACACAGGAGGATTGTTGTAGCACACACCGCGACTTGAACGCTTCCCAGTATCACGAATATGTGCTTGATACCGGATTCTACCAGCCATTGGTAGCCCCTGAAGGTGAGACCAAAACTGAACACATTCTTGAACACCATCATGCACGTGAAGCCCTCAATCGAGATGTTGCCTGCCTTGATTAGTACCGTTGCACACAGGTGAAGGGGCGGGGGCGAATGGGTATAAGACTTACGATGGGCGTCGACAATGTACAAAGCGCTCGCGACAGCGCCGATCACCATGCCAGCCACTTCCAAACCGAAGAAGAAGTCCGGCAAGACCCAACCATATTTCCATGTATTGTTGGCCGTAACCCCGAAACCATAGAGACCAGCGCACCCCAGGATCAACTGCGGAATAACGAGCACGAGTCGGAATTCTGGCTCATAGACGCCTTTGTTCTTCTTGGTCATCCACGCTGGAACCAGATCGCCGACGATTCCGGCGATCAGGAATCCGAAGAAGGCACCGATAAACGCGCCCGTGTACATATACCCGGTTTTGACCTCGTCGAAGAACAACGGGGGACCCAGCATGATGGCCGCAAGCACGATTCCAAGAAACACGGTCCATCCGATCAGCGTCCCTTGAATGAGACACGCCCAGATAATGCTCGGGTGGAAAAAGAGCGGCAAGGGTCGCAGCAAAAGTTTGAAAAGGTTTTCGTCGGTCTTTCGCCCGTTAAATGGCATCATGCGTTTCACAAAGGAGTCTCGTTGGCCGTGTAGTGTGGATTCGGCCGCAGGGACTGGGGCGGCGGAAGACTCATTGGAAGGCTTCTCCATGCTGTCATGTACCGAATCTTGCGGGTTTGTGTTAGAGTCCCCGATCACTATATCGGCGTCATTCACCAGGGCCTGTCCCATGAGTGTGACCTGCGTGTCCGTGTTCAGTTTCGCGTCCCGGCGGAATGCCGTTTCCGGGATGAAGAGTATTAGGATGGGAAGCATGACCCCTGAAAAGATGGCCACAAAGTAAAAACACCACGGCCATCCCATGTCCTTGGCCATTCGGCCGACAATGACTGGCGTAAAAAAGGCACCCCCGAAAAGCGCCAGATTGGACAGCGCCATCCGTTTTGCGCGCTGGTGAACAAAATAGAGATCGCCGACGGATGCATTGACCAGAGCCTCGAACGGAGCAAGTCCGACACCTTGGAAGACCCGAGCCCAGGTCAGGGAGACGAAGTTGTCGGTCCCGGCTGCTCCACCCCAGGCGCTACTAAAGATGATAAACACGCAGCCGATCAAGTAGCAGTGCCGCTTTCCCCACACTCGAGCGGATGGCACGAACAGGAAACCTGCGACGCCGACTCCTAGAAGATGCCATCCTGTCAACAGCGCCACATCGTTGAATGTCCGACCGGAAAGTAGGGAGAGTTTGAGGGTGATCGCGGCCAACACCGGCGACAGAGTACTGGCAATAACCGAAAGCAGAGAGAGGAGGAACAGGATCAGATCGCGCTGCCACAACGGCCAATTCTTTGTCGGATTCGTTAGCCCGATACATGCGACGGGTCGGTTTTCGCGATGGACATACCAGCGGATCATTGGGATCGTCAGATGGCTGCGGCACCAAAATGATGGGGGTTTTGCCGGAGCGGTCGTATTTCAGGTTCGGATCGGCGGGAATCATGCGACTTCGATCCTCGTCGTCGAGCACAAAGGCGGTACCTAAAGAAGGAGAATTGAGTTAGGAAGCTAACATCGGAGATACTGGAGGTTTCCACATCACATACCAGGAACATGGTCCAACTTCGTGTCGTCGAGAATCCATAAGCCCATGGTGACTGGTTATAGGGAGCGTTGAGGACGGAACAATGGAGAAGTGAAGCCAATGCTACGTAGAATGGAGGGTTGACTAGAGGCGTTGGATATTGGGACTGGGTCGCTCCAAGGGACAAGCGAACATAATGGGGTCCACGCGCAAGAGGTCTACACAGGGCGGGATCCAAGGATTTAAATGAACGTAGAGGGCGAATGAACGACCAAAGAAAGGGGAAGCAAAGATCAAGGGCCAAAGGTCAAAGGTCCTTATAGCATGGTGGACGGTATGATATATAGGAGGGCAAAGGGAGAGGAGGGGAGTGGTTGGAGAGGAGATTTGGGGGAGACGAGTTGACAATTATTGACAAGCCAATGTGCAGCAGCAGCCATGAACCTTCTTGATTGGGGAGATCAGCAACGGTGACCGCTTTGACCGCTGTGGCTGCAATAGGAACTAATACGAACTAATTAATACGGAGTAGTTACGGAAGACTTCATTCGTACTGAACAACACAAGTCACGACGGCATAAAACAATGAAACAGTGAAACAGTGAAACATGCATATTGCACCAGCATGGAATCTCCGCATTTCCCTCCAGATTAATATGTGATGTGCAGCTTTCATAGGTAGGACATAGTCACATAGACCATAGTTAATATCACACTTCACAATTCAGATCACATGAACACAGGGGATGCGTTACACATGATAGTCCATCACGTGCCCACCCCTCCAAGATTATTGATTTCTGTTCCAACGGAAAAACTTGCCAACAGAAGGTGCCATCACCCGCAGCTACCACCCGCCGATCCACCCCCATTAGTGGCCTACAGTTATGTGCGAATCACATACGATCGATCGTCTTTCTTTTAGGAAAGCTCATCTCCGGAGAGTGACTACGACAACTACGTCGCACAGTAATTGGTAATTGTTGCCAAAGATGTTCTCATTCTTGGTGAAATACAATACACGTCCAATTCCGATGCAAATCCAATCCAGTATCCGAGTCGTATACACATCCGTCCGCGTCTGGGACAGTCTCACTCTTAGTCCATGCCGTGATCCCCAGCAACCCGCTGGGTATGCTATGACCTATGACCTATGTACTCCCCGTCAGTGGCACCTATCCACATGACGCCGGCTGTCTGACCTGCCGTTGACAGTCAAGCATGCGCCAATCCAAAGCCTCCAACGCGAGCTCCGGTCGCGATCCGTAGTATCGAGGGGCAAGGAAACTCCCCTCTGACAATCGGGGGAACATGTGGGGTATCCAGGCACCAGTCGCACACCCCAAGGAAACTCCGAAGCCCTAACGTATTGGGTCGTCCATGTCCAACCCCCGAAACAAACCAACGCCACGAGTGTGACACTTGAAGGGAGTCGTCCAACTGAGGGTTCTTCTCCTTCCAATCTAGGGAAAATAAAACAAGGTCCGAAAGTGAAAATGGCGTGGTTAGCAGGGAGAATCCGTCCCGCTGCCGGAAATGCACACGCGGTAGGTACTGGCATGGATCGAAACGCCCCGTGCAATGCAACCGAGCCAGTGGGATGTGCATCCGCCTTGCCGTTGCAAATTTGCATATATGAGATTCGTGCAGGAAAGAAATGTAAGCAGTGAATACCGAAAAAGGCACTAAGGCCCCAAACTCCATGATGCCCGATTGGTAGCAACAAGAAAGCCAGGGAGTGTTTGGTGAGGATCCGGGAGCGGTAAATGCCCATGAACCTCCGCATTACGCCTACGAGGTTGGATATATTCAATATTTCGGTGAACTCGGTAACCGGGGATTCGGGGGCGTTGCCATGCGAGCAATCGGCGGCGTGCTCATCCTCGGGCTGGCAGCCGGCGAGCCCCTCTTGGACGACCCACCGGATCGCTGCCGTTGCATGGGAACGGTCGTAAGGGAGGCGCGCTTGGCCTCTCGCTCGGCAGCGGCTCGTTGCAGCTTTTGCGTCTCTAACTTGCGTCGGAGGTTTTTGTGGCGGGATTTGGCGTATTCGAGAACTGCATTGGACGAATGTTAGCGAATGAACGGGATATGAAAGATACAAAGCCACACAAGGTCGTGGAGCATGGAATTGAAGAACCTAAGGAACATACCCTTTTCGATCGACGATCGATCATCTCTTTCGATCCCCGTAATCGCCTCGGTTGCCTCTTGATTATCGCCAACCTCTAACACCACCTCCAACATCCTGATCGCGGTCATATAACACACATCGCACCCTTCCAGGTCCTGGTTCATTAAATCATTTACAGCTGCCTGTTGGCACATCTCGTGTGCGCGTTCGTACATGATCTTCTCGGCCGTGACCCCAGTCGATAAGAAGACCCGCTCCATGGATGCGACCACTCCGCTGTTGTGGCTGATGTCGGACCGACTGATGCTGTCGTGCGGATGGTTGTTTGGATGCCCAGGATGATTTAACGGGAGCTTGTTCTGCGCGTCCTTTAGCTTATGCATGGCGAAGTCCGCTTTCTCCCCACACTCGTTATATCTCGCACGACCCCATTGGATGACATTGTTGATGCGCCTGAACATGGGCGGTGGCTCCGACGACGATCCAGGACGCGACCCGGATGGTTCGGAACTAGGGCCGGGTACGGTGTTCTTCTGCCTTCCCCACCAGTTCCCGCCGATATCGATCACGCGCTCAAGCATTTCGAGCGCTTTGATATAAAGCACGAGAGCCTCTTCGCAGATGGTGATGATGATGTCGACCGTGAAGCCATCGTCATCGGTGTCGTTGGCCTCTTGATCGCCGACTTTAGGGTCTCCGGCACCAAGGCCGAGGCCGAGACCACGGTTCTCTGAGGGCGGAGCTGGGACCAATTGACGATACTTTACTTCCGCAAAGCCGTATACAACGTCGCTGCGGGACGCGAGCTCTTCGAGGTACAAGACAATCTTCGCATCTTCATCTTTGGGCTCACTTTCGACCTTTCCGCCGTCCCCAACAACTACGAGGCTGCTCTGCCCGACCGTAGGGTATGTGGGGAAACCGGCATAACCTTTGGGGGGGGATAACCGGCCGGGTGGTGAGAACCCCATGCCTAGATTCAGGAGTCGAATGTTTGCCATATTCAGAGCTTTTGAAATCGTAGAGGTGGCGGAGCCAGGGCTCGGACCGTACCGTCGTTCATATGAAATGCCTTGCGGATGGTCAGGGGTTTGCTTGTTTGCGATTGCAATGGCCCGTGTCGGGTTTGTATCAGCACCTGTCGTTGAAGTGGGTTGTCCCTGTGTCGTGGCCCGACGAATCACCACGGGTTGTTGTCGCTTGCGTAATTCCCCTGGCTGATCTCGCTGAATGTGAGGACTATAGTTCAGTTCGTCCGCCAAAGCATTGATCTCCAGCTGTCGTCTGTCAACCACCACGTAATCACGTTCAAACGCCACATCATGTGCGGCTTTTTCCCGTTCACGCGCTTCCCGGTCTCGCGCTTCCCTCACCACCCGTTCCTCGGCCCCTTTCGGGGTTCGTTCGCGGTCAAGGTGCTCCTTGAGTACGGAAGCAGTCGGCGATGCGCGGCTGTTGCGGCGCTCCATCAGCATGGCTGCAGCTACGGGGGTACGTTCGCGCTCCGGGGCACGTTCGCGCTCCGGGGCTGCTAGTGGCGCCGTCGCGGGTGCCGTTGCGTGACCGGTCATGGTCGGACGACGATCAGTTCTCTCGGGGAGTTGGACATCTTTAGCGGAGGTTGGAGGGGTTGAAAAACGCTCCTCCCGGGATGATGGCCTTGATGTGTTGATGACTGGGGTTCCGGAGGCAGGTCGGGCAGGCTTTTGCGAGGATGTGGCACGGTGACTAGATGGGATGCTCTCTGGCTTAGATCGTTCCCTAGCCTCTCGAGAGAAGCTCGATGACTGTCTTTGCAGTGAACTGATTGAGGCCGATTTCGATGCCTGTGCAGCATCTTCGCCTACGAGATTGGGGATCTCGTCCACGACCGCCGGATGTTCGAACAGTCGCTCAAAACTCATGCGCTGTGTGGCAGATGATTTGAGAAGACCCCGGATGAGGTGGTCCACCGGTTCGCTAATCGCCATGCCCTCGACATACTCGACATTGTCGCGATTTTTCTGGATCTTTTTTAACAGATCCACATGATTGCTAGCCCGAAATGGAGGTCTGCCGACCATCATCTCATAGATCACAGTGCCGACCGACCAAAGATCAGCCTTGGCATCGTACCGCTGATATGAGAGGATCTCGGGAGCCATGTATAGGGGCGATCCACAAAGCGTCTCTGCCATGGATGTTTTCGGCAATGATCGGGCAAAGCCGAAATCGGCGATTTTCAACACTGGCAAAGATTCCAGTCCGACCGAGGGAAGAAATGAGCCCTTGCTTGCCGACATGGGCATCTGATCGGATTTGTGTTTCGCGTACCAGAGCGGGGACGGGACGAGGAGGAGGTTTTGGGGTTTGATGTCCCGATGGACGCAGTTCCGATGATAGAGGAACTCCAGCGCGCAGACGATTTGCTTTAGAAAATGGCGGACAATCACCTCGTTCAGGCCGCCAACCGGCGGGTTGGGATATTTTTTCATCATCTCCGCCGTGGTGACGTGCTGGTGGAGGGTGTCGCGGCATTTGATAAACTGGGATAGATCGCCCAGTTCGCAGAACTCGGTGACGATATGTATATACAACGTCTCCTTGACGCACCTGATGAGAGCGACGACATGAGGGTGGTGCATGCTGTGTAGCATTGCAATCTCCGCCTCGAGGTTTTCTCGGAGTTTCTTGCTCAACTTGGATAGGTTGACGGACTTGATTGCAACGACGGTGCCGCGTTCCTACATAGGCCGCGTTAGTGAGGGGATCCAAGCCATGAATCACCGTGGGAGCTCCTCTTTATCAAGATCCACGGGGTGGGGGGCACGAGATTTCCTATTTACCATATGAACGCCCCTGTAGACCCTCGCGAAGCTACCTTTCCCAACTTCGTCCATCCGTCGGAACTGACCGACTATTACGGGCGCGCTAGAGGCCACGGTCCGACGCGAGCTCGAGCTCGAGCTCGATGGAGGCGGTCGTGCAGCCATAGTGAACGTCCAATCTCGGCGGCGACAGCCGCGATGCGGCGGATGACGATCGACTCGACCGGATGTCTCCCCGTGCACTACGTACTACCAGTGAAGATGAGGGTACAGCGTAGCGGTCAAACGATTGGACATGGATGCAGTGGAGGTTGAGGGTATCCGAACGAGCGACGATGGTGTAGATTGCCTTGGTGTCGTTACGAGGGATATACGTCGAAGGGATATACCTCGAGTATTATGTTTGATCGGTCGTCTATGTTCAAGGTGAACGAAAGGGTCGTTGAAGAAGTCGGGTGTTCGGGATCGGTGGCCAACACCAGCGATCCACGGAGCGGATTGGTGTTGGGAACTGGGACAGGGACCGTTGGACGTCGATGTCGAGATGGCGAGGGGATATGTCGAGGTGTGGGGAGGGGGGCGAATGATATTGGCTTATCAAGTGATGGCGGGCGTGGTGTGCAGCCAGGCAGCTATCAGGTCCCACTTCCCAGGCACCAGGCCGTTAATCGACGTTCCAGGTCTGTTATCAGGTGCGGGTTGGTGGGATATTGAGGGCTGTGGGGATGGAGACTCGCAGGGTGGAAGGAAAGAAGTAGATTAGATGGTGTGCAGACATGCAGCGATGAGAATAGAAAAGGAAGTACAGGTATCTAATATAGTATGGAGGTATGATGGGTAATGATGGCTCAGGTGTAGGCGGAGCGGGTATCATGAGTTCAAGGCTGAGCAGTCGAGGAACGGAAGAGGAGTTGAGATGAGTGGATGGAAGCGGGCGTCAGGAGGGCGAGGAGGAGGGGAGGAGGAGGAGGATGAGGATTGATGGTGGTGATGATCGAGATAGCCAAAGGGTGGTGGTGACTTGGAGTAGCCAGTGACAGAGTCAGGTGTGAGCCAAAGTCAAGGTCAAGGTGGAGGTTTGACTCCTCACTCCTCTCTGGGACGATGCAGTGCAGTAGTGTTGAGAGTCTGGGCCTCTGGGGTGGTGGTGTGGGACTGTGGGTGAAGAGGGTGTGGTGGAGTACTCCATATTCCCTCCTCCGTCCGTCCCGACCAGAATATTTAATATTAATCACGACAAAGGGAGGCTAGCACTATTGATCCTCACATATCCCGATTACCGGAATAGTTGGGATTACTAGCTATAGGATTTACTATTTGATTGCAATGAACGTTAATCACCATGCTGATCCGGCTGCCGCAGTGATCTGCTGCACAGGCAAGTGCCTGATGACTAGAAACTCTAGTCACATGTATGATGCAACTGCACGTGAGCAACAGCAACTGCAAGGCTTATAAGGTGTTAAGGCACATATGACACTCCTTGCATGCTTCCACCACGTGACTAGGTTCCACAATCCTAATCCATTCATTCTCGAGTTCTCGACTGAATTAAACACTGAATTGCACTGACTGAATGGAACTGAATGTACACGAACCAGAACTCACTTAAGGCTGAACCCAAACTTCCTGAATGCATGGTTTATAAGACTATCCCGGTCCTTTTCAAGCTCTCCAAACTCTTCCAAGCTGCAACCAATACAGTGTGACTGATCAGTGCCGAGATTGACGGCGACCTTTGTCTAGAAGCGCTCTCGTTAGGCATTGGTGATGGTGGAAGAGGTGGACTACACTGGTGCACGTCCGGGAGAGTAGGATCTGATTGGAAATTTCCTTGATTACTACCTGAATATGACTGCTACGGAACCGATGCATTAACTCAATGCCACACCATGACATTTTGTCTAGAAATGGAACAATGTATGATCCGATCCAGGTCTAATGAGAAGAAATGAAACCACCCAAAGCAAAAACTCCAGTACCAACTCCTTGTCCTAACGCCTCATAGCCCAGCCTGATTTGCGCGCATGGCAAATATCCCAAATGAAACCCCATGTTTTTCCTTGCTCCGTCGCTCTCAATGTAAGCTCGAAAGTGCCGCTTTCTCGGAAATTCTCTTAACTTCCACGCGGGTTACGCGGCCGAGAATCAATCATCAGCATCATATTCCGTCTGGTTGTCCCGCTTTGGGCCATCCTTGCGGATGGGAATTTTGATGCCTTGACCGGCGAAGACCTTGCTGAGCGGGGTGCTTTCGATGACCCCGGGGAATTTCTTCGCGCTGTACACTTGGAACTGCTGCGAGTACACCGTTGCTAGCACAGGCGCCTTGCTGGTGTTCAGGTTCCCATGTCCGTCACCGACGTCGACGAAGGACATCTTGAGGCGGAATCCCCCTTCCGTGCGGACCGACAAATCTTGGAGCACAAACCAGAAGCCGACATGGCCTTCGGTGTCGTTCAACTTGAACGCATTGACAGAAAGACTGCCGATAAGATTGCGCGTGAACATGCCGACTTGCTGCTGGCTGACCGGGATCGGGATTGCGTGGACGGTCTGATAGCCTGGTGGCTGCGAGGCCGGCATTTGAGCCTGCAGGTAGCCCATCTGCATCCCGCTTTGATGCTGTTGTTGTTGAGGCGGTGCACCTCCCGCTTGGGTCATCGCGGTCGGAGTTGGAGGCATGCTTTGTTGTTGTTGATAGTGCTGTGGATAATCAGGATGAGGGCTGGCATGCTGGGGGGTTTGCGGCATTGATCCCTGTGGCCCCGATCCAGCCGACGCATATCCCATGTGCGGGGGAGGGGGAAGGGAGTGGACCGACCCCATGGTTGAGACCTGCGTGGGATTAAGGAGACCAATGTACGCACGCTCTGGCGGAGGGGGATATCCGCAGACGGTAGAGGTGCTGATCGACACCGCAGGGGAGTTGGATGAATGGCGAACCAGGTTCACTTCCTGGGTGCCCTCCTCATTCCACAAGTCAACGTTGAGCACGAAATACGTGGAGTCAATATCCCTATCAGATATCAGCATGAAACTGAACACCGTGGCGATTCTGGTCGTACCCAGGGTTGATTTCCTCTCCAGTCTTCACGTCCGTGATAATGAGACGAATGCATGGAGGAGGAGTGATGGGTCGACGATCCTAAATGGCAGCGGATTAGCGACCAGCTTCAACGGGACAAGCATGGGCTCTGACATACTTTATCGCCAAAGCCGCACATTCGTGCGCGAACGGGCTGCTGTGCAATGTGCAAGCTGAATTTCTTTCCATCTCGAATCGCTTCTAGAGGAGCGAGAGGTCTTCGAGACTGTTGGGGAGGGATTGGCATCTGAGGATATCCAGGAGGCATCTGTCCGGGCATCCCACCGTGCATCTGTCCTGGCATCTGTCCCGAAACCTGGCCTGGCATCTGTCCCGAAACCTGGCCTGGCATCTGTCCTGGCATCTGGCTTTGCATCTGCCCTTGCATCTGCCCTTGCATCTGCCCTTGCATTTGTCCTGGCATCTGCCCTTGCATCTGGCCTGCCATCTGGCCGGGCATATGTGCACCCTGCATTCCCGGGTGGACCGGGCCGCCTTGGATCGTGCCGCCAGACATGCCGGGGCCAGGAAGAACATGCAACGGTGGTTGTTGCATCATGGATATGGTTCTGTTGCGGTGATATGACGTTCGAGTAGGAATGGGAAAGGGAATGGGACGACGTCCGTTCGGCGTAGCAGTCGGTTACAGCGCCGTGGGTGGGGGAATTCTAGCGGAGTCGGTGGGAAGGAATTGGAAGAGGAATGAGATGGGGAGGAGAGCTGAGCTGAGAGGTGAGAGGTGGTCGGAGAGGGTTATATACTATGGTACCGGAGGGTTGAAAGGACCGATTAGGAAATATAGCGGTACGGTAGCCAATTCAACATCGAACCATGGAGCTCTGGGACCAGGCGCGCCGATGATGCATTGCGAGCGGGACAATACCGATGTCCGATGATGGTCTGGATGGAACGGAGTAATAGAGTGTGGGTGAGATACGACAAGTAAGGGACAACCAGCCCAACATTAATAGACACTGGTGAGAGAAGTGTCAACTGAGGAGGCCGTCGGTGTGGTGAAGAGTGAAGTGGATGAGATGAAATGGAAACTGGTGAACCAAGACGCCAGACTGGACATGGATGGACAGGACAGGGACGTTGACGGTTGAAGTTGCCTCAGCAGCTTCGGTGCAAGTCGGGGTTAAGGCGTTAAGGCATAAAGGTGTCAACTCCATGGCCAAGCTGGACAGGGGCTGTACATGTATTAGTGTACCATAGTTGTATTAGTGTACCACGGCTAGTACATCATAGCCAGTGGAAATCTGGAACGTCAGCTCAGCTCGGGTTTTGTGTGGGTGAGAATTTACACTAATGGAGCTTGAACCCAAAACTAAACTTCATTTCATCATTACTGTACATGGTAGGTAGCGCGGACCAATGATCATTCGTCCATTCCCCAAATGACTCAGGACGTGCAGCGATTTGTTCGGTACTTGCCTACTTGGGTCATGGCCCCATGGGTGCTATGTATTCCCACATCCCCATCATGATCCAGGGGAATGAACCCTGGATTTCCACTCTGCAGTCTGCACCCTACGTAGTACATCTTTGTTCTGTTCGCCCCCAATCTTCGCCCTGGATCTTCACCCTGGATCCTCACTTCGATAACCTGATTGAGCCATTCAGCTTCAGGTCAACGCCTCGAATTGCGATGGCGACATGGACATGGACCTTGCCTTCCTGCCTGGTCGTTATCAATCTTGCTGCTTGCAGCTCACAACATGTGCCGACATCCCCACAGGTCGTCGACTTGGCCTACAGCCTACAGGATCTGATGAATCAGTCCAATTAAACCCATACCGAGTTCTCCCTGAACTCCTGATTCATGGTCGTCACTTACCGCTACGGCGCTACGTAATAATAGCTCTAGCCTCCAGGTTGTACCCTCTTTTATCGTGAAAGGGGCTCCTCTCACCAATCATCCCCTCTCAGTGAGTTCTCCAGTCTCCTTGCGTACGCCGATCTTCCTTTCCCAAGCCCTTAAGTCACTAAGTGATTATACCCCAGCAACAGGCCAGTATGTATCTCGGGAGTGGCGTATGAGATCCCTCCCAGTTCCCACAAACCTCGGAGGCCCAAGCACCCATCTCCGCCTGGGGTCATCCTGGCTGTTGGGTCCTTGGTGAATGCCGAATGGTGGCTTTGGCAATTGAAAACATGCTTTTGAGGCGACGACAGACCACTTGCTACACCGTTTCAATATGCGCTGTTGAGGCCTTAAAGGCTTGGATCTGGAAATTGTTAGGCGTCTTTTTCTCGACTCCCTGCATATATCTATTTCCATATTATTCCTTACATAATATGATCGTGCCATCACAACTTCACGACTTAATAGTTAGTACTCACCCATCCATGTCGGGATGTCGCATTCAGTCCTCGGATTAAACCCTTGATCCCGGTTCAAATTTCCTCGCGGCTCGCACAGTCTTAAATCTCTCAATTAACGAGTCCTGACTCATGAGATCCATCTCCAGCGACACACCATCGCGCCGAATACGTCAACAGATCAATGGACCGTCGGCGAAAATAAACAATACCTACCTAGAACAGGAACCGTTCCAACCTCTTCTCACTCCTCACACTGCGTCTGGTCGCCGTGGAATTTCCGCAGATTCCATCGTGTTCAGCATTGGGTCCGAAATTGGGCTCAGCGGCATTCTCATTCCCAAGTCGAACCAGTGTCGGTTCTGAGTATTAAGCACGATCAGTACGGTCATGGACACCCGTTTCGCTCTTGCGAAATGCTGGACTCACCGTCATCTTTGTACGCAGGCCACCCGAGTGCGGTCAATCCTCCACTCGGATTCTTTGCGAAACTCGCCCACGCGGACATCATGCTTTTCATGAGGCGATCTTGCTCGGGACTGTTGGGCTCTTTGCTCGTGAGCTCAGCCGTTCCAAAGACCATGGCAAGCTCCGATCCGTGCCAAGCACCTTTGACACCGATATCTTGATTATCGTACTCGCCATAGTACCGGTATCGCCAAGCAGGCACGCCGGCGTTGACTCGCCCATTGACCGCAGCTTTCGATCCGCACGTAAATTGCTGGTTGACAATCGCAAGCGTGGCGTTGACATTGACCGGCGATCCGGCAGCATTTGCGATGACAATGAAAATTCCCCCTTCGTTATCGTTGTTTCCGATGAGCACAGGCTGCGTGATGTTCTAGCGTTTGTGTGGTGAAGTGATGCGGACCAAACTTACTGCTTGAATGAAATCCCCTCGATTTCGCCTGGCTTCGTAGTCAGAGAAGACGATATCTCCATCCGCGACGGGGGTAAAGGGAGTGGAACCGAGTGCTGGAACCGTTCCATTGGGTCTGGTCGCATCCAGTATTTGTTGAGTCGTCTTCCGTTGCATGCACGCAACAGTTTTATTGCCTACTGATGCTCCTCCACAGCCGATTTTCGCGCTTGCTTCGTACCAAGCGTCCCTGACGGTGTCGATTGTTACTCCTCGGTTACTGGCCACCCCGGATTGGGCGATAAAGCCGGTCACAATTGGATCTTCCTTATAGGCGTAGCTGTAGAGGTCCACTGATGCGGCGCCAGCGGACTCCCCAAACAAGATCATGCGATCTGGATCGCCGCCGAAGGCCTTCACATTGTCACGGGCCCATTCCACTGCGAGTCTCTGGTCACGTAAACCAAGGTTCTGTGCCGCGAGGTCTGGTGCAGAAGGGAAGCCGAAGATGTTCAAACGGTAACTGAACGTCGCGGTTAGTTTCTGGACTGCGACGAGGTCCTCATCGCGACTGGACTCACTTCATGCTGACCACAACGACGTCTTGATCGTTCGCCAATCGAGCGCCGTTATATACCGGGGAGGCCCCGCTTCCAGTGTTGAAGCCTGTCACTCGGTCAGTCTCTGTCGTAGTCGTCATGTCCACACTGAATACCTCCGCCATGGATCCATATCATGACCGCCTTTTTCTTTTCGCCTGCCTGCGGTTTCGTCCATACATTGAGATGCAGGCAATCCTCAGATGAGGTTTCATTGACTTGGCTCAGCACTTGGAGCAATTTCCCTGCTCCTGAGGTGTCGCTCGCATTGACCGTAGCAAGGTTCGCAGGGCAAGATCTAGGACTTGTTAGGATCAGTTATATTATGTCGCTCATTGACTCACGCTCCCTTTCCACAATTAGCTGCTTTGAGTCATTTTCGTCTTTCTTGGCTCACTTACAAACTTGTCTGCCTTGATTATCCTGTGTCGATACCCTTTAATTGGCTTTGCGGCTTCGAACCGTTTCGGCTTCTTAGCATATGGAATTCCCAAGTATTCGGATACTTCTGGCTGCCATGATGAGGCATGGCCTATAATCCTACCGCTTGAAGTTCTCACGGTCTCGGGGATGCACCGCGGTCCACCTGCAATCGCGGGTTGTAAGTGTAAGAAGACGCTCAAAGCGAGACTGATCTGAGGGAGAAAGAGCATGTTTCTTGTGTGGCACGTTCGATCTGCCGACGCTCTCAAAATAGCCAATATCCGACCTGAATCTCGAGAGGAACTAGCAGTACCTATCTCCAGCTCTTAAATAAACATAAGAAATCGACCATATATTAAACTCCCTAGATCTCTATGCAGGTACAATGGCTCTAAATTATAATAGGCACGGTAACCTTGCCGGACTACTCGGCTGTTTCAAATATATTGGTCTGCGCTCGGACAATTCGTTACTAACATGAAGTCATTAAAGTTATCGGACTTTTGAAGAGTTCCAGCCTTTGCAATACTCCGTGGCTATGCTATTCGCGGAGGTGCAAAGGTTGGTGTTTGGAACCAATATTGGAAGTTTGGTGTTCCATATGATCGTTTGGTTACGATGACTTTGTAAATAGAATGTAGAGCAAGTATGCCAAGGAGTCGCCTTACCAGCTCAATCAATTCCGTATTATCGAGCACGGTCTTCAGTCTGGAGGTCCGTGTAGGTACTTGGATGTCTTGGAATGGGGTCGATCCGGTCTGATATTCGTGATCTCCTTACCCAGTTAGGACCGAGCCGAGGCCATGAATAGCCATTATAAATCAGGCGTGAGGAGGATTCGACCACGACTCACGACACGGTTACTATCACTGATCCGGAGTTGTGAGAAACAAGGATATTTATTGAAGCATAAGGTCTGGTCCATTTAAGATAGAAACACACGTAGCCTGGTCAAACTTGCAGCAACCGCATGACAGTCGACACACTGAAAACCTGCGCAATATCTTGCTCATTCTTATTGGAGACGTCCCAATCACCACCAGAGTAATATCAGGACGCTGCAACAACAGCAGAAATGATAGCAATCACCGCAATAGTTTCTTCCTTGTGATCTTTGATCCAGTCAAGAACCCAATCAACGACTTTTCCGAAATTCCATGCTGCAGTAGCGAAACAGCTCAAAGATTCGGGATTCTCATTGATGCTTTGCCAATTATTCTTGACGTTCGTGTTGGTAACGGTCTTGTCTGTGATATCTCGGTGGCAGGATTTCGCCTTTCAGCAAACTTCGCGTTGCGGTCGACAGTATAAAGCCTGCCTGCCTTGTCCTTTACAGAACATAGAACGGCATACTTGTATGGGCCCATCGACGTCGGTTGTTGACCTCAGTGTAGAACCGAACTTTCCCATCCTTGTGCAAGGTGACATCAGCTCTGACATTGATATTCCTTCCGACTTTAAAGTTGATGTTGGGGTGCTTCTCCCAATGAATTGACGCCGGAAGCTTACGCTTCTCCAGCGGGCCCTCCCTTGGAAGTGACCCTTCGTCGATCGCGCTCTGCCCTTCGTCTTCGAATGCACCCTCGTCGCCGCCAGTGTCCTGGCCCTCTGGTAGAGGAATCGGTATCGAAATAGGGACGTCATTAGGGATCGTGGAGCTCACTGCCGGAACACTGGAAGGTTCCACGGCTGGAAAGGCGGCCACGAGCCCAACGAGGAATGGAAGGATGGGGATGAGGAGCTGGACCTTCATGATGCTGAGTAAAGATGATGTTGGAGAGACAGGATTGACAAAACAGTACTCAGGAAGCAGAATAGAGCCTTGACAGCTCCTATTTGAATAGTGGACTTGGATGATCGTGATAATGGTGAAATCTGAAAGTGCGCTTGTCTGCGATCATAAACTTCCATCTTGAACGTCAAAAGTTTGATCCTTTTATACCCGCGATGGCCATCTCGAGCATTCGAGAGCTGAGGTGTTAATGCTGTACGATGTCAATTGTGATAAACCTCAAATTTAACGATCATCCAATCTGGGCTTAAGCCTCTGGGATTCATCTTGACAACCCCATGAATACGACAATTGCGATCTAAATTTGCAACTGCCCCTTAGCCATGATACCAATGTTCCTAAATCTTCTCATGGAAGTTCCACGATGCGCCAAGGCATCGTGTCCTCCTGGCCAGTGAGTATCCCAAGACGTTGAGCGTAGCTAAGGTTGAAGGTAGCACATAAGCGCCATGTTCCACGAAAACGATATGGCTGTGAAACGTGGTAAAGATTAGAAACCGACAGGAAGGGGGGTTTATATCAATATAGATGCTAATAGGACGCAGGCAAACCGACAGACTTTGAAAGGTGATATAAAATGTCTCAGCGTAACAACAAAGGAGAAGAAACATTAGCCGCAAAGACGGGAGATACGAAGGCTGTGTATAGAAGTTGTCCAACCGAAGTGCAGATTCCAGCAAAATCGTCTGCCATCGTGGCAGGGAGGATTTGAGTCCCTATTGGAATGCCGATATCAGCTTCGAGGCTGAGAGGCCAGCCCAGACACCTGCATAAACCATATTGGTCTCTCCATCGGCCAATTAAATGGCGCGTGCGTGAACGACAGGAGTGGATAATAGAGAGCGGTCGTAGTTCTATTCGATTTTTAGTCTACGATACGGTAATGACGGACATTTGCTGATGGACGCTCTATGTTGTTTTTTATAGAAGTTGGGTAGTTAGTTAACTACTAACTTACATATTTAGAAGTAAGAAAGGCATGCGATGCACCGAATGTTTACTATCAGTCCAGAGGGGTTTTATAGTGATGCAGTCTGAGAAAACAGTTGTCGGAACATCATACCGTGTCTAGACGAGCAGAGAAGAGAAACGGGAAAGCGGTAGACGTCCACAGCAGTACTGGAGTCACCGACAATCCACAGCATTCACAAACAGTCATGTCAATCCCGTAGGAGCCAAGCTGTACTAATACCATTCTGTTGACTACAGCACTCGACTTGATCACGTTGTTCCAAGGTTTGCTGCATCCAGGATTGGAACATCTGGTTCGAGTATGCATAATGCAATGGTGCTAAGTGATTAGGACATGACCTCGAAAGGCGAACATGAAAAAGAAAGACAGTACTTGCCCAAAATGGGCCGTTCGTGCGAAGATATTTTAAAGGAGCGTCGATCTGCACTCAATCCACGTCACCAAGCGGCGCACCGTCACTCCTGTGACTGATATCTCGACTGTCCTCGAAACGCATGGAACCATCATCTTCAGCAGCGTCATCATCACTTTCTTCTTCAGTCTCCCAATGGGAATTTTCGCCCCTAGCTGCTTCGTCTTGGATGTTCATTGCTTCAACATATCTTTGCGGCTCGGGGTTTGTAGAATCCGCCGTCTGTGGTGCATGGTGGTTGAAGTGCGAAGTACTGAGATTCTATCCAATTGTCAGAGAACGTTCTTATAAGGCGTTTAGGAATGAACCAGTGCAGTGACATACGTCGGGGTTTTCGTTCGCGTATTCAGGTTGATGATCATATACTCCTTCATCGCCATTTGTGGTTGGAGCATTTTCTTCAGGTTCCGTTTCCTCATCGACCTCTGGATCGTGGGATTCTTGACTAGGTGTACCGTACACATACAGTACCGCCCCGTTAGAGCTCGGTATACTAAACTCTATGGTCAGGTTAGCTTCTTCGTAGTCGCCTTGGAGACCTTTAGGATATCTTGCCGTGATAGGTTGTTGGAGCGCCGTCTCCCCCAGTCGGATCTTGAGGATGCGTCTCGCCGCGTCCGCCATCTTGTGAAAGACCTGTCCCAGTCAGACGGGTTCAAACCTGCGTTCAACTGTGGAATAATACCTGCCACTCCATTTGGCGTATCCTGCTCATCAACGCCACCGTTCACATTATTGATCTCCCGATCAGCCCAAACACTAGAGAACCGGGTCGCATTATCATCACTATCGGAGGACCAGTTTCTGTCTCCCTGTTCGTCAGCCATGGAAATGTATTAAGTAAGGTAGATAAAGTAGCGAGACAAGTGTAAAAGCGAACAGAGAAAGGAATGCGGACTGCTTCCTTGTGTTTGCACGGGGAGGGGTTGATGACCATGTAGGGACTTACCGCCGATAATGAGACTCAAATAGGCCACGGAGGTCGAACAAGGCGCTACCAAGGCAGTTTGAAGGCATTCACCTAGGCAAACATGCCATAAATGAAAAGGAATAGCTTGGTGTAACTTCCCAGCATAAACTCGAGATTTGTAAGGGCCTGCTTTGCGAAAGCGTGCGGGCCTGCTTGTCGTCGACCGTTCGATTCGCCGCCCGGTCCTGACCGTGGCCGATGGTTTTGATCGCGCGATCACTCCGTCTCTCTAGACTAGCAGGTCCCATAGATATATCGTTACGTGGCATCGTATGTAAGGATATGTGTCAGGGGACAGGCGAGCGTAAGGGTTATTGTTGTTTCAATCCGAGAATGCCTAGCGGAATAGCCCCTGAGGGAGAGGCGGTGGGAGAAGGCAATAGAATGACCGGGATTTGGTTCGCCTTGCGAAGTGAATTCGGGCTTCACTGGATATCAGTCAGGATGCCTTCTTTGTAGCTTGTGATCCACGGGTTGTGATCCAGGTTGCTTTTAGAACTGGCAAATGTACGCATGAATACCTTCGTAGAGCTCCATTTAGATGTAGGTGGGTTTAAAACGACCCTTTCGAACTCAATTATAATCGCATTGGAGCGCTCGAATCTGTGGTGACAGATCTCCTCATCGGACCGGTCGAGCTCCATAAACGATAATATGATCGATTGCGTACGAGACCCCTCACGCTGCTGTGAGGCCGCCTATCGAATCTCCGGTAACGGAGCCGCAGGCCCATGGTCGGGTCACCTGCCTCAAGAAAAGCAAGATGAATGACTAGTGGTGAAAAGTGTATGATTGGGAAAACTCTTAGGTAGTAAGTATGAATTAAAGATTCCATCGACTCAGGCTCCAACAGCCAAATTACGGAAAAGGGAAGGTTTAAGAACAGCTCCTCGCGAAATGGAGATATGCACATGGCCAACTTTGCTTTTGCAGCTTAGACGCTCACGGCAGTTGTAGTATGCCTTAGTTTCAAGCCAGAGCCACACCTGCCCAAGATGCTGGTAACATTTCCTAGCAATCCAAGGGCATAGCAGACTAGAAGTGTCAGAGGGCTGTCACCAAATAGCCCTGAACCTTGGGATACGAGTAATCCTTGCGTGCCTATCGTTGAAGTCATTTGCGATGGATGTACTGGGGATTGACGACAATTCTGTGGTGCTTCGGTCATTAACCATCGTCCGGAGTGCTGGAGAATGCTGACGAAAAGGCTTTTGGACTTCATATACGAGACGGTGATCTGCAGCAATGGTACTCGACTTATGAGAATGGAAAATTGAACATAGCCTAGTGGTCTATGATAATCAGTACTAAAACGTGGCTAGAACTATCAATTGCTGACTTTCGTGATTAGGGCGGAGGGTGTTAAAGGACAATATGCAGACACTTACATCAACTGCCAATGCAGGGCATTTTGTATTATCCCCGTCAAACATGTATTACAGGCCTTTCGGATTCCCAATGCGTGTAAAGTCGGCTCTCTAAAGGACGGTTGCAAGGCATCGTAGCTCACGATGCCATTGGGCTATATAGTATACCCAGAGATGGCATAGTGGGATGCGGGATTAATAGCGACGCTCGGGGACGGCTCTCATGCAAAAATATATAGCTTGAGAGTGAATGCAACGACTCATATTCCGGGTATCTGCGGACACACTCTAATTTTCCGTTCCAGACTCCATAAACGACAGCAACTTTTCGCCTCGTCTCATCGCCTCGTCTCAGCATAATGGTAGGAGTTAAGATTGGCCGTTGGCTTTGGACGCCTTCAGGTCCCTTCTCCGCTTGATCGCCGTGGCCAGCTCCTCTAAGACTTTCTCGGTGTCTTCCCAGCTAATGCAGGCGTCTGTGATCGATACTCCATACTTGAGGCCACTCTTGCCCTCTTTTGGAACCTTTTGATTTCCTATAATTGTGTCAGCAAGAACGACTTCACCTGGACAAATTGTACAGACCTTCGTTGATATTACTCTCGATCATGACTCCCATGATACAATCCTCACCGCTAGCAATCTGCTGAGCTATTGAATGTGCCACCTTCGGCTGATTGCGGTGGTTCTTTTCCGAATTGCCGTGTGAGCAATCGATCATCAGCCTGGTCCTCAGGCCAGATTTCTCCAATTGAGCCTTAGTGTCCGCAATACTTTGTGCATCATAATTGGTGCCACGCTTCCCCCCTCGGAGAATGACGAAGCAATCCTCATTTCCAACCGTGCCGACGATGGCAACGACACCCGGCTTCGTCACGGAGAGAAAATGATGAGGATGTTTGGCTGCACCGATGGCATCAAGAGCTACGTCAAGGCCACCGTCCGTTCCGTTCTTGAAGCCGACTGGGAAAGACAGTCCAGACGCAAGCTCGCGATGCAATTGACTTTCAGTCGTCCGTGCCCCAATTGCTCCGACGCTTAGCAAGTCTGCTAGGAACTGAGGGGAGATCGTGTCTAGCATCTCGCTTGCGATAGGCATGCCCATATCCGTCAAATTCACGAAGAGCTGTCGAGAAGTCCGCAATCCCTTGTTGATGTTGAACGTATTGTCGATGTCCGGATCATTGATCAAGCCTTTCCAACCGACTGTGGTGCGCGGCTTCTCCAAGTACGACCGCATGACGATCAAAAGATCGTCTTGGTATTTCTCTTTCAACTTAAGTAGCCGTCGGCAGTAGTCGAGTGCTGCCTCCGGGTCATGAATCGAGCATGGACCGATAACAACTATCAGACGATCCTGGGGGTCTTGACCCTTCACAATGCTGACCGCTTCATTTCGTCCCGCTAAGACCGTTGCCTTGGACTTGGGCGTTTGTGAGATTTCGTGTTGTAGGAGGTTGGGAGGCGTGAGAGGGTTGTAGCCGCGAATTCGCCAGTCCTCCGCATTTTCGCTGTCACCAACCGACTTGTTTTCAATGAAGAACTGGTGACGAATTAGTCAAATCTAGGACTGCTTTGGAGAGGTGGTACATGGTCCGAGGCAGGTTACTCACAGACATGTTACGTATCCGCTCGGTGCAATTGGGGAATAAGAAGTTCGGAGGATGTCCAATTGTCAATTCTTCGCGATGAGGAAGTATTCGAATGGTAGAATGCACGCCGGAGAAGAAAAGGCGATCTAGGACTGAGGTGTGCAGAGGAATAGTCCAAATGACTGTTCACATTCGAGTCATAAATTCTTCTTGCTTGCCCCAGTTTCTACCCCAAATTCCATATTGTGGTCTGGACTGTGGTTGGGCAGCCCATTGGCGCCAGTCACGCATTTTAATACTGCGGTTGGAATTTCATTGAACGTCACCGCCTCGACTAACTATTGACACTCACCGCTTTGGCAGTGATTAACTCGAAACTCGAAACTGAATATTCATGAACCCGAGGTTAGCTTCAATGGATGTCTCCTGATGGCCCTTGGGTAGCTCGGACTACCCGATGAAAAGGTTGGATCCAGGAAGCTGCCAACTCATCTTCCCCGTTCGCCAGACGTCCTGAAGTAGCTCTCGCGCCTTTTGGACCTAGAGTTTTCGTCAGCATATGATGGCATCATAAACAGTCATCGTCATACATGACTGAACCCGAAACTTTCACAATTGTGCAGCCTTCCAAGAATGGTGTGACGATGAGCATCCTGAAGCGCCGCTTCGCCCCCGACAAATATCGGGAAAAGGATACACGCCTCTACCGACCCTCCTTTCCGGATCTTTGATAGGGAATTGACAATTCCCTGCACGGCTTCTTGGGTCTCGTTTACTGATATTGGCTTTCCCAACACACGAGTGTAGAGCTGGATCAGCCCAGCCCAGTGGAACGCTTCGTTAGCAGCCACCATCTCTATTGACCCGTCATGCTCGCCGCCTGCTGTTGAGCAGGAATCAGACCAACTGCAAGGCCGACATGACTGCTTAATACCTGCCAAAAGTTCGTCTTTGATGATCATGGAGGTCTCCATTAGGTCGGCAGAATCAACCGTGCCAGAATCATTCGCTCGAGCCAGTTCGGCAATGTTTGCGAGGTTGTTGAGATAGCGACTATCGAATCCAAAGAGGCAGTCAATGTAATCTTTTTCGAACTCATATGCTTCCGACCAATATTTCGCGGGCAGCGTAGACTCGCGCCTCGTACCATCCGTCAGGCTGCCTATAACATCGAGATAGGCGAACCATCGGAGCAGGAAGTTGGAGACATTGTCGCGGCCGGAAGTGTTCAGGCTTTCTCGAAGAAGGACCATTTGCCGTGCAACATTCAAATGAGTTTGCCATGGGATGGTGACTCCGAATGTGCTGGGAGAGATGATCTGCAGTGACGCAAGCATTATCGCGGTAGCTAGGCAGCTGTCCGACACATGTGAAGCGGCATTCACAATATCTTGTTGGAGTTTCGGGAAAATCCCGTCCATAAGCATCGCAATCCGCGTGTGTGGTTCTGTGTGTCCTAGAAGTCGCGCTCGATGGCTGGCCGAATACGCTAGGAGAAGGTTCAGCAAATATCGATCTCGGATCGCCATTTGAGGGAGAAGGTAGCGAAACGGATTCAGCGAGCAGTCATGCGGCACCAGGGCTCGAGCAGTGTGGTTGATGAAGTGATGGAAATAAAGGAGGTGCATAGGATTCTCCGTCAAACTAGTCGGAAGAGGTTGAAGGGCTGCCGGTATTGTAATCGGGACCGGTGAGGAGTAATAACCTCCAGGTGAAAAGGCGAGCGACTTGTCCGCATCGTTCATGAGTGACCGTGGCCTCATAGACTTGGGATTGAAATGGATCGGTCTTGGAAATAGGCAGAAATCCCTAATCGCTTCGCCATCGTCATTCTTGGGCCGGTCACGATCCGGTTCTCCTATATCATATCCGTAAGCGTATATGGATGGTGCTTCAGGAGAGCTCGGTCTTGAGGTTCCTGCCTGTACAGCATCTGGATCGAATGACTCGCGAACCGGACTGGAGAGGAGAGAGCTAATCTCCATCCGTCGGGATCGTGAGGTTCGAGGACTCCCCACGCTTTCAGAGATGGACGTCCTGGATGTTGTATCGTCGGAGGTACTGGTCGATTTTGGAGTGCGGGGTAAAGGTAGAAACGCCTTGAGTGGTGGAGGGCATGGTAAGATCGGATATGGCGGCGTGGGATCATCATTTGCCGAAACCTTGGTAGGTATGGTATCGTGGGTTGTCCAAGAACGCTGGCCATGCTGTCCAATGGATAGCACGGTCTCAACATCTCCGCCGTATATTGGATCAGACTTTTGGTTCGGAGAATGAGATGAATCGGCAATCCATAAGGACCCCTCTTTTGACATCAACGATGGACGAGAGAGTGTCAATCCTACATCCAGGGCACCAGGGCGTGAGGCAGATATAGCCGTACCCAAATCGATCACAACTTCCGAGCTCTTTGCATAGTTGCTATTCCTCTGCATATTGGATTTGGTGATAGAGGATGCTTCGACTTGGAACCTTTTCTTGGACCTTCCCTCCCAATTCAAGCGGACGCTATAGTCACAGGTATCGTTGACCCGTTGGCAATTCCCGCAAACTGGCTTCTCTTCACCGCTATCTAAGTCAGTACTGTAATAAATTCCCGCCATTTTTAGTCATAGTAGATCAGGACCAAACCATTTTATCTTTCTCGCTTTGCATGGCCTATCAAATAACGTCAGCCTTGGGTGTAATGTTTACTGTTGGGGTTCAATCCGAGTATACCAGCAACCAAATCGACTCCTTGTCTTCCGCTTTCGACTTGTATCAGCTTGCGCTTCCGCCATCCTGGAAGAATATAACCGATAAGTATACTTTGTAAGACTTGCCGTCCCAAGTTTTAGAAGCTTACTGACCTTGGTCGTTGATTCTGGCTATCGAGGTGTTGAGATCGGACTAGCATGATGGTCCAATCACACAGCCTGGGCGATTACGCCTCTTCCTTTTCGCTGATGGAGCCACGACTCGTGTTTCTAACTTTCTTCCACCCCTCCCTCGGGTCAACTTCTGCATTGGTTTGGGCGGTCACGAAATTCACCCATGTTGTGCATGAAATGATTTCGGGTGGTGGACACTTCCGTGACATCTCGTTCTTCGGTTTAATCTGGAATGGTAACGTAGTGCTGCGTATCGGTATTGGAATTCCGTGATGGAAGAGGTCCGAGATGAGCAATGGTGAAGTCTTCCTTCAGCAAGAAAATAGTCACACGGCGGTAATATAGCCAGGATATATAGGAGGTGCGGAGGATGTCTGTCAGGTACAATATGCGTCCCTAACGCTCGATGCGATGGCCGTATTCTTCTCCCACCTTCCTTGAGTTCCGCTGGCACACATTCTATCACAGTTCCAAGGTTGATCGCTGGGAAAGGGGGGAGTCATTGCAGTATAAAATCTCAATCCTACCAAAAGAGACATCATTTTGCTCGAGGCTTCAAGAACCGATTACCGCACATACACGACCTTGTCGATTGCTATATCGCCAACAAGACCGTGGAACCAGTACCTGCCAGTCAATTGCTTAGAGGTCCTGACCTCCTCTGACCTCTCTCACCTCACTTCTGCTAGTCAGTCGTGCAGATTTTTACTCTTGCGGACATCAGTCGCCAAACAGTGACGGCGGACACCACTGTCGAACTCTAAATGGTTGGGCATCTTGCAGTTTAGTCGATACAGGCACTGATTATCGATTCTGGAAATTCTTCGAATCGATCATTTACTAGGTGAAGCTGATTGAGAAACGTGTGAATTTCATTTGCTGCCGAAAACTGAGACTAACTAAGGTACTGTGAGTGGACATCCTTACCGACTGGTTCCCATTTGATGCTCTAAGAAATCGCGAGACATATGTGTCGTTCTAGTTGATATCCATATCTCTCACCTCCTGATTTTTCCTAGTCTTTGACATTCATATTTCAACGTCTGTTCCATTTTAGAATAAGCTTATCTGTGCTTCCCTGTCACCTGGACTTGAAATGAACATCCTGCTCGTCCGGCCTCCTTCACTACACTCCGACATTACACTGATCAACCATGCTTAACAGCTCTCAGTGATATTTCAAGCTCCCAGTCAATCTTAAATGCACATTCTATTCCCAATGCCACTGTGCGTTGAGATCTGAAGTTACTGATTCATAACTGAAGGCACTGGTTGACAAGGTGTCAGATGATTCTTCCAACTGATTCATAACAGGAACCTATTCGACTCGTTCCCATGGCAAACATGGAGGAAACCCATCATTGTCCTGTGCCTTGTTCCCCACCGAACTCTAACAGAGGAAAGAGACCCATGTTTTCCAAGTCATGCGGAAGTTTTCTAACGAGTGTCATGAGAGCGAGGAGAATGAACGTCAAGGATTAAAGACGCAACTGTGTGACATTTTCCGTCGACTCCATGATACTGAACAAAGCATCTTGCGCCTCGAGCGACGTAATATTGCTTTGGAAGATCACATATACCGCTTGGTCTCTGAATTAAGTCGTCCGAAGGAGGGTATCGAGTTGCCGGACCCTGCTCACCGGAACCACGTTCATAATTCCCACACACTAGAAAACGAGTCCTCCACAGTCAGTGGAAGTACATCTCTCGGAGAAGGCACTCCCTCGTCTTCTAGAGTCTCGTCCTCACCTGTGGAAGGAGAATCAAGTCCAGCTTAAGTGTCACGTTGTCGAGAACAGAGTGTGGATTACCTCTAATCTTGAGCGATGAAGACGATTCCATTTCTTCTTTCAAGTCCGACGAAAACATCAATGACGTCCCGGGGGAGCGACAGTGTGACGGAATCATCCATCGCTACCTAGATTCACCGACTGATGCTAAATCCACCAACCACTCCGTTATTCATCATGCTTCAGGTGCCCTAGTCAACCAGGAACCACTTATTGACATTGACAACGCAACCTTTTGTCTAACATATCATGACCAGCAACTTGACGCTCAAAGGCCACGAGAGACCATGTCAGCGGAAAGTCACAGCGAGGCCTCTATCCGACCGAAACTCCAACTCGAACCTCTGCGTCCAGACCCCACAATGGATCACACGTTTGGCGAACCGCGGACGAAACCCTCTCCAAATACTTCCAATACTTCTCAAGGTTCCTCGCAAGATATCACAGTCCGCTTTGAGCCTAGTCCCGAGGTGCCACGCGGAATCGAGCTACAGCGGGTTACCAACGCCGCGGTGGCCCAGTTATTTCTGCTGAGTTGCTGGACACACTCCCGATCACTGGGTTCATGACAGCACGGATTGTGTGGGCAAGTCAAGCCGATGAAGAGTCGTTCCGCGCCCATATTTCGAAAAACCCGATGACTTTCGACGGCAACCGGACTTTACTGATATTCGATGCAAGGAGTGGCTAGGCAGATTTGTGGTTATGCATCGGAACGTCATCGAAGGCATTCACATCTCACATTATCGAAGAGCGGCACGGATTAGGTTCTGCCGCTTGCAGGTGGCGGTTTCAGTTTACCATCGGATGGTCGCTTCAGATATATCCCATCGCTATGGCATGGAGCTGAAGTTTGGCCATGACATCTGCGCGAAGCACTATTGGATCTAAGCGCTGTTGTCCAGCCAAGCAAAGCAATCGGCGAGGACATTCAGGGAAAGGACATCCAAGGAAAGGACACTGGAGCTTGGCTATCGAAAGGCGAGAAAGGCGTGGCCTATCTAACGCATATTTGACAACTCGACAGTAGAATTACTCTAGAAGCCGGCCAGGCATATGAAGGGCTGATAGACTTCAATCAGTGAGAGGAGTAACTTGAATAGAATCAATTGCAACTTCTTTATGCTATAAAGACGTGATACATGGTTCTCAACACGGTAGGTAATGTAGAAACAAAAGATCCACCCCCCGCATCATAATCCCACGTTTCGTAAGGATTCTCTTCTCTTCTGTTGAAGATCGGGAGGGTGGGCCGACGTGTCGCTTCCGACTCTTCTTGGAGCCCATTCATGGAAATACCCACTATCCTTCCTCCATATTCGACGGTCGAAGGAAATACAGGTGATCCCTTTGATTATGGGAAGTCCAACGCCGTGACTCCAATGCCATGAAGAGAAGCAATAGTGTAGAGATGCCATTTGTCGCATGGACGGTTCTCCCAGCTCAAAACGTCAACTTTCCGCGCTTGAGATTGAACGCTCTCTGGTCCTTCAGCCACTGCCGGTAGCCCGCCACGCTGCCGATCTTTTCACCATAATAATCCGGGACGGGATTCGACACCGATGAAGAGATTGGATCGACTCGGTATTTCTTGATGCGATTGAAGAACTCTCTTTCTTTCTGTGATGTAACTGATTAGTACGATCCTCAAGCCACGGTAGGGGATATTTACCAAAGCAAAATCGGGTAGGTATTTCCTGTACATGATATTGAATAGAGCGTTGCCAAGAAGAGGTCCTAAAAGCCAGCCGACTGCTCCCAACCCCATGGTGGAAAGGCCCATCACGATGAAGGGGTCAAGCCCGACCATTTGTGCGGCAGCCGCCTCCAGGTCTCTTGAAAGTATGAATGAGGTGCCTCCCGTTACACATCCCACGCCAAATACCACCGAGGCGGTCAGACCGTATCTTCGTCGATGTTTTCGCAGCTCAAGGAATCGGTTCCAGGTTAACTTGGTCTCCACAGATTGGGAAGGAGGAGTCGTAGCGGATGCAGAGTATGTCCTGGTACATTGCAGAGATATCGGTCGGAAGGGCTGCTGCGATGCTTGATTGGCAGAATACGGTTGTCGTCGAATGCACGATGATCTGGAAGACAGAACCGGTCGTGCGGTTGATATGGCTTTCGCGAAATGACGGGGTGATGGCCGACAGGCCATTGATACTGGAGTTATGGACAGCATGGTAATGATCCAGCAAGTGATTCCAGCAAGATTGATGTTGTTCTGTTCAGGTATTTCCTCTCAGTTGCATGAATCTGACTGAGTGAAGTTCTAATGATGTCCGATAGACCATGATAGAACACGAGATCACGTGAATATTAAATTCATGCCTGAGGCATCAGTAGGCATCCAGCCCTAGTCAAATGACATCATCTCAGATCAATAATTAATGGTGTACTCCGTAACTATGTGAATGCCCGGTTCCCTGGCCCTGCAGATATACGAGACTCATGGTAAGATTATTAATGCAGTTTGTAGCCTTAGGCTCCTATAGATTATACCTTGGTCTGCGACAATATCTCATCAGCTGTTATGGGTATGGCCCATGGTTGGCATAGGCTGAGAGCCTAAGCCTAATCAAGCCTAGTAGCGTCGAGATGGAACCTCATCAAGATTCCTCTGTCACAGATACCTTTAACTACTAGTAAATTCGATATCAATATCTCAACAACCACTGGATGATATAGTCTGAATACTTAAAATTAGGTTTGCATAGCCATTTCTAGCTTACTATTGGAATCTTAGAGCTTTATCTTTTATAGTTATAGAGATATAGAGATATGGTCTCTAAATCTTGCCAGAAGTAGGTATCTCTATATCTGTAAAGGCTAGGGCTCTAAAATTTCAATAGTAAGCTAGAAATGGCTAGGAAGACCTAATTCTAAGTTTTCAGACTATATTATCCAGTGGTTGTTGTTACGGCACGGTAGCTGGATGCACACAACGTGACAACATACACATAGCCAAAGATATTCTAGATTGAGATAAAGAGTAAAATGGGTGCGCAGCTCGCTTGTGGAATACGTTACAAGATCGAGAATCTAAGTATAATATGCTTCCATTAGTTAAAGCCTCTCGTGCTTAGTATGCATACCAGCCCCCTTGCTATATTGACCCCTAAGGATCAGTCTTCGTCACAAGGAACAGACGTATTTGATACAAATCTATTACTCTCCCACTCCTCACTGGCTACTTTCCTGGTTCTACGACGTGTCCTGACGCAGTCAATCCAAACTACAGAACTTTTGTGGTAGCTGGGAGTCACGACGAAATGCAAGAGCTTAGTGATTTAAAGTCCATAGAGATATTAGTTAGGACGAAATAAAGGCGAACTAGTTTGCTAATACTGGAGAATCAGACTATCGGCTCAGCTTCAACGTTTGCGCCTCGGTGAGGAAGTCCATAATTTGATAGGAAATCATTAAAATCTACACAGCTTGTTCTATAGGCTAATCTAGGAGAGCACAAAGCGGTCCTTTTTCAGTCCAATTTTATGAGACAGGCCGACCACCTCCCCCTGCATGATGCCATGAACATAGCATTCTCCAACAAGCCTGTACATGCCGGTTCTGTCAGTCGGCCGCAAAATATACGGCACCTTCCCACCAAACAAAATGCAAACAATGTCTCCAACTTTCATGGCCGCAGCACCAATTCCGACGTATTCATTCTCCAATGTGAAAGCTCGTCGTCCATGACAGATGCGATGCGCACTGGCTAGACATTGCTGGTAGTCCTGAAAGCTCGGTGGAGCGAGTCTCCGGCGGCCATGAACGAGACGTTCTGCTGCGAAAGACGCTAAACATCTGCGCCAGGGCGTGGCCGTGGTGCTACCCGAGAGGGATGTGTCATTGTCCTGATCCCTTTCTCGACGTTTTGGGACCGGTTGTGATGATTGTGATAGTGTAATGACATCCGAGATCCAAGAAATTGAAGAGAAAGATATGCCCTCGACGACCAAGTAGTCTGCGTGGTCCCCGGCTAGGCCGGTATTGTGGCGGATCCCAGCAGCTGCCGTGTACTGATGGCCGGGGAAAGCCACCAGAAGCTGAACTCCCTCTGTAGGCAGGTCCCATTGTGGCACCCAAGATGGATAGGATGTGTTAATGGCGGACACATGATTCGTGTAGGAGAGAACATCGAGACTTCCAGAAAGCTGGATGGATCTGAGAGCAATCTTGCTAAAGACCGAGTTTACAGTAAGAGAATAGTCTGCGGATATTGAAAATGTATCGTGAAGGGTTTGTACGTGCTTAAACTGGTGCAGAATGCGTTGGTCAACAGCGACGCAAAAGTTTACGAAGCGATGGAATACATCAGTGACGATTATCCATACTGCGCGCTCCTGCTTAGTAAAATATGCCATGCTCATTAACAACGTGAACATATACCAGAACTGGGTGGTCCCGATGCGGCTCTGAACTGCGCCAAAAAGAAGATGCAGTAAGGTGAGCATCTGTACGAGGACTTCGAGATACTTCCTCTGATCGAGAGTTGAATAGTATTTGTGACGAGTGCGGGGCCTTTTTACAGGTCGATGCAGTACAGCATATACTTTGTCTCGAGGGTCCGAAGCCTTGAAATCTCTTGTCGCTTGAAGTAATGCTAATAGCGGTTCATGGGCAGAGATATCCAAGTCAGACGCCATGCTAAGGACGTTTTGCACGCCCTTAGTTTTCGGCGCTAACAAGGTGTAGAGAGGATGTCGCCGTACTTGTGCTGCAAGAGACAAGACATTTTGAAATGGGACGAACTCTTTACCAAATCCCACTCTCGTCTTGGAACTGTCGCTCACTTCTTGAATGACCCAGATCCGGTTGAACCAGGGATTGTCAAAAAATTTGACACTAAGCGGCAATATGTCACCTCGTTCATCTAGTTGCGGGTACTGATTATAATTCCAGATAATCTTGCGCCGCAATTGTCTCGGTCCGGGAGAGTATCCTGGCGAACGTCTTCCAGCAGTTGGTGGGGTGTCGCTGTAGGAGGATTCCACAGCAACTGCTCTTTCATCCGGAATGGCCCACCGTTGGGAGAATTTGCGCCGAGCATATTTTAGCGGACCAAGTGCACGAAGGTATTTTGCCAATGCATGTTGCTCCTGTGTCGATAGTGCGTCATCAACTCGGAGACACACAGAAACGCGTTTGGCTCTGGAGTAGATCCGCTCCATCAAATCCACTTGAACCCGACGTTCTTTGAGATCTGACTGATCTATACAAATAGCGTCCGCCCACACAAAGACGGGTCGAGATGGGCATCTGAGGAGAAGAAGAGCTTGCCTCAGATTGGCAGTGATTCGGAGAGGTTTCTCATTGCATTCGATGGTATGAATAAGATCCGCGGAGCCCCAAACGTAGGAGATGGCTTCGAATGGCGGTGTCGAGTCTTTGGGCATACTTAGAGGGTACGAGGCAGAAAGGTGGTGAATTTGAAGCTTGCAGGTGATAGCATCTTCGTCTTTGCCAGGTTCGAGTAAGAGAAGCCGAAACGCTGCCGGTTGGTTCAGTGGCTCATACTTGAAATGCTGATGCGTATTAGCCGCCATGATGAAAAAACTGACGGAAATCAATGAAAATGGGGTTCTTGTAGCAGCATTGTTGCGGCAGCCTGATCGCGATATAAATGTCATCGCCAAGGGAGGCGCAAGCGATCCCCCCATCTGCCAATAATAAGCGTTTCGTTTAAACTCTGGAGTCCAGACATTGGGTTTCTAGACACGTGCACAGAATTGAACCGACATGCTGTTTGAGTCTGCGATTCTATCGTTGAGCAACGCGACCAATTGTGCGTAGTGAGATCACTCTAATCCCTTAATTCAAGAGAGAGAGATTCATAATCCCTTAATTCAACCAACAGGAGGATATATCCACAGAGAGCGTCCTAAACGTGCAGCCGCAGAGATGGCATCAAATGCGCAGAAACGACTTAGCCCGCACAATAGACAGCAACGTCAGTAGAATTTATGATTTAATTCATAATTAGGACGAGTCATCAAGATCTGCTTCAAACTTCTTACAACAACTTCACTGCTGTAACAACAGCACCTCACTCCCAAGTCCCAACCATTTTAGCACATCACGTGTGACAGTAATATACGCTATCTCGACTGCCAAGACTGGGCTGTGGCTGCGTGGGCTGCTGCAGTCTTGCCAGTTCTGAGATCGTCGATGTGAGAGCAGCCGACTTCCAAGTTCCAACAGACTTCCGCCAGAAATGGCAACTGGGTCGGATTTACGTTGTCCCGTATTGCCCGCATTGCCTCACACCAGCCACGAGATCTGTCTAGGCACCAGCGAGGCTGTCTAAACACCCTCCTCACAAGCATTCCACCTTCAGAATTTGATTGCAACCTTCGATATGCCTCTACACTAGTTAACTTCACCTTCAATTTGGCCAATAGGGAAGAGGTCTAGATCTAACACTGTGAGGAATTTTGAAATTTCGGGTTCGGCTTACGTTTACCGCGTCACCTGGAGATACTGGGTCATCGTCAGTCGTCAGATGCTGGGTAAACTTTGTTCTATTCATTGTGTATCAGAATCATGTATGCTTTAAGAAAGAGACCCCTCATCCTATTGAGTCAATAACCTTCAATAACCCTGCCGTGCAGCCTATCCAAGCTCACTTCGTTGAGCTCCCGGTCATGTAACCATTGTTTGTCGTGGAGAGTCCAGTCAGTCTCGATATCCAAGCCCTTACCCGCGCTGCTGGGGAAGAAGGTAAGGAAAGTGGAAGTCCTGGTATTCGCTTCTGCAAGACTTTCGAAATTCGCGAATTGCCTCCTTATCCTCTACCTCCCCATGTGTGAGTAGCTTCCGTTCTATCGCATTTTCGAACAATCGATGCAGCTCTGCGTGATGACGGTCTTCCAGGCTCATCGGCCTCATGTTAGGAGTGACGGTCAGGACCAACCCCGGCGGACGAAGTTCTTCATCGAGGATGGTGCGCGGTCGGAATGTAGTTAGCAGCCGCACCTCAACTGAGGTCAAGGGACATGCTGCGAACTGGAGCATCGGTTGAACCCACTCCTCAGAAAGGGTGAATCTCAAGGGCACGGCGTTGACTTGTGCGACGATCTTAAGGTGTCGGAGGTTAGGGAGCAGTTCCGACGCTTTCTTCCACAGACCAAGCCAATTCTTCATTTGTTTTTCCTTGAACGTCATGTGAGGGATCTCACGGGGGTCGCCGTACATCAGAATTTCAAGATGGAGCCGTGAAACGTTCGAAAGGGAGCTGGCCGGAGTAACTCGCAAGAAGTTGAGGAAAGGGCGCTGGGAACGGAAAGCGAATTTTGTATGTCGATATAGGAAGACAATGGATTCGGCGAGGGTTTGGCGACTCGCGAAGCAAATGGCATATCCGTTTGCTGTGGACGATAAAGCGGATAGCCGTATTGCTCTCTTGGTGCCTTCGACCAGGTAGCTGCCGAATTTCCCGGCATGTCTGAAGGAGTGGATGCGGCCTTCTTCCTTCCATTCATTCTCGTGTTGAGGGTCTTTCCAGCCGGTTTTGTTCCGATTCGAGATCAATGCAATGACCGAGTCATCGAACGTGTAGCCATAGATGTGGTTTCGAACCTCTGCCGGGAGGTTAAAAAAGGTGACTTTCAGAGTCATTTCCGGCGACATGGGAGAAAGTGCGGAGGCTGAGGGGTGGCTTGTCTTGATATTATCAGCAAAAAGAAGGATGGCAGCTTTCCGACTGACGAACTAGGTGTGGATTTCAGTTGAATTTGCTCCTGCTAATCGCAGTAGTAGGAGATATGCCCAAATGAGAAGAAGAATTCATCAAGAAGCAAATTGAGCGAATATTCAGGTAGAAAATACTCGATTCTAAGGCGAGGATGAACTGAGCAGTGAGTTGGAGCTTGTAGATGGAGAGGAGTGGTTAAAAGGGCCTCACTGTAGGTTGTGAGTGAAGAGTGAAGCCGAGAAGTCTAGGCGAGAGTGGTGAGCGAGGAAAGGAGAAGAGAAAGGCAAGGTGGAAAGAGGAAATCAACAGTTGCATGATAATGATGCTGATAACGATAACCGGGATGATTGATTCTCTGAGGAGTCATCTGCCAGTGAAGACGCTTGTACATGGCTTGTTCGGCTGAAGGAAGGTCACCAGCACCTGGTAGCACACATCACGATATACGAACTGGAATATCATGGACTTGTATAACAGGTTACCCAATTGATGCTTTAGGAATTCCCTTACTATTGTTCTTCTTTCCGCTCGCCGGATTTCGTGCTATCAATAACCATATTTGAGAATGATAGATCCGTCTTCTTCGACTACCAATGATGGAACCAATGAATTTCATTTGGCAGCGTCAGCATAAGAGTTCCTTGCATTTTGTGTGGGATACCTGAGCCAAGTGAGGCCCCCCATTCCCGTCCAATATACCTTCTGTTAAAATCAGAAAATGTTTCCTCGGAGCCGGTTTCGTCTCCTGCCTTGGTGGGAGGGTGATGGGAAAAGAGATCTCCGTGTTAGTCCACATTCGTTGAAAGCCGCAAATGTGTCGTTCCGGTAGCACAATGCTTTCGCAGAAGCTCGAATTCCCCCACAATTTCCGTCGAATTCAATCCCTAATGTTCCGTTTTAGGGCCTTGGAGGTTGCTTTCTTGATCGCTGTTTCGGCTAGGCCAAAACGGGACTTCAGATGGCATTTAGGACATTCATCTGCGCATCTGCTGGTCTGCAGAAGGGAGGGAGGCTAGTAGGTTCAAAATGCATAGCACGTCGGCGTCTTCATCTTGCCCCAATGACTTAGCAGTGGGCACCACGGAGTGGGATGCACAAACGCGACAGAGCCCCTCTCCGCACGTTTCATCCGCTGCCATGCTAGGCCCATATCAGCAAGCTTGGACAAATGCTACATTTTCCAGGCTACTATCGGTTAATCCGCCGTCCGCTGTGGGCGCAAATTACGTCCGAAAGGTATCGAGGGGAGTTACCGTGCAGGACGCGACGACAAGCTTTGGATCTGACCTTCGAGCCGTTCGAGTTCTGCTGAAAGGATTTCAGTACGGCGTCCTTGTGGTATGATGCGGCGGGTACTTTGGTGGAAAACTCACCAGCAGTTTGATGCTTCGTCTCTAAACTCTCAAGCTTCAACCAGGACCAGTGGAGCACCTGGTAAGTGAAGAGCGCGCCGAGGAATACTTTGGCGAACGGGCGAGTAAAGGTCTTGTAGAAGTTCGTCTGGCAGCATAATTCATCAGCCACTATGTCTATTCAGAGGCGAAGAGTGAACCCACATGGGCAGAGGCACCGGCTTTGGTGGTGTCGGGCTTGGTTTGATCAGAATAGCCTCGCGAGAACAATGAAGACCTGAAGGGCCGAATCACCCGGGTAGCGGTTCTTCGCATGATCGGAACTGGCATTGCGAAACCTATCCTTTGAGGGACGAGGTTTTTGAAAGATGAATAGCCCAGGCGAAACCAGGAGAGTCGGGTCAGACGGGGGACTAGACGAGAATTGATAGACCTAATGGAACTGGAAGCATGAGGTTTCTGGAGGTGCGGAGTATTAATTACCTCCATATCCTGGTGAAGCCCCTGTTGACTGATTGGTTGATCATTTGATACTCCAAACATCTGGCCTTATAGCCTTGTGGCCTTAAATGGATTTCCAGAGCATCTCCCCTGTTCAGCTCTATTATCAACTCCCATGTCTCCGTAGCCTTGACTCTTGAGGACACCTTTGGCTTCCCAATGAAAAATAATAATTCCAGAACAACAACCACTCGCCCTTCTCTGTCCTCCTAGAAGTAAAGCCTATTCAGGACAGAAGCAGGAGTAAAACAGGAGTGAATATTGTCATTGCATTGCAGTTCCATCCTCTGTTGTTGTCCCAGCCTTCGCTCCGCAACCGCGACCTCGTCCTCGCAAGATATCGAGCTCCATATTCCTTTGATACTACGCAGCAACAATGGTACGTGTCCACTGGCCCCAAATGTATACGACATTCCTTGTTTATCCTTCGCTAATCTTGTATGAACCAGGCTCAAACTCCTGCTCAGAGAAAGGCAAACGAGAAGTTCGCCAAGTTAGAGAGTGCAAAGCGTGGGAAACCCCAGAATAGCATTAAAAAGGGGGGCGAGAAAGGAAAGTCGCCAATATCGACTAGCTGGATCAGTAAGTTTGAGTCACATTCCTTTAGGTGGATGCCGCTTATGATGATTTGAAGTTGTCCTCGCATTCTTGATCTGTGGAGGCGTGATCTTCGAGGTGTTACGGATGTTTTTCTAAACGGGGCGATGGAAGAGCGGAACAGCGTGCGAAGCAGAGGCAGGCAAAGGCCGAGCAATCACTGTCATATTTGAGTTCACTGCATTCGCACGGAACTCCGTGCATTATTCATATATATGGCGTCTAGGTGGCGGGTCAATCTGACTATAGCACGACATGGGATGGGTTGGTTGAGAGTCAAAAGGCTCATCGGTCTCGGAGCATTGTAAAAGATTTTCTGTCATTCGACTTGGTAACAAAAGCGGTACTCGTCTTATGAAGGCTCTTCGAATGCCACTTGTCGTCTCTTCTTCTTGACCTTGGTTGTCGGTGCCAGTGAATCCTCTTGTGCGGCTTGCTGTCCCATCCCTTCCATTGGGGTCGCAGCTTTTGTCTTTTTCTTCTTCTTCTTCTTCTTCTTGACCTCTTCCGTCCCTTCTGATGCCAGATCCTTAGCAACTTTCGACTTCTTCTTTTTCCTCACTATGGTCCCTTCCGGTGGCCCAACATGATCCTGCACCCTGATTGATGCCCTCTCCATTTCTAAGCGTAGACGTTCGATTTCTCGCAATGCCTTTTCTTCCGCCTCACGCTGCTCAATATAAAGCTGATTGCCCTGGTTGCCCAGCAATGAAAAAGATCCCAGGCCACTAGAGTCAACCTGAAGCAGAGCAGACTTCTTTGACCTGTCAAGGTGGGATGGCACGCTTGAGAGACGCGGAGTATCGACCGAACCGGCATCGGCGTCCTCAAGATTTTCATCGCCCAATATCTGTATGTCCCTCTTGGGTTTGCGTCGGGTGCTTGTGAGTGACTGTCCATTTCGGCTGCTAGGTTCAGCGTCGCTCCTTTCGGTCAGATCCAAGTCCATGATAGGTATCGCGTCGATGTCCACTTGATCGCCATTGTTTGCTTTCAGGATATCGTGGATAGGTGTGGAGGTGCCGGATCCCCTAGCCCCACCTATGTAGAAAGGGTCGTCTCTATATTTCTCCTGCCGCTCAAGTTGCTGTCTCCGTTTTGTGTCCGAATCACCCTCATCACTAGAGTTTTGATAGGACGATACCTCCAGCTTGGGAGGCTCTAGTCTTTCTGCCGCTGTGACTGCGTCCAATCTTCTCCTTTCCTTCTCGAAGTAAAATGAGCGGTACTCGCCCACCGTATCCACATCTTGTTCGAAGTGCTCGATCAATAAGGAACTGAGGTCTTCGTGGATCGGTTTCTCCAACTCCAAGGCTTCCGGAATAGTTACTTTCCGTTGCGCTGCTGGCGCAACCGGATTTAATTCCATCCCAGAATGCAATGACGGAAGTGCTTGAGTAAGAAGTAAAGGTGCCTCAAGGATCGGCTGATCCGTCCCTTCCGCTTGAGCAAGAACAGCTTCAGAAATGAGTTTGATGAGTTCAAGGTACTCGACAGACCTCTCTTGAACCTCTAAGTCGGGGTGGGTCTTCAATCCGTCCAAAAAGTATGAAGCACGGCCAAGCAACAGCGACATCCGTGACCGCCTTGCTTCGGTCCAAGGCGAGACTTGAACTTTCCCAATGGCCCCTAATACTTTAGGAATCGCTTGAACATAGGTAATTAATGTTTCTGCTGGCAGTAGAGTGGACGAGCTGTGTACTAGAGAGGAAAGGACTGCCGAGGGGTCTCTGAGGTACTCAGAATACTCACCGACAAGCCACGCTGCGTCATTGAGGACACCTTGGCCCCCAGTGCTAGATTCAGGAAACAGCTGACCCCGATTCTCGAGGAGTACCAACGATTCAGCTGCTTTAGTAGCTTCCTGTCTCATGCTTCTGACTCTCACGCCCACATTAAGGAGTTGATTCCCGATCTCTTTTGACACATCATCTTCTACGATTGAGGAAGGAGAGGGAGGAGGACAGGCTTTGACAAGGCTCAGAAGCACACGGAGGTACCACTCGAAGTCGTCTGTGATGTTTGCAAACGTATCTCGAGAACACATGTCCAAGATGCGCCGTATGACCAGGTTTCGAAACTCCAGTGGCAGCGGAATTGCTTGTTGAGTAATATTCTCGGCGGCTTGTAATGACGTTTCTGGGTCTTCGCCATCCGAATCAGCCACCGCTAGCATTCCATCATTTCGGACACGATCATTTTTCGGATCATCTTCTGGCGCATTTATTGGCGCTGTGAGCAGTTGCTTGACTAGCCGGTCCACAATCGTCATGATGTTCTCACCATCGACCATGCCTCCCGCCAAATCGAGAGCGCACGCGCGAATGGAGATGTCTTCGTCGTCAATGCATTCGAGGACGACGTCATGATGAGCATTTACCAGGTCGGGATGGGACTTGACGATCTTCTGGAATGCTAGGAGGGCCACATATTTCACTACAGTGGCTTTGTATCAGCTACCAAGGAACAAGGGGAACTGGAGACATCTTCGCACGTACAATTTGGGTCTCGCTCTACGGTGAGCATTCCCCTCAATTTGCTGACGCACAGGCGAGCAACTTCGTCTCCCTCAGCCGTCCCTTGAACACTGTCAAGGATCCCTCCCTGGACAATTCCGTCGATGCATTCATACAGTAATGACATCGCCATTGTGGTTTTGATGATGTTTGTGAGCGCGGGGAGTAATTTCTTGACCAGCCGAGGTTCAAGGGGTGTAAGAGTTGCGAACTTGGCAGACTTAGCAATGACCGACGAACACATTTTGCGGAGCATACCAATTTGATGACCTTGATAGCCATCCAGTTATTCTTGCCCTCTACCAATATCTCGAACAATCGAGGAGCCAAGGGAAGAAAGTCCTGAGGTCGCCTCCAGCCTAGCTCGCAGACCACATTGACGACAGCCGCAGTGACGCTTGGATCTTCTTGCTCGTCTAGCAAGCGTTCTTTGATCTTGGGCCAAGCCGGCCGAAGAGTCTCGGGATAGACCACAGCCAGTCGGTATAATGTCACAACCGTTTTCTTACGAATTGAGACCTGAGAGTGAGACAAGCGTGGTAAAAGATCCGACAGAAGGCTGTTTGCCATGGTGGGATTGATGACATGCGGAACAGCTCCCAAAGGAAGACCTATAATGGCAGGTGTAACAGACATAAGATCCTGCGCCCGTCAGAATCGATTCTCTTTGTCAGTTCTCATGCTCACCTTCTTCAGCAAATTTTCTGCCAACATGAGGACTTCTGTATCGGCCCGAAAACTCTGAACAGCGGCTAGGTAGCCCACCCGCTTTAGTAAATACTTTGGAGAAGACATGACCTCAAGCACATTGAAAGATGCCCATGACATATCATAGCCGAACATTTCCAGATAAGTCAATTTGAGCAAGGCAGTAGCTTTGAGATCTATCAATACGTTAGCGACGGCGTAGGGAAGGTAAGGAGAAGCTCCTTCAAGGCGGATAGCTGACCCATATCTTGGCTCTTGATCTCTCTTCTGCACTCGCGAACACTGTCTTGGATATACTGTCGTTCATTTCCCTTATGGTTCCGCAACCCGCGGATCAGGTCATAGAGAGATTTCTCAAACCTTGAATGAAGTCAAAGATTGCGTAACCACAGAATATACATATTGGAGGACATACATGGTTATCTTGGAGGTGTATTTTCGGACCACTCTTTGCGAGATCAATGTCCGTAGCGAAAGCCCGAAGTGTTATGATACTCAAAAAGCCGAAGACCGTGCCGAGTTGTACTGCATATCTCAACAGTAAATCGGCCTATCTGTTAATGATGAGTCAGATGGATCAGATGTCTCTATGTCCGCCCATATTCTGCGGAAGTCATAGGTCAAGTCTGGTGCGGGTTCATATGGAGGTAAGAGGCGTCCCCGGTTCTGACTTGATCGAGGTCCGACTTTCGGTTAGGACGCTTCAGGATACAAATTCCCTGGGTGTTCAACTCGAAGCTGTGATGATACGTATTTCTTAAATCGCAATGTTCGGGAGCATCACGTTAATCACAATGCGATGAGCGTCTGGTGAATCTGATACTGAAGTGTCGTAATGAAGTTAGGCCCACAAGTTGTCAATGAACCAATCAGCAGCCAAGACCTCCGACGTCGTCTGTCCATCAATTCAAGGGAACCTGCCGACATCTGCCACTCCCAAAGGTCCGTACTATCAAGCTACCAGCTACATAACGGATTGACGGTACATCGCTGCAAACCACCTGTTCACCCCGGATTGAATCTTTCTTTGCGACTTGGTTTCCCGAGCTTCCGAAGACTCCAACCCATCCTCCGTCCGTCGATTACACTCCACCGATTCACGCGTCACCATGTCCACCGAACTTCTCAACCCTTCCTCCTCTGGTCGCCCCGAGACTGCTCTGCGAATTTCACAACAGGCTCCCGACGTCCTCAAACGGACAGCAAAGACCTCGCTACCTTTCCCCTTATCGGTTCTATTCTCCTCCGAAAAACAAGAGACATGGGTGGAGCTCGAGAATCTCCTGGTCGCGTGTCTTCGGACAGGTGACGACAAATCAGCACGGCTATGCCTCGATAGGCTCACCTCTCGGTTCGGCGAGCAGAATGAGCGCATCCTTGCTCTACGAGGACTCTATGAGGAGGCGATAGCACAAGATGGCAAGGCCGTGAATGCGATTCTGACGACCTATTACGATAATTTGCTAGCGGAGGACCCGACGAATATGCCGATTCGGAAACGGCGTATCGCCCTACTGAAGTCCATGTCGAAGACAGGGGACGCGATTGCCGGGCTTGTGGAGCTTCTGGTTACCTCGCCTATCGATGCGGAATCATGGGCGGAATTGGCCGATTTATATTTCTCACAAAACCTATTCCCACAAGCGATCTATTGCCTGGAGGAAGTTCTCCTTATTGTCCCAAATGCTTGGAACGTACGTATTGGCCTCTAACCATTGTAGCCAATCGATATCGGCTAACCGCGAGTTAGATGCATGCTCGGCTCGGAGAGGTCCTTTTCCTATCGGCAGAGAGCAATTCCAATGCAAGGGACGCTGCACTGAAGGATCTGAGCAACTCTTTGAAGAGGTTTTGCCGTAGCATCGAGCTCTGTGATAATTACCTTAGAGCATTTTACGGACTTAAAATGGTAGATTCTTCCTACAATGATTCCTGGATCATCTGACTAACTCGACTGAAGGTCTCCAGCAAACTGATATCGCTCCTAGAAGTGGAGACCAAGACAGTTTCGAAGGATAAGACCGGCGAGCTTAGCGTGCCTGACAAAGCTACCGTCGAATCCCTCAACGAATTGGCAACCTCGAAGCTCGTGGAAATACTTCGGAAAGGTTCGAGCGGAGAGCATGGTTGGGATGGCTACGAGGATGCAGAGCTCGTTGCAATCCAAGCGCTACTGGATCAAACGTCGCAGAAAGTTGAGCGATGAAGTGAGAAAGGAGGAGAAAGTGTTCTAAAACCAAGCTCAGCTTGAGAGGGAGCCGCACAGTCCGGTGGAGGAACTTCAAGGCCGTCGCTGTGGCTGTTGTATGGGTACCGTCACACAGGATCCATTTCGACCGAGGGAGCAGGCGTCCTGCCTGTTAATGGTCTTCAGTCACCGAGGAGAGTCGTCTTGGAGGTCGTTACTACAATCGTCGGGATGAAAATGGTTGGGTAACCGTCCTGTCTGTACTTGAACATGGTCAACAGGAGTGGTCAAAAATCACACAGGACGTTTGGGGTAACTAATGAGTACAGGAGTGAGCCTTGTAATAGTACATGGAGCGATATTCGTGCAATTCAACGGATGACTTCAAATAATCACCCAATTATCTTTTCAAGTCCAGGCCCAATATTAATCATACCTTAAATCATGCCTTGATAACTACGTGTAATTGGATTCTAGTTGCCTTGCTTATTATCGGAAAGAATGAGAATATATATTGCAGAACTGGCAGTGTAATATTAACTCGATTCTGTGTGGCCCCTGCGCAACAGTTTATCATTGGACATCGAATTATCGAGAGACGAAAGTGAATCTCTCCGGGTCATCGTTCATGTTGAATTCCCATCCCACTCCTTCAATAATTCCCCCCAGCATAACCATCGAAGAAACCGTCCTATCTCTTCGGCTTGCGGTCAGATACGAGTAATCGCAATGGCTGTCAGCGAAATTGTCACCGACCCAACCCTGCAGAGCGTTCTTGAAGCTGCAGAACGAGCGCGGAAACAATGCATCGAACTCCTTCAACTGCTTGAGCAATCATCCGAATCCACCGATAGTTCCACACCAGAGTTCGAGTCAGAGCTGTCCACGCAACAGAAAAGCGTCTTTGCTCGGCTGTCGCAACTGCGAGCCATCAATCGCAATGCCATCATCGGGGTTCGCCAAACGAAACAAGCGACAGCGGATGCCCGGCATGAAGTCGATATGTTGCATTTGCAGTTGCAAAATCTGTACTACGAGCAACGGCATCTGAGAGGCGAGATCGCAGCATGTGAAGCCTATGAGTATGGGAACTACAATTGCTCTATCTAGAATTGGTTATTGACGAGAGCGACAGTCACAAATACCAACAACTACCACTCATTCCGGTCGAAGACTTCCTTCAGCAGTGTCCAGAACATCAAACCGACGACGAACATGAGCTTATGATTGCGCGAATTAATCACGAGCATGCAGAGCGACAGGCCCTTGAGGAGACGCGACAAGGACTACTGAAGGAGAAGCAAGGCCTCATTGCGGAGAACAAGAAGCGGAAGGATGACCTGGCAAACATTGACAAGGATTTGGAGAAGTTCATTGAGGTATAGTCCAGGCCAGAAATTATATTGACGTGTATGACGCCCTAGCTGACCACTTCTAGGCCGCCACGCCGATTATCAAGACCTTTGAGAAGGAATACTGAGGGCTACGTGCGTGTCTGAGTATTATGCCTCACGCTTGGCCTCGAATACGACGAATGTATGAGTTGCACATCCAGCCAAGGTTTAGGAGAAATGTACGGATTAGCATTTATCCAGCTGCGATTTTGAATGCTAGACCGTGTGGGAAGTGCGATGATCGAAAACAGCGCTCAAGATGCATCGCTACCAGCTAGAAATTTCGAAGAAATCGTTCGTAAAACTCTTCTGCGAACAACAATCTTTGCCCAGATGGTTCCCATTCGAGGCCCAACCCATCCCAGACCAAGGTATGCCAACTCCAGAACCGAATTAGGACCGTCCCTGCCGATGCCACCGACTCTTTATGAACTGACGACGTGCGCAAACACCTTAGAAGCCAAATCCGCTAGAAGTCGGGATTTCTCCGATTGCGGCAGTTCTTGAAACACGGAATATACACTTTTGCCTCGCGCGTCTCGTACCGCTCCAAGCCGGTTGCCGGCCACTGCACCCGCGATGGCGCCGGGGAAATTGGCGACGATAAACCCCATCGCTCCACCACTCAAGCCGCCCACGACGCTCCAGAATTTGCCGGTCGGCTGCGCTCGCTCGCCTTCGGCCATCCCCTCCTCGCGCAGCATTTCCTCGAACACGCTGCCGAACTGGTCATTGTCAAATTCCTCGCGATTTCGGTTCGAACCGAATCCGAATGCGGACCACGGGAACGAGCCAGGGGTTCGACCCGTATCGTATTGCGGAACCTCCTCCTCGGCCGGTTCCTCGGCGAAGCCATGGTATGCTCGAGCAGCATCGTATTCGCGTCGACGGGTGGGGTCGGAAAGCGTGTAATAAGCGTCGTTGATCTCTTGGAATTTCTTCGTACGGGTCTGCCGCTGGGGAGAATCGGCTGGAACGCGGTCTGGATGGTGTTTTAAGGCGGCTCTGCAGATAAAACATGTTAGACTCGGTACCCCTGGGTCGCAAGCGAATGGCTCCCATGAAAGGGGATGGTTGTCGCATACTTCTTGTAAGCGTCGCGAATTTGTTGCTGGGTGGCTTTGGGGTCGATTTCAAGGGCCACGTAGAAGTCGACTGGGGGGCCTTTCGGTGTCAGTACGTCGCCATGGAATGACAGAGCAGGTAAATACTCACCTGCCATCGCGGTGGAATGAAGGTTTCAAGTGGCAATGTGCAATGTCTGTAGGAAAGCAAGTATAGCGGGAAATAAGAAAAGGCTCCCGAGAGGCTTTGATTGTGTGAACTGTATGAGATTATAATAGAGTATCTGGTGGATAGTGTACTTTACATGTATGGAGGAAGAGTGGTGGTGTACTACGTGGAATCTATCATGATATTCGAGGTTCAAGTTCTGGCCCAAGTTCTGGCCCGAAGGTGTCCAGACTGCAGCGATGGGCAAATCCTGGCAATGACGTCGTTGTGGTAACTTGTTGCCTCAATTGCTGCCTCAGCCTGATCGACAAGACGACAGGCGATTTCGCGAACCAACCTCATGCGTGTCCTTATCACTCTTACCGTCCTCCTCATTTCGCTCGTCTCGTCCAACCACTTAGGTACCTGTACTCAAGACTCTCTGTACATCCCTCAAGTGATACATCCAATACATGCTTCCTTCGAAAATATTAGCTTTCCTTGTGTGTTGACTGGGACAATCGTTCGAGTCACATCTGCACTCGGTCGCCGATTCAATCAAACGAAGTTTGCATTATACATGATCATGAGTCCATGAGTAACTTTCTTTCCGTTATTCTCAAGTCTTCTCGCAGCCTGCATACCTCGAAAGACTAATTCCGCCTGAGGATCGCTTGCAATGCTAGCTGCGTTCATGGCGATGCCGCTGAGGGGTGAAATGGATGGCAAAGTGCCACGACCCTCTGCCGCAACAATGCTGTGGCAGTCGTCGAGTGAACGGTCGTGACGCCGCATGTCTCGGCTAGGACGATGATCGTGGTCACCTGGATGAAGTCTAGCGCGACCTAGCCGTCGGATCCTTCGAAGGCGCCATAGCATGAAGGTCCAATCCAAGTCAATCGGCGGGCTTGCCTGCTTGTCGGACATGATGAAGGATCTCACGAGCGATGCGCCCAAGCATGGCGGCTCAAAATATAATTGACTGGACCAGTCAATCACGAGACTCGCCTCGAAGCAACATATATTCGAGGCTGTGCCTGCAATCGTAAATAGAATGCGAGAGGAAGCGCGTGCTTCGCAAGTTGCATATCCTACGATGCAGAGCTCGTTGGCTGCCTTCGACCAGTGTATATTTGGTCGGTGCTAGCTAGGCGCCTAGTCTATCCGTGCAAATGAAGTTCAGTTGAACGAGGTTCGGCAACAGGACTGCGCTCAAATTGAGTACATATATCTTGCGCGGTATGGCCCAATTTCACATGGGCGGGAGAATATCAATCTTCTGAGTTCTTATTTTCCCTGCAACGCGATTCTTCCACACAACCAGGGATATATCATAGCAGGTCGATCTAATTCCATTTCTTCAGAGCTACGCCAAACCGACCCCACACATAGTGGGAAAGCAGAACGATACAGAATCTCTTGCTTGTGCCGTATCTTACCCGGCTCTATCATTCGAGCCTTGAATTACGCAACGGGATCGTCGTTCTTCCAAGGAACAAATCAAGACCAGACTAATTTCCCGAGCATCTGGTTCGTGGCTTCAGCTCCATTCTCATTTCTCGTCCGCGGCGCTTAAGGAATACCAATCTTGCGCATCGGTCAGTGTTTATCATCCTAGCTACGCGCATTGCGGGAGCCGTAGCCGCGTGTTTTGGTAGGGGAATTGCTTGTACGGGGAATGACAGTCCTAACAAGAGGTTGGGCCAATTAATACATACTAGAAGCTAATATTGCCACAGTCCAGTCCATTACCCTCTCCAACAGCCCGATCATTTCTCGCTAGCTCTACAACCACATTTTCCGACCACCGTTAGGATCTCTTCCTGAGTCTGCAGTCTACGGAGTAGTCTGGCGAGGTTGATGGGACTGTGTTGCATTATCCAGTCCTGTCCGTCCGTATCCTCGTCTTCTGTCTGGAACAGGGCATACAGCACCGAGGACCTTCCTCTGCTTCGTCCTCGCCCCTCGGTAGTTCCGTCACCGCAGTACATACTCGTCTCTCCGTTCTCTCTAAACACAGGAGGTGCAGTAACGAAGTTGAGTGTCCGACCAATTGGAACCCGATCCCGACGCCTCTAACACCTCAAAATAGAAGCCGCGACTGAGGTTGCTGAAGTTGAGACGAATCGGGATTAGTGAGGGTTAGTACGAATTAGCGTCGGCGCTATTGTTTCTTATTGGCCCATACCCCTACATACCCCAACTTCAGCCTCCGACACTCATGTCTCATGATTGGCTGTCCACTTCAACTTTACGCGCCCGTCAATCCTCCTGCAGTTCCGCATTGAAACTCATGCATCATCAACTTTGATCAACCACATCGATTTCTCCCTCACTCTCTCTCGCCGTTTCATATCCCTCTTCCATTCCACTCGCTTTTCCAACTCTCTAACCGCCCTCAATCACAGCGGACCCCAGAAATCCGACCATACGGTCCCTCCGCTGATTGGTCTCTCGCCCTCCCCATTCCTTTTGACCCCCAATTCCCCCGCTATTACAAACCGACCGTGCTTGAACTTTGCAGCGCTTTGTTTCGTGCTCTCCTCTTCTCTGTTACGTTCCGACTTTGGTTCGCTGTCTGTCTGCCGCCTTGTCCTTGTCAGATACCTTGGTTTGGAGCAATTGCTGAAGTTTCCTCCATCGCTGCTGTCCAACGCAGAGATTCCTGCTGCGAAGTAACGGAGTCCCCGCGGAGTGCGTAACGCTGGATTGAGTCACTCTCCTTGCCCACTAACTTTGGGCACTACCTTGGGACAGTCTGAAGGATTACGGCCTGGAGAACAGGGCACAAGGGCTGCAGGCTTTCCGGCAAATCAAACTACAGGTATGTCAAATGTTGGACAAGAGCTCCACCAACTTCCCCTCGCTCCATCATTGGTATATCCCCGTAGCGTAACGCATGGTCCACACCGCGCATGCTATGTATCCGTGCAAACGACCACCAGCCTGGCTGCTATGCGTAGCGTCCGCTGCCCTGTCGGTCCATGTCATATACATGGTGCACTTTCCTTCCCCCTCGTCTTCCTCTTTCCTATTTCCTACCCATCAAGTTGGTCGCTCGCTACTTTGACTAGCACTTCTGCTCGGTCTGGAGCGTCAGCTGCTTGGTCCTCTCTATGCCGTTTCACCTCATGCCTCTATATTCCTCAGTCGTTTCCTCGTTCGCCTAATTCGGCCTATATTCGCAATACTTGATGATATATGGCGCTCATTACTCCTAGTCGCAGGTCCTCAACGTCTGGCGTTTCCCGCTCAATAAGCTATCCACTCGTTCCCACGATCAAGACTGATATCGAAGCCCTCCCACTCTCAGCCACCTCCTTCGTCGCACCCGCGTCATCGATTACCCCGTCAAGCACTGTTTCAAGCTTTCTATACTCTCCGACCGCGGCAGAAGCACTCATGGCTGCTGCTACAACGACCCCTGCGAGCACCATGTCTTCAACTTTAGCTTCAGCTGCCGGGACCTCGGGATTGCAACTGAACGGCAGGCCAAGGGTACCACCGCTGAAGACACGGACACCTATGTCTGCGACATATCCATCGGAACTTCGGAGTCCGCTTCACAGTGCCAGTGTCACCACACCACGCAGTTCGGGTGGGCTTTGGAGTGCCGGAATTCGGGGAGAGGATCTGCGAAGCTCGGGGTTGAGTCCTGCCTTGGGTGGAGCTACAATATTCAGTGCAGGTGGAGCACGCACCCCGACAAGTGCTCCTATTAAGAGGGAGTGGGAGGATGACTCGGCGAACAATGACCCAACTGTCATTACCCCACCACCGGCATACCTTGACTTTCTCCGGGCGCTGAAGCCAGGAGTGAAATCACCTGTGTGCGCAGCCCCACCACAACCTCATTCCGCTCGTGGATTTGGACCGACTTCGGCATCCTTCACATCGGGGGGAGATGGTAAAGGCGAGACCGTGGAGTTCCCCGACTCAATACCGAGACCACAGAGTCTATATTCGACCGACTCCAGTGACAGTGTCACCACAACCGCTTCCCTTTCCACGGGGTCAACATCATCGTTGAATATGATGACCGACCCATCTCACCCCGCCGACACTTCTATGCCGGGGATCGAAGAAGTGGACCCTATTGTCAAGACAGAGCCTGCCACTCCCGAAAGTTTAAATGAGCCTGATATCAACGCGGAGGATACAGATATTACCCCTACTGCAACGAAACGGGATGAATCGAGAGACCAAGAGCATTACCGGAATTTGTCACCGCCCTCTCGCTCATCTTCTACGTCTTCAGTCCAATCTATCGGTCGTCCGCCCCCCGCCGTCGTTTCTGGCTCTCAACCTGCAAGCAGCGGCCCATCCCCGGGCCAACATTATCAGCTACATCGTCCGGCAAACATCCAGATACCTTCCGCAAGCCAGTTCATGCGAAATGCGCAGACGTCATACGTCCACACTCCCGGTCTCGGCTCCGGCCGACAACCACAAACTCCCAGCTCCGCTACTGCCCCCAAAGGTTCCGCTACCCGTCGGGCTCGCCCGGGTCTGCACATCCCCAACTCGGGAAAATCTGTCGGTGCTGGTCCGTACTCACCTGCCGTGTCCGGAACCACCAACCCAAATGCTGTCCGCTCGCCAATATCGGCCGGCATCCGCTCTCCCCTTTCCGCAGGCGTCCGGTCGCCTCTACCAACAGGTCCGGGGGCTCCCATCCATTCACCTGCTATCCAAAGTCCTGTTGGTGTACAGAGCCCTCTGAGCCTCTCAGGTGCTCTAACGGGCCCGCTAGGTGGGTCTGCAACCCATCATGCACCTAGTCCGACGTGCGTCAGCGTTAGGGAGGTTGTGACGAGGACGGTGGTTTGGGCGAGGGGTCCCGGACAGTCGAATTCGTCGAACGGCAGCTCTGCCGGACCGAATCAAGCGCAAGGAAGGGATGGTTGTGGAGAAACATCAGAAAGGAGAGAGGCGCCGGAGAAGCGAAGGAGGGTGGAAGATTGAATGCATGGACCGCATTGCCCCTTCTCGTTCTTGTTAATGATCGCATTCGCGAGCGCTGTCGTTTGACCACGGGTTTGACGTTTCGTTGGTTCTTTGGGTCTATCTTCTGTCATAGTTCTACTGCGAGCCATTGTGGCCTCCACCGAGAGGTTTTGCGTGATCACCCAAGCGCGGTTAGATCATAGGGGTTATGGCTGGATCTACATATTTCTGGGGCATAGTGAAAGATTTACACTTGCGTAGTTGACTTACTTATGATGAATGAGCTTCGTGAGCTGGAGTTTGGAAACAAGGACCACATGGAATGATAAAAGGGACAGGTTTCAAATTTTTGCACCGAAATATAGACATAGTTACATGTCGTCTTAAATCGGCAGAAGAGCACTTCATTCATACTAGTTTAAAATGGCACTCTCTGCCATTACTTTCCCTACATGTCTGCATCTTAGTTATAGGCTATCCGTCCGTCAAGGAAGTCTTGGTAACCGTCGGCTTCCAAGTCTGTAATCGTTATCAAACAAGACAACCGATAAGAAACTGACGCAAAAGGCTCTGGCGAAAGGAGTACTTAGTAGATATAGCTACTCCGTGCAGCCGCCTGGGAGGGTCCATATGCAATTCCTGTACGCTCAGCCCATTCGCTAGAAGGCAAAACACCACCACAGCTAGTGAGCAAGTTTCGAGCCATTCGGCGTATGCATATATCATCGATATTAACGAATCCTACAGGGCGAACTCCTTCCCTGACAATAGGGATCATGGTCCGTTTGTGACCGAAATATTCTGTCCCACGCAGATCCTACCCACAGAGTCCTGCAGTCCGCAGTGAATTCCGAAGTTCACGCCCCCTCTCCCAGGCTCTCGCCTTGTCTTGGCGAGTGTCACGAACGGCTCACCACGCAAATCTTTCTCTCCTTCCTTTGGATTGACGCAGACGATTTGGCATCGGCGGCAAGCTCCAAGCACTTGAAGGATGGTGGGAGGGGAATCAATCCCATTCTCCGAAGGACAGGGAATGAAGGAGAGGATATGGCAGCCATCACACCAACTATCCTCCTCATATGCGTTGGAGTGGTCAAGCGGGCCTTGCGCGGATGGCGCCAGCGGCTTAATCACAATATTCGCCCTGAACCTGTCAGGAAACAGGTCAAATCCTGCATGAACATTCCCTGCGCTCTTTATCTGCTGGTTCAAAAGCCTCACGCTGGCCCGGTTAATAATGAGGATTGGAGACTCATTTGCCAATAAGATGGGATTTTCTCGCTCATGGATGTGAGCAGCCTCGTGGTCGGAGTCAATTCCGATACCGCTATCTTTTTCATCGTCTGCGACCTTTGTTGAGGGATAAGATCCCGGAACAGAAACATGAGTAGGCTTTTGCTTAGTAATGGTGTCCTCTAGTTGCAAATTGTGCTTCCCGGAAACACCACGCCACTGTCTTCCGACGCCTTGCAATGCCGAGTTGGATGAATAACGTGCAAGGCGACATGGGACTCCCACAGCTTCCGACAAAAACTCTGATATTTCGAGGGATTGGTACGTCTTTGCCATGATAATATCACCGCATACTCTCGTCGACTGACCCTTGAACTCGGGTAACCCTGTCTCCAGTAACCTCGATGAGCTTTCAAATGGCCGAGGGTCCTCGGAAAGGGGTACTTCCACTGATGGGCGTTGAAAAGACATCTGTTTGGCCGTTCGAGAGCATTCGATTCGCAGGATTCCTTTCTCTAGGTCAACGGTTGGCTTAATATGAGCCATATGCGGATATCGCTTCATGCTCAGGGCTGTTCCAGTGCCTTGATGTACGATGCACCATTCGCGATCCCAGGCTAGGCCTTCACGTCGTACTTTCCATGATTGCCCTTGTGGTACACTGAACCCAGCACACGACTTGATCGGGTATACCGTAATAGACTCGACAGTGTAGGTGGTTCCCCCAGACATCAATTGCTCATATCCAAGTCGACTTTTGATATCGGGCATAGGTGAAGAGGGAGTCGTCCCGACTTGCCGTCCATCCTTCAACGGAGTCTCGATATAGGCGGTCTGGTTGTGCACGATGAAGAACTCTTTCACCCACACAAGAAAATTTTCAACATCATTCATCGTGCTTGCAGCACCCAAGCTGACTCGTACAATTCCCGTTGGTTTCCCTTCTCCGACCCAGCCTTCTCCATCTTCAACTCCGCATCTAGCACCGGCGGAGAAATTGCGTCGGAGTTCCCATGGCGCTAAAGAAAGTGCAGCCGATACACCGCCGGGGTTGCAAACGCCTCCAGTTCGTAAGCTTATATTTCGTACGGCAGCGAGCTTTTCAACTTCTGCATGCTGGACACATGTACCGCTTGGAGTTTCGAAGTTCAGGGCTATTGTTGATCCTTGCATTTTCATATCGGTATAGCCCGAGTCGGGATCGGTGTAAATTTGGCAGACCGGCGTGCCAGAGGGATGACGCAGAGACTTCAGCTCCGAATAAAGTCTCTGGGTCAGGAAAGAAACGTGCCTTGAGATGCGTTCAAAGGACCCAAATAAGTCGCGATGAACGGATACCGCAGACTGAAGGGCCAGGATGCTATGAATTGGGAGGGTACCGTCTTCCAAGTGCGAGTGCGGCGAGTCATTCTTCTTTAAATGCCATTGCTCCTGTAAGCACAGGACGAGGTCAACGGTGCCGCCTCCAAAGTACTTGCGCCGTGTCATGATAGCGCTAGACGACTTTCGGACAATCAAGGCGCCTAGGTCTGGAAACCCGAAGATTTTGTAGAAGCTCAGAACCGTAAAGTCGGGCGCAGCATCGGCATCACTTAAATCCAGTGGACAAGTAGCGACGAGCGCGGCGGCGTCAAGAAGGGTGTAGACTGGTTGACCAGGTGGGCTCTTGGAACGGATTTCACGACTCCACCGGAGTGGTAGTCGGTAACCGTTCATGTTTGATTGCGCGGGAAAGGTGAAAAGGCGATGCATGAACTGTTGTTCTTTGCTACGACATCCATTCCGGATCCAGTCGTCCACTGCTTCTTTCGATTCGAAACATTGGTGTTGCATTGCGACCTCTCGACCGCCCACAATACTGGTGTGTGAGTCCCGATGGTATCCATACCAGAAGCCGCTCTGACAGTCGCGAAAGGCATCGATCACAAGTTTCACCCCCGCCGTCGCATTAGCGACGAAGACAACATCAAATTCATTTGGATCCGCTTTGACCATGTGAAGGACGTCCAATCGGACGTTTTCGATCATTTGAGTGGTTGTCTGGGATGCAGTGCTCGAAGAATGCGGATTACCATGCATGTTTGAGATCATGTTGGCGGAGAACCGCTCCAGCAATGAACGGGGAACTGGGGGAGTGCCAGCATTATCGAGGTAAAGAGAATCTATTATCATTATCAGTATTTCTCAACCAAATTATGGAAGGATCCCAATACCTGTTAACGACGGATACTCTCGCTGCCGGAGGGATTCAATGTGGGAGTTGTATTCTACGTCTCCAAGCTCTTCCATGGTGAACACCGGCCTCAACGACGCCACCTTATAAGTGTCCAAAAGAGTTGAATATTAGAGAAGAATAAACGACACTTCAATTATTACTTTGGAGACGAGGAAATTGAGCAGTTATGAAATTCATTGAATCAACTCATTCTTGCGACCTATAGGCTGGATTCCGTCCTGGCTTCAGGATGTGCAGCCGTCTGGTCGAGACAGTCGGAGGACGCCGACGGGGCAAACTGCCAGAGGGGACCTAACTGAAGCTGCTAAGATAACGTCTATTACTCACCCAAGGCCATCCTGGGCAGCATATTTTCAGCTGAAAATGCGCCTATTAGGCGTACCACTGTAATTGGAGAGGAATATTGGAAATTACAGAGTATGAAGTGAATATTGGATAGAAATCCGATTAGAATGAGCATCGTGAAGTAGATCACGTGTGCGACTTACAACAATGCACGTGATGTGGTTGTATGAACCATTGACGCCTTGTTGCCTGAGGCATGAAAGCATGGCATCAGAACAAAGTGAGCCGCCTGCGCTGTTAAGGACTACAAGATACTTTTATTGCGCCATACATTGGGCGATCAGCTTTATTCACACCGGGCACATTGGTATATATGTGTCTGGAATAGACTCAATGGCTTCACCACGGTCTGGAAAACGGAGTCGCGAAGATATGGAGCGGAATAGCATGCTAGCGGAAGGGCCAGATGGTTGAGCAGCCCATGAACATACCGTAAATACAACAGTGCTAACAACATACAAGACAGTTCATCCGATGATGACATTGGCCCAACTCTACCTTCGGCTATGCCAAAGAAAAAGCGACGGAAGCTTCCTTTCGAAAAGCTTTTTATAGCTGCTCTTCCCTCCTCTCCACGATACTCCAAGTCTTTGATGCATCGCGATCAGCTCTGCTTCAGCCTTTTCACTCCCCATACGGACTTCCTCATAACCAGTTCGGTGGACGGTGTCGTAAAGTTCTGGAAGAAAGTCCAAGACGGCGTGGACTTCGTCAAGGAGTTCCGCGCTCATAATGGCGAGATCAAGAGCTTAAGTGTCAGTGCGGACGGACGGAGTCTTGCTACAGCCGGTGGAGACGGCACTGTCAAAGTCTTCGACGTGATCACTTTTGGTAAGCCGGATTGGTGTGGTCGTGCGGATGGCGCTTACAGGCTATAGATCTTCTGTTCATCTTCACCCCTGACGAGAAACCTATTTGTGTTTGTTGGGTCCACGCCCGGGGAGCATCCCTTCCCCTTCTCGCCGTATCCACGGAGAAAGATCCAAGCATTCGAATATATGATGGTCGAGGGGAGAACCAGTCGCCTATCCACGTGCTGAAACATATCCATCGCAAGCCCGTAATCTTGATGACTTTCAACAACGAATTCGACTGCGTCATTTCTGCTGATGAAGGCGGAATGTTAGAATACTGGAGACCCAGTGGAACATTTGAAAAGCCGGACAGTGTCTTTGAGATGAAGAGCAGTACCAGTTTGTTCGAATTCAAGAAGGCCAAATCCGTCCCCACCTGCCTATCGATCTCGCCTAATGGCACGCAGTTTGCGACCTATTCATTTCCCGATCGCAAAGTTCGAGTCTTCGATTTCAAGTCAGGGAAGCTATATCGGTCGTATGACGAATCTATCGCCACCATAATCGACATGCAGCAGGCGGGAACATCTGCAGAACAGTTGGATGACGTGGATTTTGGGCGCCGATTGGCCGTCGAGCGAGAACTTGATACTGCTGGGATACGGAACCGTGTCAATGTTGTCTTTGATGAAACGGGGAACTTCATCCTTTACGGCTCTATATTGGGTACGAAAGTCATCAACACCCTCACAAACCGAGTTGTGAAGTTGTACGGAAAAGAAGAGCCTTTTCGACCATTGAACCTGGCCCTATATCAAGGGCAGCCACAAAAGAAGAGTGTTGTCACCGTTGAGATGGCCGCAAGCGAAAATCCTCTACTCCAAGAGGCTGAATCGAGAGACGCAGTTCTTGTTACTACTGGTGCGAGCAAGGTTCGGTTCTATATGTTCTCGAATGAGACGGAGTAAGGTTATGTTCCGAAGTCACAGAATCATTGTTAACTTCTGCCAGCATCAGTAAATCCGCTCGCGATGTCCAAAATGAGAAACCGCGAAACCTCAATACCGGCAAACAAAGCGAAAAGAAAGCTGCGGAACGTGGTACCTTAGCGGTCTTGCACACGACGTATGGTGACATCCACATTCGTCTCTTCCCAGAAGCTGCTCCAAAGGCAGTCGAGAACTTTGTCACTCATTCCAAGAATGGCTATTACAATAACGTCATCTTCCACCGGGTCATTCGTAAATTCATGTTACAGACCGGTGATCCTCTTGGAGATGGGACAGGCGGGGAGAGCATTTGGGGAAAGGAATTCGAGGACGAATTTTCGAGCCTCAAGCACGATAAACCATACACTGTGAGTATGGCAAATGCTGGGGCCAATACAAACGGATCGCAATTCTTCATTACCACCGAAAAAACTGTGAGTATATCCCGACCCATTGAAGCGCGTTTGACAAGCTGATGTCCTGCAGCCATGGCTTGATAACAAGCATACGATCTTTGGCCGAGCTGTTCAAGGCTTGGACGTTGTCCACAAGATCGAAAATACCCGAGTTCGCAAAGAAAAGCCGGAGGAAGACATCAAAATCATCAATATCTCCATCGAGTAGATCGAGCGGTCCTATCGACTTACCAACAAAGGGGTTATTACTGTACAGTGCACGCTGCGTAATTGAAGACAGGCTTGACCTGCTCGAATCAGTCCCCCTTTCCGAACTAAGCTAAAGTATGTATTACAGCCATTTGGCATATACTCCAGATCTCAGCGCGTTCGCACATGAAAGCTCGCATCTTAAATTCGGTTCCGTCCTAGGCCATTATGACACTAGTAAGCAAGATGCAAAGGATTGTCGAAGGTTGTAGCTCCTATGCTTCTAACATCACGTCTACCATGCAACCTTACTCCCTCCCTACGCCGCTCGACGAGCAGTGGGTTAAGACCACAATCGGACCGCGATGCCATGGAATCCAGGCTAGCAAATGGTCCATTGACCTCCTAGTTGTGACGACGATGACAATGACACCCTAAGGACAGCATCCCTGCCCATCTCCTTCAATCGTACATGTGATTCATCATTATTCCCTTTTCGGACTATTCCTCTGACCGCGGCCTTTTCTTCTTCTTCTTCTTCTTCTTCTTCTTCTTCTTCTTCTTCTTCTTCTTCTTCTTCCGCTCCTAACAGTCTGCCTATCCAGCCCTGCAGAACCAATTACTAACGGATCAACAACCAGCCTTATCGTCTTCTTTCAACTATGTCAAATCCATTTCCCCATCGGCACCGGAAAGTATACATTGCCAGGAGGCCAACAGTTCTAAGATGTACGGGTTCGCAGGTCATGTTTCTTTCATCGATCACCACTATGATATCTGCCTATGCACCAACCCTTATGGTTTTCCCTTTGCATCATATTTCATTCGGACAGAAGGTATACATAGCGTTCCATTATACCGCAGGCTAGCTTACAAGTGATAGCTCAACAAATACGAAATCCCTCTGAGTTGTACAATGCTCAGCAATGTCAAAACAGCGATGCAATGCTCAAACAGAATGTAGCCATGGCTAGAACGAGGGTGCTCCTCCCAAGCCTTGCGACGGCACCGTTCTCTGTATTTCCCACGATGCCCTGGCCGCTAAATTGGCTATTCGAGACCTGGTTGCCAACATTCGCATCAAACTGTCCTATGACATTACCTCGGGGGCTGAATACGCATGCCATAACCCACACTGGTTCTCCTTGCAACACATTCTCCAACCCCTGCCCAGTTGGCTTGTTGGCCGTCAACTTTCCGCTCCCTTTCCATGGGCCTTGGGCAGGCGTCCGACTCTGTGTGAAAGCGCCTGTGTTCATGAAATTTCTGTCCTCCGGATTACCAAACCGTGATACTATCTCAGCAGGATTGCAATTTGATCGACCGCAACCGAACTGCGTCGAATTCTTCCATACGAGTTGGGTGAAATCTATTGTTCGATGCGAAAACCCGATGGATTCGGTATTGGAGAAGTTGAGGAACCGCCGTTGGCTGCCCCAGCTGTCAACTGCTTCGGTGACATCGTGAAAGCCAAGGGCAAGATTTTTCCCGATTGATAGGTGCACAAACTTGTATTGGACTGCGATTAGTTCGTCTTCGTCGTAAGTGGGAAGACCCGTACATTGCGTTTATCCAATTTTTTCCATGCACACGTCGTGGCATCAGCAGCAATCTCTGCTAGGGTATCATTCCAAGTTAACGAAGCGGCACTGTGCTGCTGTCGGTATGTGTTTGTCGAATTAAGGCAGGTCTCGCGGAAGCGTGTGTCGTCCGTGAAAGTCGGCGATGTCGAGCTTGTTGGCTGAGGGACTGGAGATGCTGCAGTGCTTGATGATGGGATTCCTTGACTCGAGACGACAGAAAATAGAACCCATACAGATAGGAAAGAATTGAAAAGAGTGTTGGTCGCCATCACACTCCAGAACGTAGTGGTAGGATTTTTAACGAAGCAGCAGGTCGAAAACGACTGTGGAAGGGAGATGCATTTGATAACCAGTATACACGATATTGTCGCTGGATTTAAGAACTTACTAAAAGCATCTGGCAGGAAACCGAGATGCTGTAAATGCAATTCAAACGCAATTTACTTTATTCAAGGCACATAGGCCAGAATGTGGTTGGATGGAGTTGAATCGATGGCTCGCAATGTGAGACGCGATATGAGGCAGTTTTCTTAGCGGTAGGGGGTACCATGTTGATACAGTCAGTTAGCCCATCCCTAATGAATTTCGCAACAGGGAGTATTCTTGGAGCGACACCTTGCCTATTATAGTAAGTACATAATAGTAATACTAACTTAGGCAGGTCACGGCTAGATTACTCTGATCTTATTATTGTTCCGTCATCTCGTCTCAACTTCACTTATCTATTCACCCCACCTGGGCCTCGCCGAGAGGCCTGACGGGCGTATGAATCTCTCTAACATAATTGCTTTAATCATTTCCGGTATTCCGTACCTGTGGACCTCACTTAGGTTTGGGCACTGCGGGCTCGGAAGTGCTCCGTCTGTCTGCCAATGTGGTCGCTGACACCAAATAGAGCACGAAGCCATCATCTAAACCACAACGACACACTGAGATGGAAGTATGGACGTAACTCTCTGTATTCAATAAGAAGAATGCCTCCGATCGCTCAAATAGATTACTGGTTGTAAAGCGTGACAGGAGTTGATCCGAGACACGAATAGCTGCAGAGCCCAGAGTCATTCTTCACGCCAGGCTGATTCTTGACACGACGGAGAAGGAGAACCCTCTATAGCTATCTCAGCTGCACATAATCCGTGACTTCATCTTGGAGCCACTAGTGTAAGGTGCTTTGCGAATGACCAAACCTAGACCCAAGTCCCGGGTGCATAAGGTACTGTTCCCCGAATGCGCCGTGAATGAGTGTATTTGCCTCATACATTTGGTCAGCAGTAGAAGGGGCTCTTCTCTTCAACGGTTCAATACAGTAAAGGCAAAGCCATCATCATCATCATCATCATCGTTCAAGTTCAGCTCATCGAATCTGAAGGCCTTCTCCAAAGCCTCCTGAGCATCGGGACTGTCACTCCTTTGATCCAGTCCCAGAAGCTTGCGAAGATCCGCCTCCTCGCTTCCCTGATCAAGGGTCATTATTTTCTGTTGCTGAGCTTGCGAGCTAGGCGCCTGGTTGTCATGGACAGCGTCTGCTTTTACCATCGAAACCGGTTTCCTGAGTCGAGATGATGCGGATCTGCCATGGGCATAACCGAGTGTACTCCTCGCTGCTGCAGTAGCTACGGCATGTCGAGAGGCGTCTGCAGGGTTTGGGATAGGGGTCGGTTTCGGTTTTCTTGACAGTAAAGGGGCGCTGGCTTTTAGAGAAGGGCGGTTTGCAACTGGCCGTGGTTGGCGAGCAGTGGAGAGTGCAGAAGCCGCCGATTTTGCCTTGAGTGTATTGACGGTCGAATTTGGTTTTGCCATCGGTCTCCCCGATCGATTCAGACGGTTGATATGTGGACCACGTTCGCCTGTCTGTTTGGAGGATTGTGAGGCCGACTGTCCATCCGTTGGACCGTCCGGAAACATGTCCTTGGCGATTCGGTCAATCTCTTGGAACGTCTTTTCGACATGCTTCAGCCCATTCTCTTCTAGATATCGATCATCGGCTGCCAGATCTTCCCTCTGCTTTTTCTCTAGTCGAGAAACACCGTCCTGATCTACCGGATTTAAATACTCGTCCGCCCATCCTTTCATCATGTTCTCCGATAGAAACTGCGGGTATTCCTTGTTTGGCCCAAACTCATCGTACGGATTGTCTTGCAGTGCCTTGTCCGCATCGTTTGAAGGCATGTGCTCAATGTCCGGTTCCGGTTCATTCTCCTGGGTTGCGATGTCGCCCTGATGGACCCGGAGTTTCGCACGGCGCAATCGTGGACTCGTCGCCTTGAGTTGGGTCTTCTCAGGGCTCGGGTGAACCGTGATAGGGGCCGGTGTTTGGAACGCTTTGGTGGCCTTCGCATTGGTGGTCTTCAACCCAAGTGGTGCACGAGGACGGATATCTTGGTTGCTCGTCAGCGATGATTTCCCCACGAATCCTCAAGAAACGCGCATGGTACTAACCAGTAGGTGTTTGGAAGATGCCGGGTTTCGTAGCGGTTTTCCGCTTGCCATCTAGTGCTTGAGGTGCCAGCCCCTTCCTCCCGGTTTTAAGGCCAGTCTCGGCCCCATTACCTGCCGCATTCTCGTCGTTGAGTTTAGACTTGAAGGGCGTTTTGGGGGCTCTCGGGCCTGGTGTTTTTATTGGATGAGAAGTCGACGTCTGGGCCCGCGTCTTTGCCGCAGCAGCAGTCTGTCGGTTGTGGAAAACATTCTCCTGGTCTCGCGTCGCGTACATGGCTTCCTTCCTCCGTGGCGACTCGTCGAAGCAATGGGTTATTCATCCATGGGGAGCCGGATAAGGTTGGAGAAGAAGGCGCAGGGAAAGGCGCATAGGACCAAATGAGTCGTTGTAGCTAGGTCGATGGGGGTTGAGGTGGACAGTATAGAAGTATGGACAAGCAGTGATCACAATTGATATGGATCGTCAGTCGTTGCTCTGTTGCTGTTGTTGCTGGGACACCCAGAGCCCAAACATGTGGCGCAGCTGTGGTGGAAGGAATTGGCACGTGACTTTCAAGGTCTTGGACCCCGAGTGTGGCGGTGCTGCTGCCTCATGTTGACAAATGACACCTTGACGCCTTATCTCCCCCCACTACAGTTTCCCCAGCTCGCGCCCTGAAAGCTCCAGTGGCCACCACCGCTCTGACACTCCTCTGCATCCACAGAATCATCTTCTGTTGACTGAAATCCACCGCTTCTCTTATCCGCTCTACACTTCATAAGACTCTCGCCTAAATCTTGCTCGGATTGCCCATTTGACTGCGTTGGAACAAAGCCTAGTCTCCCCTCTACACCTATCGGAACTCCACTCCTTCCCTCATCATGGATGCCATCAAGCAGGTCAGCTAATTCGCCGGTTCTAACACCATGCACATGTCACCACTCGTTCGACATGTCCTCGTGCGATGCTGACAGCTTCCGCTATAGAAAATGTCCGCCCTCCGCAAGGAGGCGGATGAGTCTGCCGCCCAGGTCGAGGAGCTGAAATCTCGTGTCAAGGTGCTCGAGCAAGAGAACCTGGGGAAGGAGCAGGAAATCACATCTTTGACCCATCGGAACCAAGTCCTGGAGTCCGAAGTGGAGAAGTTGGAGACCGCCATCAAGGATGCGAAGATGGTTGCCGACCAAGGTGCCCAGCATGGCTCGCAGAACGAGTCGCTCCAACGCAAACTACAACTGCTCGAAGAAGAGGCCGAGGAAGCGGACCGGACGGTGCGAGAAACAAACGAGAAGTATGGCCTCCTGTCAATGTCTATCGTTATACATGGGCTGAGAGAATGTCACACAGGCTTCGACAGACCGACGTTAAAGCCGGTCACTACGAACGCAAGGTGCAAGCGCTTGAATCCGAGAAGGACCAGTGGGAGAAGAAGTTTGAGGAGATGGCCCAGAAATACACCGAGACCAAGAAAGAACTGGATGAATTCGCTCAGCAATTGAACGACATCTGAAGACACCGGCTCAAGCACAGGTGGAACGACCGGTGTGGTCTGGCGTCTGATGAGCGGCTTGATTTCTTTTGCTCCGATCACCATGGTATATGCATGGATGCGGGACCTAAGCTTGTAATGGAGATACATGAGATAAAGAGGAGTGTTTTTTGTATTGAAAACATTACTTCCCTCGTCTCTGCTTAGCATGATCAGATTTCTTCTGCTTTTCTTTGCGCCTTCCATGTGCCCGTTCGCCAACGCTCTCGTATCGGAACCTTTTCTTTCTCGTCTTGAGACTCTTATCGCCACCCCCCGTCTTTCCCTTGGATCTTGCAAAGCGTGACCTTTTACGGTCTTTGACCACGTCCTTGCCATCCTTGCCATCCTTGCCACCCTTGCCATCCTTGCCATCGCCGTCCTCGTCATCACCGTCCTTCTGATGAGTTCCCACTTCATCCCCCGACTCCTCTCCGGATCCGATCTTCAGTAACCCGTCCCTGGTTACGTTTACGGGATCCACCGTGACTGTTGTGATCTCATCGTCGTCCTCGTATTCGGCTTGAGCACTGTCGACAATCCCGGTTTTGTCTGGAACAGTGTCTTCGTCGGCAGATTCGAGCGTTCCATTGGTATTCTTCCCGTGCTCTTCGCCATGGATGAGGGTATTAACCGTGTTTACGTGCTCTACTAACGCCCGTTTTCTCTCCTCACGGATCTATGTCAATTAGTATCTATTCAACCGTAATCGACGAGATGTCGCTCTACCTCTCTCCGATGTTGCCTCAACTCTTCCTTTTCTCTTTCGATTGCCTTCTCCCTAGCTTTGGTGGCTCGCTCCACTTTCCGTTTGTGGAATCCGGTAAGGTATTTCTCCCGCTCGGTGGGATCAAAAACAATCTCGACATCGTTTTCGACTTTGCGGCGTTTCGATGGTGGACCCATGGTTGTCCACGGGTATTTCTGCTGAATATTGCTCGTGTGCGATGTTCTTAAATCATAAAAAGTGTGTCAACGAGAGTGTTTAGCATGAAGGCAGATTTCCTGCGCCGATTCGAGGGTTCCGATCAATAGGTGTTGTGCAGTTATAGAGTCGAAGAGTCGAGACTGAGCTTGATGGAGGTCAAGAATTTCGCAAATGTTAGGCAATAAGGCAACAAGGCGTGAATTATCCTGGAACCTTAGCACAGCCCTGGCAGCCCACTGACGTTAGCGTGGTTAGTCAAGACTCTAGATTATGGATATTGCATGCGGTGCATATGTACGGAGTAGTATCAGATGCACCAAGTTCACGGTCAGGTGCTCCAATTCTACCTGATTCATCTATTATCTAGTAGGATCTCTTAATAGACATGGACAGCTAGGTATCGAAATTCACAATTCAATCCGGTGGCTTGCAGGCACAGCAGAGAGTACGACGAGTATCAGGTAGCGGATCACCATATTTACACCCCAGGCGTTCCACAGCCACTCTGTCAGAGAGGTAGGCACTTATGTACCTACATTCAGGCTCTCCAAATGAAGAGTTCGCTCACAACATCGGCCGTTAGATTAGGAAATTAGAGTAATCCAACATTCAGCACTCAAGTGGGGTATATAAACGAGCAAACGAAATTCAGGGGTTCGCAGAGACATGATGCCCCGATTGAAAGGTATTCCAATCCACAACCACGACTGCGTGAATGGGGACGCGGAAGATCCACTGAAACAAACCTCCTAGATGGATCGAAGAGGAGATCTTTACCCCTGCTCGGGTTGGTCCTGCTTTTCACCTACCACCGCAGACGGATTAGCACTGGCTTGGCCCGTTTGATCGTGATGTCGGATCCATTTCCTCTTCATCCTTTCCGTCCTTGCGTTCTTACGGTCCCCAACATCCCTTTTCAAGCTCTTCAGAAGCGTGCCCCCTCCACCGTCACCCCCAGCAGCCGCCGCTAGCGCATCCAACTCGTCTTCGTCGCTGCTTGAGAATGAATCGCTGCGACGCTGCATGTAAACCATCCGCTTTTCGCCTTGCGACTCTTTCTTCTTCTCGCGTTGCCGCTCCTTCAGGCGGCTCATCTCTTCTTCATCACCTTGGCAGTCCAGAACTTTCACAGCAAGACCGAGGAAGTTGCTCTCGAGGAAAGCCTGGAGCTTCGGCAGAAGCTTGGCATTCGGCCGGTATGTACCAGAGTCATTGTCAATGACGAGTTCGTAAGCACTCGGGTCTACGTGCGATAAATCTTTGTGTCCAGATTGCTCGGGGGATGAAATAGGCGATGCGGGTGGGGAGTTGGAAGGTTGTTGATCATTGTCAATTCGGTCAAGATTGGCATCGGATGCATCCCCACTCGTTGGGTTGGGTTGAAGTGACAGGCGTCCGCGCCGGCGACGACGGATGAAAAACTCCCCTGCCCAGGCCACGTATACTGAGACGTTGCTGTGTAGCGTATGTTTGGAGAGCATGTCCACCCCAAATTCCTTTCCGGTCTCGGTGAAGCTTATCGTTCCATCCAGCGAGATGACGTAAGTGAATATCCGACCTCCACGGTCATAATGAGCGGCATCCAAAAATTGACGGGTCAGATCCTCGCATGGATGATCGAATGTTCCATACATGGTGGACCGGTCGAAATTATATACTCGGGCGTGTTGGTGGTGAAGGGTCTTAGATAAGATAAATCCTCGGATGCCCTTCGCCGTGAACATGGACTTGACAAACGGTTTGAACTGAACCACAGGTTAGCGAAGTGAGGGTAAGGGGCATTCATAACGCACCTCTACGTATCGGTGATAGAGTTCGGCAGGCACAGGTCCTTGGAGTTGGAACCGATTTGCCTGGAAACTATAGGAGGGCCACTGTTAGCGATCCGCCAGATCATGGGGTTACAAGGGAAGCAATACTTGTATGTAGTGGTTTTCCGCCCCTTCTTTGACGACGACTTCTCCTCATCGTGTTCCGAACCAACTTCGACTTTTTGGCCGACCAGCCTGCCCAGCATCGGACTGTAGTGCTTCGTCCACCAGCAAGGTCCAATCGTGAAAGCTCTCCCCCCTTCGTTTTCCCCCACGCCTTCTGCCTCGCCCGTTCGACCCAACACCTCGACGGAGACTTCAAGCTCGCCATTTATATGCTTCGTTATGCCGAAGCAAACCGCGAGAAAGCGTACGAAATATGCGCGGCGGCTGCCCATGCGCTTCTTGATCTTGTATCGATGTCGTTGAATCCCAGACCAGTTCTCGTCCAGCCGAGGGACATTGATATGGGCGTTCCCAAGCCGATCATCATGATCGGCTGGGTCTTCATCGTAGATTCGACATTTCAATTTGAATCCGGTCGCGGGGACATTCGCGACCGTCCATGTCTCCTCCCAAACCGGGTCGAGTTCTTTGCGAATAGTGCGGGTCCGCCGGCGCAACGGCGGGTCTTCTTTATGTCGCGGGATAAGCGCAGTGTTTAGCTGAGCAACGATGAACGGGTCGGAGGATAGGGCGTTGATATCGGCCATGGGAAGATTGTGGGCAGAGTGGAAGGTAAACTTGACGGTATATCCTGGTGGCGCACGAGAGATCGGAGTGGCATCGTAGCCTCCGGCCGGTTCATTCCTCTCGGATTTCGCATCGTGTGTTTTGGAATCTGATGGCTTCGTTTCCCCGGAAGGAGCTTGGTCTGCGGCTTTGTTAGGATCCATGGAGGACGCTAGGTTGGTTGCTGATCCGCTCTTGGATGTCTGGCTATGTGTTTCTGGAACGCGGGAGGAAGCCATTACTGGGACGGAACATCGAGCACGATGTATCCAACCGGCAGCGCCTTCGAGTGCGATTCGGATCCTTCAAGTGGCTATCAATCGAGATGTGTTTCCATTATTATTGGAATGGCGAATCTGGTAGGCGGTCAGGGTCCAGGGCTCAAGGCACATGAAGGATAAGTGGTTCAAACACGAATTGCGAGTTTGCGACGGCACATCTATGTGTTACCATCGATTATGCGCAATTGCACATGTACAGACGTTCCGAGGGAGGTTATATATTTACCTTCGCGTTATTGGGGAGCCCGTGCCTCTGGAGGCCACGCGTCGAACCTTGAAAACAGAAAAAGAGGTGCGATATCAGACAATTAGGACGATCGGGAGCCGTTAATTCCGTTGCGATCGAACACTAACAGCGCATTAGCCGACATTGGCTGACAGTGGAGGGTGCCGTCAGCTGGGTATGTTCAGCCTATGCACCAACTATGCAGTGACCAGCAGAGGGGCTGGGTTGCCGGTGGTCGGGCTGGGGTGGCACCATGGCACCTAGCACTTAGCAGGCTAACACTCACTAGTGGCACCGTAGTAGACCTAGGAGTGGGGCGGAGTGGAAGCAACGGACCCTAAGTCCCTGACAGAGTGGTAGCGCTTCAGTTGTTCACTGCCTCACTCATATCACAGTCATATGCGATCTGGCAGAAGACATGGATGGCGGAGTACATGTTCCATTGGAATATGGATCACAGGTGGATACTACATGTAGCACTGAGCATAGTACTCCATACAGTAGTGGGGTGTTAGACCCCGGACGCGGCGAGAAAGCTTGATACGGCTTGGCCATGCTTGTTTTCCTTCATCGTAGCCTTTGGCATCACTATTCGCTAGGTATGTCTACTCCCCAGTTCTGTTCCATGGATGTATTACTCCGATCGCCTAACCTCGTCCGTTATTCCGTACTGCTACACATACTGAGACGGTGATAGGTCACAGAGCGTCATCAAATCATCGGCTTGCCGCTGCAGTTGCTTCTCCAGCCTCAAGGTCAAACTAGTGATGTGCATACCTAAGTACCGACGGTGCAACCATGATCAGCCCTAAGATTCGAGCATTAGGTTCACGGGGATGTATTCGACTTACCATGCAAAGATAGGTATTGATAATGACTTCGGTCAGCGTCTCTAAGACCGAGAGCGGCTAACCGACAGCTCTGTGGAGGTTCATTGAGACATGCGGAAACATTCTCTAGGGAAACTCCACTGACACACCCTAGGCACTGGTTTCTCCCAGACCGTCCACACCAGCACCATTACATCAAGGTAAGCGCTACGAGGCGGTCCAGAACAGAACGGAAGTACTCAGAACCATCCCATCATCTTCCCCCCAAAACGAACCAACACACCGCCGAGGTAGATCGGAACGGCAATCCACAGCCAAAACGCATTGTTCCCAAAAAGCCCTGCCAGGACGACACAAAGGTCGGTCCAGTAAATGATGTCCCAGCCATACTCGGTCAATCCTTTCTGATCGAGGTCTTCGCCTGCCCGGACCACTCGGCCATCCGGAGCATGTCGTGGTCTTGATACGGACTCGAAGAACAGTTGGACGGCAATAGCCGGGATCGAGAGGAGGATGTAAGGCAGCGTGGAGCGAATCGGTGATGCGAAGAAGGCTTTCCGGTGGAAGAGGAGTCGTGCGATGAAGAAAATGCCGTGTGTGATGGCAGTGATGAGGCGGAGGCGTTGCAGGTGGCCTTGATTCCGTGCAGCAAGCACTTTCATCGATTTCTATACACGATTTCAGCATCAGACAACCTAGATGAGTCGGGGATACAAACCTGAGCCATGTTGACAGATGGACGAAGCTTTGAGTCTCTTGAGAAGCTACAACGTGGTTGAAGTTGCTGTTGAAAGAGGGAGAGACACGGGTCAAGATCGTCCGAGGGATTTCAGCGTGAAGTTGGCAGTTGATAATCGATCGCAAAGAGTACAATGAACCGGAGAGTACGGTAGGTAATGAGATTGTGTGGTACACACTGTTAGCTGTTAAGTCACCGAATTGGAGGTCCCTGCATGTGTGTCTGAGTGGTGACTGTGCCGCAACAGCAGTCACGATCTAAGAGAAGCCCCTCACCACATCTGCTTATCACTATTCTTCTCACTATCACTTCACTCAACCACCTACACTCCTCTCATACTACCGCTGCATCAAGTTCACAGTAGAAGTAGCCGGCACAGCATTTGTTTATAATTGATTTTTGGAATTCATAATACTATTGATTATGCTATTTCTGCGTTGGCCACGCAAAGCGAATCCAAACCCCTTTTTCTAAGGGCCGCTAATGCCACAGTATGACCCGGGACTTAAATGCTGTCCCGGTTCGACGACCATCCACAACGCCATGCAAAATTGATGAGAATCCCAACCGCTATGCCATGAAAAAGTTCGTAATCCATGGGAGTTTGTTTCTTGCGCCTTCTATTCCACCTCTCCAGGTCCTCTCTGTCGGTCCCGGAGGGTCAGCTCATGAGCTGGATACTGTAACGCCCTCCAGCGCGTGTATCAGAACCTTTTCTCGCTCTTTTCGTTCCTGTTCCTCCAAAAACTGTGCGTATCGGCTTTTCTTGTTGTGGATGCCGCACTCCGTCTTATCTCTCCCCTTCCACCGGCCAGCTCGCTCATCCTCGCCTTCGGCTACCGGGCTTGTCGAGTGCCAGTCGCCGACACTCTTGTAACCTCGGTCGAGCAACTCGTTGTAGGGGACATTGTTCGCATCGATATATTTCTTCACTTGGCCGAAACTCCAGTTGGCAAGTGGGTTGATCTTGATGAGGCCATCGTCGGAAATTTCCACCACCGGGAGAGTGCCGCGAGCGCCGCCTTGGCTTCGACGACGGCCCGTGAGAAGAGCACGAACACCGAGTTCTCGATAAGCGCGTTGAGCCGGCTCGACCTTGGCGAGGAAATCGTATCGCTCATCGTCCACCTCCCATAACCGATCTCCATACCGTGCAGCGAAATTCTCCGCAGTCGTAGCATTCTCGGGTGTGTAGACGTGCAGTGGAACTTTGGAGTACCTCTCCTGCACGCGAGAAACAAGAGCTTGGGTCTCCGGGAAATGGTGGAGGGTATCGAGGAAGATGAGTGGTGGCGGGGCGGCGATATCGAGCTCAGCAGTGATGTGTGAGAGCATATCCAGGGTTGCTAAACCGGTAAGACCAAAGGCAGTGGTCTGGAATAAGGAAGGTAATGTGATCAATGCCCATTTCAGGATTTCTGTTCATTATTAACGTGTGCTCCCTTGGAGGATGGAAAAGACTGAGATCACGGACCTTCAGGCTCTAGTTTGCTCAACTGTATATTGACGAAGTCCAGGTGTGATTGAGCAAAGAAAACGTCCGGCAGACTGGCGGTGCTGGACGATGCACTGGCATATCCAGACTCATCGTGGTCATGGAATGGCTTTCGATTCGGCGATGCCATGGTGGGCGTGTGAAGGAATCAAGAGTGCGGGGAAACGGCTAGTCTTCTTTAGAAGTCTTTTATTCAATCCTTCGTTGATTGGGTCGAATGGGTCGAATGGTAGGTATGTGAGCACAAAGGGATCTCAATATCGATGGTGTTCTTCGGCAGTAGATGTACGAGTTGGGATAGGGGGAAGTCTCAGGAAGTCTTCTACTTAAGAGGGATTGAGAAGTGGATGTTGTCACCGTTAAACCAGGTCATTTGATTCCAGATGATTGAATAATCAAAGGGTTCTTATTAATATTCAAATATCCAGGCACGCAGAAGGCGGCCGTAAATCGGACGGCAGGGTTTCCAATCACATCAAATTTGATATTCATCATTGTCTTCTCTGAGCACGCAATTTTAGCGCCTGGCGACACAATCGCCGTCCACACCCTCCCCACACATTCTATGCGTCAACACCACTGCATTTCCGCCTCTCTCCGGGATTTTTTCGAAATGGCGTTGCGCCCTGGCAAGAACGGCTCTTTGTTTCTTTTATCCCGGGTATTTCATACATAGCATGCGGGGAAATGGGAAATCCTCAAATCCTCCGATCGTGTTAGTGAGAGATGAAGGGAAACATGAATTCTGATTGGAGAATGGAGATGGATGTTTGGAATCCGGATCCCTGCCGAACCGAGATCTGATCCATAGAGCATGATTTCCAGTCTTCCCCCGTCAGATCCGCGTGGGCGGAAGATCTTCAATAGGATTGGGTCTCAAGATTTCTGATCGAAATCTGACTGTCGCTAAATAGGGATTGTGAGACAACTGACGCAACATCCCTTGAATTGCAGCAGAGCCTCTTGGAGTCTTGATGAGGAGTCTAGGTGTAAGGATGGTGTCGACATCTCATATCTGCCCGATTGCTATGAAATCAACTGATTAATACCTCGCATGGGTGGCAAGGACCGCATTGAAGCTCGGCTAATGAATAATGAGTCTTTATTATTGTTCCTTATTGTTCCTTATTGTTCCCTCAAAGACAACCGTTAGATTTTCGGCCGCCAGGCACCTAGTTAAGTAATTATGCTTCTGAATCTCGCAATGATCGATCTAACCGGCTCCTCCAAAGACCTCCAGGCGGTATTGGGTGATGGGAGGGATCTCCACCAACACGAGCCCGTCCAGTGTATACATGTCATATTAGAATACTGACTACTGAGTACTATTCAGGTTCTCGCTGCTATCATAGAACAGATTGATAGGTACAGGTACGTGATATCACAGTTCCCTGGTGTCAACTCGACGGACAAACAAACAAATTGGCAGCACGTGATATAAACGTCACCGCATTCGTCTCCATCCAATCAAAATGGATTATTTCACTTCTTCCCGCTATTGTCCTGTGGCTGATATTCTGCCGTCCAGAACGTGCACCGCCACCCGCTGACGTCGAGTCCAACGGATCTGATCTGATGCAGATCTCTGCTTGATGTACCTCTGGCCCTCTGCTTGAACAATCGAGTTCGACTTCTCACGGTTCTCACTGCAGTTCATTGTCATGGTTGCATTGTTTGTCATGTTAAGTTCTCGTATTGCTAAGTACCACCGAAACCTGCTTGGCCAAACAATGCAATTGAACCACCATTGTTCCACCAGAGTTTCCTCCAACCTGTAGTGCACATCACGAGCCTCCACCAACTATTGTTCTTGTACATGCTCTGCATGAGTAGAGTAACTCTTCTTCCAAATCTTCAGCCTTCTGACGCCGATCGAAGCATCACGCGTCTCGAATTTTCAGTTCAATTGGCTTGTCCTTTCGCTCTCGTCCAATATTAACATCTCCCCCATTTTGCAGAGCATCTGCATCGGACTGGACCGAAATTGCAGCGGTTGATCACCCACTTATCCTTGGTCGAGCTTGTCTTCTTCATTATAATGGCTTCTCCTCAGCGCGTTCACTGTCTGAACCTCAAAGATGACGGCTCGCCAAATATTGGCGGAACGTACATATGCCTTCCGCCGCCGACAACACCCGCCTACCACCTGCGCTTTTCGATCCAAGGAACAAGCTCCGTCTGCCAGCGTGGCAGCTTGTGGTCCAATATACCAGGCATTGGGGAGACGTTTCAGCGGGACCAATTCCGGGAGTTCAAGTAGGTTTTCACATCATATGGAATTTTGAACAGGGCTAACCTGTGACATAGGTTGGATCCTGACTTCAACCGCAACATTGAAATCGACTTCACCATCACGCAGCCTGGATCTTTCTCCTATTACATTACCTATTCACCGTTGCCTTTATTTTCTCTCGGCCCCACGGAAGCGTCAAAACCCGCCCGAACGCCCGAATATTATATCGATGTCACCCCGGCGCTCACACTTCGGGGAAACCCCCTACCTTTGGACTCACTTTCCATCATATCGTGTTTGTCGAAGTTCATGGGCCAGTACCCTTCCGATTGGCAGAGCCATCTTGGTGGGATCAGTGCCAGGGGGTATAACTGCGTCCATTTCGCTCCATTAATGAAGCGGGGCGAGTCGAACTCTCCCTACAGCATGTACGATCAGCTCGAGTTTGACCCGGAGTGTTTCCCCCATGGGGAGGCCGATATTGCTGATCTGGTTAAAACGATGCATGATGACAATGGCTTGTTGACACTCTGTGACATTGTCTGGAATCATACTGCCAACAATAGTCAGTGGCTCGAAGAACACCCTGAGGCTGGCTACAATGTGGTCACGGCACCGCACCTGGAGTCGGCTCTGGAGCTGGATAATGCGTTGCTCGACTATAGCAAATCGCTACGAAGCCTTGGAATGCCCACTGAGCTCCAGACGGTGGATGATTTGCTCAGTGTCATGGAAGGAGTGAAGACTTACTGTATTAGCGGAATCAAGCTATGGGAGTACTATGTCCTCAACCGGGATCGTGACGCCGATGCAGTTGTCAACGCATGGGTTTCAGGCAAGGCAAGCATTTCCAAATCGATAACCAGCAGACCTGGGTATAGCCAACCTGAGCTGCTCAAGGATCAATCTTTGAAGTGCAAGGCAGATTGGCTCATTGACAATTGCTTGGAAGGATCCGATCGCATGGGAGAGCGATTTCGACGTCGCATCAATCCTCAGGCAGGCGCATTTTTTCTGAATGCGCTCAAGGGCCGCTACGAAAATGGGAAATCCGAAGCAGCTGCAAAGGAGGAGCTACTCCAAGTCACCGACGACGTGAAACTGATGGTTGATGAAGTTAATCTGCAGTTCTACAAGGAATACGACACCGATTGCGCCGAAATTATGGAACAACTCTTCAACCGAACCAAATATACGCGTCTCGACGACCACGGTCCGAAGCTTGGCCCGATCACTCGACAGAATCCACTGATCGAAGCTTACTTCACTCGCTTGCCCCTGAATGAGACAACCAAGAAGCACGATCTAAAGTCCTTAGCCCTTGTCAACAATGGATGGATTTGGGCTGCCGATGCCTTACGGGACCACGCCGGGCCAAAGTCTCGTGCTTATCTTCGGCGAGAAGTGATCGTATGGGGAGATTGTGTCAAACTCCGATATGGCAGCGGCCCGGAAGACAACCCTTACCTCTGGGATCGCATGGCGCGATACACACGGCTGATGGCCAAACATTTTCATGCGTTCCGCATCGATAATTGCCACTCCACTCCGATCCACCTCGCTAGTTATATGCTGGATGAAGCTCGAAAAGTGAGGGAGAACATCGCCGTGTTCGCGGAATTGTTTTCGGGGTCAGAACAGATGGATTCCCTGTTTGTCCAGCGTTTGAACCTCAATGGTCTGATTCGGGAGGCTATGCAGGCATGGAGTACTCAAGAAATGTCCCGCCTAGTCCATCGACACAATGCACGACCTATTGGAAGTTTCGACGTCGACGATATCGTGACAAATGACCGGTCCAATGGACTACAAAATGGCACCACTTCCAAGCGAGAGACCGTTCGGACCGTTAGGGCAAGCACTGTGCATGCGCTGTTCATGGACTGCACCCATGATAACGAACCCCCAGCAGAGAAACGCGATGCTCGGGACACATTGCCAAATGCCGCCCTCGTGGCTATGTGCGCATGCAGTACTGGCAGCGTGATGGGTTACGATGAGATTTACCCAGCTCTCCTGAACCTAGTGTCTGAAACAAGGCTCTATGGCTCGCCATATTCGACAAAAGACGCCATCGCCAACATCAAAAACGTCACAGACGGGATTGGTGCATGCAAAGCTATATTCAACACCATTCATACGCTCATGGGCACTGAAGGATACAATGAGAGTTTCATCCATCACGACCAGGAGTATATCACAGTCCATCGAGTCAAGCCTCAAACACGCGAAGGGTACTTCTTGATCGCCCATACTGCCTATCCTGGCTCTAGCACAAACAATGGGAATCTGGATCCTGTGAGACTTCCCGGAACTGAAGCTGAGATCGTTGGTGCCTGGGTCTTGGAAGTTGACAGTTCTGCGGAAACGAGGAGGACTACGCAAGCGGACACAAAGGTCCTCCGGGGATTGCCTAGCAGCGTGACTGAAATCTCAGACGTCAAACTCGAGAAAGACGGCTACGATTGCTTGATACATCTTCCACCAAAGTTCCCGCCTGGCAGCGTTGCATTATTCAAAACGAAGATGCCAGCGGCCAGTCGTGCCCTCATCGTGGCCGACGTGGGTCCTCAAACAAATCTCGAGTCGTATATGACATCCGACGCTGCTCAAGCCTTTGGATCGCTCTCATTGTGCGAGCTCAATGTGGCGTTGTATCGCTGTGATGCCGAAGAGAGAGATCTTTCTGATAGATCCGACGGGACATACCAAATTCCTGAGGCAGGAACTCTCGTCTACGCTGGCCTCCAAGGGTGGTGGTCTGTATTAGGACCAGTCGTTCGCGACAACAACCTTGGCCATCCAGTTTGCCAGCATTTGCGTGAAGGTGACTGGGCAATGGACTACATTGTGTCACGGTTTGAAAAGCTTTCCAACCAGAGTGGATTGCAAGGCCTTGTCAGCGTCGCAGCATGGCTAAAGAGCAGATTCGCAGCGATCAAAGAACTTCCAATGTTTCTTCATCCACGATACTTCGCCATGGTCATACGGACAGCATACCACGCTTCGATTGATCGAAACATTTCTCTCCTGAGCAGAAACATTGGCGATGCTCAGCAGTTCGTGAAAGACCTTTCACTCGTTTCAACCCAGATGACAGGTCTTGTGAATAGCGCAAGTCTCTGGCCCAATAAAGCGGTACCATCCATGGCCGCCGGACTTCCACATTTTGCTTGCGACTGGGCTAGATGCTGGGGTCGAGATATTTTCATATCCATGCGAGGGCTGTATCTCAGCACTGGAAGATTCGACGATGCCAAAGAACACATTCTTGCATTTGCCAGTGTAGTCAACCATGGGATGATTCCCAATCTACTCTCTGGTGGTCGGCTTCCACGCTACAACTCCCGAGATAGCGTGTGGTTCTTCTTGCAGGGCATCCAAGATTATTGCACGCTTGCGCCAGAAGGACTGGGCTTGCTCGAGGTTGAAGTCCCAAGGAGATTTCTACCCTACGACGATACCTGGTTTTCACACGATGATCCCCGCGCGTATAGCACACGGAGCACGGTTCGAGAAGTTGTCCAGGAAATCATGCAACGACATGCATCTGGACTCCACTTCCGAGAGTACAACGCCGGTCCGGACCTCGATTCGCAAATGACCGATGCTGGGTTCAATATCGACATTCAAGTTGACTGGACTAACGGTATGCTCTTCGGCGGCAATCAGCACAATTGCGGTACTTGGATGGATAAAATGGGAGAAAGCGAACGTGCAGGATCCAAAGGGGTGCCTGGGACACCACGCGATGGTGCCGCAGTGGAAATCACCGGTCTCTTATTCAGTACGCTTGCTTGGCTTACTCAACTGCCAGCTGCGAAGAAATTGGCCACCAACGGGGTTGAGAAACCTGATGGATCGACAGTGACGTGGTCTGAATGGGCCAAACTGATCAAGGACAATTTCGAGCGTTGCTATTACGTCCCATCGAATGAAAGCGAGGACCAAGGCCACGACGTGGAGCCTGAGCTTATAAACAGGCGTGGAATATACAAAGATCTTTACCGTTCCGGAAAGCCGTACGAGGATTACCAACTTCGACCCAACTTTCCGATCGCCATGGTCGTGGCTCCCGACCTTTTCTCTGTTTCTCATGCCATTTCGGCCCTTCATGCGGGTGATCAATATCTACGTGGACCATTAGGTATGGCAACGCTGGATCCAGGGGACCTAAACTACCGTCCATACTATGTCAACAGCGAGGACAGCGACGATTTCGCAACAAGCAAAGGGCGGAATTATCATCAAGGTCCCGAGTGGGTTTGGCCACTGGGTTTCTTCCTTCGAGCCCTTCTCATATTCGGATTGGCAGAAGTGGATCAAGTAGCTGCAAAGGAGAACTGGAGTGACGAGCGACGACGAGAAAAGCACACGGAGGTGTTTCAGCAGGTCCATCAACGCCTCAAAGGGTGTCGCGCTGCAATTCGGGACGATGGGAACTGGTGGAAGGGCTTGACAGAGTTAACGCAAAAGGGCGGCGAATTATGTCCTGATTCGGTGAGTTTCTGTGCCTTGCTTGACGACTTCCAGTGGATCACTGACCAGATATGCATAGTCGCCTACACAGGCCTGGTCCGCTGGGTGTTTGTTGGATCTGTTCCAGGAGGCGCGAGAGCTTGGAATTGACTCTTGATTAGCACCGAATGAAAAGCAAGATGGACGGCCTGGCACGCCTGGATAACGGTTGCGTTACTGTCCCTTAGCACCATGTTCATCGGCTTAAGGAGCGATATGCTTGAACGAATTGTTTTGTACTGTACATAGAGGAATAGAGATACTTAAAAAAGGTTTATATTTCAATTATTAGAGCCACCTTCGGATGAACGCTCTGTCGAGGCATATATATATCAGTAGGTTTTGCGTGGAACAAAATGCGCCATGAACCCTTCACAAAGACACACACTGCGGCCAAGCAATGCAATCTAGCATGACAGGACCCTTCTTCTATCTGCAACAGGTAACAACAACAACGTCGGAGATTGAAGAAAAACTTCAATTATGCTGTCGATACTCCGGAAAGCACGATTAAAAGACAAGGAGCTTCGCGTGCTAATCCTTGGATTGGATAACGCTGGCAAGACGACTATTGTGAACCATCTCCTGGGCAAGGATACGTCGCAGATATCTCCCACACTTGGGTTCGTCATTAGCACCGTCGACTGGGATGGATATCGAATCAATATTTGTATGTAAACACTATCGGCTATCAGGGTTTAGCTAACTGTTATTTTCCTAGGGGATGTTGGAGGACAGAAGACGCTGAGAACCTACTGGCGGAACTACTTCGAGCGAACGGATACATTGCTTTGGGTTGTCGATGCGACTGATGAAGCAAGAATGAATGATTGCCGAGAAGAATTGGCAAATTTACTAGTTGAAGAAGTACGGCCAACCTCTTTATGCATCTTGATTATCGACATCAAGGACCGGGGTGGTGAAAATCGAGTCGTTATTCTTCCAAGAATGCTGACATCCAACGCGTATAGCGATTGATGGGAGCGAGCCTGCTCGTCGTGAAGAATAAAACCGATGTTCACGGGTGTTTGTCTAATGATCAAGTACGGGACGTGAGTAGCAGGTCCATCCTTTTTGTCGCTTTAATGATTCATGGAACTGGCAGATTTTGCGACTGGACGACATTCGCACCCACCGATGGTCAATCATGGAGTGTAGCGCTATGACCGGACAAAACCTCCCGGAGGCCATGAACTGGGTACTAGCGGATGCGAAAGAGAGGCTGTTCTTATTTTGAGCACCCCGTGTTCTTGAAGGACCACTACAAGCGTCTACCCGGTGCTTGCTGGAGAGACAAGACATAATCAAATTTACTCCTACGGGCGGCAGAATACGAAAGATGGCAGGGTGCAGTCTATGCAATTTCCGTGTGGTATCTTATGCTATCAAACAGAATGTCCCGAGCCATCATTCATCCTCTACTCGCATGGCATGGTCATCGGTCTTCATGAGGCTTAGGTATCTTTCGGTTCGATTAGATCAGGGATCTGCTGCGGCTTTATCTTACCCTCAAGGATATCTGTATCCGAAATCAGCATTGAGAATCAAACGGACCATGATGAGAACTAGAAATACTTACTGTAGACTGCCGTGAAGAGTGGGAAATCGGCTTCCATTCCTTGCGATTTCAGGAACGCGTTGACTTCTCTCGCGGTACTGATCCCCTGGAGTTTCTGACCGTTCAACTCCTTCTCCTCAATCTCTTCCACAGTCATTCCCCGTTCGAGCGCCATCTTCGCGCATCGGAAGTTTCGCCCGCCCATGCAGCTAGTCACCACATCGGCAACCCCGCATGATTCTTCGGTGAAAGTCGTTGCCCGAGTGTGGTGGGTTGTAGAAAAGAAGGCTTGGCCAAACCTCACCATTTCAAGGATGCCGACGCGCATGACGGCAGCTTTCGCATTGTCGCCCCAACCTAGTCCATCCACAAAGCCAGCTGCGAGAGCGATGATGTTCTTTAGCGCACCCCCGAGACTGACGCCAGCGGTGTCCGATACCAGACGGACGTGGAAGTACGGTCGGTGGAACAGTTTCTTCATCGTTTCGTGCGTGAGAGGGGGATAGTCGGCAGGGAGGGCTTGCAGTTTCGTTTTGGACGGCTGAGCTTGCTTCGAGGTCGCTGAATGCAAATCACCGAGATCGGTCGTCACCAGATTCACTTGCGAAGTTGATGGCGAGCCTGAAGGCGAGGGCTGTCGCGAGTCCATGGCTGGAGGATCGTAAGCAACCGTCGTCTCAGAGTACTTCTCCATTGCGATTTCCGTAGCGATGTTGGCTCCAGATAATGCTCCGCAATATATGCCCAATTCCTCTCCAATTTGATCGCTGAGAAGGCGAATTCCACTTTCGGATACTTCGACGCCCTTGATACATGAGATCCCCCGTGCAAACGGCAGTATTTTGCCCCCCAATAACCGGCAGATTTTAGGGATGAATTGATGAGGCAGGTTAAAGATCAGGATGGAGGAATCCTTCACTGCGTCCTCGATCGAAGGGTTGGCGACAACATTCTCGGGGAGAGCGATGTTCGGCAGGTATTTTATATTCTCATGTAACTGGTTCACCAATTGTGAGAGTGGCTGCGGCTTGCTGCAAAGTTCCGAGCTGGCGTCGTAGTGCTTCGAGGATTTTGGAATCGATACTTCTTCTTCATAGACCCACATCTGGACAATGGGCTCAAAAAGGTTGGGATTCTCTCTTGTGTTTTCCGCGACCACCTTGGCAATGGTCGAACCCCTTGAATACAGTGAGTACCGGATCATCCTGCTTCTCTAGAGCCCTGGACGTACCAGTTTCCCGAGCCAACCACCGTGACCTTGTGTTTCTTTGCGTTTCCCCCGAGCGTGGCCATGTTTGCGACCGTTATTCTTCGAATTCCTTGGATCAATGGTCGGTATAAGGTCATTCGCTTGACATTCGCGGCGAGGGATGGCGAAGAAGTTCGACTGAGGGATTTGGATACTTTTGGAGGTTGGTGGCTTGTCGTTTGTCAAAGGAGATTCGGAAGGGTTTAGGTCAGAGGTTGAGGACAGTAGAACGGAACTAGGTAGTATTAATGATTCATAGCCTCCTTGTTCTATTCAAGAATTCCTGCTTCCAGGTGGTGAGTGAGAGAGAGGGGAGAGGGGAGTAAAGAATGTGAGGTCATCTGGGTTGGAGGAATTTGGAGAGTGGAGATCCTTATTCCTTGCTTCGTGCCTCGTGGAGCTTCATCGGTCCACGTGCCACATTTCCACTTAGTTACCGATTCAGTATTGACGTGTATCCAATAAGGAATACTCTATCACTATATCACTTCGGTTAAGTACAGGTAGTGATTGTGTGCTTGTGTGCTTGAGTTCATCTATTGTACCCGCATCTATCCAGTACATGACCGGACCTTCATTGTCCCATCTACCCAAAATTAAGCTTTCTCGCAACCTGCTCTCCTCTCCCATCTCCATCTCCAATCTCCCCTCCTCTCCGTTTCAAATCTTCTCCAACCTTTTCCAGCCCCCCGCCTTTCTTCGGCAACGCCTCCTTTTTGCTAGGTCGGGGGTTGGTAAGCCACCACTCGTGCTGCAACACCTGTTTCGACGTTGCCCTCTTGTTCGGATCCAGCGCAAGCATGGAGAGTAGGAGGTCAATTCCCTGGCCGCCTATGGTTCCGAACAGGCCCTGAAGCTGTTGCTTTGGAGGGGGCGGATTGACTGCTTCCGAGGATATGGCAGCGTATGCCTTATACCCATCAAGCATTTCAACGCCCGGCCAAATCTGCTCTGTCGGCGTACCGAGAGCCTTGCAAATCAACGTGACTTGGTCCATGTCCGAGCCTCCAGGAAGATAAGGGGTTCTCAGAATGAGTTCAGCGAAAACACAGCCCATTGACCAAACATCGACGACCCCACTGTAATGCCGAGCCTTGAAGAATAGTTCCGGAGGTCGATACCAGCGTGTGATGACGTTGTATGTCATGTTGAGATAGGGATCCGAGAACGAACGGGATAGACCAAAATCGGCCAATTTCACTTCTCCGTCCGCCGCTATAAGCAAGTTGTTCGGTTTGATATCGCGATGGAGCACGAAACTCTCATGACAAAACCAGACGGCTCGAGCCAACATGTTCATCCATGCTTTGATGTCTGCAAGACCGTAGTGTACGGATTTGGTGTCGCGTATGACACCTTCAAGATCGCCCAACGGAAGATATTCGAGAACAAGGTTCAAATTTTGGTTTTTGGAGGAAAAGACGGAATGTAAGGCGATGATGTTCGGATGTGAAAGTTCCTGTAGGTACTTGACCTCACGGATGGCGTCGAATGACAAGCCATCTCGGAATTCGGCGTTGACCTTGATCTTTTTGATGGCCACGAGTTTGGAAGGGTTGTCGCGGTGATGGCCGTGATAGACGATGGCATATGTTCCTTCACCGAGTTTCTTTCCTGATCCCAGGTCAGAAGCGGGCAGGCAATGGATATGGATGGACCAACCTTTGACATACCTCCGCCTTTCCTCCTCATTGAGCTGCTCGGATATGTCCGTGTTGATATTGGAGCTTTGCGTGTTCGCGACTAGCGAGTTCGAACCGGCTGGATTGCTCGTAAGCATGGTTAGAGGTCGAGGTTTAAGGCTACCATTTGCTCCAGCGGATGGCATGGTACCAGGAAGAGGTGATACAGCCATGGTAGATCTCCTGGAAGATATCTAGCCAGATAAAATTCTGTAAGATCTTCCGTGAGGTCAGTTTGGTGGAAGGGGTTGAAGCCTTGGAGAGACAGCAGTTGGATCTATCAATCATCTATCATCCTATCCTCCAGCAAGGAGCAGCAGCTCATTTACCACGGGTTCCATCACTCTAGCTTAGACGCCCAAATGGCGGATTTAAGCCTTCGCGTGGAAATGATCTTCCATTGTAGTTGTCCATTGTGTTCTTGGTAGTGGCGGATGCGAGGGAGAGATGTCAGATGCTATGTGAGGGAAAGCACGTGCCTTTCCTCTAACAACGCCAAAATTTCTGGAGAGTTCACGACTTCACCTCTTCACCAGTTCATCCTAATTGATCCGGATGACTTGATTACGGGCACCTACTTCATTTACATACCACCCTCCACAGTTGATAGCTTGACAGTTGGATCCGAACACCGTCCATCTCCCCATTCTTCCTCATGTCGTGGATGTTTGGGTCCAAGTTCCGTCCGCTTAAGCAGGCTTGCGCCATCTGCATCCGCCATTCTTCGACATCGAATCGCCTTCTATCCCGACCTATTCCACCCCCTACGCCATTCGTACCCGATGTCGCAACCTTCCTAAAAGTCATCGGTCGGAACCTGTCCGCTCACTCATCACGAATCCCGTCATGGGATGCCCTTTTTACCTACTCCTCTTCCCAGCTTCGCGCTTCTGGGATTGAGCCCGCAAGGAAGCGGAAATATCTGCTTTGGTGGAGAGAGCGCTTTCGACAAGGCCGGTACGGTGTCGGAGGCGATTCCAAATGGGTTGGCGAGGATGGCGAAGCACATTTGCGGGTGTTCGAAGTCCCCATGCCCCCCGAATGGCAATCCAAAGACTCAGCGCTCGCCACGGCCACCCGCACGGCTGGTATGAGGAAGATCGCAGTGAATGTACCTTTTGGGACGGCGGACCAGGATACGTGCCCGGTTCCACTGGAGGAAGCTCCGCCAGTCGCCTTGACGAAAGTTCGAGGAGCTCATACCATCTCTGGCCCGTTCGTGGAGCCCTTAAAAGGAACACAAGGCATGGGTGCCCGATTAAAGGTGCAAGAAGGCCTATGGGAAGTCAAACAAGGCAGGAAGGTGGATGGTGGAGAGCGGAGGAAGGCCGAAGTACGAGCCAAACGGAGGGCTGCAGAACGAAAGGCGGCTGGACGTTGAATTAAGCGACAACGTATCGAGTACAGTTGAAGGATAGGTTGCCTTGCAATGAAGCGAGAGCATTTCAAAGGCGCATGGTTAGTTTGTATAACAGGCATATTCGGGATTAGTCACGTCTACTTGTCATTGTCGGGACTGCAAGTAGGTTAATAGATTCCGGTTGAACTCCTATATAGCGACAGCGCTATACAATTGAGATTAAGGTTGATTGCTGCCCTATAGACATTGATAGATGAGGCGCGTTCCCAGATCTATGTCCAGAGTTTCTGAACCCAAGAGATATATTTGGGGCCTCTCGCTGGCTTCGGTGGCTTCTCCTCGGCCAAAACCTGGTCCATGCCGGTGGTGAGGTCCGTTTCAGCTGGATTATAAGCCCAAGTGTCGTTCCAGGCCCAAATAAATCGGTGCCCGAAATAGATGGCCAGGAAGATCGGGATACCAATATATGCAGTTAGGAACGAGCTTGCGCTCCAATTCTGGGGCCAGAACACGTGGAACCCATTGATCAAGGTCAGGAACCCGAATGACCCCAAGGCAATCCACGAACCCACTGGCTGAAGCTTCGAGTGAAAAGGCAATGCCGAGTCGGGGACGCCTTGCACCGCACAGGCCTTTCGGAAGCGTAGTAAGACAATGCAGCAGCACATCCACGATATGAAAGCTGACGTGTTCGTAAGGTTGACGAACCAGTTGAAGACCACGGCCGAATTGTCACCGACGTTGAGGTATGACAGTGCGCAGAAACAGCTGGAGGCTATGAGAGCCATGTAGGGAACGCCTTTCTTCGTGCAGGTTTTAAATATCTTTGGCGCATTGCCAGATAATGCCAGCGAATAGAGCGATCGACTCGACAGATATAGGAAGCCATTTCCAGACGACCAAGCGGATATCAAAATGCCGGCATTGATCACGCTATCAAGAGACTTGATGCCAGCATTTCGAATTCCCACGACGAAGGGACTGGCACCAGCTCCAGCGCCGTCCGAAGTGATCGCCGGATCATTGCTCGGGCAGATCACACTCATGGCCAGTACCGATAAAATGTAAAAGAAGACCAAGCGGAAGATGTAACGCCTTGCAGCAATGGGTAGATTTCTCCGCGGCGATTTCATCTCACCCGCGGTCACGACCATCATCTCTGGCGCAAAGGCGAAAGGGAAAGCGCTCAGCACAAGCGTCGAAAGCAGTGCCAGGAACCGTCCAGTGTCCCCGGTTTCAAGATATTCTTTGGCAGCTCCAGGCTTTTGCCAATACCGGAACCCGAGCCGGTCGTGGCTAGGTCCACCACCAAAGAAGAGGACGACGGACATAATGAGCAAGCCAAATATCATGATGACCTTGATCCCCGCGAACCAGAACTCTGTTTCCCCATAGTACTGAACAGGAAGGGCATTCAAACCTATAATGATAACGATAAAGATGGTGATCCATACTGCGATGTGGACGGGGGAGTTCCAGTACTGGATGACTAGGGCTGCGGCGGTGATCTCATAAGGAACAAGGATGCCAAGCGAGTAGAAATATAGCCAGCCCATAGCGAAGCCCAAGGACCGGGAGACATATCGGTATCCAAAGAGGTTCATCGAGCTTCCAGGGGTGGGTAGGAACGCCGCGACCTCAGCAATTGCCGTGACAATGCAGTAAATGAGGAATGAGACGACGATGAAGCAACCAAAGATAAATGCAGGACCACCTCGTGCCAGGGTTTGACCGGTCCCAACGAACATACCTGTCAATGTCAGTCCTGTTCGCCTGCACGACGCCTGGATTAGAACTCACCCGTTCCAATTGTCCCTCCCAGTGCGATCATCTGCGCATGACGCGACTTCAGTCCTGAGAGCGTTAACCATGGACATCACCAAATTACTCCATGATGGAGAAATACCTCGCTTCGTCTGTTCAAAGCGTGGATCGAATATCTCGCCGGCCAAAGCCTCGGGATCCGCTACAGAACCCTTTCGTTGTCGTAGGGTTGCATCTGTGCCTTCCCCTTCATAAGGAGGCAACCCCTTCTTGTCACTCCCTCCATTCCCACTATCAATTTCGATTTTTTCCATGGTAATCGGGTTTTGGCTGGAAAGGAGGTTTGGAAAATCTCCTTGTTGCAGGCTGCCGGAGACAGCGGGCAGCCGGGATCTTAAACGAAATGCGACCCACGAGGGGGGCGTTTATGATTCTATGGATGTGGTATGTAGGACGGCGATCAGGCATGGGCTCTCCACAGTCGCCAGATACCTCCCGAGGTGGCGGATGGGCACGAGAAATTCAACATGGTGCACCTGGTTAGCCACCTCGATTAGGAATAGGTCGCGCGGCACTTTTTGGTCCTCTATCGTAAATTGCCGTTCGTATTTCTCGGCAATTGGCTCATGAGGATTTCATCAGCAAGCGTCGAGATAAGTGCGAAGGAAGATCAGACGGCGGCGTTGGCAGCTTCAGAAAAACGGGTTCGCCGTTGCACCGCGTCCCGCTAAGGGACAGATGGAGTGACGGAGGTTTAGTGGGAAGTGGGGGAACCAGGGACAGACAAGCTTTGACATTTTAAGAGTTGAGACTAAACAAGGCTTCGTTGAATAGCAACATGCGAAATGACCGAAGTGGCGTCATTAGATATTGCTTGGCTAAGCGCTTGTCTGTCTTTCGTTCGGTATACGACATCTCAATAGGTAGGTGGTTATATTGTTCCGTTGATGCTGCAGCATATCATCCACACTCTGATGCCGGGCGAAGTCACCGTCACGGGAGAAAAAGCGGCATTTCCGAGGGCCCTTGCTTCCACCTCCCTGGGCCCTTGGCCCCTTGGAGATCAGAGGATCATCAGATGACCATCCGCAAGTAGCAAATACGGTAGCAATCCTGCGAGTGCTGCCGAATGGTGATGGACCAGCACCCTCAATCACCGAGCAATTGTTTATACCTCCACCACAAATTCTCCGGAATCCCTTCACGAAGGACATTCTCTAGTCGTCCTTTGTCGTATTCTAAGTTCTCGGCCTTAGTGCTCTCCAAGATGTACGTGCACACGGTCGCGACCTTCAGCGGCGGCTGTCGCAAAACCGAAGCTACCTTCGCAGGCTCCATCCCCGATACGTGCCATAATACATACGCTCGAAGCGCAGATCTGGACGATTTCAACGTCTGGCCGTTGGGTAGAGCATTGGAATAATTAGATATCCAATCGTCAGCCGATTTCAATTCAGCGCCAACGTGGACATCTTGCCGGACGCGACCGTTGGGCCCCGATGGCTTTGCATTGTCGAATGGCTCGGGGGGGAAGGGTGCGACCTCTCTATCAGCACAGCCCCGAACCTTGGATTCGCAACGAGCATCACTATCCCCATCTTCCGATTCCTCGACCTCTTCGTCTGACTCGGGAAGTGGGATATTCGCGGGCTCGAGCCCCTCTGGCAATTGAATTGGGAGGTTCAACTCCGCCAAATGTGGCCTCGGTGGGCGAGGATCCATTTTCATGCGTCTCGCCTCCAATGCATAGAACAGTTGAAAGCCCGCATATGCATCGGACGCGGCGTAAGTCGCCTGTTCAGAGCTCAACGGCTCTTTCCAATTGCTTGTCCGTACATCTCCTTTGTGCAAAGGCAATCCCATGATATCCTCCACTTGATGGGAAAGACTGACTAACCGTTTGTTGACGAGTTGACGCGAATCCACTCCGAAAGTAACCAGACGGTAAATGTGACTGAGTTCAAACAATCCCTGCATCTCTACGTTCAAAGATTTGGCTAAACGCGTACTGTCTCCTCGAATGTTGACTCCGGTCTTGATGATCGCAGGATTTTCCAGGATGCCCTTGAGCACCGGTCCGATCAACTCTTCGGCCGTCTCTCCTCGATGCAATGCAATGTGAAAGAGGCCGATATGGTCCTCGCAAGCTAACTGGATTAGCGCCACATTGGCTTTGATACCACTGGAAGGCCCTGCCCATAGTTGCCATTCGATGTCAAACCCCAGGACAGGTTTCGTGGCGAAGAGTGTCGCTTCCCTCTCCGTCGTCTCTCTTGAACGGCAATAATGCACCAGGACGGGCTGGCCTTGGGGTCCTTTGTAGAGCTTGTGCCGCCAATACGATTCAGACTGCCCAGCCGGGGCTTCTTTGGACTTTTGGAAATCTTCTTCGGGGATCACAAAGGTTAGGGCAGGTAACGTGTTCTCTGTCGCGCTCGTATCAGCGTCGCCATCCGAAATCGGATTTTCCGCACTCAAATTGCCAACGCTCCCTGTACCGAAATTAAGAGCATCAGCACTACCTGTTTGGCTGCTGCCGAGAGGATGCGAGGGGGGAAATCGATGCGGTGCTATGATAGAGTTGGTATTTGGACCACCATCACTTGCTTTATGAGCAAGCGAGTTGTCCTCCCTAGAACCGTTCTCGGCCGAGTCTGAAAAATGGCCATTGCATGAACCGTTCAATTCAGACGAACCAGAATGGCTGTTCACATGTCGACCAGGGTAAAGTTTATGGAATGTGCGACGCGGTGTTGCGTCCGTGGAGGAAACCTTCGTGCTCGGCAGCTTTTGCGTAGGCCTCTTCGGTAAGGAATGAATATTCTCCGGGGTTCTGCCGTCTCCCGTGTTCGCTTCTCGATTGCGAGCATGATCGTGGACGCTTGATCCGCGGGTGGCCTCAGAAACCTTGGGCGGACCTGTGGACTGCTTCATACGTGATCGGGATCGGGATTGGGATACTTTATTTGAGTATGATGTACTCCTGCACTCTTCCGATGCTGGACTCGCTGTTTCATCTCTGACACCGGAGAATGCTTGCATGGGCGTCCACTTTTGAAGTTCACTATTTCCGAAATCGTCTCCTTCACCCGCATGCTCCACAGTAGCTTCTCGGCCTAGCTCAGTCGATCTGTCCTTGGATGACTTTCTCTGGCTCCTGCGCGATTCTGCTTTATTGTTACGACCTTGCCGCGCCGCAACAATATCCGGTGAGAGACTTGCGCCGTCGGAAGCACCAAGGTGGCCTTTACGTTTTGTCGATGGCGCTGATGCAGCCCTCGGCGGGGAAATATATGGATACAACTTTCCGTCGCCTCGTCGATCAGGGGATATGCGCCGGAGGTGATTGTCGAGGTTCCTCTTGGTCTGCCGGAACATGTCTTCAAGTTCCAATCTTAGGTTAGCCGCTTCATCGTCTAGCAAACCTTCCTCTTCAAGTCGAACTGCTCCCATATACATCTTCTCTCGGGAGGCTTCATAACAGTCACGAAGATCTGCCGTGACCATTCCCAGATTGTCCAATGAATTCCCTAGCAGCTCGAGTGGTTCACGAAGTGGGTGGCCATCTGAAGAACGATGGATCGCACGCTGCAAACTCTTTTGAATGTCTCGTCCTGATATTAGAAATCTTCTGGAACGCGCCAACACGATTCTTAAGCGGACATCTCTGACGGTTAAGATCTGGTCGCTTAGCGTGCCACTGAGGCGAGCCCGTGTAAGCAACGTCATGCACACAAACGTACTCCGTTGCATCAAGAAATATAGGTCCTTGGAGTCTTCGAAAATCGTCTTCACCAAGTTACGGACAGGGCTTGAGCCACACTGTTCGGCCAAATCCATTAGCTGTGTTGCTGATTCCACAACTTCCTCGGTTGCGTGGTGAAGTGCACTGCTCCTCACATGTCGCTGGTAGTACTGGGGACAGCTCGGGAGCTGATATCGACCCAGGTTGGTTAACATCCTGGATCTATGGGAGTCGAGAGTAAACTCAGAGCGCATAATGCTAGATTTCTTCAACCAGCCCACAAGTACTCGTTTGGATTCCGAGGGTAGCTGGCAGCGGAGGAAATCTTGCATGGCCTGACAAAGAGCGGAATGGGAGGCGAACATGTTAGTGTAAAACTGCCGGTATGCTAGATAGGACGTCTGGGGGGTGTCGTCAAGTGCTGGGGGGAGAGCCGGGTCATCTTCCCAGGAAATATCGAGTGATTCCTCTCTCCGCAATAGTGGCCTCAATTCCAATTCGGTTGCCAGACTCCCGAGAAGCTCGCGTTGGATATCCTCCAATTCGCGTATTCGAAGCGCCTGATCGGTATGGATTCTCGATGTAAGTTGATCACTATAATCCCTGCCATCGGACATCTTTTGTAGGAAACCATCGATCTTTTCCCTTATGATCCTTGCTTGTCTCTCATCTTCTGCCCTCTCGGCTGCCTCTCGCATTGCAGCTTCTCGTGCTTCGGATCGTACCTCGACAGGAGATTGGGAGATGCCTTCTTCTACGCGTTCTTGAGCAAAGTGACGGTTGTGAAACTGTAGCTGACGCAATTGCAAAGTTGTTACTGCATCCTTCTTCTTCTGCTTGAATGACGCTAGAATGTTCTCAATCTCCTTCGAAATAGCTGTTATGACCTCCACCATGGCATCCAATTCAGAGTCGAGATTCATTAAAGGCTGGAGACCTTGTTGAAGGCGGGCGTTGTATTGTTCCCGAAGATATTCTTTCATTCTCTCCTCCTCTTCTTGCTCTCTCCTCTCAATTGCCTCGGCCTCTGCCTTGCGAGCTTCTTCTTCTTGTTGTTTTCTCCTCTGTATTGCATCTGCTTGGGCTTTGCGCAATTCTTCCTCTTGCTTCTCCAACAATGCTTGTTTTCGTTCTTCCTCCGCTTTCCTTGCATTCTCCGCTGCCACCACGCTTTTTAGCCGTTCATCGGATGAAATAGCCCCTTTTGGTGGTAATGGTTTGACTGGACGATACGCCCGTGGAGGGGGAGTACGGGCTGAGGCGAACCGGATACCATCTGTCGGGTTCCAAGTGCTAGTGTCGCGTTTTGTTTGGATATTATCCGCGAATACAATCCCTCGAGCAGAATTCCACGTCTGGTTTCGAGTAGGATGGGACTTCGCACAACTGCGTATTAGAAGTTAGTACATGTTGAGAACCATATATTAACCATTGAGACAGGATAGCAACCATTGCGCGTTTTCAGCCATCCCAGGCTTGATGTAGGAATAGCTCCTTGCCACCGCAAGGCTCCGAATCGATAACTGAAGGGTACAAGGAATCGACACTTGTAGAGGACAGATGGAGATCGCACCAGAGGTCCGGTAGATAGTCATCACTTGCCTCCATTGCCAAAGGTGCCAGGTACTATGTAGGGAGACGCGTAGGGAGAATGGCTAGTAGTATATTAGAAGATGCGTAAACCGATGACGCAAATGTAATGCGAGTAATCCGCATGATACCGAATCCACACCCCTCTGATAGAAATACTAGATGTTATGGTGATAGACATCGGCGACGTGAGGTAGAGTAGGGAGATTTAGTACCTCGGGGCGGCTGTGGCTTCTGTGGCTGGTGTCGTAATTAAGGGGGGTTTGTTCACAAATTTCCATTCATCCTGTCCCTCTATCAATTGAAACTATCAATTGAAACCTTTCTACAGAAACAATTTTAAGCAAATCCAGAACCGCAATTGGTCCCAAACCCTCATCCATAGCCATCCAGCTGCTCACGCCATGAAGCTCCTCACCCTGAATTTCGTGTCCTGTGCACGGAAAGCCTGCAAATCCAGCACTTCCTCTTTTCCACTCCATCCCCGTGATGCAGAGCTGGAACTGGTCGAAATGGAATTCAATCCTCAATTCCTCCAGAATATGCTCCCAAAGTTAGAATGGGAAGCATTGCAAATTATATGCAATGAGGTGCGCAACCGCTTCTCCATCTGCCTTGAATCACTGTTCACATCTGACCCCGATATCTGCAGCTTGCGCTACCTACCCTCCCATCCTCGACCCCAGCTGCGTCCGATCTCTTCGAGTCTGGAGGCGAAGGTAGTTCACCGGCTCAACCGACTCAGGTTGCGAGGGACCTTCACAAACTCCTCCTCGAAACTACCATCAGAGAAGGTCTTTTGGTCTGTTCCAACTGTGGTCACGAATATGCCATCAAGGAAGGCATAGCAAATTTCTTGCTGCCTCCGCATTTAGTTTGAATCTTCACATCCTATTCCAAGCGCGGAATGATTTTTCAGCCCATATATCTCATGTGAGATGTCTCCTGCGATCGCGGCATTACATCTTCGACTGGAGCCTGCTATTCTCCCCTAGATAAACGCAGGACCCGCCCTGAGAGTGTCTCTTCAAGCCGCTTCAACAAGTAGGGTCAATCACGGTTTCACGGTTCAGTGGGGATATGCCGTTAACCCCGCACAGTTTATTGCATCAAGCTTGCCAACTTGACTCCATTCCTGTCCGCTTAGGCTTGGAATGATGATTGAATGGCAGTGAAGTGGAGTTCTGGTATGCAACCACGATGTTGACGGAGAGACCAGTCACAAAGGAGCAACATCCGTGCCATATCTAATGTTTTAGGGGGAGTCTGGGCTATGGATCTGCTTGATATTTGAATTCTGGCTGAATGGAACGGTCACAGACGTAAATGTTACGCAAGACATGGTATCACAGCTGTCTCAATAACATGGCGCAATTACTTATTGAATATTGTTACGATGTACAATGTATGCGTATAGTCGCTAGACTTCGCGTGATTTAGATCTATGATAGACCTCCATCACCGGGAGGCAATTCTCCGGTGCTGACACATCTAAATATTCTATCTCGAGCGCCATGAAATGCTTCACATGAAAAACGACCGTTCCATAAGTTTCAAACCCTCGTCTATTATGCTGCAAGGGAGTTAGCGAGGGAGTCGAATTTAGAACCCAAAGACTCACATTATCGGCGCACTAATGCCCACCACTGCTTTCCACTCGGCCAAGTCGAGCGGAACGATGCCGAAGAGCCCCTGGAGGAATGGTGTATACAATAGCGCAAAATGGAGCGCCATCGACAGAGTGATGGCATAGACCAACATCATGTTCTTCCAAAGAGGGAGGGTGAGAAGCGACTCCGATGATGACAAGGCATTCACCGCGTTGAACATCTCGATCACAACCAAAATTGAAAGGGACATGGTCGACGCGGATTTAGCAGGACCGGACATGAACATATCGCAACCGATCTCCGGAAACGCTGTTGAGCAGCGATGGAAGTTTGTCTACATAGTCAGCGTTTTGAAGATTTGGAAGGGAAATATCACGCACCAGTTGATGAAATGATATCTGGGGGCCTGCTGGGTTGTACATGAACCACCATGCATATCCAAAAACAGTCGCCACTCCGACATAGCTGCCGATCACGAGGTATCGGAAGAACAGCCAGCCGCTAATAAGCGGCTCATCCCGTTTCCGAGGAGCTCGTTTCATCACATCGTGATCTTTCGGGTTGAAGCTCAAGGCCGTTGCTGGCAAGCCATCGGTGACAAGGTTCACCCATAGAAGCTGGACCGGGATCAAAGCTTCGGGCATGCCCAATGCCGCCGTGATGAAGATGGAGACGACTTCACCAATATTTGAGCTAATCAAATATCGAATGAACTGCTGAGTGTTGTTGAAAATGGCCCGACCTTCTTCGACTGCTGCCTCGATCGTGGCAAAATTGTCGTCCGCGAGTACCATGTCTGCTGCCAGGCGCGCGACATCAGTCCCACTACCCATCGCGACCCCAATGTCCGCCTTCTTGAGTGCTGGGGCATCGTTGACACCATCACCCGTCATGGCAACCACTTCCCCGGCAGATTGGAGGAGATCAACCAGCTTGGATTTGTGTGCCGGTTCCGTTCGGGAGAACAAGGACGCACGTTTGGCAGCTATGAGCTGTTCATCCTCAGATAGATCATCAAATTCTCGTCCTGTGTACGATTTCCCTTGGAGATCTTCAGCTTCCCCGAAGATCCCGATCTGTCGGCATATCGTCTCCGCGGTATTTTGGTTGTCGCCTGTAATAACCACCACACGAATCCCGGCGTCCCTGCATTTTTGAATGGAGGCTTTGACTTCAGGTCGTGGAGGATCTAACATTCCGACTAGGCCGATCAGTGTCATTCCCTGTTCCAACTGCGAGTACTCCTTGGTGGTCTTTGCGGACTTGGTCAAAGGATTCGAGCCCACATCGTCTACCATAGCCACAGCGATGACCCGTAACCCTCGGTTTCCGTATTCGACAATCTCAGAGGTAATAAGCTTTGCCACCGTCGCATCCAAAGGGGCAATGGTGCCATCGTGCCCTCGGAACACTGACGTACATCGCTCGAGAATCGACTCCGGGGCTCCTTTGACCAGCAGACGCTGCTTTTTCCCACCGTTCACAAGAACCGACATGCTTTTCCGGTCACGAGAGAACTCGTAGGTGGCCAGTCTCGAAGCGTGTTGCTCGTAATATTTGCTGTGATAGTGAATCCGTCCTTCCGCCGATACCGATGCTCGTCGTTCGTTGTACTTGGTGTCGGGAGATCCAATCTTCTCGGCCAGAACCCGGAGAGCTCCTTCGGTTGGTTCGCCAACAATCCCGTACGTTCCCGATCGAGATTCGTACGAAACCATCGCATCATTGCACAAGGCGATCGCCTCGGCCAGTTGCGCCAAGGTTGAGGACGCTGCAGGGTGAGTGATTTGCTTCCCTCCACGTCTGAGTGCGCCCTCCGGTGCAAAGCTGGTTCCTTCCACATCGATTTCGTCGAGACTTCGGCCGTTTGCACTGACATAGACCACTTTATTCACACTCATTTGGTTCGTCGTGAGTGTGCCCGTCTTGTCGGAACAGATGACACTGCAGCTTCCAAGAGTTTCGACACTTGGAAGCGATCGCACAACAGCATTCTTCGCTGCCATTTTGCGGGTTCCTAGGGCAAGACATGTCGTGATTACGACCGCCAGACCCTCCGGAATAGCCGCCACTCCAAGGGACACCGCAATCTGTTGTTCAAGTTAGCGTGATCACAAGAGAGGCAATATAAGACCCACCTTGAGATAATAAATCGCACCCTTGGTCCATCCACCATGACTGGGGTCGTTGAAATGTCGGATGTTGATTAGCCAAACCAAGATGCAAATCACGGTGATGACCTTTGCTAGCATGTCCCCGAAATCGTTCAGCTTTTCCTTGAGAGGTGTTGGTTGGCTGATTTGAGCGGTAATGCTTTCGTGGATGTCCCCGATGGCTGTATTTGACCCGGTCAGGACCACGATTGCAGTCGCATGTCCCGTTGAGATTGTTGTGCCCGAGAAAAGCATGTTGACTTGGTCCTGTTTAACAGCGTTCGAGTCTTTGATGACAACATTGATTTTCGAGACCGATTCCGATTCTCCAGTGAGGATCGATTGATCGACGGAAAATGCGTTAGAGTGGACGGCTAAAAGGCGACAATCGGCTGGAATGCGATCCCCAACAGCCACGGAAACAATATCGCCCGGCACGAGATCCTCAGCGCGAATGCGGTGCGGTGTGCCACTACGAATCACCTTCGCTTCGTTGGCAGAGTATTCCTGAAGTGCAGCGATTGCCTTTTCCGCAGAAGACTCCTGCGATACGCCGACGATCGCGTTCAAAATCAAGATGGTCAAGATCTAATGAATAGCCGTCAGTCCGATCCGTCCAATATACGCGACAGTGGGCAAACTCACTACAACGGGATCAACGAAAGCGGTCCAATCGCCATCTTCCTCGAATAGTGCGAGCACGAACGAGACGGCCGCACTACCCAGCAAAATCAGGACCAATTGATCTTTGAATTGTTCCAATATAAGCTCCCAGAGAGGGGTCGGCGGATCTTCAGGAAGAGCTGCGATAAAAGTTAACTCTATTCCGAGATCAGTTCCCGTCCTCACGTACCATTTCTTCCATATTTCTTCCGTTGTTGATCCACCTGCACGTCCGATAACCCCTGATGCTGGTCTACCCCAAGCTGCTTCAACACTGCGGCCGAGCTTTTGGCATAGGCCTTCTCAAGATCGAACCCGGCGTTTCCGTTCATGTGGGCGGTTTTCTGGACATCCATTGCGACGAAACCGAGGGCGGGGATTGAATTGACGGGTAAGCTCGCAAGCCTGAATCACACGAAGAGCCTCTATCGTGTTGGCCACTGCATCGATCAGGGCAGTTCTTATCAATGTGGGTGGAGGAACCGATTTTGTAGGCGGTCGGTTCAAGTGGACACGTAATGAACGCGGTTTAACGATGGCTTCGTCGGTGCTTTGGGGCGACGTGGAATGGACGGAACAAAGGTCGAAAAGTCCAAGCGAACAAGTAATGATAGAACGCGGAACTGGATTTGAACTAAGTATCAAGGTGATGTGTCCTTACTCTAGAAATAATCCACAGCTTCAGTTCCTGCGTGACAGGGGATCGGATTGGACTTTGGAGGGACATGTGGCTCAGGCGGGGGATGTGGCTGAACATTCCTCCCGCCTCCCCGCCTCCCCGCCTCCCCGCCTCCAGTCCGCTCCGCTCCGCTCCCTATCACTGCACTCCACCGCAGTCCGGCCACTCCAGTTCCCCCTGCCTTGATAGTCGCCCTGAAGGTCCCGCGGACTACTGTCAAATATGATAGATCCCTAATGAAGCTACTGCCGGGTGACTAGTTGACCATTATGATATTCTTCGTTCATGTCCAGCTATTTGTATGTTAAATCGCTATTATGTTCATTGTTTCCAACCCCTTAGCAGGCTCCCGTGCTCGACCCGATCGTTCCTCCTTGCGCCTCGCTATGCTATAAGAAAGGAATACCGAAAATCTGACTAAATTTCTCCCCAGGACTTTTCAATTAGCATCTGCTGCGCAATGTCCAATGATCAACCGCTCCAAGTCTACCAGCTTGTACGGTTTCATCATAAATCCTTTCATACCACTCTTGAGGGCGCGATCGACAGCACCATCAGTGACATCGGCTGTGACAGCCAGGATGGTTGGCTGAAGGTTTGCAGACATGTCTCTATCCGGTCCATTCCCTGGAGAATCCCTATGCTCCTCGTCACCGCAACACGTCTCCTTGGCTGGTCTTGGTCGGATACCTAAAATCCTCTCCGCCGCCTCGTACCCGTCCATAAAAGGCATCCAAAGGTCCATCAAGATAACATCGATCCCTTGATGTGACTCGCTCTCTCCTCGTCGCCGGTGTGCGCACCAGACTCGGACGGCCTCGGCTCCATCATACGCTTCGTAAATCGAGGACGCGGGATATCCCAGCTTCCTCAGCATCGATACAAGCAACCTGCGATTGATTGGATTGTCTTCGACAACCAAGAATGTGAGTGGATGTTTCGCTGCCAACTTTCGGTCATGGGGTGGAGCATTCGGCATCACATATGATCCAAAGTCAGGCAAGCGTGGTCGGCTCGGTAGCCGTTCCGAGGCGGGATTTGCACCGTCGAATGTAGGCTTGCCGCTCCTCTCCGCTGGTTCAAAAGCCGCGTTAGGTTTCGTTCTGGTATCGACGAATGGATTGGAGGTCGGAGGAGCCTGACCCAAGGACGATGAGGTAGTAGGAAAGCTTGGTGATTGGGCGTTCGCGATGCCGGGACTCCCGGACTTCCTGGGTTGATCGATGTCGCTGCTTGATCCACGACCGTTTGCACTAGGAGCCGGACTTCCATATCGACTAGAGGGCCGGCTGTCCACGGCGGAAGAGTACACATATTCCGCGCTATTGGTCAATGGGATCCGGATTTCAAACTCGGAACCTCGGGAGGGACCATCCGTATCGGCTCTGATACAGAAAATATCACCACCAAGGCGTCGTGCGATGCCTTTCGCGACCAATAAGCCCAATCCTAGTCCTTCAGATTGCCTCGTTAGACCATCATCTTCTCTTGCAAAGGCCTTGAATAGTTGCGGTAAGAATGCAGGAGGGATTCCTGGACCGGTATCTGTGACGACGATGACTAGATATCTGCCTAGAATCCTCGGGCGAGACAAAGGCGTGCCGTCTGCAGCAATCGAACCCACATCCCAGGGTTTTATCGGGCTCAATCCACAGCGGATCCATATTGTGCCCGCATTGGTGAATTTTACCGCATTGAGGACCACGTTCCCGATCAATTTGCTCAGATCTTTCTCGTCCCCAGCCACAATTTCGGGAACGTCATCATCCACACTCCATTCCACAGACTTGATCCTCTCCTCGCCGCTCGGTGCGATAGTTCTCACTTCAATAATCTCACCATTACCGTTCGGTGTCGCAACTGCCGAGTGCGGACGGCCGCCAACTCGTAACGTATCGTTCACAACGAATTGTAATAAGGGTCGGATGGCTGTTTCGCGAGATACACCAGGTCCGGAGCTACTTCCAGCTTTGGAGTGCAGTGCCAGTTCGTATCCGTCGTCTGGGGAACGACGGTGTGGAGCACTCAATGGAGCACTCAAAGGAGCATCATCTGGACTTTGATCTTCTGGTGTGCTGCCCTGTCCGCGGGAGTTGCGAGAAACAGCAGTCATTGCTACCTTCGCAGGGACTGGAGTGGAAGGGGTCGGGTGACCAAGACTATCGAAACGACGTTTTTGGCCACGTGATGGTGAGAGATCGGAGACACCGGTGGAGGTTTGGGGTTTTGTTTCCGATGCTTCCGCCATAGAGAAACCGGCATCCAGATAATCCTTTGGATGACTCTGACCGGGATGATATACCCCCTGTGGCGTATCCGGAAGACCCATGTTGAGATCATAGGCATGTACGACGTTGTCCGCAGCCTCCACAGCACGTCGGGAAGAATCCATTACCACTTCGATGTCGGACTTGAGACGGTCAAATACCTGTCTGACAAGGGATTCCTTTTCGGTCGACCCGAGTCCTTCGGAGGCTTCTTGCATCGTTGCGTACATCACGTCAAGCATACCAACGACTCCCTGCATCGGGGTACGAAGTTCATGGGATAAGCTCCTCGCATACGGCTTGAGGCTTTGCGTTTCCGAGACGGCAACATCCTGTGAATCCAGTTTGCCGGCAAACAATGCCGGGGTCGGGAAGTTTGGAGCATCCGGTGTCGAGCTGGAAGTTGGTGCCTTGGTCGACAGCGACGTATGCGACTCGGATGTTACGCAGATTCCAGTGCTCGATTGCGTCCGAGATCGCAGTTTCAATTCTTCCGCCAAGCTCTCTTCCTTTCCGAACCCGTGCTCAGTCAGACGGGTTTGCACCAGGTCTTCGAGACTGCGCAAGCACGCTTCAAGGAGAGGCCAGCTTAAGTCTTTGACACGCGATTGAAGCAACCCACTCTTTGTCCACATTACACCGAAATGCCCAACGCATTTACCGTCGGTCCAAAGTGGCACCGTCATATATGCCTCGCCCGGGCCTGCCATGAAATTGGACCGGTTCGGGTTTGCCTCGTGGGGATAAATTCCGGATAACGAATGAGGGATGACCAATGCTCGATCATGCCGCATGGAGGCACAGGGACATGAGTGTGCTACGTATTGAACGTCCTCGACCTTTCCGTCAGGTAGGGAAGCCGCCGCAGACGGAGTGGTATGAAATGCTACAGCTTGGTAGCAAGACCCTAGTGTTCCAAGCGGTGGCATTTCCACAGTTCTGGTGGGATCGTGTGGGAGCAGACGCTTTGATACGAACGCATACTGCGCGCCCATAAGATTTGTTAATCCTGTGGTGAGTGCCGCCCAGAATTCGTGATGGGTCATTCGGCTCAAGGAGAGCTTCAACAGGCTCAAACACTCCAGAATATTGGACTCGGCCGGCGTGGATACGGCATGGAGAAGTGACGGTGTGGTCGGAAGTTCAGGATCGGTTATGGGTCGATCGGTAATCGACGGAGGAAGAACGTTGAGCGTCATTCTCGGGAGAAACCTTGGAGGTTCTCCTTGCGATTCCTCTGCAGCCATCACTCCACCCTCCCTCCAACTAGAAAGCTTCCCTCCGCCAGACTGGATAGTCCTGCCGTGGGAAGGATCAGGCAGTCCGTCGGTTGATAGAATCGGGGGACACGATTGAGAGCGGTCGATATTTGATACCATGTAGCGTGGGTTTGAGTAATCCGTCCAAGTCGGTATAAGAAGTTCGGACCATGAATGTGCAACGACGACCGAGACGGAAGTTACGGTACCTGGATTGGAATGACCAAGACGGATCAGCGAGCATACCGATCGGGTCGAGTGTCGACGTCTAAACAACGTAGTCCCGCGAAGGAGAGAGGAATTATTTCTAGGTGATCCGAAGCAACGAAGCGAGGAGAAGAAGTCGTGGTTGAGGGGACACAATCCACCCGCAAAATGAAGTCGTGAGGGGAGTCCAGGTGAATTCGGGATCGGCGCCAGCCAGCGGATCCACACGGTCTGGAGCGTGCCTAAAGCAGTTAGCGGATGGATGATCTTAAACTTACGCACGATTGCACGAAAGACCAACCGACTTGGTTCTCAGTTTCTCAGCTTCTAGAGTCGGATGGAGATGGACGAAGAGGGATTTAGAGTTGCACGGGGATTTCTAGACGGTCCAAGTTTCAACCCTCCAAGACGGAAAAGAATGGGATAGAATTGATCTAGAACCAGTCAGGAGATGCCGAAAAGACCCAGGTCAGGTCTGGAGGGATGATAACGACCCTGACCGGCATAATTGCATGGAGGGAATCTGATGATGAGATGGGCATGGGACATTGGGACAGGCAGATGCTAGCGGATTGCGGCATCCCGTGGTGCCCCGTGGCATCAGATTGCTACCTGTATCTCTACCATGGATTAAACAGCGGTACGAGAAGCCTGGCGTGGTGCTTCTGTACTCTGTTCATTCTTAATGGTTGAGTCTATCGGTGTCACTCGACGGGAGGTGTGCCGTGAGGCGGGCGTTATTCGGTGGGCGCTGCCGGTGCGGAACTGCGGATGTTACGTGGAATTCGGTTGGTGGAAACCCAAAGACTGGGGGCTGGCCGGCTGGGAGGGTTTGACTGTCGGTAGTAATTCTAGACGGGATTAGCGCCTTTCGGTAGTAGTCTAGACTGGCCGATGATGCCTCCAGCCGCTTTGTCCCTCCTAGAAAGTAGAAGCTCCCCAAAAACAACCCATCCCCGCCAGCCATACCCGTTTCTTTGGCTTTCGATCATCGATTCAGTCATCAGTGTCTGGGGGTTTAGACCGTTGCGGTTTGACAGGTCAAAGGCTTAAAGCCCGATGTCTCACGGCATCCGGGGTGGAAGAAATTGATTACTTTTTGTCTACTAAATCGGAGAATCGTACCGGCTTCCTAAATGCAAAGGAATATAAAGGGGAACAGGAACTCTGTCTTTCGAAAGGCAATAAGAGACGAAAGGAAGCAAGGATTAAGAGTTCTTTACGCCGTGGGGGTATAATACTTCAGGACCATCAATTTCTCCCTCTCGACACGGCCTAATTCTTGCACCTCCTACGTACGGAATACTTCATGAACGCTTAACCATCAAATCTGTTACCATCGCTAGAGCCTTGTCATTCCGTTTCCTGCATTCTCACGATGTCCTTCTCCCTGACTGTACTCGCTGCGCCCGATGTCGAGACGTCAAGAAGGCAGCATCAAAGCCGACGGAGCATTCCCAACAGGTGAACTTTCGGAACTTCCACCGCCCGTGTACATCATCCTCGTGATTCTACAACTCGGTGGGTGTGAGACACTCCATGTTACAGTGTGGACAGATCCATTTTCGTTCAGTATACCTTGGAGATGATGATAGAGCTGTCTAGGATTGCCAAACGGCTCCGTACATCCTGGCAATTCAGAGTTGATGGTATTTCCGGTGCGCTTGGCAGCCATGACGTTCAAGGAGTACTCGTTGTCTGGGAGTCCAGTCAGACATTCGGGTTCCAACTCGCACTAGCAGACTTGTCCACGATGACAAGGTTGTCTGGATATATTCTGTCCATGGGTTTCCAGACAAATATGCGCCAGATTGCCGCAGCCTTCTCGTCCACATAAGCGTGAATATTCGAAATTTCCCATTGACAATTGATGTCACTGATGTGCTGAGACACTCCCAAATTCAAGGCAGAATATTACTAGTTACCCGTGGAATTAACTTCCGCTCCGTAACACCCTATACACCACAGAAGAAAGTGATGGAGGTAAAGTTCGAGAATCCGGAAAACAGGCAGGCGTTGTCCGGAAAGACAACCCCCAAAGCGTCGTTCGAGAGCTGTGGCCAGGGAATTGCGAGTTTCACTATGGTAAGGCAGTAAGTTGGCCTCGAATTCTTGCATGCATTCCCATGACCAGCATAGGATGGCCTCCCGGGATTTCATTGCATCAATGCAATGCGGGAATGTGGGTTGTGCGGATGGCACATCCTCCGGAAATCTTGCCTGGGTGACTATTGTTATTCCTACTGTTATCCATATTGTTCCTCTTACTAGGGATAGATGCTCACTACCTTCAGGTATATCTAAGTATTGTTGCGCCCCAAACAGAAGGTCATCCATTAGGCTTGGGAGTTCGAAGTCTATCTAGTCCTCCGGTACCAGCGTTGGAGATCTAGCTGCTGCAGTGGGCGGTGGAACAAGCGTCGTGGCCGTGGGATTCGGATTCGGAATTGGCCTCTCGTCTTTGCCGTTCGATGATGAAACGGCGGATGCAGCTGTCTGTGACTTGGACTTCTCCCCTCTCGGGTTGATGTAAGTTCTATACAATACTAGAAAATACCTCTATCGCGCTTTAAGCTAGGCGAAACATTGACTTCGATGGATAGAGAAGAAGGGAATGATTGATTGAAATAAGGAATCCGAATGCCGAAGTACAATATTCGAGTATGCCGTGCGAGGGTCACTCCTTTCTCCTCATCCATTTGCCACCACAAGTGGCGTTTGCATCCTCATGAACATTCATAATCACTCGGGCTTTGCAATGGTGGTTTGCTCCGGGAGACAATCATCACCCAAGCTCAATCTCGATTGGTTGACACTGACAGCAGACAGACATGAAGTCCGATGCAAAAACATACTAATACATTATCGATCCTTGACAACATGCAACCGCTGGTAAGCAAGCCCTGGAACCACATGCCCCATCAACGCCGACTAGAAACCAAGCCGCAGCCACTCCTCGATATCTCTCTGAAAGAACTTACTATCGGTGCACGATATGATCGGATGAAGAACCCGAATGACCTGGATGGAGAAACAAGATAAACGATTCATCCTCATAGCTCACTGGATTTTCTTGTAGCCACTCGGGCCCATCTCTTTGCTAAATGCGAAGTATGAAACCTGCAGGCCCGAAAGGGCAGAAATTGCGATGTAGAGGACGAGCAACAAGAGAATGCTGACAATAAGGGTCATAAAGATTGCTGTTGAACAGGATCTGTCAGTGGATGACGACGAAATGGCTTCGATGACTCCTTACCAGGACTGAAAAATTGATATCGCTCGAATAGTCCGCCTTCAGGGAGGGTGCCCTCTGAATCGTGAGCAGAAACATCCCGCCTCAAATCCTCGTGGAGCACGGATGCGAAAGGATCATCCATCTCATATGTCGGGGAGAGATTCTCTTGGGATGGGACGTAGGATGCCGGAGGGGGAGTTGTCGTGTATAAAAGTGTGAGGGATTGGTTTTCGAATGTGGAAAGCAGGGAATGTAAGAAGGAGTCTGCCGGCGTCAGTTTACATCCATAAGGATTTGAATTTCATGACTGACCATAAGATGAAAGCTTGCCTGCTCGGAATTCATCGACGGGGAGCATGGGAAACTCCGCTTTAATGACACGAGGCAGCTCACTTTGGCTCGGAGAGATGTAGGCTGTACCAGTGTCAATCATGTTGCACATGCCTAGGGGATGAACCTTGGACGCAACCGACCATTTACATCAATATCATCAATTCGAGCATGGCATTTCTGAGATAACCACTGTGCTAGCTCGTTGACATCTACGCTTCCGAGAACATTGGGTATAGTCGCTGAAGACCGAACTCGATCCGTATCTTTCTGAAGGAGCTTTCGGAGGTGAGGGGTCGCATCACCGTCGGTAAAGTCTAAAGGAGATGTACCGGGCTGGCTGATCAGGATATATGTATCGGATGGACAGGTTGAGAGCACGTCTTTGGTGGACGAGAGGACCGATGAGCCGGACTGGAGGGGGATACTGTCCAGAGAAGATACAGGTATCCTTTGTCAAATGTTAGCTCGTTTACATAGATAAATGCGGTGGCTGATCATGAGAGATAAGGCATCGTACAGCGTACCCGACCCGTGTCAGTGAGGTGAGAACTTACTGGTTGGTAGAGAGGAGGAAGAAAGGTGAGGTGTTCTGGAATGACGCAGCCAAAGGTAGGGTCATCGCAAGAAGCGAAAGCCGTTGGAGCGCCATAACTGCAACCATAGGCACGGAGGTTGATATGCGCAGGAACCTTCACTGTATGGTACGCCGTTCAAGGCGGAGGTCTTTACAAAATCAATCGTGTTGTCCGGTCTCTGTTGATGGATCGGAGAGCTTAGAGCTTCGATGTTGAAGCAGTTGGACAGATCACGTGACCTGAATTTCAGGCAGATGTGTAACAACAGTAATCACCATGAATCCGATCGAGTCCGATCTAATGACATCTAGTGTCAACTGGGAGGATGCGATTCAGTTACGTGGAATTGAACCAGCAGCGAAGGACTGGAGTACATCAACTCCGCAGTATGAATTCCCAATGTTTTAGACATGATATATTTATCTATAGTACAGTAAAGTCATCCTCCACAATGACCAACCACCCGGACAATGCCGATTGCCTAGATCTATCCCGGATAAAACATGCTGTACAGTGGATGCTCATGATATCTCATTGGTTGCATGGCATAAGCCGCCCTGGTTTGGTGTTATTGGAGACATCCGCAACCATTTCGGGGAAGGTGCCATCCATCAACGTTCAAGAACTAGATCATGGCGTGCAGTCACGCTTAGGGAGGATGCTCGTTGCGTGAGGTCGGGGACATAAGCAAGAAATACGAAAGGCTCATTTCGGCCATTTCTTCCAGCCTCTGCCATGTCCCAGCTGCGTCCTGTCAGTATTCTGCGGCAGCGAATCGAATTGAAATAAGACTCACCCTTTTCCATTCCTCGATCATCGCCGGCATACCGAGCATTGCCTGTCTCCGCTCCTCGAGACGAGATGATAAGGTTCTCTCCCACTTGTGACCCTTCACGCGCTTTCCTGGTCCAGCGTTTCTCAATCGCAGCCCTTGTTCGATTAACTTTTTCTCCTTGAACCATGTTGCCTTTTTGCTCGCCCATAACAGCTCCTCCACGCCATGATCTGCTGCCATTTTACACAGCTCCCGCTGTTGCCGCATCGAGTACACCGGTGGACGCCATCGTCCTGTGGAGGGATGCCGCCATGGCTCGAATGGATTGCGATTGACGGTCGTGTCTGATGCAGTAAGGATTTGCGAAACCGGGGGAGTCGAAGCATCCGTGTCGCTTGTTCCCAAATCTGAGGGGGTCGAGTCTGTTGAAGCCGGCGAGGAAGAATCAAGGCCAGGAGATGACTTCGGGGCGGCGGACTGAAGGGCTGGCGAAGGCCATCGAGCGAGAAAGCGGACCAGCGGTACAGGTAATGATTTGGCTCTATTGATGAGAGCGGATCCAACTACTTCCGCAGCCATGTTCTGCCTGGAGATCAATGGACATCAATCCATTGACGATAAGCCGTGGATGTAGGAGCAGTTGGGATACTGTAGGGAATGTGAACAACGAATTCACCATGTCAAATGAACAGAAAACCTGCAGGGGGGTCTTCCTGCAATCCTGCTCCACAGAATTCTGCATGGGCCATGGAGCTGGAGAGGTGATGCTTGGCGCTACGACCGCGTCTCCGAACTGTCTGCCTTCACAGCTTCACCTCAAGCTTCATTCATCGTGTTCACCTTAACCTTCCTTCTCTTTGATTTACCTTCTCCAACTCTCCTGATCTTCATTCGAATCCCGGAGTGATACTCTCCATCATCTACAGGTTCCTACTCATACCGATTTGTCAACCCCTTAGCAAGACATCATCCCCAGCTTCCTATCAACCATGGTGAGCACAGCTCCTTGTCACCGATCTCCGTATAACCAGAGCTAACCGTCCGTGCAGTCGTCTCCATTCTCAATAAGTACGCCTACTCGTCCATTACAAAGCCAAAGGTTCGATTCTGACAGCTCTAGATGGCGGCGCCTGTGTGGCAATGGTCGGGAAGGATTGTGTCGCGATTGCTTGTGACCTCCGGCTGGGTCTCCAAGCCCTGACCGTCTCCAACAACTTCCCAAAGATATTCCCCTACGGCGACGTATACCTTGGCCTCACAGGTCTAGCAACCGATATTGCAACCGTCTCCGATCTGTTCCGCTTCAAGGTCAACATGTACCGATTGCGGGAAGAACGTAATATCAGCCCTCAGACCATGGCCAATCTCGTGTCCTCGACCCTCTACGAACGACGATTCGGTCCCTATTTCATCAGCCCTGTCATTGCAGGAATCAACCACACATCGGGGAAACCATTCATCTGCGGATTCGACAGTATCGGCTGCATCGACTTCGCTAAGGACTTCATCGTGAGCGGGACCGCCAGTGACCAACTATTTGGTACTTGCGAAGGGCTGTGGGAGCCTGACTTGGTACAACCCAAAACACTCTGTTGATGGACGTCGCTAATAGGAACAGGAACCGGAAGATTTGTTCGAAACCATTTCCCAAGCCTTGCTGAGCGCAGTCGACCGAGATGCCTTGTCAGGCTGGGGAGCACACGTCTATATCATCGAGAAGAACAAGGTCACCAAGCGATTATTGAAAGGACGGCAGGATTAGATGGGAAGACATGTTGGTACTCGATGCATCCATATCATGCCAAAGGAGTTCTGGTTCGGGCTCTTTTCCGCTACTGTATGCTGCTAGAAGTTCAGCACAATACCCAAGCGCTGGCTAATGACATCACCAAATCCGCAGCCCATTTGCTGATTACTCGTGATAATGCAGAGATATCCAAAGGCTCAACAGCTCATCTCCACCACTGCGCAGCCGTTAATTACATCATGTCAAGATCCTGATCTTGTGCGTGGTATACCTCCGTCTCCTTCATTTGATTGAATGACCACCGATTTTCCATGTCCTCAACGCACCCTTTGTGCATATCCCTTCCCGGGCCTTTGTATACCGGGTCCGTTGCCTGGTTGTATTTGGTAGTCTCTTGCAGCATGGACTGCGTCTGGTTATCATAATCTCGGCTTGCCAGATAATCATACCCAGAGATCATATATGGCTCAGCGTGATGATGTCCTTGACCTTGGCCGTCTATGAGATCGATGTCCGGCGCCGGTCCATTCCGGGTTTCCGATGTTTTTCTATCCGTGAGCTGGCCCGGCTTGGGATATCCCTCGTACCGCAACCGTGCCATTTCTTCCTCATCGTTTATCCTCGTTGATTGAACCCCGGCATAATCCCCCGTCCCGTTCATGCTAACGTCGGTCGGCGGCGAAATCCTCCATAACTCCAACAACCGCAACCGTTGCTCATCATCCGCATTCTGGAAAAGATTGATCTGCTGTGGAAGGAGACTGTGAGGGTCGATACTATGCCTATGCAGGACATCTGCTAACCCCGCTTGATCTAGATGAATCACTGGTTGAGTCCATCGAGGTGCAATGTGGCTCGAGTGGGTGTAATGCTGGGAAATGTAGGTAATCGGCGGTTCAGGCTCCATGGTTTCTGTTGCCTGCATGTTCGCATCTTGAGGTTCTCCTTTTCCTGACCATGTCTCTTCGTTGTACTGGATGCCATCGACGTTCCCAGACAGGCGAAGATTCTGTCGTAGAAGGGCTGAAAGTTCCTCTGTCTCCATGGTGGACTTGTATCCTGTATTCCACGAGTTTCCTGTGGAGGACTCGTCAGTGGGCGAGGAACGCGGCAGCGACTTTCGTGAAATCCGGGCGACTCAACAAATCCCAAGCTCTTCAATGAATGATGTGTGCTGTGGAACAATCTTATATGGACATGCTCCCCCACCATAAAAAATGTAAGGATTGTGACGTGCCGGATTTGATTGCAACCTTCAGTGCTAGAGTAAATTGGTGTTTGCCTGCAGATGCATTCGAATCTTCAAAACGGATCGAGGAATTGAAAACAACGGAGGCGTACACGAAAAATTCGATATGACCAGGCCTGCAGTTGAAGATATGCTCGCTTGGGAATGGTTAGAGTTTGTCAATAGTCGAAGATGGCTTTATCACTGGGTGGATCGTCGACGGGTAGGAACGGACAGCAAGGTTCGACTTTCCAAAAAATCGATCCAAATATGTTTTTACAACAATGGACTTTTATGAAGTAACTCTTATGAAGTAGATTCGATGTTGCCTGTTGGTGCTAAATAGATCCCTGGTCTTTGTGAACGGTTGGAGGCAACCGTTACTAGCAACAAAGAGCTCAGGCGTTATTCAAGAAATTCGAAGCTGGCCAACTCTCGCGTAAGCGGGGATTCCAGCTGTGAAAACTCGGTCAATCAGTGGATTGTTTTGTGAATAGATGCGAAATATGAAGATTGAACGCAGATGAAACAACTTACGGTGGACGGTCGATACCGGTATATCGAGCCCTTCATCCGAACTGTCGGAACAGGGGACTCAAGCTTGGTGGGGGCGTGACATGTACTGGTGATCAGTGATGACATGGCAAAGACAGGCGCTGCTTATATTTCTTGAAATAACTTAGCTCGCATTAGGTCAAAGCCAATCGGCCTGGTATTGGTGTGTAAAAGGAAAAGGTGCGGAGCGATGTTTATTGTCATTCGTCTGCCCAGCTTATCGTGAGATGTTTGATCAGTCGACAGAGTGGCTGCGGGGTCATACAACGAGACTAGCAGAATGGAATTGTGTAGACATATCATATCCATTCTCTACTAGCTAGTGGGATCGATTGATCTTCCATCCTACTAGCAAGCTGTTGAGAGGGCGATTCTCTGTCTTGGTGCTTAAAATGCAGAATATAGGAAATTATACATGGCATACCACCCCCTGTCGGGTTACGGTCGTGATCGTAATACACGAAACATTCCATTACCTATTCTAGCAACAAGTCTTTCGCATAATGGCTCAGCTATGTAACCTATGTTCTACTCCGTGTTCACCCTCTCAGAATCCGTGGTGGGAGTTGCTTCACCGGGATATAGATCTGATGGGATGGCTGCCTGGGCGGTGATCAGTGGCTGTCGTGGCGGTGGCGGTGACGCTGTGAAGGGGTCGCTACCGCACCGGTCCAGGTCAGGTGTTAAGGCGTCAAGGCGTCAAGTCGCGTTTCGAGCTCCTTTGCAACCAACAGCCAAAGTCCAAGCTTCACCTCCCAGACACGCACTCATCATGCAGCCTAAGTAACTTGAACTTCCACTCGACAATCCGACACCGTTCATAACGAGACTGGATTTTGAGCATTATCCCTATCATTTCCGCTTCTCCTGAACCTTTCCTCTCGAATCACCGCCTTTCCAATCTTCCTGCAAGCTCGCCGTCCTTTCACCTCCTGCTCAGCTTGCTTCCGGACCTGCACATCTAGTTGCCGACCATGGTAAGACTTCCCTAGCTAGGTGACCTACATGATCGTACACCTTACTAACTATGATCGCAAGACTTCAATAGGCACTGGATATGATCTTTCCAACTCGGTCTTCTCCCCGGACGGGAGGAACTTTCAGGTCAGCTTTGCTCCCCCATCTCCCCAGTCCCCGAGCTTACCCGCGCCTAGGTCGAATATGCCATGAAAGCGGTCGAGAATGGAGGAACTGCGATCGGAATTCGATGCAAAGACGGTGTTGTCTTTGCCATGGAGAAGCTTGTGGTCAGCAAATTGGTGAAGCCTGGCGCAAACAAGAAGATATCGACTGTGGACAAGAACATTGGGATTGTAAGCATCCTGGAGCCTGGCATCATCCATTTCACAACATCCTGACAGCCATAGGTCTGCTCCGGTCTGATGCCGGATGGACGACATTTCGTTTCCCGTGCTCGTGATGAAGCGGCATCATGGCGAGGGCTCTACAAGGCACCGATACCGACATCCGCCCTCGCAAACCGAATGGGAAGCTATGTTCAGGCATATACTCTCTACTCCAGCGTTCGACCGTTCGGTCTTACATCAATCCTTGGTGGTTGGGACTCGGAGGCCGAGTTACCGGTGGATGGACAGGTTGGCTCGGGACCGAAAGTGGGTGCGGGAGGGAAAAAGGAAGGCCAGAAACGAGGTGGTCCATTCCTTTATATGATTGAGCCAAGTGGTCTATACTGGGTACGCTTTGATTCAATACTCCTGCGATCTATCGCTAATGATATCTAGGGGTATTACGGTGCCGCTACTGGAAAGGGCAGACAATCCGCGAAATCGGAGCTCGAGAAACTCAATCTTTCCGAAGGCGACATCACTCTTGAGCAGGGAGTCAAGGAAGCAGCACGTATCATTTATGTGGCTCACGAAGACAGCAAGGACAAAGACTTTGAGCTTGAGATGTCGTGGGTTAGCTCATTAGATGGACCAACGAAAGGACGACATGAGGAGGTCCCAAAGGCTTTGAGAGAAGAAGCCGAGGCTTTGGCCAAGAAAGTCATTGAAGGAGAAGATGATGATGATGAAGAAGCAGAAGGTGGAGCGACTGGCGATCAAATGGAGGAGTAGGGATGCTTAGCCCAACCTGCGGATGGTCTGGACTCTGGCGTCTTTGGCATGCATTTGCAACTGTAATGATATCCTGCGTCATTTCGGAGTAATTGAGCTTTGAAATCAAGATTCTAGAAGGATATTCATCAAGCGAACAACACTGGGGCTGCTCTATCCATTGTAACGACCATCAAGGCACACCATCGGAAAGGCATGTTACAACCAGTGTCAATGTGGTCATCAGGACGATGAAGGGGGTATCACATAAATCTGATTATGCTAACCAGCTGCGAGAACGCTTCATCCGCCAATTCCCAGATCTAATTCCCAGAACCACCTGCCCGAGGAAGTTCAATGTCTACTAGCCAGGGCCATTGTACGGGAAAGTCCTTAGTCCCTGAGACTATTGCATTCACGAATAGTGTCGGCTCTCCCTGTCTCAGGATATTCATCCCCAACGCAATGGCTGGCTCTTGCACATATCTCTCTTCTCAACCGCTCCAACATCTTCTTTTTCTCATCCTCCGTATAGAATTTGGATAGTTTTAGGCTTGCTAGCTTTCCTAACGGGGAATTCGTTGTTATCGATGGCCGTGAAGTGACTTTGGTCTCTCCCCATACGTCTCGAGATCCCCTTAGATCATCAGTTTTGCGCCCCAGCCTTCGTGGATACGTCCGAAACAATGAATTCGTGGCCTAGCACGAGCAACGGCTACGAAAAGTTCCAGACACCCTATCCTTCCCTGGCCATAGGCATGATCCATGATACCCTTTGGTAGACCATGTGTAAGGGCGATGTCGACTGTCTCAATGTCGAAATCATGCCCACGTTCAGGATGATATTGAAACCCCCATGCACCCAAAGCGGGCGTAAACGGACTGGTGTAAACCCTCAGTGCCGCACCATTATTGGGAGTGAACTGGTCAGAACCTTCTTCAAGGAAGGTTTTCCCTGCATCCTGCGCGTCGGGTAAGGATCCATATCTTGATCGTATTTCCATCTTGCTGGATGGAGATGGAGGCAAATAGTATGGTTCGGGGATAGTTTGTTCTAAACTTGACCTTGTGCTTTCGTATGTCTCCAAGGTGGATGCTCTACAAGGTATGTTTGAACTGTGACAAGGTCGGTTATGTAGGGAAGATCCAGGAGAATAGGACCCTTGATAGCACTATGGTCGAGAGGGATGAATTTCGTCATGACAATACTTAGGGAATTAGGGGCTTGATGACATCTGTAGAATATTCGAGAGAGGATGGAGGAAGTGTATTAAAGAATATTAGATCCTGAGGCTGCATCAACCGTACAGTAAATTATGACACCGTCTTGAAGCTGTCTGGCTGCCTGTCCCACTGTAACTGAGATCCAACATTTCAAACTCACGATGTAAGTATAGATACATGAGGCAGGTATCTGGTGGTCTAGAACTAAACTTTGAGTTGCCTAGTGAGCTACTGGTATCCCGTCAACCAGGTTTCCCCTCAATCCAATTGAAGTTGGTTCAGTACCACAGAGTCCATCTGTAGATAATACGTTCATCCATTTTTGAACTCAAATATACCTGCAGAAAAACACGTCGGCTCCAACCCCCGGCTATGCAATGTGACAGATTGGACGCCTCGGATTCTGTGATATTAGGCTTCGCCCTTTTTCATGGGCATTTCTAGGCCATCAGATTGTGATGAGTTTGGAAGGGAACCTGATAGGGGATAGACTCCGTAGAGACCTTGTCGGCGTGAGGTCATCAATTGTAGATATCAGAAAATCCCCCAAGACAAATGCCTCAAGTCCTAGCTCTTCCACAAATCAAGAACGATATGTCGGATCATTCGAAAGGAACCACCGAGTTTCGCATCCCGGAGCTTTGCAAAAAACCAGGATATCATTCCCCTCTCCCCAAGCCTCTGCATTCAGGTACACACATCTCGGATCGGGAAACCCATGAAGACTGGTTGGCAAACAATGGAAGGACTGAAAGGATTCAAGAAGATTCCTTCCTCATGAAATGGACTGTGGTATTCAGACGGAACACTCTGGTTGTAGAATAATGTAGGAAACCCGGTGTTTAGGGGTTTGGTAACATACGTTACTTCATGTCTGACAGAACGATACCGTAGAATACCTACTTTAAGACAAGGAATAGTTTGCTCAAAAGCAAGAAGAGGATGGTGATGAACGACTTTCTCCATTCTCGACGAAGAGATGACTTCCTCCGCAGACAGGAGACGTGGTAAGCTGCCCCTGCAATTACCGCTCGATCTTGGAAAGTACAAGCGAGGAACCATGTGCAACATGTTTTCGTATCCCAATATCTTGCTCCCTCCAATGGTCCTATTGAAAACCCCAAACCTGTTCTTCTGTGCCTAGTAGTGACAGAAACCATAACGATAGTCCACGTTCGAACGCACAGCATCATCATGCGATGGTACGTCTTGATTAGCTTTGAGGCGATGGAGCTCCATGTTGCTATTATTATTCACGATTCGCGCCTCATCGCTGTTCCGCCCCAATACCCACTGTTCTGATATTTCCCCCTGCATTTGAAGCACCTGGTGTCCGGGTAACCGAGATCCAAGCAGCGCCATTTCGCATGGCGTCTCCTCAGTCCTTGGTCCTCATTTCTCACCCCACGCCTCAAAGCAAAAGTCCAAAGGAGTCAATTGGAGGCTGGAGCTGAACAATTGAAGAATCAAGAAACCATCCGTGATGAATTGATGATCCAACTGAATGGTGTGGATTGTGGATCCAAATCAGAAACGCGGACGCTCCGCCCTGCCGATCAATAATTACCGGCCATAGCGTGCGGAAAGTTTGCAGCGCCCCAGAGACCGATTCCACCACTGCCCTAGCGTTTTCATGGTCAGATCCAGAGCACAGTCGGCTTTGCCAGTCGCCACCAACGTCGGATGCTGGATACCGAATACGCCACCGAAGATGAAGGCGATGTTCGTGACAGACATAGAAGAGCAATTCAGACGTGAAAAAGGCATGAGTAGATGAATCGAGCCTCGTGGTCTTCGGCATGGATGGAATGTGGGCCAATTCCAAGTTCATGGAGGGCTGATTCGGTTTCATCAGGGTCATCCTGTTCCTGAATCGGAAAATTTCCAGGGGAACGCCCATCAACGATTCAAGTCTGGGAAACTAGGGGAAGACCCTCCAAGCTCGAACCATACCATCGTGCATATCGTTGGATAGAGATTCAAGAATGGAGATGGGACGTGCCGAAATTCCATGGCTGGATTCTGCGGTTTCTAGGGCTAATATTACTCCGCCTCAAAGACTCGGGCTAGAGCGTCAAGAATCAGGACTTGCCGACTTGGTGAGCTGAGAGCCTGAGAAGTAAGAAAAGCCCGGATGGGAGAAAGATCTGCACTCAGTTGGTGCCGAAAGTGGGTCGGCTAGTTGCTGGTTTGTGTAGTGTACGGGAATATAAGAAATCTGAGCTCTAGATAGCAGATGGAAGGATATTAATAAGGACCAGGACCATATTGGTCATTATTGGATAGCTTGCATCCACCTTGTGTGTCTTTCTGTGTGTCCTGTGCGTCTTGTCCTCACCGTCTTCGTTTCACCCCTCCATCCCTCCAACCACCAGCCATCCTACTATCATCATTCACTACTTCGGCGTCGTACACCACCATTTTAAATAGGCTCATTACCGCCTCCGTTTCGTGTCAACATCCTCATCTTCTCTCCCTCTACTTCGGCTCCCGATTGTGTCTGTTCCTCCAATCTCTACCGCCACCACTTCTACACGAACCATCTCCAAGCCCCCTCTCCTCAACAGCTTATTTTAGGCGATTCGGTTCGCTGACACCCTCACCTCTACAGCCATGTGGTTAGTTATCCATTCTGCATGCTCGCTTTCTTTGGCTGACAGAATGCAGTGGTATCTTTGGGTACGTCAACTACCTGGTGGAGAAGGACCGGAAGTTCATTGTCAACACTCTCGTCAATGGTAAGTGTGATGTCCGCCACAGACGACGTGGAATCCAGGGAACACGGAACAAGGAATAAGAATTGACCGTTGACACTTGTCCTCCTAGGTTTATCGAGACTCGAATATCGTGGCTACGATTCGGCCGGATTTGCCGTCGATGGCGACAAAAAAAATGAGGTGCTTGCTTTCAAGGAGGTCGGCAAGGTGGCCAAGTTGAGGGAGATGATTGAGGAGGCCAAGCCGGATCTGACCAAAGTTTTCGATTCGCACGCTGGTATTGCACACACCCGATGGGCCACCCACGGTCGGCCATCCCAACTCAACTGCCATCCTCATCGGTATGGTCTACAAGCAATGGATCTGGTGGATCATGCTAACGTTGCATTCGTCTAGGTCCGACCCCAATTGGGAATTCTCCGTGGTTCACAATGGAATCATCACCAACTACAAGGAATTGAAGGCTCTTCTGGAGGGCAAGGGCTTCAAGTTTGAGACCGAGACCGATACCGAAGCGATTGCGAAGCTTGCCAAGTTTATCTACGATGCCCACCCCGACATCGATTTCGACGTGTTGGCTCAAGCCGTGATCAAGGAGCTCCAGGGCGCTTTCGGGCTGCTCTTGAAGTCTACCCACTACCCTCACGAAGTCATTGCTGCTCGCAAGGGATCACCGCTGGTCATCGGTGTCAAGACTCAGAAGAAGATGAAGGTGGACTTTGTTGATGTGGAGTTCGGCGAGGATGTTGCCCTTCCTGCCGAGACCGCTTCTCAGAACGTGGCGTTGAAAAAGACCAACAACTTGCTTGCACCGCCGGATAAGAGTCTCCTCCACCGTTCGCAATCCCGAGCGTTCCTCTCCGACGACGGGATTCCGATTCCGACCGAATTCTTCCTCTCCTCCGACCCGTCCGCGATCGTCGAACATACCAAGAAGGTCCTATATCTCGAGGATGACGATATTGCCCATATCCACGAAGGTTCCCTCAACATTCACCGTATGAAGCATTCCACTAGCACGTCCAACGTCCGTGCCATCCAGACCATCGAGATTGAACTTCAGGAGATCATGAAGGGTTCCTTCGATCATTTCATGGAGAAGGAAATCTTCGAGCAACCCGAATCCGTCATCAACGCCATGCGTGGTCGTTTGGACCTGGAGAACAAGAAGGTGACCTTGGGTGGGCTTCGACAGTACCTGAGCACCATTCGCCGCTGCCGACGGTTGATCTTCATTGCCTGTGGCACATCATATCATTCCTGCATGGCCGTCCGTGGGATCTTCGAAGAACTGACCGAGATCCCCATCTCCGTCGAACTTGCATCCGATTTCCTCGATCGCCAGGCTCCGGTATTCCGCGATGACACCTGTGTCTTCGTCTCGCAATCCGGAGAAACCGCCGATTCGTTGTTGGCGTTACGCTTCTGCTTGGAGCGGGGTGCACTCACCGTTGGGATCGTGAATACCGTCGGCTCATCCATTTCGTTGATCACCCACTGCGGTGTTCACATCAATGCTGGACCCGAGATCGGTGTTGCGTCGACCAAGGCGTATACTTCCCAGTTCGTTTGCATGGTCATGTTTGCTCTGTCACTCTCCGAGGACCGTGCAAGCAAGCATCAGCGACGTGAGGAGATTATGGAGGGTCTTGGAAAGATTTCCGAGCAGTTCAAGGAGGTTTTGAAGCTCGACAAACCGATCAAGAAAATGTGTGATCAGTTCAAGGATAAGAAGAGCATTCTTCTTCTTGGACGCGGTGCTCAGCATGCCACCGCACTGGAAGGTATGGATACTCGAACTTCCATGGAGAACATTGCTAATATCCTACAGGTGCATTGAAGATCAAGGAGATTTCGTATCTCCACTGCGAAGCCGTCATGTCCGGAGAGTTGAAACATGGCGTTCTTGCGCTTGTCGACGAGGACCTTCCGATTGTCATGATTTTGACTCGTGATGACATTTTCAAGAAGTCTTTGAATGCCTATCAACAGGTGGTTGCTCGAGGCGGTCGACCCATCATCATCTGCAATGAGGGTGACCCGGAATTCCCTGCCGAGAAGGTTGAGAAGATCGAGGTTCCTACCAACGTTGACGTCCTTCAGGGATTGATCAATGTTATTCCTCTGCAACTGATGGCCTATTGGCTTGCCGTCAATGCCGATTTGAACGTTGACATGCCGCGTAACTTGGCTAAGTCGGTGACGGTTGAGTAAGGATAGTACTCGTTGTCGTGTCGTCGATCATCGATGGCATCGACTGGGGCGAGAAGGCGTCTTTGGCAGCAAAAATGCATCGCTTGGGGAGGGAATTTATGACCCACCGGTTGGATTTATGGATTCACCAGAAACGAAGGAATGGTCTGATGGTATTGCAGTGATGGTCATTATGTGTGGTAATTCGATGAATGAATTTTGACGTTTACTGATTTACAAGTGTGAAAGGGATGTACATTTGTGTTGAGTTGGCGATGGAGAATCGTAATGTGATGGATTTGAAATGGCACGTGTGAAGAACATTCGTTGCGTATGTATCTGAATTTGTCAACTGATGAAGCTAGAGTGCTCTAATTAATGGTGACGCTGATCTGGACATTGAGGTTGCAGAGCTGAGGGAGTTATTGCCTCAGGCAGAATATCCAAGGTCACGTGCGAGCAGGGATATGATTGTTTCTGCCTTGGAGCCTTGGAGCCTGAGGCCGAACATTGTGGGGGAATTCCGCTGTCCCTCCACAGCCCACACAGGTCAGCAGCATCGCGATGAGAACCACGATCAACATGAACCGAGACCGCCCGGTTTGACCTTCCATTGGACATTGAATCTACACTATTGTTCATCAAGCTACTCGAGTCATCGGGTTGTTGTGGTGGGATATATTACTGCCTCCAGTACACTACTCACCGAAGAGCCGAGTTCACAACATCGACATCATGACAACCATCAAAGGGCCCGGTGAAGCGCATTCCTATGACGGTAGATCAACCCTCAAGAGAAAAGCATCCAACGGCTGACCCATGTAGGCTCGAATTTGCGCATTGGAATCGTGCATGCAAGATGGAATACGAAGATCATCGATGCGCTTCTCTCCGGAGCTAAGCAATCACTCAAAGCGGCTGGAGTCAAGGACGAGAACATTGTCTTACAATCGGTTCCCGGGAGTTATGAGCTTCCGTTTGCTGTGCAAAGGTAACATGGAGAGATGGAGATTGGGATCCCATTCCCCGAAGATGCGAATGCGACGGCTTGTGGCTTTCAATCGCGACCTCAGCGTCGGACGAGCTGCTAACACTTCGAACCATAGGATGTATTCCGCGTCCCAAGTACAATCGTCGAGTTCTTCAGCAGGCGGAGCACTTCTGGCTTCAGCCACCGACCTCCTCAGTTCCTCCTCGCAGACCGACCTTACCAAATCCACCGGGTCCATCAAGGGCAAAACCTCCACCGCGCCATTCGATGCGATCATCGCCGTCGGAGCCCTCATCAAGGGTGAAACGATGCATTTCGAATACATTTCCGACTCGGTGTCGCAAGCACTGATGCGGATTCAGTTGGATAGTGGGTGTCCCGTCATCTTCGGCCTGCTAACATTGGTCACGGAGGAGCAAGGGCTGGCTCGAGCGGGGTTGACTTCGGGGGGACATAATCACGGATTGGATTGGGGTAAGGCTGCGGTGGAGATGGGAATCAAGAGAAGAGGGTGGACCGAGGGGACATATGTCGATTAATAAACCCGAGTAAGGGACAATCGAGAATAGTTAGCATGATATGTATTGCGCACGATCTGGAGCACGTGAGGCGTGTACTTGTGTTCTGGAATCATACCAGTAGCTGTCCGGGTTCCGCACTCGTGTTGCAGTTGTCAGTCGTAGTTGATGGGTGATACACGTAAGATAGGTGGAAAGGTGACTGATGAATTGGTTGGATTGAATGGATTGAATGGATTGAATGGATTGAATGGATTGAATGGATTGAATGGATTGATTGATTGAATGGATTGAATGGATTGAATGAATTGATTGAATTGATTGATTGAATGGATTGAATGGAACTTATATCCGATCGCGGTGTGTATCCAGAGTAATAAGAGGAAGACGCGCCCCTTGCAATCTTGGCGTCGAAGATTCAGCGCACGTTCACCTCCAGTCAGTCGTTCAGTTGTTCTTGGTGCACTCCCATCATCAACTTCACCCTTGACCAGACTGCCACCTGGAATGCATCTCTCTTCTCTCCTTCCGTCCTCTCTCCTTCTCATTTCCTCAATTCCCTCAACACGTTCACGTGGCATATTGGACGCATTACCGATTCGAACCATTTGATGCGACGTTGCGGACCTCGACCCACGGGCTCCTCACTCGCATCCATCCTCCCTATACGGCAATCCCGCATCCCCTCATAATCGTCCTATCGTTTCGCTGCAGCCATCATTATCCTGGTGATCCTGGATATCAAGGTGCTTCTCGACCGCGGAAGGCAGAGCGCACGCGTTTCTCTCCCACTCGCGTAATACTCGTGCTCACCGCGATGGTGTTGCTCGTCCACTCCAGGTTAGAGAACGCTTTCTAGAATGTCGCGCGCATCCGGTGGCAGCTTTGCGGACTTCTTTCCCAATGCTCCATCGGTTGTTCAGAGCAAGCGACTGAAACTAGCGCAACAACCTTTGTCTGCCGATCCTCCGGTGGCGCGCCATGCGTCGCAATCGGATCACGCAGACATTATTTCAACTACCTCTGCGACTCAGTCGGCATTTGATGGCAGTTCTAACTCGACCAAAGATCAGAGCAACTCCCGTCACACGGTCGAAGATGATTCCACCCAAAGACCTGGCTCGGGAGATCTTTTGAACGGTGTGGGGTCGGAGAGTTCCTTGACTTCCACCGCGTCTTCCATCTTTAGCCAACCAACCGGTCTTTCCAACATGCCGAGTAACCATGGCATCACGACCGCTTCTACCATTTTGACGCCCGTCACCAATACTACCGATTCATCTCCTCCCGGGAAAGCGCCTAGTCCATCACACAAGGGTTCCATTGCCGCGAAGAACACGTTCACGGATCCAAAGCCCATGCAAAATGGTACTCACGCATTTACCCCCGCTCACACTCCGCCCGACGGGATGCTTCCAGGCCCAGGTGAAGAGCGAGGATCCGTCATCGTGTGGGATCCTGAGTTGGATACGAAACTGTCATCCAAGGAGAGACGAAAACATCGTCCGAAGTACAAGGTGTTTGGAACAGAGGTACGTTTCCCTTGCATTTCGGTGTTCAGACCCTAATCATGTCCAGAGTCGGCAGCAGTATCCTCCTCCGGACCCCAGACTGGCCATCGCTGGCTACACGGCCGGCGCATTTCATAAGAAGAACTCCCCGAACAAGCAGAGACTACGTCTCGCACCCTACGTTGTCAAACCTTACGCTTTCGATGCTCGAACTTCGATTGGGCCTGGACCACCGACTCAGATCGTGGTCAACGGGTTTGACCCGTTTACATCCGCGAGTCAGATCAAGGCGGTTTTCGGTAGCTATGGCGAGATCGCCGAGCTTCTGAATCAAACCGATCCGGCAACCGGAAGTTTCCTCGGCATTTGTCTCATTCGATATCGGGATACCAAACCCCTTCGTGGCACACCCATTCCCGCATCGCAAGCCGCGAGAAAGGCGGAAAAGGAAGGCACAGGGCAACGAATCGGGTTGAAGACGGTCAAAGTCTCACGGGATCCGGAAGGACGACGATGTCGTCGCATGGTGTCGGATATCTTGCGAAGGATCAAAGACGAACAGGAAAAGGAACGCGAACGGGAACAAAAACTTCAAGACCGCCGTGCCGTCAGTGTTGCTCCTTCACCCACGGTACCTGCACCACCGCCGGGTGCCCCCAAAGGCCCTTCGGGAACCGGATTTCGAGCCCCTCCAGTCGCCCCTCCAGTCGCCCCTCAACCCCCTCAACCTCCACGCCGACCTGACCATAATCTCATCGAAACCGAGTCTCTTCTTCAGACGATCAAGCGCAGACCATATATATTTCTCGCCCACTGCTATGTCCCGGTCATGGGGACCACCGTTCCTCATATGTACAAGCGGTTTCGCATGTACGACGTCTATGAGATCCGAGCGGACCAGACGGGATACTACATCACCTTCGACGACTCCAAACGTGGAGAGGACGAATGCACTCGACTATTCCGGGAATGTCACCTGAAACTTCTTTTCAATTACATTATGAACATGGATTGCCAGCCATATGGAAATCCGAACTACCAACGAAGTCCCTCTCCAGAGCGAGCTGCAGCCCAAGCCAAAGCGAGAAAGGAGGACGAGTTCATCCGGAAACACGATGACGCGGATTTTGAAGAGGAGAAGAAGGAGCGCGCAGACCGGTTGGACCCCGTGAAAGGAGCCATTGAAGTTCTGGTCCCTCAATTGCGGGAGATGCTGTTGAAAGACATCAAGAAGCGAATTATTGCTCCCCATCTCAATGAGTATCTGGACCCGGACCGACATGTTGCCAAAAGGCAAAAGCTTGGGATTTCCGATCCTCCTGACAAAGCCTCGACTCGACCAACGTTTCAAATTGGGGTTGGTGATGAAAGCCCGTCCACCCCTCTCTCGAGGCATGGCTTCGCAGGGAGATCAAAACCACCATTTCGAAGAGATCATGTCACGCCAAAGGATCGACTTTCCGTGGTGGCCAGCGAAGGTAATGCGTTTTTGGACGATCGGAGGAGGAGAATCGCGCAATCCAGACGGAGAACCCAACCGCTTCACCGACGCCTTCACGATTTTTATGATAGTGAGGACTCGGACGATGAACAGTCCGGCGCCATTCGCCCGGAATCGGAAGAGCAGGAGAGCCGTTCGGTCACGCATATTAGCCGTAGTCCCTCCCGGTCAGTCTTCGATGCCGATGAAGATGCGCCGAAACGCAAACGGAGACGACTCGACCTTGGTTGGGGAGCCGAAAGCGACGATGAACTTTTGGATGCCGTGGCTCGGAAGACTTTGGGGCATCTGATTCACAAAGAACCGGAAGACATGGCGAGAGCTGAACTGGTTCAAGTGGTTTCCACGCTTCCTCGATCGTCACACTTATGGAAACGAGCCCATGCTGAGATCAGCCTCCGAGACAGGGCAGCAGAGGATGATGAATTGTTCTTCGGCCTACAGGGCACCAAACCGGCAACCGCGGAGGTCAAGATGGATGTCGAGCCAGCGGACAACTCTTCAACTGCCATCGTGGAAGTCAAAAAGCCGAAGAAAACCAAACGACCTCCAAAGTCGCGGACAAGGAAAGAAGAGAAAGGAGAAATCGAGACCCTCGAAGTTCAAACCCAGTTACATGTTGAAGAACATGTCATCGACTCCGAGTTACCAACACCACAGCCTAGCATTGAGGGAACTCAAAAGCCCAAGCCTCGACAGCGTCGGAAATTCAATGCAAAGGCTTTCATCAAAGGTTCGCGAACTGTCGATGATGGTCCGAACGTTTTCCTGGACCTGGATGGATGGCAGTCCATTGTTCGCGATGTCGAGGATATGCGGTATCTCAGCCACATTCTGTTGGAAGTGGCTCCGACCAATTTGGGTGATATCGAGCTATGGGCGTGGCGGGAGAAGATGTTCAAGTCGCTTCATAACGACGGACAATTCGGCGTCACATCATCTCCTCCAACGATTTCCGGCTATTATGTTCCGAATCCTACCGGATGTGCTCGAACCGAAGGAGTCAAGAAGATTGCCGAATCGGAGAAGTCCAAATATCTCCCTCATCGCATTCGGGTTGCTCAACAACAGGCCGAACGTGCTGCTCGAGCCGAGAAAGATCCACAATACGCTGCCGATGCCGCTCGACAGGCTGCCGCCGCGAAAACCGCCTCGACTGCCACTTCTCGATCCAATCGTGTCAACAATCGACGTCTCGTCAATGAGATCAACACCCAAAAGAAGGCATTGGAGTCCGGCGATACCGATTCCGTTGCTCTCCGATTCAATCAACTCAAGAAGAGACGAAAATTGGTTCGATTCGAACGGTCCGCCATTCATGGTTGGGGTCTTTATGCTGAGGAAAACATTTCTGCTAATGATATGATCATCGAATATGTTGGAGAGATCATCCGACCTTCTGTGGCAGAGCTTCGTGAGGTCAAGTACGCTCGTGCTGGCATTGGAAGTTCGTATCTCTTCCGCATTGATGAAGAACAAGTGGTGGATGCTACCAAAAAAGGCAGTGTCGCAAGGTATGTTGAACCCATTTCAATTTCCATTTCCATCCCATCTAATATCTGTCAGGTTCATCAATCACTCTTGCTCTCCCAACTGTACCGCCAAGATCATCAAGGTCGAGGGTACCCGTCGCATTGTCATCTACGCCGCCAAGGACATCCACAAAGGTATGTCCTCCGATGTGTTTCCCATGTTCACGACTAATTCCCACTAGGTCAGGAACTCACGTACGATTACAAATTCGAACGGGAGTTTGAGTCGGACGATCGTGTTCCTTGTCTTTGCGGTAGCATTGCATGCAAAGGCTTCTTGAATTGAGCGATTTCGTTCAGTATCCTCCGTCCAAGGTTGGTGTTGATGGCATGGATTCTTACTCTACATCTGGTAGACGGTGGTAGGCCATCCATTTGCAGACGGTTGTCTGGACGTTCGGCCATAAAACGACTCCGTTGGTCAACTAATTCATGTTTTCATGTTATCCTCATGGACTTTGGAGTCATACTAGAACCATTTCTTCTGGGAACTTGCTTCACCCACCGTTCAACGGGGTGTGGTATCAAGTCGTGGTGGAGCACGGTAGCTGCACACCAGGTGGTCTTAAACCACCTGAATATTTTATGATGACTGCAGGAGATCACAATGAAATGCCATGCACTCAATCTTCATATTTTGGTTCCCTTAATTCCCTTGTGACACAAGTCGATGATAGAAATTCATCGATTTTATGTGAACCCACCCATGCAGATCTCTAGTTCTTTGTTCTTGTCTTGTGAAAGCGGAGTAAGGCCAGAGCCTCGGTGACATTTAATTTATACCCTTGGAGTTGGCATCCCGCTTCTTTAGAACCTGCTTTTCAACCTCAATAAGTTTTTCATTATTCATTTGCAAGTATCTTTGTCAACATGATTAGGGAAACTGTTAGATCATGGGGACTCTCCCCGCTGCTGAATGCAGGTGTCAATCTACAGACATTGTTTTGGAGCGTTGCCATTCTTATCTTCATCGTCCATTATCTGCTCCCTGGCCTGGGCGAGTTAAGATGGACTATCAAAGCTCAAAGTTTGGGAAAACTGGTACCACGAGAACGAAAGCCCTGGTTCCCTTTCAATATCCTAAGGATTCGCAGGGTCATAAAGATGTTTCGCGAGCAAAAGCGGATGGAGTTCATGCGTGAACAGATCAAAGCAAGTGCGAATCCGAACAATCCGAATACCATCCGAGTCTCTATGCTCACCCGTCGTATCATCTTGACCACTGACCCTGAAAATATCAAAGCCGTCCTTGCAACTCAGTTCACTGATTATGGCAAGGGAGAGAAGTTTAATAAAGAATGGCATGACTTCTTAGGTGATAGCATCTTCACCACTGATGGGGATTTGTGGCATAACTCCCGGAATCTTCTACGGCCGCAATTTATCAAAGACCGAGTCAGTGACCTGGAAATCTTCGAAACGCACGCAATGTCACTCATCCAGATCCTCTCGAACACAAAGGGAGAACCTGTAGACATTTCCGAACTATTCTTTGCCTTCGCTCTTGATGCCGCCACTGACTTTCTGCTCGGAAAGTCGTCCCATAGTCTCCAGAACCAACAGGACGAATTCGCAAAGGCTTTCAAGGTGGTCCAAACTAGGCAGTTGATGAACTCGATCCTAGGTCCGCTCAAACTTTTGGTGAGCCAGAAGTCGTTTCGTTCATCTCTGCGGATCATTGATGATTTTATTCGGCCGTTTGTCGATTTACGACAAGTTTGTCTCCTGACGAATTGGAAAAAGGGGGTTCTTCGACATATACTTTCCTGCACTCATTAGCGAAGCATACAAGAGACCGAAAGGTATTGAGAGATCAAATAATGGCTGTATTGCTTGCGGGGAGAGACACTACGGCTTGCACTTTATCGTGGTTGTTCTACGAGCTTTCAATCCATCCGCACGTTGTTGCAAAGCTTCGTCAAGAGATTGAGACTACTGTTGATTTGGAGCGGGCTCCTACATATGCTGACTTCAAGAATATGAGATATCTGCAGGTAAGGAAGCCATAGCTTCGTCCGAATGATGCTAACGTCACAGTCAACCCTCAATGAGACCCTTCGCATGTATCCAGCGGCCCCGTTTAACGTGCGAGTAGCGTTGAAAGACACTACGCTTCCCCATGGAGGCGGTTCTGATGGAAATCAGCCAATTGGCATCCCCCGGGGAACTGAAATATCATATGCTCCTTTGATAATGCAACGGCGGGCAGATCTCTATCCTTCCGACCAACTTCCAGCAGAGGAATTCTCTCCTGAGAGGTGGGAACACTGGTTTCCGAAGAGTTGGACGTATATTCCTTTCAATGGAGGTCCAAGGATATGTCTTGGTCAACAGTTTGCATTGACGGAGATGGGATACACCGTCGTGAGGATCTTGCAGCGGTTCTCAACGGTGGAATGTAGGCAACCAGACAACAAGGCTCCGGCCATGGTGACTGATATTGTCGTTTCTCCACATCATGGGGTGACGATTAGCTTGTTTGAGTAGTAGACTTGAGGAGGATGTCAGAGGAGAAGCACCATTAATTTCTTCCAGTCTTGATGACTGAATCCAGTGAATGGTGATGCCAAGTAAAAGCAAGGAATGATCAAGCGTTTTCACGCCCTGGGGGTAGGCTCCGAGGTCCTTAATTTCTTCCACTCTAGCTGAGCACCATTAAGATACCCTACTTTGTAATCAGACAGGTTTGTATGATATATACCCCGGGGTTCATGATCTAACAGCAGCGGTTTATGATGTAATATCATCTGATATGGGAAGCTGACTGAACTACTCCAGTACCTTCCATTCCGTCAAACATCTCACAACGAAATAACACTGGGAGGACGGCATAAATTAGGAAGTTTATCGTATCAAATGGATTACAGGCAATAAAGCATACCCAGCTCACGTGGTTTGAATCAACACCTTTCGCCCACTAGATACATCTTGGCTTTTGCTAGACACACCCGTTCTCTCCCCAGATCACTCCTTCTTGGGATCCACCTGAACCGGAGGACTTTGAACACCTTGACTCTCACTAGAACGTCCAACAATTCCTCCCATATGGCTCGCAAAACCATATTCCCCTAAGCCGTACCCATCGACCTCGCAATCAGCAAAGTACTTCTTATCCAGACCCTCCAGCTCCTCCTCTTCGCTGCAGCGGAGGTGTAAACCAGGGATCTTGTTGATGATGAATAGAAGGATGCAGCTGATCACAAAACTCCAGGCAGCACACGTCACCGCTGCGGCAAGCTGATAGCCCATCTGTTTCCAGTGACGATTCCACCACCCACCTTCGTAGTCTGTCGAGACACCATCCAAGGCGGGAACGAAGTCTGCAGCAAAGAACCCCGTCAAAATATCACCAATGACTCCTCCGACACCGTGGATTGCAAAGATATCAAGACCCTCGTCAACTCCGATCAGATGTTTGTACTTGACCACATAGAAAACGCCAATGGCTGTGATGGCCCCCACCAGAGCGGAAGTGTAGACGGGGACTTGGAAACGTCAGATCACAAAATTTGATTCTCATGGAACACTTACCGAAACCGGCTGCAGGAGTGATCCCCACCAGTCCAGAAATGATGCCGGAGCAGAAACCGATGATGCTAAATCGTCGAGTACTGAAGTACTCCAGAATAGTCCATGCAATACCCCCACCACAGGCAGCAAGATTGGTGTTGACAACCACATAGATGCTCCGAATCGACAAATTGGCGGTACTTGCACCGTTAAATGCGAACCAACCGAACCAAATGAGGATCGTCCCAAGGCCCACCAAGAACGGATTGTGAGGTCTGAAGTGAGGGATCTTCGGATGAGCACTCTCTTTCATGGGATCTTTACGGTGACCGAGCATGAGAGACCAAGCGAGGGCGCCAAAGCCCGAAGCAATGTGGACAGGTCCTGATCCAGCGTAGTCGTACGCTCCAAGTTGGTAGAGCCATCCACTCGGGTTCCATTCCCAGTATGCAAGGCTTAGACGTCAGTCAGACTCAGTGCTGAACCCGTGGGGACTTGTCATGTACGCAAAATAAAGACTTACAAGTAGTAGACGAACGTTGTCCAACAAAGCAAGAACACCATACTAGGTAAAAGTCTTCCACGCTCGAGCATAGCCCCTGCCAAAATCATGGCCGTCGCAGTGACGAACGTGAAACCGAAAGCAGCGTAAAGGATATCCGGTATATCGGAATTCGCGAGACTGGGGTAAGCCAACACATTGAGGAAAATGCCTTTGGAGAGGTCCCCGATGATTGGATTGGTCGTGTGCGATTCGTACATGGAGTAACCGTATAGCCAGAATTGGATCCCGCAAGCAGAGGCACAGAACAAAGATTGGAAGACCATGGTCAGCGCGGACTTTCGACGATGCATGCCAGCATACAAGAAGCCGATAGCTGGGGTGATTTGCCAACAAAGTGCTGTACATACGAGGATCCAACACAAGTCGCCCTTCAGAAGTTAGAAACGTCCTGAATATCAGACGGTCCCTTACTTTGTCATATGGAGCATTGATGTCCATCTCCAAAGGATTCGCCCCCAGCGGTTGTACGGAGTACTCCGGCCATTCGGTGACTGGAGGGATGGAATCCGACATCGAGAGGGAAATTTAACTTAAGACCGATGATAGACACAAAAGGATTCAGGGTGGTGATTTGAAGGTTGACAACAGAGTTGTCCTACGCGTCTGTAAATCAACTTGCTGAGAAGAAACCAGACACAACACGAAGCCAGTGGAATCAAACCAAGGAACAATTGCCAACTTTGATTCCGACAGAATCTGCAGTCGTCGAGTGTTGGGAACACGCATTGAACAAATCAAGTAAGCATACTGAACAACGCGGACACGCGAAGACTATATGGCTTGAGACCAGTGGTTGCGCCATCTCTTCAGATAGCAGTACCAGTAATGATAAGGTAGGATGCCTCACCTCTTGCCGGGCAATCCATGATCTGTATTGCATCCCATTCGTCCTATTCAACAAAAGAAACAAGGGTACTTTGAAGCGAACGGGTTATCATAGCCCAAGCACATGGGTCCCGGATCGCCAAGATCGGGATAACTGACAGAAGAGCGCTGAAATAGGAACCTAGGATGGATGATGATCTTTGGAAGCTCGACAAGAGGTATTTGAAGCATGATCATTGGAGAATTCAACAACTGATAAGTTAGTAACATTTAAGCCTGCCAAGCGGCTTGGTTTTGTCATGGCAAAGATAGGTTATCCGGGGAAGTTATCCACAGTACCAGACTGCCGGTGTCCATCTCTTTCAGGCTTGACATAACAGAAACCATCGGGATGACACGCTTCAAGATTGGGTTTCATAGAAATACTGACTGCAAGGGGCGGGTATGCTTGACATGTTTTAACCTAGAACGTCCAAGGTGCAGACCACGAGCTCGCGAAATGATGAACTGGGTTGTTTCCACGTACGTGGGGGTGGGAATAGGCTTCGAATTCCCTCTGAATGAAGCCACCATTCGCGCGCCTTGGCTACAATACTAGGTAGTTTTGGAGAGTCGGAACAACCGAGTCCTTGACATGTTGTAACCAATGATTGGAGAGTACAGTACTAGATGATATCGAACGTTGATGATAAGCGTTCTCCAAGATTTAATATCAGAACACGAAAGCATTAACTATGGGGAATTTTCCCCTAAATTGGAAAGGCTCCCGTTCCGTCTCCACCAAGCTAGGCTCACCACGATGTTCATATTGGTGTTGTTGATTTGACGTCGTTTGTTCAACTCTGGGTCTCAATATCCAATATCTCATGGCATTGGCAAAACTCAAAAGCATCTGCCTTTCTGTTCCCGCCATAAATCCCAGCCATCCAGAACCCATTTGATGAAAGACCTCAGATACTAACTATGATGCAGCTCGCAGGTCCCAGGTTCTGTGAATACCCCAATGAGAACCATTTGGAAGATCTGCGACGAGCCTAGTGCGATACAGAGGCAGCTGGTAAGCTGGTACCCACCCTTATCAATTCGATTATGGTGATAATTTGGGTTCTGCTTTCGCAATCCCCTTCCTCATAACGAAGTCCTAACGACGCCCCCTTACGACAAAGAAGGCACCTGATGGTTAAGAGATGGGAAATTAGGAGCCAAGGGATTGTCGCGTTGGCCCTGATGCCACGGATACGAGTGACAAGAAAGTTGAACTCTGCGACCACCACATTTCCACCGGCTGCCAAGTTGGCTCCAACTACCTTTACTCCATCCGTTCGCTGGACATGGGCGTCCTCCTACACCTACCAACTTCAAGTAGCACCGTCACAGCATATCCACAGAGGAAGGGGAGCATAGGACTGACCTCACTCCATCCACTCCCCGAGCATCGCTTAAAACGGGCATCCTCTCACACCCACAAGCACAAATAGGACCGGCACAGCGAGTTCAGAAGAGGCTTATCAAAGAGAGAGGGTAAGACACATAAAGTGTAGGTACATAGGAGGACATCGAATCCAATTTCTGTCGTCGAAAACGAAAGATTGAGACGTTTGCTCAGCACCATGCCCTCATGCCATCAATCTGTCCAAGGTTTCGGAGGGCCTACGAACCTAACTTTATGAAGGCCACTCTATATTTGTCTCTCTATTTCGGTAGGGTAGAGACGGGCGTCCGAAGCATAATTCTGTTATATTATATGCTAGATGCTCATTTACCACTCATTCTCTGCTAGAAGCTGATATTTCCTAGTTAATACTCCTCACTGTTAAACTAATCTCGCTAAAACTACGCGCTTTTGGTTTCCTAGAAATACTGATATCACTTCTAGTAGACTCGAAAATCTGAGTAAGAAAGGCACTAAGAGCGGGTATGAGTTAACATAGCGAAAGGTAAGATTGGTATAGAACCACCATGTATTCACACAGATCTAAGCTGATATATACCAGTTATGAAATTTGAGTTTATAATAATAACCATTGGAGTGAATGCAGATGTTATGGCTGGAGACAACACCCTAGGTTAGTAAATAGGGGACTACTGCGCTAATTTGATTTGGGATAGGCGTCAGGTTAGGGTGGAAGACCCTTTATATGAACTTAGAGAGCCTAACTAAATATCAGGTGACAAAGTGTCAAGATCTGATGTCATTACTTAGTCATCCGTTTCCCCGCTTCGGCTATTACTTAGTCATTCGTTTCCCCTCTTCGGCTATTACTTAGTCATAGGTATATCTACCTCGTTCGGTACTCTACTTCTTACAGAAATAAAAGCACTTTACATTCTTCGTCACGTAACCTATTGCTTCCGTGTGGATAGACACGCTAAGCTATCAACACAAAGGGAAAGGTCGTACTCTAGGAGATACTACATGGAGAACTCTGACACCCCTGAGGCTGACCTATGGTATCAATATCTTGAATAGTGTTGACATGGCTGTCTTCAACGACAAACCAGTGTCTTTGTTTCCAACCTGTATGGAACTTGATGCTTCAGGTATCAAAATCCGGTTATGGTTAGTGCTTGATAACCACTTCAATGAAGTGGTCAATCTTTGTTAAACAACCTTTCCTTTGTACGAACTTTCCTCTATAAAGACAAAGGTAAGGGATTTGCCGCAAACGGATAGGCAGGAGGATTATATAAGGGACGGTTCTGTACTGTTATTTAGTTTTAAACACAGCGCAACTATTCTATCGATATTGGACTGTCATTCTGAGAACAATAGCCTATAGCTTGTATTGTTCTTCGTCTTATCTTTTTTCCTTTGAACTATATGAAGTTCCTTACCCACTGTGCCTAAGGTTGAGCCTCTGTAGATATTCCAAACGTGGAAGTTTGACCCTCTACAGACATTCCAATCTTAGCACAATCTCAACAAATAGTTATCGTGTATGTAACTATTGTAGATAACTAGTTATTCTTTAGCTTTAACTGCAATAAATTAAAGTAGCTCTTACAATTTTCGCGGTCAAACCGTCTTTATGGTACACAGAAATTTATGGGATATGGCAGCTAGATGTCCAAATCCTCTTTATAATCATTGTTTGCTGCAATCGGCCTCCACTTAAATAAACCAGCTAGAAAAGAATCTAACTATCTATACCTTAATATGTGTCATTGGCCCAAACCACGAAGGATTTGGTAAGCTGGTACTCCGTAACGCTGATGAATTGCTAAAGAGAAAGGAAAAGATCTCTCTTATCTGGTGGTGGCCTGGTGGGTGGGTCCAAGGGCACGGATACTGCGATCTGCTATTTAATTACATCTGTGGGCGAACGGTCTACCAATCCCTTCTGCCTTAGGCCGCAAGGCCACAACACACAGACTGGGCGAAGCCCAAGACTGTCACACACAGTTGTGTTTAGAAGGTTGGCGCTCCCTATAGCGTCCTCTGAATCGAGGATGAGTTCATGAGTCGATGAGTAAGCGTTGAGAACGCACGAGCCAGGGGCGCGGATCTGCCGCTTGGGGAGAGTGATCCCTACGGACCCTACCTTAGTGCACGGTTTGTAATCCTAACAAATCGTGGTACCCTAGCGCCCGGTATGAAGCAATGGAACAACATCTGGTTTCGCTATTCGATTTTCACTTTCGGTCCAATTAGCAATCCATTCATGTTTGGATATCCTCGCTATGATTGGTCCTCCAATTAATAACTGCGTATGCTTCATAAGCATCTCGCATTACCACTATGACGAGGCATGCTCTAACGGATCGTGAATCTATTCCCTACATTCTACAGAATTCGGTGAGTAGTTTAACGATTAGAAATCAATTCAGCTCTATATTCAGACATCGGTGGTCTCGTATCGGTTCCACTACGCAAAATTTATATATAGGTATAGTCATGACCAGTCTAAGTTCTGCCGTTATTCGGTCATATTCTGTCTTCTCGTTAGGCATCCAGCATTGGGGATATATATCTCCTAGCAGGTCCTTTAGGTTCGATTCGTTTTTAAAGAATCTTGCAACCAATCTATTCCAGCCAGATCAAGTCTCTACATCTTTCGCCTTCTAGTTTCGCTGTCATCCAATCCCAAAAACTTGTCGGTTGCAAAACATTCCCCCAGGACGAACAAATGATGAGCGACCTCATCAGAGACGCCCCTATTGGGCAAATCATCCGCTACCTTACCAAGAACAAAGTTCTCCAATACCCAGAAGAGCGTGCAGACTTTGAATTGCCAGAATCATACGCCGACGCTAATACTAAGTTTACCCCTAAATCGCCAATCGAACCAGTGTCCAGTCTCTACAACGAGAAGCCCTTGCAACCTGAAGCCAGCCCAGCAAGTGAAGAAGTTGAACCTCCAATAGATTTGGATCTCGAGAAGCTCGATACCGCTTTAATTCACGATGGCGAGCATTCAGCACACCTCAGTCGGATCCAGAGTTCCCTCACTAGGGTGACCACTCGAGGAGCCTTTTCAAGATCTCACACACGGGCCGAACTGGAGCACCAGATCACCATAGCCACGATGGAGCGAGGACCGACCCGGCAGATTGTGCCGGAGCGCACATCAGATGGGGCTATCCTCGTCGACTGGTATACGACGGACGATCCTGATAATCCGCAGAATTGGAGTCTGAAGAAGAAGCTGTTCGTCGCAGGCCTTATCTATCTCTATACATTTTCAGTATATATGGTGAGTCAACCCAACCGTGTCTAGGTACCTACGTATAGCCCTAACTGGTTTATAGGGCAGCTCTATCTTCACGGCTAGTTACACCGGCGTCATCGAAGAATTCGGTGTCTCCCTTCAAAAGGTGACGCTGGGTCTCTCGATGTACGTCCTCGCCTACGGAGTCGGCCCCATGCTCTTCTCCCCAATCAGCGAGATGCCCTCCGTTGGCCGTAACCCGCCATACATCGTCACTTTCCTGATTTTCGTCCTCATGCTCATCCCCGCCGCCCTCGCCCGCAATTTCTCCGGACTCATCGCCGCACGATTCTTCCAAGGTTTTTTCGGATCTCCCTGTCTCGCGACGGCCGGCGCTAGTTTACAAGATATTTTCTCGATGCTGAAGTTGCCATATGCCATCTCTCTCTGGGCCTTGGTGGCCACATGCGGTCCCGCATTCGGTCCCATCATCGCGGGCTTTAGTACCCCGGTCGAAGGCTGGCGATGGAGCCAGTGGGAATTACTCTGGCTGGCTGCACCCGTCTGGCTGGCCATGTTCCTCTTCCTCCCCGAGACCTCTACCCCCAACATCCTCCTCCGGCGTGCGAATCGACTCCGCGCCCTAACCGGGGAGAACCGGCTGAAAAGCCAGGGCGAGGTTGATCAATCGAACATGACCGTGAACGGTCTAATCATAGAGAGCCTTTGGCGACCAATGCAGCTCATGCTCTTAGATCCCAGCATTGCGTTCACCGCGGTCTACATTGCTCTCATCTACGGGATCTTCTACTCGTTCTTCGAGTCCTTTCCGCTGGTATACATGGAAATATACGGCTTCAACCAAGGCCAGACAGGCCTCACCTTCATCTCTATCACCGTCGGCACCGTCGTCGCCCTCAGCGCCTACTGGGCCTACATCTACTGGATCGTCGAGCCCGAAATCCGCACGAGCGGCCTCGGTGCCCCTGAACGCCGTCTAATCCCCGCGCTCTTCTCCGCCTTCCTCGTCCCCGCCGGCCTCTTCATCTTCGGTAAGTCCCATTCCACTCCGCATCCCATATAACCCGCTCACTCCCACGTCTAGCATGGACCGCCTCCCCCTCCATCCACTGGATCGTCTCCATCATCGGCGTCGGAATCTTCTGCGTCGGAGTCACCTTCATCATCCAGTGCATCTTCATGTACCTCCCCCTTTCCTATCCACAGTACGCCGCGTCGTTGTTCGCCGGGAACGACTTCGCCCGGTCGGCGCTCGCGTCGGGGACGATCCATTTCTCCACTCCGATGTACCACAGCCTGGGCGTCGATCGCGGCGTTTCCTTGTTGGCGGGGCTCACCGTCGGGTGTATTGCCGGTGTTTATATTCTTTATTTCTACGGAGCCACGTTGCGGGCGAACAGCCGATTCGCGGCGAAGTAAAGAGTGCATTTTGTTAGGCGTTTGTGGCGGCAGGACAAGGAACTGGATTAAAATGGGATTCGGCGCTAAAATAGCGAGCGTAATTGTCGTCCAGTGTTATGGGCATGGCCCATGGTTGGCATAGGCTGAGAGCCTCAGCCTAATCAAGCCTAGTAGCGTCGAGATAGAACCTCATCAAGATTCCTGTCACAGGTACCTTTACTCTTAATCTCAATCTGGAATATCTTTGGCTACGTGCGATGGATCAGAGGTGTATGGACCTGGATGCCTTATGGCCTTGTGGCCCGTTTGCTCTGTAAACACCAGAAGGCATAACGCCTTCCACACTTCAGATAGATTCCGCTAACCTCTAAGACATAACTGTTACGGTCCCGGCCTGCAGCACGTTCCCAGTTGATATCACGTGGTTGTAACCACGTGACCGGTCTCCCTACTGAGTGGGTGAAGCTCCTTTCACACCCCGCCGTGCTCCATTCACACCCGCCACCCCGCTCCATTCACACCCTACCTGGTCACATGACATACCAATCCCTTCAAATCTCTGACGCAGATTGGGATGGCCCAGTATATGATGCTTTATACGAGTCAAGCCGACCATTCTGCGTTCAAACTCTGTAATTCAATGTATCTAATCGTACAGAGGATCACGGATGATCAAAAATGCTAACTTAGGTCCTCGTTTCACTCAAAAGAAGCTGGCGTAAGGCCGCTGATGCGCTCTTGGATGAGATCGCTGAATGACGTCTCCCCTGGTCGATAGTTCGCAAGTAACCTTCGTGCTTCTTCCGTAATTTCCTGCCCGTCCATCTGCGGCGGAGGGGCTGGCTGGGGCTGTGCTCCTCCGATCGATCTTTGGTGTTGTAATGGTGTTGCACGTACCTGTTCGAAGGCAGACGGGAGTCGACGCGAAGAAGGGTCGTTTGGCCGGTCTCTTAGTCCAGGAGGAAGTCGTGCCATAGCTGGATCGCGTACTGTCGCGAAGGATCCGGGTAGTGGGAGTGTAGGTAACTTGTAAAACCAATAGGAGTCGATCATAGGAAGCTGGATTTGCGTATTTTGTGATAGACAACGTCGAATAGTATGGAAGTAAGGAAGTCCAAGAGAAGTCTGATATATGTGTGTGTATGGAGACTGGTTCGAGTAATCTCCTGAGTGCTCTTCATCTCTTTGTCGACGCTCTTCATCTCCCTGTCGACGCTCTTCATCTCCCTGTCGACGCTCTTCATCTCCCTGTCGACGCTCTTCATTTCTCTGTCGACGCTCTTCATTTCTCTGTCGCCGCTCTTCATCTCTCCGTCGACGTTCTTCAAGCCTGATTCGAATGATACTTCGATACATCTTCTTAAGCGCTTGCGGAGAAACATGTTGGATCACTTCCGGAGAGAAAACGGCGCGATACTTCGGATTGACACGGATTGCAGAGTCCTCTATTGCGACAGTAGCCTCATGGTTTGTACGACGGATTGAATGCGTTAATTGATCGATGGTATTCATTATATCGCCTCGTCGAAGCGTGATCCGTCGCTTAATAGTTGCATGAGAACTCTCGGCCCTCGATGT